TTTTTTTTTTTTTTTTTTTTTGGGACGTCAATTCTTTATATACTAACTTTCTAGAAACACGCCCATTATCTTCCTCCACAACGTCACTGGCTTCATGGTCGGCGCCAAAGCCGAGCACGCCGGCATCATCAAAACGGGCGCCCAGCTTGTCTCGGCCGTTAGTTGCTCTACCGTGCCACATATCTCCATTATCCTAGGTGCGTCGTATGGAGCAGGGAACTATGCCATGTGTGGTCGATCCTACAAACCTCGCTTTATATTTACCTGGCCGACCGGCCGCTGCAGTGTGATGGGCCCTGATCAGCTCGCTGGGGTGATGGAGACGGTGCGGATTTCAAGCGCCAAATCCAAGGGCGAGGTGCTGTCGCCGGAGGAATTGAAGAAACAGGTGCAGTCATTCAGGGATGCCGCTCAGCGGGACAGTGAATGCTATGCGACTAGTTCGATGTTGGTTGACGATGGCGTTATTGACCCGAGAGATACGCGAGATGTGCTGGGGATGTGTTTGGAGGTCGTAGCTCTGCCGGGGGTGCAGGGGGCGGAGACACATAAACTTTTGGCCAGGATTTAGTTCTTCTCCTCAAGGTTGTTAAGATATGTAGCATGGAGATGAAACCCCTATCAATGCATGATATTATATTGTACTACGTCAGTTCCTCGCAACCCGCACGAGCAGCCAAGTTCTCGGGTAGATGATACCATCCAACATTCGTAGAACACTTCTCAGATTGCGGATCCTATTCTGGATTACCCTGGACCAGAACAGCTCGTTTCTTGGAGAACGTGGGATGTTCGTGGTGTTGACGGTCCGGTGGCTCGAAACCGGACCGATCCGGACCAGGAGCGGCATCTTCAGTCCGGGGGCAACGGAACAGACGGAGAATAAACTTACAGTCATTTTAATAATAGGTAGCCCTGTTCACTTCCGCCTGGATACCCTATACACTCATAGGCAGATACACCATGGTATCACTCACGACAATGAATGGGCCAATCCAGGGTGCCTCTCCCGTCCGAAACCCTCTCTTTGTTGCACCTTCTCCAGTAGGAACGGATGGCCGCCCTATTATCCAAAAGGTGCTGATTGCCAACCGTGGAGAGATTGCCTGTCGCGTTATTCAAACCTGTCGAAAACTGAATATGACATCTGTCGCTGTTTACGTGGATGAGTATGCGGCCACCCTCTGAATCTACGAGAGTAGAATTAACCTCAGCCAGAGATGCCTCATCCGGCCATATCAAAGACGCGGATGAAGCCGTCCGAATTGGCAGCATAGAGAAAGGCCAGCGTAATCCATTCCTTGATGTAGAGTTGCTCGTCAAAACGGCTCTGTCTGTCGGTGCGGACTCCATTCATCCAGGATACGGCTACCTGAGCGAGAACGCCGATTTTGCGACTCGTGTGCGAGACGCTGGCCTGATCTTCATCGGTCCCAGTGCCAGCGCCATGTCGACATTGGGCGACAAACGGACAGCGAAGGACTATCTGCGAGAGCATGCGCAGGATGTACCTCTCATCCCCGGATACTCGGGATCCAGCCAGGATGCTACCGAGCTAGCGAAGTTTGCAGCCGAGATTGGATTTCCGGTGATGCTGAAAGCCTCAGCAGGGGGTGGAGGTAAAGGCATGCGCATTATACACGAGGAAAAACAATTGCAGTCCGAGCTGCAGCGAGCGCAGTCTGAGGCGCACCGATCGTTCGGGTCGGCGGATTGTATCCTGGAAAAGTACATCGAGAGCAGCAAGCACGTCGAGATCCAGATCATGGGCGATAGTCATGGAGAGGTGGTCTCGTTCTTTGACCGAGACTGCTCAGTGCAGCGACGACATCAGAAGGTAATTGAGGAGACTCCCTGTCCCTTTCTCACGCCAGAGACACGGCAGAAAATGAGTGCCACGGCCGTGCGGATTGCGAAACTGATCGGGTATGAGAATGCGGGGACGGTGGAGTTTGTTGTTGATGTACAGACTGGCAAGTTCTACTTTCTCGAAGTCAATGCACGGCTGCAGGTTGAGCATCCTATTACTGAAGAAGTGACGGGGGTCGATCTGGTCTCTCTGCAGTTATACGTTGCAGCAGGAGGGAGCCTGGCAGCTCTGCCCGTTGCCCAGAATGTCACTCTACAGGGCCACGCCATTGAATGCCGCCTGTGTGCCGAGGACCCTCGACGCAATTTCTTCCCGGAGCACGGCAAAATTCATCTCTGGCTGCCGGCATCTGGCGTGTTAGGGCCCGGCCGAGACGTGCGCTACGAGACTGCGGTCCAAACAGGCTCCTCCGTGTCCATATACTTCGACTCTATGATCGCCAAGCTCGTCGTCTGGGCCCCCACACGGGTGTTGGCGATTGAGAAGATGGCTCAGGTTCTTTCTCATACCGTCTGTGCCGGTCTGAAGACTAACCAGCTGCTTCTGCGCAGCTCGCTGTTACATCCCGCCTTCCAGGATTCAGCGTACACTACCGGATTTCTGTCTTCCTACCTGGACGAGCTGTTGCGAGAACCATCTCACCCGGATATGGTTGCAATCCGGACCTCTCTGTCAATTCTTCCAGGCCTACTATTGTGGAGACTTGCAGGTCTAAATTCCGATGTCTCCAATCCGCGGCCTTTCCGTAGTATTCGTCGACAGTTTCGGAACCAGCGATTCGACCCGGTCAGCGCCCACTGCGAGATTGTTTCCGTGGTCGACTGGCCTTACACGGTGGCGGATGGAGTGGATGCATCAGCGCCGCTTATGTGTGTATGGCAACCAGAGGCAGCAGGCAGTGTGTCTACCGCTGTACAACAAGTCTATCTTCTCCCTGTCCCTGAAGCCAAGGTCTCCCAGGACGATACTACTCCTGGGGCTAGCGCCCAGTACAATGAAATTAGCAAAGCACTTCGGACCGGAAAGGTCGTACCCCCAGGCAGTCCGTACACCGTCAGGGTCGAGTCGTGGACACCAGCGGAAGCAAACTACGCAGGCAGGGAGTCCTGGCTGACGAGCATAATGGAAGTCTCGATCAACGGGTCTAGAATCCGGGCACACCTGGCAGCACCCTCTCACCGCACGGACACTGTATGCGCCCCCGCTAATCGCACACAGACAGTGCTTTGCCATGTCCCTGCGATCGGTACGTACGTCGAGTTCAAACAGGACACATTGTTATCATTCATGGAAGGGTTTCGTGCAGTGGTAAAGCAGGACGACCAGGAGCAGCGGAATGTGACTGCGCCGATGCCATGTAAAGTGCTATCAGTCTTGAAGAAGAATGGGGATGTGGTAAAATCTGGGGACAGCGTCATGGTCATCGAGAGTATGAAGATGGAGGTTACCATCACAGCGTCGGCGGACGGCCAGTTCCATTCTACTTGGAAGGAGGGTGACGCTGTCGAGGAGGGGAAGATTCTTTGTTCTATCCATTAGGATCTTAATTAGTTTAAAAAGAGGTCTCCACGTGTAGTGGCCTTGCTTGTCGTATTGGTAAGATACGATTGATTAGGGCATTTATATCCCAGGTTGAACATCCTTTCTTGAGATTCCCCCCGTAATCCAAAGCCAATCCCCGTCTTATATCGATGCAATATGAAATACACGGCCATGCCAAGAAACGCCTCAGCTTCTTCGTAACCTTAACATCCGGAAATAGAGCCAACTCGGACAAAACTTCCTCACTACCTGCGCCGATTACTATTCACTCTCAGAAATCGCTCGATTTCCCTCATCCCTACGCCTGATCCTCCGCTCAAAGAGATAAGATAAAATCGTCTCTATCACTATATTTTTATTATTCTAGGAAACGCGTCAACGCGCCAATATATCTTCTAAAATATTAGCGAAAAGTATGTAGAGGGTTTAGCCAATTTCCTAGAATACTATTAATATGATCTACGGCCGCGGGATAGGGCTTTTAAATCTTTCGATTTTAAAATGTCTACATAGTATAGATACCGCTGCTATTGAACTCTATCCTAGATTCTTTAAATACTAATCTTATAATATACGTTTCCTAGAAATCACTACTTTGAGATATTATCTCTTTTTAATACACACTAGAAGCCTATTTATTTAGATATTTTTCTATCTAGATATCTTCCCAATGTATATTTCCACTGCTAAATCCTATATTTTTAATATAATATTTATTAACATGTCCAGTAGACTATACCCTTTCTACCTAGTAGTCTATTTTTAGACTTTTAAACTATTAGATTAATCTTATAATTAGTAGTATAAGGTCTAGGAAAGGGGAGAAGTAGTCTATAATAATCACCGCTATTTTAAACCTTTTATTATATTTATAATATATATGAAGTCTATTTATAACACAACTGTCAATAAGAGCTGTTTAGTACATACTACTAAATGGCCGTTGGCGACCCGAGAAGAGCCCCTAAATGGGAGCTGTATTCGGGTATAATGCATTTCTCTCTCTCTCTCTCTCTCTCTCTCTCTCTCTCTCTCACTATTCACTCTCAAGTCACGACTGACCTGCTCAATCCCTTGAGCCACGGTCATTTTTCGAGGACCCCAATCCCCACCACCTGCCGCGACGCTCTATGCATCATCTCAGGGGTTTGCCGTTCGTGCCTGACATTTCTCGGTCGTTCAAGAGTATAGAGAGCTTATTTTTCCAACGGCAGCAGTGGCTTTCAAGAGCACCGGTTTTATCCCAAACCGTCATGGAATCAAAGCCAACAGACCAAAAGAAAGGCCCACGGACATATAGCTGAGAAAAAAAACCGAGGGATTGACAGCGGTCGATATCTTTTGTTTGCGGCGCGAAGGAACATGGCTATTATATCTGGGTGCTGCGGATTCGATTGATATGTGCTGGGCAGGTTCGGGAGACCTTGAAAAACACACCCCAAAGGTCCTGACTGTTCCACGACCCTAACAAAACTCGCGTATTACTTCGGAATCCCCGTCCCTGCTTGCAGTATGGATTCCGATAACCTGAATTTCCAGGCTCTGGTTTTCTGTCGGGTCCCGCCCCGGCTGGCGTCACCCAGTGCGGGCCCCCGGAATATGGGGTTACGGGGTCCACCGTTCCAGTAACTAGAGGCATTAGAGGAACATAATTACCGTGCAAGATTGGATTACAGCTGCCCTGATGCCTTGCCAATACTAGGTACGCAACCCCTCAATAAGATGAGAGCCGGATCCCACTAGTCCCCAAATTGGGATTGGGGAAACGACATCAAAGCTTCGCCATTGCTGTTACCAAGCATTGACCTATAACCCACGCGGGGCCATCAGCCTTATATAAAGAGTAGCTTTTCTATCTTTGGTGATCTCTACCAGACGAACTGACACTCACCTGCCCCCCCTATCATCATTGACTCCGACAATATTTGCGGTGAGTCTAATAAGCTCCCCATAAGGCCCTTCGACACCACGTAATAGCAGATAGTGTCCTGCTTCCCATGCCTTCGTGATACCTTTTGAGAAGCTGTATCTAAACCCAAAAACCCCTCACAAGGGCGACCTCGATCGAGCCTTTGGGAATCTTACCGCTACGACAATGGGCCGGCGTGATCCAGGCTGGGGGCATCAAGTAGGGGGAAAGCTTTTGCTTTGAGAACATACAGTATAAAAAGTCTTAGTATTATCGCTTTGGTCGTTCAATAGGCACGCTACATACCGCGAAAGTGTGTTCCAACGTCTGGTCGTGAGTCGCCGTCCCGTACTGAACACTGAATGTAGAAAACATAAATAATGAATTGACTGCGAGTAATAAAGAATATAAAATGAATCACATCCTGCCAGATATCACAAGGATATAAAATTATATCAGCAAGCGTAGCTGCATGAAAGTAACTCTAGATTATTAATCATAAATTTAAAAAGCAATGAGCTTAAAGCTAAATTATCAAGATTACATAGGGAAAAAGCACCAGGAAGCTGTTCTGGAGAAAGTTTAGAGAATGGTGAGTTAATTATTCCAACTCCTCCCTTTTCTCCTGCTATCTATTTTTTTTTTTTTTTTTTTTTTTTTAATCTTTTTTTTTTTTTTTTTCTTCTATTAACCTTATCCTTCCTTCTTTAAATTTTTTTTATTCTTTCATTGCTTTAGTAATGGGGGTATGGAGCGAGGATATGTAGCAAGGGGGAACAGGATGTATCGCCTCCAGGGTCCGTAATAATGCGACACAGACCAGGTAGCTCACAAAGGCTTCTGTTCCACTATTTGTTCCATATCTGGACATTTGAAGAGAGAAAACCTCAGTCGTGAATCCGATCGCCGCCATACAGCTGGCTGGGAGAAAGCGACCGAGTCCGTCAGAGTGGAGATTACGGGCCAGCGACACGATCTGCGATGACACCATTTGAATACCAGGGGGCATACACTGGTTCATCTCGTCAGGTGGTTGTGATTGGATTACCATACATTGTGCAAAGAGACACTCAATCCTCAAGGCCGTATGCTGTAGTATAAAGGAGGCTGAGTTGTTTTCGTTCTTATCAAACCCGGGCATCTCCAGAGGAAGATCTCGAATCCAGTCCTCTAGGCTCAGCTGATGCACGAGTACATCCTTTGCACATACCCCGTCCTTTGGATATAATACGCTGCACGCATCTCCAACCGAGTTCAGGGTCCAGGAGACGCTATAGAGAGAGCTCAGAGCGCGACTGGTCTTGTGATAAAGCTTGGCCTTCTGAATAAATAGAGCAGCGAGCCACTTTCGACTCCCGTCACACCTAACGGGAACAACGGAAGGATGAAATAGGCTGAAGGAGTGGGGATTCCCTTCGATTTGTTCAAAGTCACTCTCGGTGATTGAAAGGGCTGTACCGTACATTTCGTGAACCTGACAGGGCCGATGGTAGGTCAGGGCGATCTGAACGTCACGGATATATATACACCACCAGATCCTCCGCTTCAGGCCACTTGTGGGGCATGTTGATTTCCCAACGGCTATGTCTAACCGAGTACTTTTAGCAATAGAAAGAGCTTGAGCTAGCCAGTAAGGAGCCTCCAGTAGACCGTCGTTGTCCCCTTGCCAAAGCGACATCAGCAACAGCGACTGAATCTGGACAAGATGATCTTTCTCGGTTCCCACCTGGTAAGCTAGCTATATTATACGGTTAGCGGTCAACCCCCATCCAAGTCATTAGCATTTCTACCTTTGCCCTGCTAATCATCGCTGCTTGTGCTTCAAGGCGAGACGGGTGACCAGTCTCACGTATGGCGTTGATATCAACGAATGGACAAGCAGCAGAGAGAATCGACCACATTAAGAGCGGACTCCGGGGCGAGTCCGGGAGCTGAAGCTCGAGGTTATAGACATCATCAAAATTAATACATGGCTGCCCCGGGTAAACGTAGTGAAGATATGCTTGCAGAAACTGCAGACGTACATGGTGCACCGGGAAATCGAAAATGCTCCTTTGCCTCAGGAATTCATATGTATCAAGCCCTCGTGAGTACGTGATAAGTGGCCTACCTTGATGGACATTTCCATCTCCTCCCTGATCACTGGGAGTCGTGCAATCCTCGCTCAGGATGGCCAGGGCCGTGGAGACCATGTCATCGAGTGGCTCGGTCGCCGAGACCCCCTTGGTTGCTCGCATGTGTCGGCAAGGAGTGCTTCTCCACGAAGATGGAGAGTCGGCCTCACTTGATGAAGGTTAGGACGATTCTGTGGCCTAATAAAAAGACATATCCTGCTACATACCTAAGCCCATCCATGTTGTGAAAACGGCGGCGTTTGGTGATCCTTGGGGGGATCGGGAGTTCAAGACATATTCCGCACTCCCAACTTTCCTTTCCGGGATTAGACTTCAGCAGCCCTCCTGTTCAAGACAGTCAAAATTGTGATTCCTTTCTCAAGTAATCTGACGCGCCTACGGTGCGATTATTGTCTTCCATCCATGTAACCTCATTCCGTGCTCGTGAGTTAAGCTGTCTTGTGCAGGAGGAGGTTCTGGTATGGTTTATCGGACCGCAGCGTCGGACCGAAGCCGGAGCGCTACTTCCTCTGGGTCAACGTTGCTCTTCTCATTAAGATTGCAGCCCATTTCTCCTGTGGTCTATGCACGGAAGGTACCGGCCCGACGTTAAGGCTAATCAGTGGACGGACGGACACTCCTACTCCAGGCCGTTAGTTTGACCTGCATCCCCAAACCCTGCCACCCCAGATCTGTCATGCCCCTTAACCATAGAGGCACCTGAATGAATTCGCTCTTCTGCTATACACCAGCGGCTGTCTCTGCCAATACTGCGCAATCGCACTGCCTGGACCAGTGTGCATGGGGTCATGAATCCTTGCATCCTTTGGGGCTGTGGCCCTCAAGCAAGGGTCATGGGCAAAATTATAAATACAGTCTTGATGTCGCAGCCTGGCTTCCTCGATCCTCTGCAACTTCAGGGAACGCTACAACTGAAGCAAGATATTCCACGCATGAACCATCCTCCCGCGTGCTTCTAATATCCTCCTCCAGAATGACATCCAGCTTTGACGACCTCTGCCCGCATAAGGCGGCGATATACGATCAGCCTGGCACCGTGGTGGTGGTCTCCGCCTTACTCTCCACCATGTCTCCGCAAGTATTTGGTTTAACCTGAGCGTATTATCCTACGAATGCGAGGCGACATATAGATACTGATAGCTGGATACTTGAGAGACAACAGCCAACGAGCATGCTTCGAAGGTTTTCCGGGGGTGCGGTCCGACGATCGGCGTCCACGGACCGACAGCATCGAAATGTAGAGACAAGCTGTTTATAGTTAGAGAATAACCTTCCTTGTTTTATACGTCCCTCAGATTCAAATATCTGCATTTGTGATATACGCACCATGTCATCAACGCTCCCCTTCGCCGACCCCCTCTGGCTCAACCGCGGGTACAGTCCGTACTACAAGGACTCCCACCGACGCCTGCAAAGGGAAGTCCGTTCGTACATTGACACGCATATCGCTCCTTACTGTGAGGAGTGGGAAAAGAACGGTTCGGTTCCGGTCGAGGTAGGTAGCCTCAATATGCAAGATGATGCCCCGTGCCGACCGTGCGCAGGTACATCAACGACATGCAGCGCTCGGCTATACCGCTGCCACCCCATTTCCCCTGGCTACAAACTATCTCAATGGCCAGCAACTTCCTGGCGGCATCCAGGCTGAGGAATGGGACGGGTTCCACGACCTGATTCTTATTGACGAGATTGCGCGATGCGGCTATCTCGGTGTGATCTGGGCGCTTGGATGCGGGAATTCGATTGGTGGACCACCGGTCATTAACTTTGGAAATAAAGAGCAGAAGGACCGGTTCTTACCTGACATGTTGACTGGCAACATTCGGTTCTGTCTGGGTGTTACTGAGCCGGATGGTTTGTTATCCTCTGTCTGGGTTTCTTGTTGATTGGTGCAGCCAACTGACATGGATATAGCTGGATCCGATGTCGCGGGCATCACGACCACTGCAGAACGAAAGGGCGACAAGTATATTGTCAATGGAGCGAAGAAGTGGATTACCAACGGCATCTTTGCGGACTACTGCACCGCTGCGGTGCGGACAGGAGGGGGGGGTATAGCTGGAGTATCGGCTCTGGTGATTCCACTCAATGCACCGGGCGTAACACGCAGGAAAATTGACAACTCTGGAGTTCTTGCCAGTGGTAGGAGCCCGCTCTGTGCCCTATAGGCTTGTATTGAGACTGACGATTGGATGAAGGATCCACATACATCGAATTTGACGATGTTGAGGTGCCCGTGGCTAACCTCCTTGGAGAAGAGAACAAAGGCTTCCCCATTATCATGAACAGTATGAACTCCCAGTGTTCGTGCCATGGACAAAATTAATCAGGACAGACTTCAACCACGAACGTCTCTGGCTTGCTTGTACATCGCTGCGGATGGCTCGAGTCTGCGCAGAAGATGCCTACCAACATGCCGTGACCCGCGAGACCTTCGGCAAGAAACTCATCGAGAGCCAAGTAATCCGTGCCAAGTTTGCTGCCATGGGCCGGAGCCTGGATTCTACCTACGCCTGGATGGAGCAGCTCGTCTACATGGCGGAGACGGCGAAGGCGAACCGCACTGACGCCGCGATGGGTGGCCTGTTCGCCAACCTCAAGGTCCTTGCCGGGCGAACTCTGGAAATGGTCAACCGGGAGGCCCAGCAGGTCCTGGGCGGTCTCGGGTACTCGAAGGATGGTCGTGGTGCGAGAATTGAACAGATCAGTAGAGATGTTCGGGTGATGGTTGTCGGGGGTGGCAGCGAGGAGATTCTGTCAGATTTGGCTGTGAGCCAAGAAATCAGGGCTATGCTGCGGTTGAACAAATTGTGAGTAATATATCTACTAGTGTATCGCCAATCAGTAACGGCGGTTACTGGAGTTATAGTGAATTTGTGCTGTAAGGTGGTTATCATCCTAGAGCATCGAACTGGTCGCGTAGCAGCCGTTATCCCTCGCTGCACTCTGGCAAAAACCCTCTGATCTTTTAATATCTTCTGGCTCATCGAACCTTTTTAACTTGGCGTTTTGTATCTATATAGTTTCTATTAAGCTTGATAGCTGATCCAGATCTATGACGCTACAGCGATCTGTAGGCCAGATAAATATAACCCGAGGTTTACAAGGCCTTCCGCACATTGTATAGATGCCAGGTATATACGATGCGCTTATGATAATATGAGATAGAACGTAGAAGGGACGGTCGGGTTAGCGGACACACGACATAAGATAAGCATGTATCTTGATGATTCCGGTCGTATTCGGCTTCGATGCTGACAATAAACCGGGTAATTTGATCGAGGAAAGATAATTGATATGTTTATTCTTCATCAGGATAAGAGCAGTATGGAACATGACCGACTCCTGATTGTATATGTGAATGAACTTCGTTGTGTTGGCAGCTTCGTTAGGATTGATTACCGAGAGCTTCCCTCCCCGGTGGAAGACGCGGAACCACTGCGGAAGGAGACTCCGGTCGCATGCGGGGAAGTGGGGTGTTCTCATAGATTGGCCAATTGGGAATAGCATTATTATGCCGGTGGGTCTGCCCCACACTAACCAGTTGATTCATTCAGTGGAGACTCCAAGTCACGCCTTCTCCTCGGACACCGGCCTGCTTTCCTTCCTTCTCAACTATCTTGTGTCCAGGCCCGGCTGGCTGCTGCTACCGTGATGGATCACGATCCCAACCGGCTGAATGCCAGTATTTCCAAGCGCATCCGCCATGCTTGCGCAAGTTGCCGGTAGGTGACTGACCCCCCAGTCATTCCCTCGCTGACCTCGGGTGCTACTGCGACAATTAGACGACGCAAGACGAAATGCTCTGGAGAGCGTCCAGTGTGTTTTCACTGTCGGCGCAGTCGCCAGCGCTGCGTGTATGAGCCCTACGCGATGACCATCGGCGATACCAGCGCCGCACTTCCGCCGCCACCAGCTGCCCAGGACAATGTCAGTCGTTATTCATATGGCGTGTGTGCGGCAGTGATACTGACGTATGGGTAGAGCGCGATTCTGCAGCGGATTAGCATGCTTGAGTCGCGTCTGGCCGATCTCAGTGACCGCGCTGCTCCTCAGGCTTTGTATACTAGCTCTGCCTCTCTCTTCAGAAGCGAATACTGATCGCATTTTCCTTGCAGAACATCGCCGCCTAAACGGTTTGACGATGAACAGTGGTAGGGAAGCTCTCCTGCCGCCAGGATAACGGCCGTACTGACACGCGCTGCGAGAACCAGCTCCCTCCCTCCTTTCCCAGTTCTGCAGTCCGTCGTCGACACATTCTTCGTCCACGTCCACAACCGTCCGTATTCGTGTATCCAAGAAGCCTCGTTCCGGAGAAAACTAGAAATGGGAATCGTGCCCCACTGTCTACTCCTCGCCGTGCTAGCATCGGCAATCCGATTTTCCACACACGAATACTACGAAGGGAGAAAGCAGGAGGCGATGGAAGAATATGCAAAACGCTCGTGGATGTCGGTTGTCACTGAGCATCTCACGGTCGTGGATAACCTGACAATGGAGGTGGTACAAACCGCGAATCTGCTGGCTATTGTCGATTACACCGGTAGGATCCGTCGTCTATAACATCCTCGTCTCATATTCTCGTATCTGATTTCCGTCCCAGTCGGTCATGTCAGTTCGGCCTGGCTGAAGGTCGGCCTCGCAGCTCGCATATCCCAGGACCTGCGCCTGATGATAGATCCCTCCGACGCACTATCATCCCACGAGCAAGAGGAGCGGAGGCGGGTCTTCTGGTCAGGATATTTACTAGACAGGCTCATTTCATGCGGCAAGTCACGGCCTCTATGCTTCCATGACGACGACTGCCACGTCCGGCTGCCATGTGATGAGAAAGCACTCTACACTGGGCGAGTGCAGACATCACATACCCTCCACGAGCTCCTCTGTTGGGACTCAAAGATCGATCACGATCAGCCTCCCAGTCCATTTGGCCTGGTCATCTTAATGGCATCCATCTTCGGACGTTGCACCAGGTATGTCTACAGGGAGTGCAACACTAACAAAACACCCCCATGGGACACAAACTCGGAGTTTTCCCAGATCAACTCGTCCTTATTGCTATTCGAGTCTTACTCCAGCAGCACACGGCTCTCAGCCGTTGACACGCTCCGCGACAACGACTCGGCCGATCGGTCGGAATCAGAACGAGTCATTTTCGCCCATACGCTGTTCCATCTCTCCCACTGTTTGCTGAATCACCCATTTCTCTTGCGATTGCGATTGAAGCCGTTTGGGTCAAAAGTGCCTACCAGTTTCAGCCTGCGTGTCCTCCATGCGGGGGCTGAACATGCCCACCAACTGTTAGATCTCCTTCGCGATGCCAACGAGGCGGGCTTTCCCCTGGAGTCATCATTCTACTCTTACTGCATCGTCGTCGTTGGTGGAATACAGTCTCTTGCCTTCCACTACCAAGCCTCCCAGAATGATCCTCGGTCGTCAAATACCTTGGATTACTTCCACCAAAGCCTCAGCACACTTGAGCGACTAGCAGGGACATGGGGACACGCAACAAACATGGTATGTTTCCATCCTGCGGCTCTCCTCTTTCATCTTGCTAACCACCGTCCGTGTATCTTGGTAGACTGTTCGACTACGTGAATTCCACGCCCAGGCTCATGTACTCTCCTCACTCTTCGACCCCGCCTGCGTAACAGACGACCTCAACGCTGCGTCTGTGGCCGCCCTTTGGACAATGCTCGATTATGGCAAGGTTGGCTCCAGAGTTAGCGACAGTCCGAATTTCTCTGACTTGCTTCTCTTGAATATGCCATCGCCGTCGTCGTGGGTTCTTGGGTCCGATATCTTCCATACAACTCCACTGGGAGTGGAAGATACAGACCTGCGTGTGCTTGATGGGCTGGCGCCATCTACACACTTTAGTCGTAAAGTGGACACACTTTTGGATCCCTTACCTTCCCCCTCTTTTCCGACGGACGCCCGTCACGCGCCGTCGTTTTCGCCCCCACCATGCTGAGTCCCAATGTCCAACCGCGCAAAATACTGCGCGGCAAAGAATGCTTGCCACATCCAGTGCAGGAAATGGTAGCTCTTTTCCAGGCCGGGAGCGTCTGATGAGCGTAGATATAATATTTTGTCAAGAACATCATCAGACATCTCACGAAACTCACGCTAGCTATATGCTTGATTCAGATCATGTTGGCGAGAATCAGTAATGTGGTTCTGCATCCTCACTTAGTAGCGGTATGCCCCGTTTCCTTCTCCAATCGCCTGGGTGTTACAACCATCAACTCTCCCAAGACCACGATCTGACGCACAGCAGCCAATCAGTCACAAACAAATCAGATCAAAGGAAATGGGCGTGGTTGAAGGTCGGCTGGACCGTACTTCCGGGTGGCACCACCCTTGAGGCGATAAATTCGAAGCTATTCAGACTCCTATACGACATCGCCTTGAGTATCTATCCAAGAAGGTAGTCTAGGGCCTTCCTTATCCACCTGGCTATGTTCTATACTAGGCAGGTCCTCTATATCTCACTGTTGTGGTGGTTTTATTGCATCGTAAAGTTGGTGTTTTTTTTCTCGGCCAAATACTGCATTTTTTTTTACTATATTTTCTTTCGGAATGAAGGCTTCTGGTAGTATAGTATAGAAATATACTGATCTACACCATAGCCACACTAGAATAGTTACACGTAACGTAACCCACGTATGAGCTGCGCAGCCACATATACTTCTAAAAATGAAGCTATATAAAACACCGAAAAGTCTGTATTTATATAGAAAGTTTAAATAGCCTGACAATTAGCATATTGAGGAATTTTATAATCTCGAATACGGTATAATCGTTGTAAGAAAAGAATAGTATTGTTGTGTTTAGTACTAGTCCACTAGAGATATATATAAGTCTATATACTAAACTAAATACAATGGAACAGACACTATAGTACAGCCTAGATCTTGTAACAAACAGGTGGCGTTGAGCTGTACGCTGTCCGTTCTAACTTTTACAGAAGGGTGGGGCTCCGGCCTTATGTTATTCCTGCGCCTTGCTTGACAGGACCGCTGTTTCGATGACTGGAATCTCCGCCCAGAATATCCAGCAGTATCTCTATCGCTTCAGTCAGACAATTGACCTAGCCAATCTCAGTATCCTTAACACTGTACAGAATATTTACTTCCACTCGGTGTTTGTATATCTCAGATACTGGAGGGAACCCAAGACGTGAGGTATAGCATACTTGTCAATGCAACATACTATGCAGCATGCTCTCACGGAATCGCACACTTACAGGCTGCGGAACCTGCCGCCATCGCCATGTAAAGTGTGACGAAGCGACTCCTGTTTGCGAAAACTGCCAACAGCAAGGCCTGGCATGTCTCGGCTACGAGCGTCAGCTAGTCTGGGCGAGTCATGATGGAGACCGAGTATTTCGCCGCCCCCTATTTTCCAGTAGATCACCTTTCAGGCCTATACAACGAAAAAAGCGTACTTGCTAACCAGTGTCGCAGAGGCCAACCAACTGAGGATGACACAACTGATGACAGAAAGTCTTGGAAAGCAGTCCGCAAGTGCTGCTTTGGCTCAGCTGGAAAATGAATACGAAAGCGGCGTACGCTTGGAAGGCGATTCATTTCGAGGCCCTTTCGGTGTTCTGGTGTTGTCGACCAACGCGTTTGCAGATAATAACCAAGCTGAGCCGCCGTCCGACGAACCGGATCGCAACCAGTTGGAATGGGATGTCTTCTGGCCCACTATTCCAGGTGACACTACCATATTTGATGGGCCGCATAATGTGCTCGGTGGCTCATGTGATCTTATTATACCGGACCCCTTTCTGGATATTGACACTGTGACGAGTGATGCTCAGTCTCTCCTTCGTCCTTTAATGGACCCGCATTCTGACGAGTTTACATACCAGTCCCCCTCTTCATCGCTGGGACCAGTCTTGCCATCCTTTGAGGTTTCTTCAGGGCGCCCAACCATACCTCCTGAGGCTGCCGATCTGCTGCGGTACTTTAAAGAGAATGTAATTTCGCTCTTATTTTCTTTGAGGAACTGCCGGCATTGCCCCTGGCAGACAGTCCATTTCCCAGGTGCAATGAGCGCATTCGCGGACCTGAGCATTCACCATACCACAAGCCACACTAGGCTGTCGCTGTTCTATTCGCTTCTTGCTGCCAGCTGCCTCCATAAGTATACACGCGATCATTCTGCTGGTGACCTGCACATATCAGCAAAGCGGTTTAAGGAAACCGCCAAGCAACATCTCGAATTGGCCCTGCACCAGGAGGTTGTAGGATCTAAGCAGGCCAAGTACAAGGAGATATTGATGGCGGTTCTAAGCATGGTCATGCTCTCGGTACGTGCTTATCAGGAAGCTGATCGCATCTCACGTAACTAACACAGATCATAGGTATTCAACGGCGAAAATACTAGCGCCCAAGCTTTCCTAATTGATGCCGAATATATTATTCGCATACGTGGCCTCCCTAAACCACATAAGTCCCTCAAGGTCCGATCCTTGCACCACGTCTATACATTCCTGCGCATCATGGCCGAGAGCACATGTGGATGTGCCTTACTGGACATTTGTCCCGACCGTCCCAGCGCCAGCTTACTCTCCATCGAGCCATCACCAAATTCTCTACGGAGTTTCCGCGTGGCCGACGACATCCTAGGTGCTGAGCTCGACATAATGTTAGTAAAAGGGAACCTCATCGGCCACAATGACATTCATCTAGAGGTAATGGGGCAGTGGAATGACACGCTCTTCCCAGACATGTACGGAATACCGGAGTCTCTCATGAACCTTCTATCGCAGGTTATTCGCCTAGCGAATGAGCAAGAGCTACTTCATCGCGGCGGCCCGACCGTGGACGCGCGTACCAGAAAAGAGTTAAAGCGGCGCGCGAGCATGCTCGAGCAGTACATTCTCTCATGGAAGCAGTCTCCTGAATCGAAGCCAATCAATCCCACAGCGATGAAAAACGGTCAGGATACGGCCATTCGCCAGAACCTGACAGCAAACCATTTCATGATTCAAGCCATGCATCAAGCCATTATCTTGTTCTACTACCGTCGCGTCCCCAACATCAGCGCTGTAATCCTACAAGATACTGTCCGCAACTGTCTGGAGTTTCTGAAACGCTACGACAAAACCCGCATCGAAGATAGTGAGAGTGCGCCGCCTGATACGCCCGATACAGCAATCCTCTGGCCTGGCTTCGTTGCAGCCTGCGAGGCATTAGATCCCGAATTGCAGAGCAGCCTGCTAGACTGGCTTATCATGACAGGCCATCGAACCTCATTGGGCCCGTTTTCTGCCGCCGCAGGGACTGCGCAGTGCGTCTGGAAGACACGGTCAGAGACCCAGGATTACACCTTGAGTTGGTTTGATGTTATGAAGCATGAACGATGTCCAATTATTGCGACGTGACGCTTGAACTTCAATTATAGACCAATTACCTGATAATATACTGGGTGTTAGGCTCCCAGAGAACGGCTCCCTGTGCGGTCAATTTATCTGCAATCTCCGCGTCGATGTCCTAAACATATGTGCTCTTCGTGAAGCCGTTTTGAAAAGCAAATGCGGCTACCCGCCTTGAACTCTCCCCGAACGGCTGCAATAAGATATCAGCAAATGTGACCAAACGAAGGGGAACTAAAACACCAACCATCTTTCCGTTTTCCGCAAAGTAAATGCCGTTCTCCCTCCACAACAAAGGATTCCCGCCTTGACGGACCTCCGTTTCCGGAGCCAACCTCATAATCAAGGTTGACAAATCCGCAATGTGAATATTACTCCAACAGCTCAGACCCTTCCCAACCTGAACTCCATGGCCGAGCTGAGAGGTCGCCTTCGCCAGCTCAGGTAGCTGGATGCTGCGCTGATTGACTGGACCGCGGCCCAGGCCATAGATCAATGGCCCATAAAGAATCGCTGTTCGGAGATTAGGCTGTTCCGAGGAGGAATTTAGGAGCATCTGGTCGACGGCGCGCTTGGGTGATGAAGAGATGATGATTCGGATTCCGCTGATGCCCTGCAGGTCGTTGTGATTTGGGGCCCGTGCTTGGCCATCGGAACTTGTTGCGACTTCCGCGCCAGAGAGGAGGTTTGCGCCCGAGATTTGGATCCGAACTGCGATGCAAAGCTTTTGGGGTGGCGTTCATAAGGGACTTCAGAGGAAAATACGTAGATCTATGAATACCTAGACTTTGGCGCTTCGTCTCTGTCAAGCCCTGCGCAATGGCAGTAGCACTGGGGAGATGGTTCGAGCTCGCTAGATCTTTCGGGCAGCAGTTATCGGTTAGATAACATATATCTAGTACTCAGGAGAATGGATAGATTCTTTCTGCTTATACGTACAAAGTCCAACATCAGCCTCCGAAGCCTCCGAAGCCTCACTCGCAATTTCCGCCGCGGAATCAACGTTTCTAATGACCGGGGTCACCGATGGAAATCTGCCCGTGATAAGGGATGCCTTCTTCTTGCTGCGCACGAGGGCCGTGATCTTGCACGAGCGAAATGCCTGTGTAAGGGCACCCAGGACGTCGCCGCTAATGTCGCCTGTTGCTCCTGTTCTGTAGATGGGTTAGTGTCGGGTCACCAAATTGTGGTGTGGTGTGGATATACATCACTATGCGGCACATTTTGGGTAGACTGGTGAGGTAGCAATATAAGGGAGTAGTATGAATTATCCGCAAATCTATGGGTGGAGCCAAGTACCACTTTGGGAAACCCTGCCTAATGAGTGCGAGACCCACATGTGGCTTGTCAAACCGGCAGCTTATCGCGATGAAGGGAAGGAAGTACGCCCAGGACCCGAAATCTCAAAATTGACGGAACACAGTACTGTTATTTATGTCTCTTGGCGGGGTTTAGGTTGGGGGGCCACACCCAACCCGCGATTTGGCGCGGTCTAGCTGTCCTCGGAAGTCGTACAATATGTCCGTAACAGCGTGTCTCTGAGTCTGTCCGACATATTTGGATCAATTGTTCAAGCTGGCCTTAATCCAAAAAAATAAAATAGGTATAATGTATTACGGACACTACGAACTATCTACTTGTGGCCTAGCCTAGCCTACATCGATGGTGTAGTGGGCGGCTAACAATGCCAAGATGTCTCGAAGCTACTATAGAGATATAGAGGCTCGCATGGTTTGGTCACATCCTCAAAGCCCCTGCCTGGGAGTCTTTGGTTTATGCCTACGTACGAGACGAAGTCAATGGTCGAATAGGGAAATCTATCCGGTAAGGCTATCGCGATTCCACCCGATTGCAGTACTAATTCGACAGGAATTTGGACCCGCTCAATGGCCATAGCATTTACTGCAACCAGTATTGTGAAAGTCCAGCTACGAAAGTGAATGTTTACTGCTTGGTGGAGCCTCTGTGAAGATAATCAAGACTTGTAAAGATCTACCCGAAAGGCGGATATGGCAACTTATGACGACATGAGGAAGGTAGAGAAATGTTTTGTGGGCCACCAAGTATTCCGAGTAAATACATTTAGGTATCTTATAACGATAGCAGTGACGGCGAAGACTGTATATAAACCCTTGACCACCTCGAGCATCCAATACCAAATATTGAATCTTCATCGACCATTTACGTTTGCTCTCAGCCACAATGTTTACCAGCAAAGTTCCGACCCGCCAGCACTACGACGTCGTTATCGTCGGCGGTGCCACCAGTGGCTCCTCGATTGCATGGCATCTAGCTACAAATCCAGACTTCAAGGGCTCCGTGCTCGTGGTCGAACGAGACCCTTCCCTGGAGTATTCCGCTACCAAAGCTAGCAACAACTGCATGCGCCAACAATTCGCAACCGCCATCAATGTCCAGATTGCGCAATATGCAGCCGATTTCGTTAAGCGCTTTGGCACCGAGTTTCCTCCAGACCCCCGCGACGTACCCTTTACCCCTTCCATTCGCAACTTTGGATACCTCTATTTATCCGATTCATCCAAGTTTACGGGAGTGTTGAAGAAGGACCAGGAGCTGCAGGCGAGCTTGGGAGCCGGCACTCGAATTATTTCAAGGGCTGATGTCCAGCAAAAGTACCCATTCTTCTACACCGACGACCTTGACAGTGCGAGTCTGAATGTTGTCGATGAAGGTGCCTTTAATGCCTGGGGTATGGTGCAGTGGCTGCGTAGCACTGCCCAGGCACACGGCGTGGAGTACATCGCGAATGAAGTCATCGGGGCAGAATTAGAGGAAACGGGCGATAGGGTGCGAAGCATCAAACTACGCACCGGGGAGCAGATCGTCGTCGGCACCCTGGTTAATGCTGCAGGGACTCGTGCTGCTACGGTCTCTAAAATGGCGGGTATTGCCGGTTTGCCCATTGAGGCTAGACGACGCTACACGTACATCTTCTCTGTGGATGAGAGCCTGACCCAGGATCTCCCTCTAACCATTGACCCGTCAGGTGTCCATGTCCGTTCCTACGGCGCAAAAGACTACCTCGTTGGTTGCCCCCCCATCGAGTCAGACACTGCGGTGGATGTGGACGATTTCAGCTTTGCAGAGAATGTATGGGAGGAGAAGATATTTCCGGTTATTACACGCAGGGTTCCACAATTTGCCAGCGCACGCGTGACGGATTCTTGGGTGGGTCATTATGAGTTTAATACGTTCGACCATAATGCTATTGTTGGGCCACACAGCAAGGTCAGCAATTTCCTTTTCTGTGTGGGCTTTTCTGGCCATGGGAGCCAACAGGCTCCGGCTTGCGGACGTGGTGTTGCTGAGTTAATTGTGTACGGGCGCTTCCAGACCCTTGACCTCAGTGTGCTTTCCTATCAGCGGCTGATCGAAAATCAGCCTCTGACGGAGCGAGCAGTTATATAGAGCAGGAGCCCACTACTTACTATTTGTCTATATGTGCCTACCTCAACCTGACAATTTTTGACGGTCGCCTGCATCCAAGCCTTTCGGTCTAGACTTACATCCAATGCCCGTAGGATCTCCATAACATCAAAGTGTAAGATACGTTGGTTGTGACGCTTACAGGAATGAGAATGAGTTCCTTCCCATGGGCCCCAGTGGACGTAGGTCGTTGTCATCTAGATGCTCAATCATGTATGGGTGTCCAAGTTATGGCTGGAAGAAGCAACAGGTGATCCCGAGCCTGAGTATCTTCCCTGTCTCGCCCAATCCGAGGATAAGCCATTACAGAAATCAGAAGGTCGACCGCCTGACCCTTTCCATGTCGACCACTGAGAGCGATCTAACAACCGAAGCAGCAAGGTGCTCCTGGTTAACATAGCGTAGTTTGAAGCTGTTTGTGTCCGAGAACCATCCCCCTTACCTTCGGCAATGCATGCCTCATCGATAGTCGACCTTTCATACGAGGCAGTGTGATCCGTTGATCGGATTCAGCGATGTTTCCCGACGCCGAACGCCTCCTCAAAGAGAGGTTGCGTCACGCATAGGCTTCTTCACGGCCCATCCCGGCCCAGGCCCACGGTGGGTTGGGCTTTAGGCCCGAGTGATGAATTGAAAGAAAATTCGAACAGGCTTGGTCTATATACTCGCAATGAAGATCCTCCAGCCGGAGACGGCGACAGGCCTCCAAATACAGAGACTAGATTTAAGGACCAAATACTAGCGCATGTCGATATCACAGGACCTAACCCGGTCCAGGACAATCAGGGCACGGACGACGATTACTGGAACCATATGGCGAATATTAGACGGGCTATTCTTCTTCGACCAGTACTCCAGAGGCATGTGAGAATTGAAAAGAAGGAGCGGATCGAAGTCCAAGAAAGCGTTCTCAATGCACTACTGAAGACCAGGAAGTTCTATCATGGCTCCCGCTCTTTAGAAGCCGTACTTGCAATGAGTGCCGCGTCCAGATACAAAGAAACGGGAGATTGAGACAGGGAGATCTTCCCACTGGTCAACTCAGTTTGCACGTCAAGAAACAGGACTTCGACGGTGAATTGCATCCTGATAACGGCCAGGCGGGAGGACATGAAGGGGAAGGGGCAAGACCGCGCAGGTACACGGAGCAGTCAATGATGGAACTGCAAGTGGGTCTCGCCTTACCTACGAATCTGTGAAATTTGATTCTTCCCTCTTATTTACACCTTCGGTTGTTCTTCAATGTATTTGATATACTTTACTTGGCATACAGGCAAGGCTTTCTTTCCCTTTCATTTCTTAAGATACAGCCATGATTGGGCAGACCGCGGGTGTGTCTCTAGTATATAAAATAGATATAGCAAGAAGAATAGCAGTCTGGGGTCACACTGTGACAATCCACCAAGTTAGAATGGTGACCCAATCGCAATCTGGCTGCAGATATACATGTGTAATAACAATGTTCCAGCTATGAATCCTCACAGCCTTGGTCTGGGAGCCATTGTGAGTTGCCGATCCATATCGTCGTGAATTTCCCCGCATTCTCAGAGCCAAAGAGATAGAGTCGCAATCCTACCGCATACGACACAGGTCCGAGCTGGGCTGGCCAACCAGACGCAGCAGGCAACCGACAACACGAATATCCACGTAGGTGCCCGATGTTTGTGGCTGCCTGGTAACTTGGAACAGTTGTTGAAGAGAAAGAAGATCCCCGATTTTGGTGGATTTCGTCCTGCATGCGCGGCCAATACGACGCAGCTCCTTTCCGCTTTAATAGCCTCCTGCAGACAGGCCGTCGGACCGTAGCCTACATTTTAATATAGTGCGGGGGCCGTTGCGTCGAACCCCGGTTTCTGTGCGAATTAGATCCCCTGTCTGAGATGACGATCCTTCTTTTCAGCTCCCACCGATCTTCACGACCCCGAAGAGCAGATTGGACGACCTGGCTCAAATGACAAATGTAATGTATGTGTTGTCCATGGAACCCAGGCCCACCACATAATTGCATTGGCTACGTGTCCGTGCGCATGCCGGGTTGGAGGGCCGACCTCAGTGCCAGGATCATTCAAAGGCCTGGAGCAAGGTGGTAGAAGTAAAGGAATATATAACAGGCAGCAAATCCCACTGGGAGCTTCCGTTGACAGAACTCCCCAGGTGTGGCAATCGCTGTATCGGGAAAGTGAAACTACACGTCCCTAGACAACCCACTACGCGTACACTGAAGCAAAAAATTTTGAAATGGCAAAAGAAAAGGTCGAGCAAGTGCTCGACACCTTGGCGGGACTGAGTGAGTTTAGCAGCTCACCTTATCTAGACGCCCTCAAGTCGCACCTCTCCCTGAATGACAGTGGAATGTTCAGTGACTCTCCAAACACAATTTACGCCGAGGCTCCTGGTGGAGATGATCGCGTGCTGCAGTTGTTCAAGGTCCAAACTATCGTTCTCGGCTTGTCACGGTCGTCCGGATGTAGTTTCGATCACACGGTCAATGCGGTATGTTTCTCGATGCACCATCAAGAGTGATGTGGCCTCTCTTCAGCATGCTGACCGTGTGGAATGGAAATACACAGGGCGGAATCGAATCTAAAATAGAGGCCACCGCATCCTCAATCGCTCACACCATGTATAGAGACTACCTGGAGAACGCCGTTGCCGCATCAGGGCACGAGAAGCCGAGTCTGCTTGCACTAGAAAAGGACAGAGAATTCTGCGTGGCATTCGCGGACTACGTCCTGGATCCCGACTTCATCAAGCGCACCCTCATCTACCGGTTCCTTTCCTCATCTAGTGCTTACCCTCAGGCCATTGCCTACATATATGAACGAGTTCGTGCCACTCTAGCCAAAACTGAAAAGCACATGAACACGAGCAGGTTCTCCGCACGGGACCACTGGCAGCCACATGCGGTGACGCATGAGGGACTCATCGACGCGCGCAAGGTCGATGATTTCTTGCAGGTGTCACTCCCGGTGCAATGGTCGTCAGAAGATGGCCTGCAAGGACCGTCATTCCCACTTCTTGGTCAGAGGATCTCTGTTCAGTGGTGCAGCCGCCAGGACTGGAGGGATCTGGTCAATGGCCAAATCAACATTTGTTACCAGGAGCCTTCAAGGACGACGCCAGTAGGAACTGGCACTCACCCACCAATTCCAATCATTGGGGCCAAGACTTACGGGAAACAGTTGCAGGAGTGGATTCGGGGGAAACGTGGGGAATATCGGGATTTGTTTACTGGTCTTGAGCCGAATAATTATACCCCTGCAAGAGACGCAGCTTCCCAGATGCTTTTCGGCTGCTTTGTGGCGGGCACACAGGTCCGAACGATCGTGGGAGATGTCAATATCGAGTCTCTCCAGAGGGGAGCCAAAGTTCTTACCAAGGCCCCAGGTGAATACGGTAAGCTAATTTGGTTGAAATGGACCTCGTCTCAGCCCGATTAACGCCAATGATGTAGGCACGCTGTCCGATGAGAGAGTCGAGAACCACACCGCGGAAGATGGAGATCCTGTATATGTCTTCGGTTTCAACGGAGAGAAGCCCTTTGTCACCGCAGGCCACATCTTCTTTACGACAGCTGGTCCCAAGGCCATCAGCCCAGCAATTGCCCGGGAAGAGAACCCAAACGTCATAGTCTCCCAGCTGCGTGTCGGAGACGAGCTGTATCGACTGGACGAGGCAAGTGCAGGGACCAAGTACGCGAAGGTTCGCATCACATCGTTCACGGTCGACCAGACCCCAGATAATGTCGTGTACGGGCTACACTTTCACCAGGGTAGCCACGGGGGAGCTCGCTATCATGCAAATGGGTACCTGGTGGCGGCCAACTATCCCGAAATCACCCTGAAACGATTCCAGGATCGATTTGCCAACCTCCCCATCCGGGAGCAGAAGACCAGTATTGCAGCAGTGAGTCTTACCTATCTATTGTCCCCTAGGCATGAGATCTGACTGCTGAGACCCGCAGATTCAATCAATGCCCAATTCACTATCGGGGGTGTTCGGTTCGGTGTTCACCTCATTCAAAAACAGCTTTACCCCTGACCGGGTCCCACAACCGGGGGATCTGCAGGCCATCCACGAGCATTCGCAGAAAAGGATGCAGCGCAATCGAATGTCCGTCCACTCGGTAGTGATGGCATTCGCGCTACAGCCGGTCGCGGGGGGTGTAGCAGAAAGGTTGCCTGAGGTCTGGCTGAAGGAGGGTGCGGTCATGGTGGATGCACAGCTTGTCCACCGGGCGGAAGTCACCCATCAGCACGTCCACTGGAGCAGGGAGAAGGCACCTGGAGTATGGGAGCACGGGTCCCTCCAATTCTCATCCCATAGTCTCATGGCCACTGGTGCGGTGGCGATCGAGGAGGGAGGAAACCTCTCCAGCCCAGTTCCCGTTGTTGCTGCACCGGTACAGCTGTTATACTCCCCAAGCGGTACCAAGAAAACCTTTCCGGATCCAGAGAAAGCAGACGGATACAGTCCCTCACAGGACGAGGCCTGGCTTCCCTTCTGGGACGTCAAGATTGAGATGGTCCAGTCGAACGAGGGCCTTTTCCAGGCCAAAGCGAGTCTTCCACAGGTAGATCAGAAATACAAGGAGCCGATCTACGAAGCGAGGGTCACCTTGCACCCCGGAGAGCTGATAATCGACATCAGGATCTCTGACGGATTGGAAGATTCGTTAGCTGATGTTTTGGATGAATGGCCAAAGGGCACGGAAAAGCCGCAGCTGTTCAAGGGGCTGAAGCTAATCGTCAGTTTGGTCAGAGGTGTCGCCAGAGGTCATTACACTGAACTCGTCGAGGAGACTGGGGAAGACGGGGATATCCACGCACTTCATGCATCGGGCTCGGACAAACACCAACTGCTGATGGAAGAAGTCCCAAGGGCCATTGCCTCGTCCCCAATCGCCCACCTCGACTATGGCCTCAATGCCGACCTGTATTCCATATCCGCTAATATCCATACCCTCCCGTCACCAAAGGCAGCTCTCTTGACCACAGCGATGTCGGGGAAACCACTCTCAATTCCGGACCTACAGCTTATAGAAACTCCTACCGACTTCGACAACCATCGCGTCACTCAGAACTACGTGATGGCAGCCGCGGGATATTGGAGGGGCGAAAAGGAGAAGGAAGTTTTCGGTGATTCTAAAGGGGCAAATGAGGGCATCCTACCGATCTCCTTGAAGGACCAGTTGAATGACAGCAACCGAAAGTTCCTCAGCAATGTCTACACGCGAGCGCTCTTTCTATATAGCCTGAGCACCGACTCGCGATATGAAGGGAACTTCAACAGTGAGCAGAAGGAAAAGCTGCAGTATTTCTGGGAGGGGAAGGTATATCCCCCTAGCTTTACAATCAGATTTACATCCCAGGGGTATATATCATGCATGCTAATTACAGTGCGCAGGCCCAATCTTGTATCTCACGGAAGCCCGAGTTTAGTGCTGTTAACAGCCTGGCGGTTAAGGCGGCGTACTTGGACCAGGTGCCCCGGCTCAAGGACTACATCAATGACTCGGAGGATTGGGCGAAGAAGTACTACGAAGCGGTCAGCACCGATGAGTACCTCAGCCAAATGGCATTCGCGAAACTGTGAGTCTCCGGATGAGGGTTCTCCCTAACCCATGTGTACCAATCCAGACATTCTGACGCAGGTCGACGAAAATAGCACTGGGTACGACCTCGTCAACCGTGTTTGCATGCTCCTCAGCGTGCTCGATAAGCAAAACCGGGGTTACCCAGAGCAGCTCTGGAAGCTCATCCTGGACAAATCGATTCTGATCCTCTCCTACGAAGGCGCCCCGGTTGACCCGGACGGGTTCTCGAAGTTTGCCGTTGACTTCATGGAGCAACTGATCATCAAGATCAAAACGAAGGATCCCAGTATTAGTCAGGCTTTACTCGATGATCTCAGCCTCGATATTGAGACGCTACAAAAAACGTACAATACCAAAGTGGAGCGAGAAATAGCGAGTGAGCTATTTGGGAATCAGACTGAGCTTGGGCGGATGTTCATGGAGGTGGTACGGGAAGGAAAGGACTACCTCGGGAAGAAGAACTTGAAGCCATTCGCAAAGGTCGCCGAGAAAATCCGTGACAAGGCAGAAAAGTGGTTGAGCCCGGAAACAAGGGAAAAGTTTAAGAAAACATACGGTGTGTTGGTCAAGGTTGGAGCTATCATGTAGGTTGTGATGTGTTACTACCGTCCTCTACAACTTCATTGAGCACTACGGCCCAAAGGTCTGTGGCTAATAACCAGTCAGGACACAAGCATATCAGCTTGCAACCGCAATCAAATATCTGGCCGGTTGGGACCATCTCTCTGATATCGACCGAGCCAAGGCTACGCTGCAGGTGGTGGAATCCACCTTCCGCTTGATAGGCGACATGGCACCGATCATCAAGCAGTTGGGGGAAAACGCGTGGAACAGTTCGAAGGTCAGGAATCTTCTTGGGCGATGGAACCAGCGCGTGGGTGGTTCACAGGGCCGAGTCACTGTGCCAATCGACGGAGTGGACACCCCAGTGCTAAATCATGAGGGACTGGCAGCGGTCAATAGTCAGGCCGTTGAGCCTTCACTCGAAGCCCAGGTTGGGGAGGTCACCTCCGCCGCGCAGGCAGAGGAAAAGATGACCCGTTGGGCCAAGGCGTCCAAGGTAGGTTCCGTGATGCTCAAATCAGTCGTCGCGCTTAGCAACGTGGCCGTCGTGGTCGGGCTAGGATTCCAGATCAAAAAGGAGTGGGGGTACGAAAACGTCGGAGTAATCATCTTAGACATCATCAACTTGTCGACTGTCGCAGCGCAGGTCACAATCGAGGTTCTAGAGATTGGGTACGCCCTCATCGGCATCGAGAGCGTCGTCCTCCCTCTCATTGGTGCCGTCTTGGCGATCGTCGGGATTATCATCATGTTTATAGAGTATGAAAAGCGCCCAACTGCCCCTATAGTCATAGCCCGCAGGTACTGATGAGCTTCGCAGAATGGGCGTCGGACACACAGCTCCGCCGGACCCTACGGTGACCTATATCAACGACGTCACCCCAGACTTCGTCAAGGAACTTTCTCTGCGGCCCAAACCGATACTCAGCTACAAGGCCCCCAACACTGCTACCACCGCGGGCTCCTGGTCGCTGAAGCTCGAAATCAAAGACGAAAGCGGCAAGGACTTCCGAGTGGAAAGCTTCCACATCGAGGTCCCCGTGGGCAATGCGGAAAGTGACCTCTTTAGCCGCCCAGACACCAAAGATGCAAATGGCCCGAATAGCATCCAGTGCGTTGTGTCTGATACCAACCGATTCTCCGTCAAGGCGTCGGTCTCTCCGTCCTCTGAAAACCACATAATGCTTTTCCAGGTGAGCGCAATTGACAAGACTAAGCCTGTCGGTGAGCTATCAGTTACGTTCGCTGGCACGTTAAATGGACTCAAGGGCAAGGCCAATATTTCCGTCACCGAAGTTCCGCCGCAGGACAAGACGAAGCCGGATGATTCACGGACAGACCGAGTCAAGAATCTGGTAATTACAAAGCAGTGAGCGGTGGATCGCCATTACACCCGTTTCAATTTTGCTGTCGGGATACCAATGCCTTCAATGTGGGGACCTGGTCGTGCCGAGATGTCTTCCGTTTCTTACAGTATAAAATATCTCATTATATCTTAAAGTTAACGTGCAACCAATGAATGACGTGATCTCTGCCAGAAGAGGCGATCCTGGTGTTCTCCGAGGCACATCTATCAGTATACATACTGCTCTGTTTCAAGTTGGGCTAATTCCCACTAGATATATACCGGGAAGCCGAATAGTTGGTCCGATTGCAGTAAGCTGGTACGATAAAAGTTCTGGGAAGTTATACGTTACTTGACTCTGAACGGAAAAAGAACAAGATGTACTTGGCCCTAATAAATGTGTCAGGGAGTGGAACAGGGTTGACGGCAGGGCGAGTTTTCCCTAAGGCTTGGACCTTAATGGTTGTGGCTAGATGATGGGAACGAGCTTCAGGTTCCACATGGGAAAGAGCCGGGACTCTCTAATCTGTCCCAGACTCCCAGTTGATACTTCATAGGCTGGGATTGGCTCACCCAGCCTGCATGGCGGGCGGGAGGTCCCAACTCTGTAGTCCAAGATCTTGAATCCCACCCAAACCCAACTCTAAATGCCATTACCCATACCTCTGAGAGTGCCCTATGCTCGATTTCACAATTCTGGCTGACATGAAGACGAACTTGTACGTCGCTGGTAGTCGTATTTTCTAGGCGTGGTCGCTTCTGGGAGAGGGACTAGTTCAATCGTCGGTCTAGTGTCGCTTTGAAGCAACCGCCTGGTGGACTGCAAGGGCACGAGGTTGGGATAGAAATGCCGGCCTGCTAGAGTTGGTTCCTTAAGCTGACAGGTGTAGACAATGCCAGTGAGCAAGAAGATGACGAGTACGAGGGTAAATACCGCGTTGAGGAAGGAGAAGAGGGCCACGATGCCTGTCATGAGATCCGGCTGATCAAAGATATTAGTAAAGACCACGCAGAAGATGACATTGACAAGATTGATGGCAGCAGCAGTGGTGGCGAATACATTGGCCTTTTTCCCCATATATGGCCGGACAGTTGCGGTACCAATCAGAAGTCCAGCCTCCAAAATAAGAAGAACTATAACCTGCGCTATAGGGTTCTGTTGGGCGACCTCGATAGTCATCCCTTTCAAGACTGTGTAGAGTAGTAGCGGGATGATGAAGTAGAATGCATGGGCCCTGTAATGGGCATACAGATGGCCCCATTTGGCCAGGCAGGGTGAATCAAAATGAAGCGAGCACATCAGAGGTTCATTTGACCTTCTCGCTGTGCGTGAATGTTGGAGGACCCTAAACGTTGCATGACCAAGAATCACAGTCGTGGCGAGCCATAGCGTAATAGCGAGCAGGACTTCGGCCGCCGAGTCCTGCTGCCACAGTTCCCACATGGTAAAAACATATATTTGCGGGTAGCCAAGACACGCGATTTGGCAAAGACTGCCTCTAATAAAGTGCTGCCAGTCAGCCAGGGTAGCAAAGGAACAGCCGGACTTTGTGCACTGGGTCTTTTTCAGAACTACGGATAGACCGAGCTTGAGGGCGATGATAGCCCGGAGCATGACCATGGCGATAAAGCGAAAGACCAGATGTCCGGTCATAAAGATGTTGGTGGACTCAAGGCCTGCACGGTATCCCATGTGAATGATGCCATGGAGGAGGACTTCCGCTCCATCACCTGATGCTGGCACGCTTCTCCCTATCAGTGCTTCTTCGGAACGTTTGAGGAGGCCGATTGAAATAGTGCTAGCTTCGGAATATAAGGTTGAAGGTGTTCCTCCTGTTGACCGCTGGAACCAAGTCGTGATAGTATCCAAAAAGTCTGCATGTACTATGCTCATGGTCCATTGAAAATTCTGGATCCAATTTTGTATCATTGGCTTGAACTCCATCGCATTGAGGCCCACCATGGCTTGACCTTGCATGAAGTTCAGCAGGAGAGACGTGCGGAATGAAATCTGGTTTGAGATGCTGAGATAGCTGAGAGCCGAGGGCATTATGCTCCCAAAGAGGCCGAGTCCGATGATAACGGCAAGTGTCCAGCCAACCGCGGCTAGGTAGACTGTACTACTCTTGATCACACAGGCCTCAATACAAGTGACACTTCGATTTGTCGAGTTAGATATCATGTTGACTCGAACAACGGCATCCAGATCAGGAATAGTGTAGGCAATAACTATTAAAAGGACTGTTGTCAATGGATATATATAACCAGGGAGCAAAATACTAAGTAGAAGTTCACTGATCAATCCGAAGGAGTTCAAACTTATCGGGAATTTCTGAAATAATATCACCTGACAAAGTCAAACTTGCATACGGCACGGTCAGGTTTTGCGGTATCATGGGACCGAATCCGGACAAATCATAGTCGCATAGATCTAGCCGCATGGTCAGGAAGCTGTACCCATAGGCCAGCACGTCCACATCCAACATGGCCATCCCCGAGAAGGTGATCTCGCCGTCATACTCGACCATAAGACTGTTGTTCTCGGGTGTCAACGCCATCCTAAACAAGTTGGTGTTGATAACACTATTATCAGAGCATGGAATGAGGGCAGTGGACTCGAGTATTTGGAGAGCGCTTATGAATTGAGCAGTGTAAAGAATACCAAGAATGCCTCTGCTTAGGCATATCAGGAACCGCATCTTTCAGTGGGAAATAAGTGGCAGCTAGAGTGCTGGCCGTGGTAAATCACTGGTAACATCGGGTGCTTCTAGCAAAAGTAAAGGAGAAAAGCCTATGACCGCCGAGTGAAGATTCGCTGGACAAGCAAGGCGGCAGATTGATTCTTGCGGTAGCCAGATAATGAGGGAGATATATAGGGATATAGGCAGCTTCGCTAGAAATACCCACATAGACCAATGTATCCAATTCCAGGGCCAGCTTCGACACTGCTACAATGAGACCGTGTTTTCGGAGGTACGGAGGTGAGAAGCCAAGATATACAGCATCCACAATGGAGAACCCATCACAAACTGAAGAGATCATGTTCCGCATTGTCCGATATTCTTTGCTGGTTACCTCCTAGCGACTCCTATATGGAACAGATCGTAGAGGCTATCGTATAGAATGTGATGGGAGAATTGTGGGGCGGAAGATCGGGTGGTGGCAGTTGGCAGAGGAAATCACCGACCAATAGCCGTCTCTTAGGTCAGCAGACCCACCACGCACTTCGGCGTGTTGGTCTGCCTCACCCAAACGATAATTCCCATTTAAATAATAAATTTAAAGCTATTCAGGCTCCTATATACCACTACTATACCTAATTCTTATTCTAATATCAAGATATAGATTATACAGGCCTGTACAATCACCCAAGGTTAAAAAAAGCCTAATATCTCTACGCTAGCGCGTTAATTTAATATTTTTTATTAACAACTCCAGACGCGTATTCATAGCCAAGTAAATCTTTCCTCACGTCCTATCTTAACTAAAACACTTAATAATTTATAAGAAAAGATACTAATTTATTAAATTTATTAACTTAATAATCTATATAATCTACCTACAGCCGGAATAATTAAATAGAGTATTAACTAAATACTATAGTAGAATATAATCAACAGGCAATCTCGTATAGTTAATAAAAATTAAATTTATCGCTTTATTAAATATCTTCCTAAGAAATTTAAACTTATTTAGCAAAAGTCGAAAAATAAAAAGTATCTTAATACAGAAAATATAAATATTCTCTAATATTAGTATAACTATTTAGAGGCCTTTATTAAGAATATATCTTTTAAAAATATATATAATTTCGATAAAACTAGCTTTTAACTTAAATAGAAAAAAATTTAAAAAGTTATAACTACTATATCTTTACGAGCTATAAAAGAAAATCTCTTTAAAAAAATAGGGAAATTAATCTCTATAATAAAATATATTACAGTAGATGGCTTTACTTTTTCTCTATACTTTATATTTAAAGGAATATATTATCTTAAGTGGTAATACAATATAAATATTCTAAAGAAATATTAAATATCTCTATTTTTAAAAGGCTATACTATAGATAAGATTAGTCTTAACTAAATTCAATACTTCTACTATTATATAAAATACTATATCTCTATAAAAAAAAAATTTAATTACTATTTTTCGATGGCCACAAGTCCTATCTTATCTATAAATTTCTTCAATTTTATAAACTACACTATATTATACTATATTGCTTTCCTTTTTATATAATATATCTTATACAATTTTTTAATAGACAACCTTTTCAAGTCTATAAATACTTTTATCGTAAGAGAAATAATAAACTTATTTAAAAAAATACTAAAATAAACAATAAAAATAATTTTTTAAAAAAGATCTATTCTATTTGTACAATAATCTTCAAATAATATATAATCCAGGATACTTTTAAAAAACGAAATCTATATCTTTTAAATTTAAAAAAGATAATAAAATCTCTATATAAAATTTTGGAAACTACTTTAAAACTTAAGATAATTATAATACTATTACTACCACTATTAAACTTATCGCTACTATCTATAATACAAGATCTTTGTTAAAATATTAATAAAGTATAGAGCTTTATTAATAATAGCCCGGAGCTTAATTAAAGCTTTATACAATATCTTAACTATATATTCCAAAGCTCGCTTAAAACTACTAAATTAACCGCTTAGCTTAAGAATAATCTATAGTAATATTTTTAATACTAGAAATCTTAAAATAAACAAAAATCATAGAAAAGAATTAAATACCACAGGCCACTAACTGTATATAATACAAAACACTGAATTGCGGATTGTACTAAAATAGAAAAACTACAGAATCTTAAACAGATTAAAAAGACAGAAGCTTTGGAATACGATAAGCCACCATAACTAACAAATACAGAGAATCTACCTAGTATAGAAGCTGGCCAAATAGATAGAAAAAACCCTAGATTACCTTATTAGATAGATACTCAAAGCAATATTATATAGGAGCTTGAATAGCTTCAAATTTATTGTTTAAATAGGAATTATCGTTTGGGTGAGGCAGACCAACACGCCGAAGTGCGTGGTGGGTCTGCTGACCTAAGAGACGGCTACCACCAGGAAGGGGTTTGCGTGGTTTGCAGAGAACAGCGCGCCCAATAACACCCGACGGTCGGAGCCTGGACGAGAACTCCGACCAACTCCGCGTGGGCACGGGGGTGGGTCCAGTGACCTTGGAGCCGAGACTGCTGCACCTGTCATGTTGTTTCTGTTGCACGATCTTCATCGATCTATATCGGCAATCTGCTCTTACTGGTGGTATCTACAAGGTTAAAAGTACCAGGGCAATTCCAGAGACGCCATTCCAGGAGACAGGAACGAATTGACTTTATTTTCCAGATAATCATGTACACAGGTCAAGATCGCAAGGATGCCAAAACATCACCCACAGACGCCTCTGCATCCTCCATCACCTTCGCCAACATCTTCTCAATCACTTGGGCCTCATTTTGTACTTGTTCCTTCGCATAGATACGCTTGTCAAAGGCAAACTTGAGCTTATACTCATTCATATCGGCGGTTTTGACAACCTCAAATACTACCGCGTATGGCTGCGGCATTGTCACCTGCGACTTGGCCATAACAATCCATTTCTGGTACTGCTTCTCGGTCGCGATGACTGGTTCAAATGGCTGGAAGAGGAAGAGGGTCTTGTTTGAGAACCCTTCGCGTGTAGTCTCACAGGCTTCGTGAATCTCGTCCATGCCCACTGTGCTATTCTCGGTGTACTGCCAGAATTCATCCTGGGTCTGACGAAGGAATTCGGACACGGGCATTGACGCATCAACTGCCGACCGCATGGGAAGGAAGTTCGCACACGTCCCGTTGATGGTTTGAGGGTCAGCGAGATCAATGTTGCGACCTGTGTAGAGGTAATCGAAGGCCACGTCGCGTTGGTTGCTGCGCAGCGCCAGCCAGAGCTGGAAGATAGACTGGAAGATGATGGAGACAGTGGCACCGGTAGCCTTGGCGAATGTATCAAATTCAAGCTTGATGGTATGTACATGGACGGAGTTGATGCGTGGCTCGTTAGCACTGCTGCTGGGAAACTCGAAGGCAATGGGGCGTTTCGTGGATTCCTTCCAGAACGATAGCGTGCGAGACTTGTCCATCTGCCAAATGTGGAATGCAAATTCTTTGAATGAAGTGAAGCGTTCCAACACAGCATCACGCTGATAAGCCTCAAAGTGCTCACCAAAGATGCGGAGAAGCGTTCCGTCGTATAGGCCATGATCAAGCTTCGTGACGATTTCGGTCTCACCCGTCGATAGATGCAGAATGGCGTAGCGAATGAAGGGCTGGCCAAACACAAAGCGGTGATGGTCAAGAGATTGAATGATTTGGTTTCTCTGCTCCACGTCGCTGACATTTTCATAGATTTCGACCACGGGGGTTGCATCGCGGAGCACGACACCATACCACTTTCCGTGACAGCGAGTAAAGGTTGTGCGCAGAATGTCATTGGTCGTTGTCAGCTGCTGAGCCAGATCAACCCACTGTATTGAGTCAAAGTTGGTACCGACCTTTCGGACTGCCATCAGACTCCACAACGCCTCAGGATGTGCACCTTGGGTCAGGAACTCGGCCTGTCCTGGTGGGCAAGGATAGATGTACTCATATTCAGTCGGCTGCAGACCAGTAGCAGATATGGCAGCATCAACATCCGATGGAGAAACGAAAGTCTGCTGTTTGATTTGCTGTACATCATCCGACTCGCCTTTCAGTTGGTCGGCCATGGCCTCAAGAGCAGGGTATTTGAGCACATCTCGCACAGAGATCTTGAGCTGCTTGCGCCTGAGGTAGCTAACGAGATTGATGGCGGCAATGGAATCTCCACCGAGGCTAAGGAAGTCGGCTTCCAAACCAAATTGGTCATCAGAAAGCTGCAGGGTATCGATCCATGCTTGTTGCAGTAGCTTTTGTGTCTCAGATACTAGAGGGATAATGGCACCCTTTGACTGCGAATTGCCGACCTTGTCAAAGGAGAATTTGGTCAGTTCACCCTGGCTCAGCGACTGCAGCATCGCCTTGAGCTGCTTGCGGTTGGCCTTGCCGGAGGGCAGTCTTGGTAGCGACGATAGAGGGAGAATTGCTTTTGGAATCATGTATGGAGTCAGCCCAGTGAGCTTAGCTCGGACGCGTTGCACATTCTCAACATAGCCTTCCAGGGGAAGGATCTCGCCCGGTTTCTCAGCCACTGCACCATCGAAAACGGTAATCGCGACAAGATGAGCGGTGCTGTTCTGCTTCCAGACGGCCAACACACAGTCCTTGACTTCGCCGGTTCTTAAGAATGCCTGTTCAATCTCCCCCAGCTCGATTCGATGTCCGTTAATTTTGACCTGGTCGTCCTTGCGCCCCAGACACTCAATATCCCCATCGGGAAGATACCTGGCCAAGTCACCGCTTCGGTATAAGCATTGCCCGTTGAGCATTTCACTCTCAATAAAGGCGGCACTGGTAATATCAGGTTTCTTGAAATACCCTTGCGCAAGCTGGGGTCCAAAGAAGCAGAGCTCTCCGACAGCACCATAAGGGAGTGGGCGAACTCCATCTGCTTCCAGGATGATGGAACCCACAGACGCGAGGGGCTTGCCAATATTACCTCCGATTGTGTCCATATCGACGTCCTTCATGGTCACCAAGACGGAGGCCTCAGTGGGCCCATACCCATTGCGAAGTTTCACGCGTGAAGCCCATGTTGTCACCACGTCCCGGGTCAGCTGCTCACCACCAACGGTCATGGATTCCAAGGTCGGGACATCGCTAGGATTCAGCAGACGAGCCACCGTAGGAGTCAGGAAAACATGGTTGACATTCATCTCGTTGATAACCTCGGCTAGGTCGTTCAACAGGCGGTCTGAGGGTGCAATGCACAGAGTCCCACCGCTGTGCAGTGCTACGAAAAAGTCATACAGCGAGACGTCAAAGACGTAGTTGGAGAACTGCAGCATCCTTGATTCCTGACCCTGTCGATGCTCAAATTCGATGATCGACTGCATGGCAGCTGCACAGGCACCATGTGTGACCATGACACCCTTTGGAAGACCGGTACTTCCTGAGGTATAGAGGAGGTAGGCAAGGGAATCCGGAGAGACAATGATTTGCTGTGGCTCGGGGCAATAGGCGCGAAGTCTGGCCTGATCCAAGAGGATGCAAGGAATGTCACTTTCCGAGGCAAAGTACGACTCAAATTCCTTCTCCGTGAGGACGAACTTGGCGCTGACGTCGCGAGCGATGTACGCGTTCCTTTCCAAAGGATTCTCAGGGCTCAAAGGCACATAAGCAGCGCCGAGCTTGAACAACGCGAGAATAGTCCTGATCATCAGTGGCGATTTCTCCAAGAGAAGAGGTACAATGTCACCCGACATAACCCCGCGCTCGGAAAGATAGTTCGCCATGCGATTTGCTTGAGTATTCAACTCATCGTATGTAAGGAACAGCTCGTTCTGGTAGTTGATCGCGACCCGATCAGAGTAGCGGCGGACCGTGCCTTCGAATTGGCCATGCAACGTGAGGTTCGCATCAGGCAAGTCGTTATGTGACTGAAGCATGAGTTGTAGCTCTGTCTCGCTTACCAGGTTTGTTGCCTTGACGGTCTGTCGAGGATTGGATGCAATGGCCTCCAACGCCATGCAAAACTGATCGAGGATAAATTCCAAACGACGCACGTCCATTGGCGAGGTGAGCGTAACGTCGAGACCTCCAACACCCTCCTCAACATTCAGTGTTGTGTACTCCGTTCTCCATACTGGCCGCGGGCCATGAAGCTGGAACACCTCCTTGGAAATATCATTATTAGTCGTCTCGCTGGCGAGGATATTAACCATGGTGTCAAAGAGACTAGTGTTCTGGCGCTCGGCAGCGGACAGGGCATTACGGACTCCAAACTGGGAGTGTTTGATGGCCTTCCAGAGACTGGTGTTGACAGACTGCACCAGCTGTTGAAGTGTCAGCTCCGGATCAATTGCGACGGCGTAGGGAATAACAGCCAGCGTGGGCCCATTCAGGGCCTCAACACCGGGAACAGGTAACTCGCGACCGGAAACAGCAGTTGCCATTGTGACGGACTTTGAAGCAATGTGGGATGAGAGAACTAGAGCCCAAGCTGCGTGGATGATTGCACTCAGAGGCGCACGCAAAGCTGATGATGCAGCCTTGACCTCCTGGCTAACAATGCGCCTAACCGAGGATGTTGTCTCCACAGGAGCATAATTGAGAATTGTTGGAACCGCCTCGCTGAGGTGTTCTCTCCAGAACTCCTGGGATGGCTTCGTGTCTCGTGCGTGCAGAAGCGCAACGAACGACTTCCACTCTGGGCGCTTCTCAGTACGACGGCCGTAGTACACACTAGCGACGTCATCGAAAAGGAACCTGTGTGACCAGAAGTCGAAAAGTACATGATGGACCGAGACGACGAGAATGCTTCCATCTAGGACAGCGACACGCATGAATGGCTCTCCTAGTGTGATGCCTCTTTGTTTGTCCTGCTCGAGATACTCTGCCAGACTCATGGAGACTTCCGACCACGGTAGGTTGAAGTCATTGCGGAAGACCTGAACGAAGCCCTTGGCTGCGGTCACGAAGGTTGATTTCAATAGTCCAGTGCGCCAGAAGATGACTTGGAATGCCAACTGAAGCCTTACAGGGTCGAGATGGCGAATGTCAAAGATGCGTTGGTAGAGATAGTCTTCGTTCCCCTGGAGCGTGCTGGCCAGGATGCCTTCTTGCAGCGCCGTGACAGGATAGGCATCAACAACGTGGCGGTCAGCAAGGAGGTTTCCCTTTAGCACTGGATCGGAGATGTATGCAAAAGCCTCGGACGGCTCATTGCTAACTCGAGTCAGCGTCGAGTCTACCTGGGCAGCATCAGCAGTTTCCTCGACTGTCTGTGCTTGAAGCATATCCGCCAACTCGACGTGAATCCCGCGTTGCTTTAGCTCTCGAATCGCGCGAATTGCATCAATGGAAGTTCCTCCCAATGCCACTAGGGAATCAGTGGGTATGATGGAGGATGCGGGCATATTCAGCACTCCCGCCCAAACCTGTGCAATCTCCGACGCGAGGTCGCTCAAGCGGGTCGCCGCACCACTTTCTGGTGAAGTGCCGTGGCCCAGCATCTGGCTAACCTCTGTGCGTTCAGCAAGTTGACGAATGGCCCGGAAATCCACTTTTCCGTTTTGGTTGACGGGCAATTCACTGCACGACAGCCAATAGCTAGGAACCATATACGGTGGGAAGGACTGGCGGGCATAGTTGCGCAGATCCTGCACGAGCCTACCCCAGTCCGACTCGGGCGAAGGGATAACAGCGGCCACAAGCGACATGCGGTCGTTGATGTAGCATCCCACACAGACCAAGCCGGCCACCTCCGTTACCGAGGCCAGTTTGGCAGCCACTTCCTCAGGCTCCACTCTCTGGCCATGGATTTTAACCTGACGATCAATACGACCCAGGATTTCAAAAGTTCCATCCGCACGCTTGGCGGCCAAATCGCCAGTGCGAAACATCATCGTGCCGGGCTCGCCCTCTGGTGCCTTGACAAAGGCAGCTTGGGTTTCTGTGTGACGTCGGTGGTAGCCATTGGCAATCTGAGGGCCATATAGGCAGAGCTCGCCCGGTTCGTTGACTGGGAGAGGCTTGAGGGTGCCAGGCTCCAGGACAATGGCTGTGGTGGTGTCGGTTGGGAGACCAGGGTTGCGGGGGTTATCACCTGTCTTCAGTTGACGGGAGAAGTTCAGTTGAGCACATTCGCTCAGCCCATATGACACCCGCAGGTGTACTTTGTTCGCCCAGGTGTCAACAAGGGCCTGGCTGAGGGGCTCGCCAACGGTGGTGATCTGCTGCAAGGAGTTGGGTGTCTCGTCTGGAGACAACAACGAGAGGGCGGAGGGGGTAATACCCAGCGCGTCGATCTGAAGGTTCGTCAATACTTCGGGCAAAGCAGTCGCGAGTCGATCCCTTCTGGCGAGGCAAAGACAGGCGCCCTTAGACAGGGTAGCAAGAATTGTTCTCTGAGCTGCGGAGAAGATGGGGTTGTAGAAGAGCAACCATCGGTTGCGACCATTGAGCTGGAATTGGTCGATGCCATGGGAGACGGCACGATGGCTAAGAAGGACGCCCTTGGGGATACCGGTTGAGCCTGAGGTATAGATCAGGTATGCCAGATCGGATGCGCCAATCGAAGGAAGGTCAAGTGGCACATGGGTCTGTTTACTCGACCGGATGCTCTCGATGGTGATGCTGTTATCAAACAGGGAGGCATACTTTTCGTGGACAACGACAGCCTCAGTGCCGCAATCCGTTGTAATGACGCGGTTCCGTTGCGCAGAACCTTCCGGGTCGAGAATGACATAGGCAGCTCCCGACCAGAGGATGGCCAACACGGTAGCCACAAACTCGACTGATAGGTCCATACACAGGGGGATTATACGACCTGAGCGGAATTGAGCCACTGCTGCAATGTGGGCGACGAGCTGCCAAAGTTGGCCATAACTGTAAGGTTGCTCTCGCTCGCATTGAACCGCAGGAGCATCAGGATTCGACTCAACTTGGTATCTGATATAATCGGTAACGAGGCAAGGAGGGGATGGAGGGGTGCGAAGAGGGAATGAGCGAGCTTTGGTCGATACAACCGGAGAGCCCTGTAGTTCAGGGCTTTCCACGACGTCTCGAAGAGCGACAGGAGCCATTTTGATGGCGTGGCAATCTCACCTGGGAGGAAAAAGGATTGTATGGATGATACCCTCTAGGGAGACTTCTTCATCTGGTCTTTTCTTGATTTCTATGATGTTTTGAAGGGTTGTACGAAGCTATTTATGTCTACTTTCCAAGAAAGCTCCATGAAAATCCCAATTCGAACTTCGTCAAACGCCATCTCCGGTAGTAACAGCATCTTCGGGGCCGAATCCAAAATTGATGCCTACAGCCAGCCTTCTTCCTGCTGACCGGTTCCTAGAATGCGGACAATTCCGTGTCTTCGCCCTTCGATCATGGAACTCGCCATTCCCTCCTCTGTGCGGCAATCAGCGCGAGGAGCGCAGGAGACTCCACCCTCGGCTAGAACTTGCCTTGCTAGTGATCAATTGTAAACGAGTACATGCACGTCGACTCCTCAATCACATTAAACACTAGATGTTTGGATCGACCCAGAACGTGGTGTCTGCGTATGCTGACAGGGGTTGTCGCTGTTCGGCATTCCACCGTCCCTGCCTAAAGCACGAGGGAGGAATACGAGAAACTCACAGGAGTTTCAGTTACATCTGAGCAGATCAATGGCATTGCATTGTTCATCCTCGTATAAAATTGCATACTTGTCGGATACCAAAATGCCTCCGAGAACCGACAGAGTGCCGATGACGATATCTCACAGGTACCATGCGACTCTTCAGGATCCCGATCCTTGATGGAGTGACTGACACATGGCCTACCAGGGAATAGTCATCACCTTCCATAATAACTCAGGCCTGGGAAGTTGCGAGCCGGAACGGAGTCATGAAAGTTCCAGGGTATATCCGGCCGCGGGTAAAGGGATAAAGTCAGCCTGCAGAAATTGCGCAAGGGGTGCATTGTCACGTTTCCACCCATGTGGCATAGTATAGTATTGCGCTTTGAGCCATCGTCTTACGTGCATGTGGTGGCTTGCAGTGTATCCTCGTATTCGATCTGCGGTGCCTGCAGACACGAATGCGCCACCAAGCGAACGTCTTGCAACCATGTGCAACGGGGTTTGGCCTCTGCCCATTGCCGTTCGCTAAACTAGAAACAGTAAGGATGATGCGAGATCAATACGATTTATGCAAGGTTAGGCCAAGCTCTCACTAAGACGGGATCTGAGCTCTTCGCAGAGGAGGAATATGCTTGGTTTCTCTTGGTGAAGAGGTGGCGCAACGCTAAAGCGGAGGATTCCGATCCTATTCCTGCTAGTGAGTCGGAAATCTTTTACGACTGTCTCCCCATTCCAGGCTTTGAGGACCATGGTTCTGACAGGATCTGTGCGTCGAAATTGGCTATAAATGGCCTTCTACAGCACTTGACATCGGCTAGCAACACCATCGACTTCTCTTTCACAGCCAATCAACTTCAAGGGCCAAGTTTTATCCTTTATTCACGTTACATCATCATGGCAGAATCTCTCGTCTTTGCACACGGTTCAACGGAACCCCTGAAAGAGATCCGTCTTCACTCGATTCCCACGCCTACGGACTGCGGCCCAAGCCAGGTGATCGTGGAGTTGCTGGCGGCCCCCATCAATCCTTTGGACTTTCTTGTGCTGCACGGCAAGTACCCCGTGAAGCCACAAAACAATGTTGCCCTCGCCAACGGCGAGCAACGGCCTATTCCCGGTTCAGATGGCGCGGCCCGTGTCGTCCAGACAGGGTCTGCAGTGAGCCAGGTGCGCATCGGGGATACGGTCATCATTCGGACCCACTGCCAAGGGTCCTGGCGAACGCACGCCGTGCTAGACGAGAACGACGTGCTGCGCATTCCCTCAATGGTGGATCCCCGACTCGCCTGCATCCTACGCATGGGCGTCGCACCTGCCTACTTCTTGCTGCGGGATTATGCCACCATCGAGCCCGGTGACTGGATCATTCAGAACGCGGCTACAGGCACGGTGACCCATTTCGTGAGTCAACTAGCGCAACTGCAGGGGGCCAACATCATCAGCGTGATTCGCGGTCGCGGCACAGAGGATGAGCTCGAGCGCACGAAACGGTCGCTGCGGTCGCATGGCGCATCTATTGTCTTGACCGTTGATGAGCTTAGAGCCACCGGCCCGGAGCTGCTTGCCGGCAAGCGGATTAATCTCGCCATCGACTTTGTGTCCGACGATGCACTGGCGCGGTCGATGGTATCTGTTCTGGCCCCTGGGGCTACGCTAGTCACTGCTGGCTTCCTGGGAGTAGCGCCGTCGGGCACAGATGGCAGCCTGCGACAGTTCTTGTGGCAGCGCAATATCACTCTCAAGGCATTTCGGTTGAGCGATTGCCTGGGCCGACGATCGTCATCCCAACAGACGGCGCTCATGGAATGGTTTTCGCGATTGTTCAAGGACGGAACGCTGAAGGCTCCGGCCCTGGAGTATGTTCGGTGGAAGCGCGGAGACGAGGGTCTGGAACGTAAGTTGCAGGAGGTGCTCGAGCGTCATGAGAGGGGGAATGTAGGCGAACAGAAGAAAATCTTCGTATTCGAGCAGTAGTCGGTGTGAAACATGTCCAATCGTTGAATTGTGGAAGCTAGATCAATGCACGTTATGCAAATATTCATAGCATATGGTTTTTTATTCGCAGCCTTCTTGTTGCACTAGCTGTCGAGCGGATTCTACTCCACTGTGAATCCATCGTCCATCAGAGGCAGCATACCCGCCCAGGAGAGTCGGCCTGCCTTGTTTGATCGGCGCGGAGGACCTCGCTCCCGTACCCGTTGCTAAGCCCTAACAAGCCTTTGCAGCAGGAGACCCACTTGTTTGGATTCCTAGCCCCATTTTTGATCCACTCCAGTCTTAATACGACGAAATATCGAGGTCCTCAGCGGTTTAATTTCCGATCCTCAGGGCCAGCGAGGGAGCTGATTCCCACCTTCATACACACCAACATGTGCGTGTGGCCTCTCAAGCGAGATAACCGCACGGCGCATCCATCACGGCCACTTGGTATGGGCCACGCCCCACAGAGAAACGATACAGGGCTGGACCGCTCCAGCACAGATCTTCCCCCGCCAGTCGATGTGTCGCACATTCCTGGTAAACTCGAGGATCAGCATACCCGATCAAGGCTGGTCGTGGCTGAGCCTTGGCGAGTAAGATCTGGATTCTGCAGTGTTTATCATTTCCGTCTCAGGATTATGTCAACGGTACAGTCACAGAAATGCACGGCCAACCCTATTGGGAAGATACCTGAAGGATTCTCCCTACGCGGTGTGTTGATGGGCTGGTCAAGGCACCTGTGCAGCCACCAGAGACCATGATTGAACGGCCCACGAGCGAAGGGTTGCGCAGGATGTTTACCCTGGCGGCCGGGTCGGGTGGCGCCGACTTGGCCGGATCTTGCTTGGGTTGCATCTAGGCTGATCTAGCGGGCCGAACACGAGTGAAGGCGTCGCCAAGGAGCCAATCTCACGCAGGGCTCTAGGGTAATACGAGCTGCATGCCTGCATCGAAATAAATAGAATATCTATAATAATACACGAGTATTATCGCATCATTCCGGAGTAGCGCCCATGCACCGGCAGATCGCACCATTGAATTATTAATCACCTCGGTCGGTGTATCTGCCGGGGCTCTTCGTTGCTGAAGCATATAGAGGGCTGCTAAGGTTGTCTCGTCGAAAAAAAAAATGAGTCGATGAAAATTCGGGTAGGCGTGCCATTCTCATACTCAGTTAATGATCAATTTCCCACCTCATCATGACTGTTACTCCGGACAATCATAGTGGAAGCTCGTCGTCTCCTCCCTCCACCCTCCCTGTTGAGGTCGAAAATGAGAAAGCCATCCCGGTGCAGGAGACACCGGCGCCTCCTCCGCCTCCCAATGGAGGGCTGGTGGCATGGCTCCAAGTGGTCGGAGCCTTTTTCCTCTTCTTCAACTCCTGGTAAGACATGGCCATATCCCTGGTTGATTTTCGTGCTCAATAACCGATCTTCTAGGGGCGTCGTGAACACCTTTGGCGTGTACCAGACCTACTATGAAACGGATCTGTTGCAGGGTCACTCTCCCTCGTCCATCTCCTGGATTGGCACGGTCCAGGGCTTTCTCTTGTTCCTGGTTGGAGTCGTTGCGGGTCCCGTGTTCGACAAGGGGTACCTCAAAACCATGATCGCCGTGGGCTCCTTTCTGGTCGTCTTCGGTCTGATGATGACCTCCCTGTCGACCAAGTACTACCAAATCTTTTTGGCCCATGGAATTGCGGTCGGCATCGGCTGTGCCTTTCTCTTCCTGCCGAGTATCGCCATTGTGGCCACTTACTTTACCACACGGCGGGCCGTGGCGACAGGCATCACGGCGTCCGGAGGTAGCATTGGTATGTCCTCGCCCTCCTCCCTCCCTGAACGTAACGTCCTGACACAGGTACCAGGATCCGTGATATACCCCATCATCTTCCACAAGCTCCTCGGCCCCCTCGGCTTCGGCTGGACCACCCGTATCATCGGCTTCATCGCCCTCGGTGGGTTGTGCATCTCCCTCGCGGTGATGCGCTTGCGACTGCCCCCTCCCAAGCAAACCCGCTCCCTCCTGGACCTGTCGGCCTTCAAGGAAGCCCCCTTCCTGATCTTCAGCTTTGGTCTGTTCTGCGCCTTCGTCGGCCTCTATTTCCCGTTCTTCTACCTCCCCACCTACATGTCCCGCGTCGTCCACTCCACCGATGACCTGGCCTTCTACATCATCGCCATCCTCAACGCCACGTCCGTGTTCGGTCGTATTACCCCCGGGCTGGTAGCAGACCGGCTTGGCTCCCTCAACACCATCATCCCCATGGGTCTGGGTGCGGCGGTCCTCGCGTACGCCTGGATCGGCATCAAGAACCTTGCGGGAACGATCGTGTTTGCGTGTCTGTATGGGTTCTTCTCTGGGGCGATTGTCTCGTTGCCCCCGACGATTGTGGCGCGGTTGAGTCCGAATATGAATATTGTCGGCACCAGAATGGGGATGTGCTTTACGTTTGCAGGATTGGGACTGTTGATTGGCAATCCCATTGCCGGGGCGCTGCTGGATGTGGAGAAGGGGGTGTTTTGGAAGGCCGAGCTCTTCAGCGCGGTTATGGTTACGGCGGGAGTGGCTGCTTTTGTCTGGTTGAGGCTTTTGAAGTGGACGGATGGTGAGAAAGGAAAGTATTAATTCGGGCGACGTTTTGGTGATGGTGATGGTGGACGGTTGGATTCGGTGGACGGTGGTCCAGGGTTGGTTAAAAGCTACTCTATTTTCCTCGTTAGTCAAATCACAAGTGCAGAAAAGGGAGTTTATATGATCTAGACTGGACACTTCTCGAAGTTGGCGCAGCTATTAGACTCATATGCATCCCATCATCTGTCTTTTATCGATTGCTCTATACCCTCGTACCTATAGGATGCACCCTGTATTTGCTATTTCTGTCTATTAATCGGTCTATATTTGGTATTTTATGTACACTCACAACTCTGACAATACATCTATCAACAATATATCCTCATCTATGCTCTTATATTTTACGTTGGGTACACGTTGACACTGAATGAATGCATATGAAGTTTTATGAAGTTCGCAGCTGGGACAGAAACTTCGGGCGTGCCCCACAACGGCTTGCCGCTTGTTGACATAGCAGTACTCCGGGAAGAAAGGGAAAGCAGGAGTCCTGTATAGTGAGTCTCTATCTATCTTAGAGTTCAGGAGGAAGCTATTTCAGCGCTCTTGGGAAACCGAGGGTGGTGGATAACGTGAGTTGGAAATCACGACTGGGCGAGTGCGTGGACGAAAGAGTTTATGTGAGTGGCGGGAGGCCTGGCAATTTAGCGGCCAAAAACAGCGTCACTTCCCGCCGTTCTTGGCAGCTCGTTCACGGACCACCATTATCTTGTTCATAGTGGGTAAACAGTACAAGGATAGACAATGAATGGAAAATATACAATCATATAGAATAGTAAAGGAAAATATCTACAACAGGTAGGATCAAATATAACAGAAAAAGCAGTAAGCATTTCAGATAACTACTCAAGCAATAAGGTGCATTACATATACCACAACCCGTGAAGATATATATCTTGGATACACAAGAATACAAAACCTCATATCTGGCAGATGAAACTCACACCACAGCCAACATCAGGCTACATAAGCTCACATCTATGGCGAACATGTCATATTCTCAGCGGTTATTCTCAAGGTCGTCAATCAAGTCGTTAGCAATTTCATACCCTGGGAGTTGTTGGCTTTCTCTGTCTGCCAAGACTGCAGGCGCTGGATCGCGAACAAGGGCTAGCGCGGTTAGTTTTAGACGGCTCTGACTGCCACCAAAGGCCGCAACTTCAATCCTTCTTTCACGAGTCTCGATGCGCTGCTGCTGAATGACAACGAGATGACAGATCTTCCCACCTTTCTCAATCGCTACATATGAAGGCCCTCCGTGGCCACTTCCTGAGAAGACCTAACAGAGCGACTTTTTTCCGCCGTGGTAGCCCCCAGGATGGACTCTTGGCGCCTCCTTTTTCTTCCAGCAGGTTCAAAATCAATGAGACCCAGGGCATCACAGATCCACAACATGATCTTGAAGCACTCAATCGGTTTACCTCAGGTCGTTGGCTGTGGAACGAGCGACAGCAACTTGCCTGTCGCTATGTTAAATTCGACCTTTCAACGCTTCTGCAACTAGCGGCCTCTGCAATCGGATCGAGATCATGCACCCAAGTGTTAATGATCTCGGAGGGCCAATATAACAAAGTCTTCTCGCTGACCATGGACGATGGACGCGTGGTTATTGCGAAACTTCCAAATCCCAATGCAGGCAGACCACATTTCACGACAGCTAGTGAGGTTGCAACCATGGACTTTGTATGGCCTGCTTTCTTTTGTACTGCGAATCGCGATCTCTTTTTGGCCGTCGGTACTAACCATACTAGTTGAGAAATGTTCTAAACCTTCCTGTTCCGAGAGTGTACGCATGGAGTTCTCGAGCATCAGAGAACCCCCTCGGAGCAGAGTATATCCTCATGGAGAAACAGGCCGGCGTGGCACTAACCGATGTATGGGACATCATCAAGGGAAAGCAGAAAGTCCAAATTCTGGACCAAGTTGTTGATATTGAAAGGCGCCTGGCAGCTACAAAATTCTCCAAGTTTGGGTCCTTGTACTATAAAGATGACCTTCCCGACAACTCAGATTCTCCGTCTCCCCTTTATTTTGATTCAGCAGGGAACGAAGTGCGAAGCAAAATGTTTGGCATGGGGCCGATTAACCACCGTTCTTTCTTTGACTTCGGGAGAGGCACGTTGAATATCGACCGTGGTCCATGTAAGTCCATCACCGACTCGTATAATATCATTATTCTGTGCTTATCCATGCACAACGTTTAGGGTCAACTGTTACACAAGTGATGACGGCTATTGCGCAGAGGGAAATTGCAACTGCAAAGGCAGGCCTCCGGTATCCCTTGATGCCCGAAGGTCTCTACTATGGACCCCGGCAATACCAGCCTAGCCTCTCCAAAAAGCTCTCCGCGTTGGAAAACTATCTTAAGGTGGCGCCTTGTGTCCTCCCAGAAAATAAAGCCACCCATGCCTCCGTTTGATGGCATGGCGATCTTCATTCGCAGAATATATTTGTCGACCCTGTTGACCCAAGCCGGATTGTGGGAATGATTGACTGGCAGTCTGTCAGTGCATGTCCGCTTTTTATGCAGGTTGGGCGCCCGGCGTTTCTCCACTACAACGGCCCGGTTCCTGAAGATTTAGGGAAGGTCCCGTTACCACCAAATTTTGACTCCATGGGTCCAGATGAACAGCGGAAGGCAAAGGCACTCCATAGAGCACAGACTCTGCACAATCTCTACGTGGTTCGGTGTCTTCAGGTCAACGAAACGATCTTCCAAGCCATACAGAAGCAGAATACTCTCCGGCACCAGGTGAGTGTGGTTCCGGGGTTAGTTTTGATGGACTACGAGCCGCTCCTCAACAGCTTGTTGAGAGATGTCGAGAAGGAATGGCCAAGCATTGTGGGTGGGGGGAAGAATGGTGGCTCTCCTAGTATGCGGTTCCCGTTACAGTTCTCGGATGAAGAAATCTAGCAGCAGGATCAAGATGGCGAGCTATGGGCCCAAGGTGTTGAACTAATGGATGCATTTGTTGGCGACACTGGCTGTTTTAAACATTGGGATGGTAGGGTTAGCGACGTCGATTACGAGAAATCGAGGACAGAGCTAGACGAGGGAGTGAAAAGGTTCCTAGACCGCGAGGCCAGGGATGATGAAGAATGTAGGGAGTGGCTCAAAGCCCTACCATTCGTGGATTAAAGCGTGAGGCAAGGGTCCCTTATTTTTAGCATTTCCAGCATTCTAACGATACTGCTGCCAACTTCGTGCCATGTATTTCCGCAACAAATTAATCTGCCATTATTTGGACGTATAATAGTACATGTTTCATAGCATCTGACACTTTATAGAGTTGATTCCTAAACGAGATACTGTTCTAAAGATTGATAGCTGATCATTATTGACCCAAATAAGGATATCGCAGAGTTTCCTCGTTATCGTCGACGGCCTCCAGGAAGCTAGGAATTAGTGGCTCAATGCCCCCGTCCAATGCCAGAGAGCTCCATTCCTGCAGACTAAGTTCTTGGAACGGCCGACCGTGCACCTTTTCCATATATTCTTTGAAGCTCTTCACGGGAACCTTGACATTGCTTGAGTGGTGGAAGAAGCACACTCCGGACGTGGTTGACGACGGTGCATTCGAACGCTTGGTGAACCTAGACATCACTAGCGTGGCGATCTCATCCGCAATGATCTCTACCTTCTGAAAGTCTAAGTATCCTTCCATTCTGGTAAGGCGGGGTGTGGCACCGAGATTGACAGAGTACCGCAGGAGAGAGTTTAGTGCGTCCTGGGCTGGAGCTTGATCGCCGATCGGTGTGCAGGGACGGTGGATACTAATGCTTAAACCAGTTTGTTCGGCGAAGCGTTCGAGGAAGACCTCGCTTGCCCATTTGGTTGCCGTGAGACCGTCAGACCCGTCGAGCGGAGGAGGGTGAAAAGACACTGATGTAGGCCCGAGGGCAGTCTTCCCGGACTGGAGGATGACCCTCCCGGAAGAGATATAGTGCAAGGGGATTTGTGACTGAACGGCAAATTGGGCGAGGCAATGGGTTGAGCCTAGATTCGGCACTTTCAAGGAGTTATAGGTGTTAAGACAGTGGCCGTTCGAGCCGCCGTGGATCACGACGTCGATACAGCACTGCAGGGACGCCCATTCCGTAGTAGAAAGACCGAGCGTTGGATCAAGAAGGGACCCATAATAAACCAACACCTTGTCACTGGTGGGAAGGACGTGGTCTTGCTCCTTTTCTACGGCAATACAATGCACTCTGTCCACTTCAGGTACCTGGAGGAGAGCCTGTACCAGGACTCTCCCAAGGAAGCTTGTCGAACCGGTAAGGAGGATCTCACAACCCGACCCATTGTACCGCTTAGGTACGATACCTTGTGGCGTTGCGGTCGCACAATCGAGGAGGTTTTGCGGTATAGATGTTTCCGCGAGCCAATTGATCGATGTTGATGGTGCCTCGGCTTTCCGAGCATCCACCTTGAGCGCCATCTGCGCCAGCGTGCTGGCTCCATACAGCTCGCGGAGAGTCAGTGAGACCCCAATGGATGTGCGAATTGTGCCTTGTAACCTGACCAGTAACGTGGAATTTCCACCGAGAAGAAAAAAGTCAGACTCGGGCTGGATCTGCTTACCAGGCAGCAAAACCTGCCAAAGAAGCTTAAGCTCACCCTCGCCCAACGTAAGCCGCTTGGATGGTTGGCTCGCGGTAGCTGGTGTCGTCCACGGCATGCTATCTATCCTTTTCCGATCAATCTTTCCATTCGAGTTTCGAGGTAGTTCATCTAGGCAAATGACCGTAGACGGGCGCATATACTGTGGCAAGGGGAGATCGCTGGCGAGATGCTGTAGCTCGGCCTCAGTGGCAGTCTGTCCAGGCATTAGGGAAACAAAGGCGACGAGGATTTCTGAAACATCCTGGCCCTTGACACACATGATGGCTGATGAGAGCAGATTCGGGTGGCAGTTTAGCATAGTGGAGGCGACGTCTTCGAGGTCAATGCGAAGTCCTCGAAGCTTGATCTCTGTGTTTCCATCCATTCGGCCCAAGAGGACCAGAGAGCCATCCTCGAGTAGTTTGGCTTTGTCGCCGGTACGGTACATTCGAGTCCATCCTCTCGCCACATCTTCTGGAAGAGCAAATGGATCCTCTACGAATTTCAACAGAGTCTGCTCCTCATTTAGGTACCCCAATGCAACACCAGCGCCACTGATACAAATTTCCCCAGGCTCCCCTGTGGGGACAAGGTTGCATTGCGCGTCCACGATGTATAGAGAAGTGTTTGGAATGGTTCTTCCAACGCTCCGTGCGCCTTCCAGCTGTAAGGCAGACATCGTCTCGAAGGTTGTACATGCCGAAATCTCAGTCACACCGTAGGAGTCCTGTACCACGGGACAATTCTTTCCCAGCCGCACAAACTCTCGCTTGAGTTGGTTGGTGAAAGGCTCACCACCGAGACAGGCGTGCCGCCATCCAGCGTAATGATTGAGATATTCACGACCATTCTGAAGCATGACGAGGTATTCCGACGGAGTGGCTAGTGTGAACGTTACTTTGTGGTCACGAATAATTCTTGCAATTTCAATCGAATCCCCACGTACGTCTTGGGGTACAATGACAAGCTTCCCTCCGTTCATGATGGCATTGAAAGTTTGTGCAAGCCCCATATCGAAGCCCAGTGAGCTCTGTTGTAGGACGACCGTCGAGCTATCAAGACCGAGCTCTTTTCTCTTGGCGGCGAGGTAGTTGATGAAACCGCTCTCAGGCAGACGGACGCCCTTAGGCTGGCCTGTCGAGCCGCTTGTGTACAGCAAAATCGAGAAACAATCACCATTTGCACCGTTTGTGAACTCTATGGACGGAGCTTGACTGTCTGGAAGATCGGAGACGTTGATAATGGTTGATATCCCTAATTCTGACGCTTTCTCAGACGTAGAAGAGAGACAAAGTAATGCCGTAACGGGGGAAGCCATGACCATAGCTTTGTGTCTTGCAGTAGGGAGGCTCAGGTCGAGGGGCACATACACCGCACCGATGCGGAAAATTGCTAACATGCTCGCCACCGAATTCATAGATGGGGGGCACAAGACTGCGATTGTATCTCCAGATCGAATTCCTCTTTGGAGAAGAGCTTCCCCAATACGGGTGCTCTGAGCGTACAGTTGCCGATAGGTGAAATCACCAGTTTGATCCGTCACGGCGATCTTATCTCCATATTGATCAGTGATATCCTGGAACCTTTCTGCCAACGTCGACGGCCAGCCATGAGACACCCGCTGGCCACGTTGAACCGAGAGGCCATCCTCATTGATGGGAGAAAAAGTGGCAAGACTGCCCCGAACGGAAAGCGAAGGGTCGGAAGACATGATATCAAGGAGCCTGATATATTCATCCATGATTGATGCTGTGGCTGTGGGCGAGTACAAATAGTCCCGACAGGTCACCTCCACAATACAGGTGCCGTTCGCACATGGAGTGACATGGAAAGAGACATCGTACGGCGCATTGCCCATCACACTCCGATCATAATTGAGGTCAAAGTCGTCCACTGACATCCTGGTGATCTCCCCCACGCGGTAGTTTATAGCAACCTGGAAGAGAGGTGTTACATTCAACACGCGCGGGATATTCAGCGCATCCACAACCAGGTTGGAGGGAACTGAAGAGTGCGACAAGGCGGTCAGAACTTTCGAAGATGTCTTTTGGAATATATTCGCAAAGCTGTCCGATTGTTGGACGTGAAACCTCAGAGGCAACATGTTCAGAAAATAGCCGACTGTCCCGATGAACTGCTGGTGTTTGCGATTTGCGTCGCTCATTCCGATGCATAGATTTTCGATATTCAGTAGTTCGGCGAGGAGGACCTGTAACGTTGCTAGGTAGAAATGAAAGGGTGTGCCTCGAAGACTGCGACTGGCTTTCTTGATCCTGTCTGTGACTCCAACACTAACATACCGCGTCGCTGTGTGGACCTTGAAATTATCTGTTGCTGTACGGGTCTTCTCCTTGGCGAGAGGGAGAACAGGCATTACTTCTGGCGGTGGTGAAAGCTCGGACTTCCAATACTCTAGCTCTTTTGCGAAAGCTCCATTATCAATGTCACGATTCAGCATTAGAGAATAGTCCACGTATTGCGCAACCTCATCTGGTGGGCTCTGCTCATAAAAACACTTCACATCATGTAGAAATGTAGACCAACTAGCCCCGTCCATAACAATGTGATGGTAGGCAAATATGACTGTGTGCTGGTCCTGTCCAATAGACACCACCGTAACTCGGATGACTTCACCGTGTTCTAGCTGCCATTGGTACGAGGCCAGCCTGTCAAACTCCTGTGTCACAGAGGCGGCGCTTGCAGTCGTGATATGTTCAAAGAATGGTGGTGGGCTTTTCAGGACACCCTGAACAAGGTCACCATTATTAGGATCTGAAAAGAAGGCGGTCCGTAACGACTCGTGCCGGGAGATAGCCTCTTCCAAGGCTCGTTTGAATTTGTCGACCATAAAACTACCCTGAACTTTGTACGAAATAACGACGTTGTACTGGGTAGGGTCCTTCATCCAGTGGCCCGCGAACCAGATCTGGGATTGGTGTGGAGACATTCTCTCAACTCGTGTGAACCTTGGTTCTGAGACGTCCCGTTCCTGTTCAAATCCGGAGTCAGAAGGGCATAGGGCACAAGACGACTCCGAAGTACTGGCGTCAAGTGGCAGGTCTTGGACTGAGGTGCCGTGTTCCGAGCTTGATGCGGTTGTGACCAGGTCTATGCAATCAACATCTTTGGCATGTAAGTCTTCCTCCTGCGACACTGGGCCTGGACTGCCAGGCTGGAAGGAGGCTTTCTCGCATAGCTTTGCGACAGTGTCCAGCAGTACATCCATGGGAGTAATGTCAACATCGAACTCTTTGGCAAACCAGACCTGAAGATCCACTGCCAAAAGGGAATCACAGCCTAGGTCCAGTAGTGGGGTGTGCAGATCCAATGTTTGATCGGTAAGCCGAAGAATTGACTTGACCTTGCGCGATAAACGCGCCAGCAACATGTCATATGCATTTCGTCTTGGCTCCAATTCCTCCAACTGTTGGCTAGAAGGAGGGAGTGATGACGAATCCACCTGTTCAATGTCTTGCCTCGGTTTGGCTTCAGAGTGTTTAGCAGTGAAGTGAGAAAGCAGGTGGTTTGAGATGCATGGGAATTCTCCGGTCTCATCAACCTGGGAATCTATCATTTGTAGACCAAAGAATATCTCTGCACTCCCTTCGGATTCAGGTTCTCCAGCAGCTACCGCTTCACCAAAGGCATGATGTAGATCTGATTCAGATAGAGGCGCGTATCCATGGTGCATCATGCGCTGGATCACCTCCCTGCCTTGCTCAGCAAAGTACCCAGCATCGACAACCATACCCAGGGCCAACACGGACCCTACTAGGCCTTTCCGCCTACGCTGGTGAATGAGACCTGCCATAAACTGTGATGAGGCGTGATATGCGACTTGCTTTGGGGTACCGAGGACAGAGACAAGGGATGTCAAAATCATAAAGAAGTTCAGTGTTGGTGTGGGGAATAGCTCATCGAGATAGCTTGCGGCATTAATCGTAGCATTCGCGACAAGACCACCCTCATCATGGGCAGTATACTCTAGTCCTGTGTTGGATAAAGCCAAGGGAGCATAGCAGACACCTGCAATAGGTGGTAAAGTCTCCTTTATGTGGGTGAATGCTGACAAAATGGACTTTTTGTTCAGAGTATCCATCTTCAAGGGCTTCACAGTGGCTCCTAGACGAGACAGTTCCTCTACCCAAGCCTCGTGCACGTGTGGATTTCTGCTCGAGAGAACAAATGTCCGTGCCCCATTCCTCGCCATCCATCTCAAAATTGATAATCCAAGTGGTGTTGTCATGTCAATCAACCAGTAGGTTCCGCTTGGGGAGAACAGGTTTGCGGTCCGTGGGCTCTCACCCTGGCTCGATGTCGGAGGAGAGATTGTCCAGTCCACCACCTGTGGATACGTGACCAGTGGATTGTTTGGTGATACTTTTGTTGAAGAGGTAACTACCAGAGCCACCCGTGGAAGAGTCGACAAGCTGGTACATGCTTGAGCATAGGTATCCGCGATAAATTGGCCAGGGTTCGCAAGAAACGCACGACGATATAGTTCCCCGGCCCGGATATGATTTTCAGAATATATTCTGCGAAGCATGGCCGCTACATGGCTATCGAAAGAAGCAAAATCGACAAAAGTCGAAACATCTGGCGGCAACACGCGCTCAACCATTCGCCGCGATGCGTGAGGGTGGACTGCTATCCACCCTTTTGCGATATCCTTGGACTTCGAAGTGATACAATAGATGGTGTGCTCAGGCCCGCGCGCTTGCTCTACAGCCGCAGCAAGTAAATCATCAGGCTCATACAGGAGAATTGGCCCATGTAGAAAGTTCAAAAGCAGGTGTGCTAGGATGAAGCTAGCAGTAGCTCGCAATGTATCTGGGCTTAAGTCATCTCCATCGACAAGACTGTGAACATGTTCAGGCCTTGCTTGGACGACAGATGAAATCTGATCAGAAATGCCGATTACATTTCCCTTTCCATCGAGGCGTGTACCAAACCAAAGATAGGCATCCGTACAAACGAGGCAGGAATATTTGACTTGAACAGCTACCGAGCCTTCCAGTAACCCTCTCGGGAGAATCACCGATGCCTGCGAGTGACGCGCCTTTGGACGAGGTTCTTGGTGTTCGGAATTGTACCTCTGATTTCGTTTTTGGTCCCAAATCAGTCGCGGAATGCGCAGCGCGCATCCATCCCAGTGTAGCTCGGGTTCGTTTGTCCAAAGCATTTGCCCGTCCGTCAACATGGGGACACTAGACCATGTGAGGCGCAGAAAAACCTCCACTACAGTGGAAGGCGAAACGTTCTCCGTGGTAGACAAGTGTAGGAATTGAAGGTTGATGTCATTTCCCTTTTCCAATCTCATTGCTCTCCCAATGGCGACAGTTATGCTTGGCATATTTAAAGATGTCAACCAGAGGACGTTCTTCGACCTTGCCACAAGCTCTTTGAAATTGAGGACCCTCTCGCGGAAGTTTCGTTCGGCGAACAAAGGCTCATCAAGCTCCACCAGGGAGATGATGGCATGTTTCTTGGTGAGACCATTCAGGTCCAGCTGGTCAAAGTCTTCCACTATGGCTGTTGCAGTACCCGATGCAGCGAAAATCCTTCGAATACTCTGCAGGAGGCGTGCTACTAAGAGTGTCTTGCCCCCAACGAAGACCACGGTCTCCGTCAGTGGCGCCAGCCCGGTCGAATTCATCGGCTCTCGAAGCGTCAGGACTGCATCGTTAACTGCCTGAGTGACAATTACTGAAAGACCATCCTCGCAGGGATGAAATGAGCCATGGAAGATGTGATCAATACCGGAGAAACCTTTAGAGAGGAGTTGCGCGTTACATTCAACGGTTGACATGTCCGACCAAGTCCGGGCATCGTCATCATATCCTCGCCACCACTGGGGAAGCAACCCACAGATACACAGCAACCACAGTGGTATTCGCCCGGTCAGTCTACCCAATATAAGGTAACCACCGGGCTTTAGCATTGCGCGGCAACCTTCCAAGAGACTGGCAGATACGTCCGTTGCTTGGAAGAGATTAGCAACAATGACCATGTCATACTTGTCGCTGTCATGTTTACCATCATTCCCCGTGGTAAGATCAATGGCCTTAAAATGTAGATTGCGGTGCTGAGTTGAGAGCCTGGTCACCGTCTGTTTTAGCTGTATTGGAGTCGCGCTGCCCAGGCAATAGGAAGTATACCTATCATCAAGAGCTTCCAACATCTGCTGAGTGATCGCACCAGTGCCAACATCAAGCTCCAGGACATCCATGTGGGGATGCTTGTGTACGATACGCTTGACGATGCAACAAAGGTCTTTCATCCATGGAGAAAGCATCCCCGCAACGTGGAATAAACTCTCGGGGGTGCTACCACCGTTCAATATGCCAAGAGGGTTGCTTTCACCTCGCAGGATTGCTGGTAAGGCCATACCCAGTGAATGCAATGATTGAAGATCGACAACCCCCGCATATCTTTCGATCATTGCCAGTATAGTCTCTTCCGACATCTGGGCATCATGTGGCTGAATAAGGTAGTCTTTAGAGCCCGTTCCATCATCCGTAATGCGGCTAATCTCACGATACAAAAGTTGGTGGTGAGGGAGAAACCCTGCAGACTCGAGTGGATCAATCTCATCTACCAGCTTTCGGAAATGATACAAGGAGACGATATCCGCTGCGTCTCTCCACGCCATCACCTCATCTTGGGTATTATATGAGGTCATTAACGAATATCCAAAAGGGTCGCTCTCCCACACCACGTGTGAGTACAGGTTATGGCCGGTTGAAGCATGGGGTAGATGGGCACCTTCCATGACTAAGCCCTCAATCTGCACCATGGTGTTTCCATCCGGGTCGTACAGAGATACATCGCCTTCTACCCCTCGACTGTCCACTGCAGTCACAAAGGCGTCGATTTGGCATGACAGACTCTTCAGAGCAAAGTGAGGCTGAATGAGAGCTCGACGAATCTCCTTTGCATGCAAGGACGTGCGCAGTCTCTTGCTCAATGGTGAGGCAAAGGCACACATCATTGCCTGGAACGATGCCTCCGGTATAGCCGGATGAAGTACAGAACCCGAAAAACGAATATCGGCTGGGCAAACCGCAGAAGCGGTGGCTTCATCGAGAGATCGCCGCATTGAGGTTATGCTCCGAAAAGGTCCGGAATAGCTAGTGCCAGCCTGTTCAAATGACTCATAGAGATCATCGACATCTACAGGCACGAGTAGGGGATTACACTGTGCCCTTGGGGGTAACTGGTCACAATCAGGACGGCTGGCTTGGCTGACATAGAGTGTTAGGCGTGCAGTGCATATCTTCGTTAATATTGATCCGCCGCTAAGGCCCGCATAAAAGGAAGCTTCGGCATCGAGTCTGGCGTTCGAAGGTGTCTCGAGATGTTCTTCACAGATTCGTAGTGTCGTGATATATTCTATACCATCGCCATGCTCTTCCAAAGTCAGAGCTTCTATGGCAACGAAATTCTTGACCTCAACTAACACAAGGCATTGGCACATAGCCGCAGAGCTAGCAGCTGCTAATAGAGAAGATAGGTAAAAGGCAGTCGAAAGCACCTCCTGGCCCTTTTTGCTGTGCCTCTGAGCCCATGGCATCTCCTTTAGGTGCAGAATATTCCTCCAAGACATCTCGTTGGGGAATTCACTGGCAGACCGCCGGCCCAATAGCGGGTGCAGTTGTGTACCTTCGAGACGGTATCTTCGCGATACGCGAGATTCTCTCCAGTATCTCCTCGTATGGTCCCAGGGGTAGGCTGGTAATCCCTTTATTAGCTGCAAGGGTTGGTTATTAATGTTTTGGAGGAACCGCCCCATGTCCAAACGTTCAGCCGTACGTTCCCAGAGGGAGCCAACTGCACATGATGCAGCGTCGAGATCATTTTGTCCTCGGTGAAGCAATGAAATATACAGAGCACTCGAACACCCTTTTGATTTTAAAGTATCCAGCACCGGACCACGGAGAGCTGGATGAGGTCCGATCTCGATACACACACCGATGTTATGGCCGCTACACATTGACCTCTCCACAGCTTGCGAAAAGAGGACAGGTTTGACCATATTCTCAACCCAGTAAGTCGCGGAGAACGCTTGAATATTCCCTTCTGTTGGTGCACTGCTTCCTGTGACGCTGGAGATCCATGTGCAGCCACTCCTGGGTATTCTCACTTGGATATTACACTCCTTCAACGATGCGAGATATGCAGTAGCACATGGCACCATGTGATGTGAGTGGTACGCAACGTCGACTTGCAATGTTCTTGCGAATATCTTCCTACGGTCAAGGAGTGCCTTGGCCTCTAGTATCGCATCATAGTCGCCGGATAAAGTTGTGCTCACGGGCCCATTGCTCGCTGCCACCGCGATCCTACCCGAAAAAGACGACTGAGAGCACAATTTGCTCGCGTCAGGAAAGGAAAGACCAACGGCTAGCATGCCGCCTAACTTCATTGGCTTGCTGTGCATTCCACGATAATAGGCTATCTTCATGGAATCCTCTGCCGAAATGATATTGAGGGCATACGCAGCCACTATTTCGCCGGATGAGTGGCCCACGACAACATCGACATCGATTCCACACGCACACAGGAGATCATAGACAGCTATCTCAATTGCAGTTGTTACCGGCTGACTGACTGCTGGATCAGAGAAGCTTGACAGAGGTTTGTCTGCCAGAAGTTCTTCTTGCAGGGACCAGGAGGGACTGTCAGGAAGATTTGCTAGAGCACGCTCACACTGCTCGATCGACTGGCGGAAGACGGGAGACGCACGTAACAGTTCACGCCCCATTCCAACCCATTGTGCGCCCTGTCCTGTGAAAATGGCCATAATCCTTTGTGGTTCGGGTGATTGCCTCCATGGCAAGTGACTTTGTTCACCCCGTTTGCCGCCTTTGTACTCCTGGATGATATTTTCTATCCTACCGAGAAGATCCTCTCGGCCTAACGCTGTGAGCGAGACCTTGAAAGGAAAGGCGGTTCTTTTGGCCAAGGTCCAGGCCAAATTACTCAGATTCAATGCTTCATTCCGACTCACATATTGGGCTACTTGCTCAACGTGCGAATATAGGGAATCTTGAGTCTGGGCTGAGAACACGAATGGCCCCACAGGTACATACTTCTTAAGCGTCCCCTCTTTGCAGTAACTGACTTGGCTTTTCAACTGGTGGGGTATGTAGCTCTCAATAATTGCATGAGCATTGGTCCCCCCGAAACCAAACGAGTTCACACTCGCCCTCAAGGGACAGTCAGGAGCTACAGATGGCCATGGTACAGTGCTTGTTGGGACTTCCAGATGGTCGTAGAATGGAGTGATTTTAGGATTGAGATCGTCAAAAAGCATGTTTGGCGTGATGATGCGGTTCTTGAGGCACAATATAGCCTTCATCACTCCGGCGAGACCAGCACAGCCTTCCAGGTGACCGATAAGAGTTTTGATACTCCCCACATAGAGCTTGTCGTTTGGACTGAAAACGACGGCCTTCGGGTAGAACGTCTGCTGGATTGCCTGTGCCTCGACGGGATCTCCAGCCTGGGTACCAGTCCCGTGGCATTCGAAATATTGGCAACGATCCCGAACAGGATCCAGACCACTGCGTTCATAGGTCTGGCGTATTAACGTGGCCTGGGCCTCCGGATTGGGCATCGTAATTCCCGCAGATCTGCCGTCCGAGTTGACCGCAGTCTCCCGAATGATGCACTCTATATCGTCGCCATCTTGCAGCGCCTGATCCAGGGTCTTGATGACGATTGAGGCGCACCCCTCGCCTCGGGCGTAGCCGTCAGCATCCCTGTCCCACATACGACACCTTGACGTTGGGGACAGCATATGTAGGTTGGAATGACTAATATAGACCTCAGGGTCAAGCAAGAGATTGACGCCGCCTACAATAGCGGTTGTGCAATCGCCATTTCGCAGACTCTCGACCGCTTGGTGCAATGCCACCAGTGAACTGGAGCATGCCGTGTTGATGGTCATTGATGGCCCTCTCAGGTCAAAGAAGTACGAGACGCGATTTGAGAGAATACTGGGTGATGTGCCTGTTGCATGCCATCGGCTGATTGTGTCCAAATCCCGAGCTTGAATGTCATGATAGTCTGAGGTCATCGCGCCAATAAAGACGGATGTGTCTGAGCCGCGCATCTGGTTCAACGTATATCCCGCGGTTTCGAGTGCTTCATAGGTCGTCTCGAGTAAGAGCCGTTGTTGTGGATCCATTGCCTCTGCCTCCGCTGTACTGATTTTGAAGAAGGAAGAATCGAAGCAATAGACATCGTCTTCCAGTAGGTAGGACTTATTCGGGACATCGGTAGCCCCATGATGCTCTCCATTGTGATGATGGAAGCTGGAGAGGTTTAATCGCTTGGGATTTACATCTTTCAGGACATCCTTTGGGTTAGACAATAGCTCCCACAGTTGCGAAGGCGATGCCACATCGCCCGGAAATCGGCACGCGGTCCCAACAACAGCAATTGGCGTTTTCATGACAGCAATATAAGGCTTAACATTGAAAAAAGAAAGCTATCCAGCGAGGAGATGTGACAGGGGCGGGCTTCGCAACGGAAATGCCTGGACGACGACAGCAAGAGTAAGTACTCTTCTTACATGGAACCTACGGGCTTTATCCTAGCATCACGACATTCAGCCCAATGCAACAGCACTTGTTCCTACCCTGCCCTTGAAGGGCTGATCCATCGTGTGCCCCTGGCCTACTGACCGTAACTGTCCTCAGTGCGTGGCATTTTCAATTGCCTGCGGGAAAGCTCGTATTGTGGCCACCATTCAGCTGAGCCAATTTCCTATTTAGTCATAGGAGGGTCAACTTCGCCTCAGCCCGTTCGATCGCCATGCATGTCGATCTCCCATTTCATCTCAATCGGTTGGACAACGGCCATTGCAGGATGTTTCATCATGCAGATGGCCACTCGGTAAATATGATTCCACGTCTTGGCGATCAATATCTGACTGCTTGGCATTGCGAAAACCTTACCCTAAGTTTCTCACCTGCACCTTGACATACTGCATGAGATAATAATAAACTCTACGTTTTGCTTCTGTTATAAGAAAATCCCCTTACTTGTATCAAGGGTCCAAGAGAATCGCCCGCGGTCCTCAGTGCAGGTCTCAGTGGGTTTACGAGAAATATGGCTATATCAGCCTGCCAGTCGGACCTTGGCACTGCATTCCTCGAGTACCAGCTCGTATAGCCTGCGTCATGCAGTCACCATCACAAACACACAGAGAGGGCGATGCCCCCCCCCCTAGAGAACCATGAATATCATACTATGACCGGAACAGAAAAGGCAGGGTAGTATTCCATCGGCTCACCACGCCGTTTGACTCTGAATCCATACTGCAAACCAGCAACTAGAACGCTGCACAATGGAAATTTCCAGGAAATCACCAATACAGCTGCCAAAGCCCTTCCGCGTACTCAGCCAAGCCCTGAACCTCTCGAACAGTGACCACGCGAAATGGTGGTATAGCACTGCCCCAATGTTTGCCGCCATGATGGCGGGGGCCAGCTATGACGTTCACGCACAGTACAAGTTTCTCTGCATCCACCGCGAGGTCATCATCCCGGCGTTGGGTCCGTATCCTGAGAAAGGTCAACCCATGCACTGGAAGAGTCATCTAACGCGCTTCGGACTTCCGTTCGAATTAAGCTTCAACTATTCAAAATCGCTCCTGCGGTTTGCCTTCGAGCCCCTCGGTCCCCTAACGGGCACGCTGGAGGATCCGTTCAACACCAAAGCCATCAGGCCTGTTCTCCAGGACCTCAAGGCCATGGTTTCAGGCCTTGATCTGGAATGGTTTGATCATTTTACCAAAACACTGGTCGTTTCCGACAAGGAGGCTCAAACTCTGTGTGATGGAAATATCCCAGTCCCCGTCTTCAAGACGCAAAACAAGTTGGCAGCCGATCTGGAGCCGTCTGGCGATATTGTCTTGAAGACCTACATATACCCCCGGGTCAAGGCTATCGCGACCGGCACGCCGAAAGAGAAGCTCATGTTTGACGCAATCAAGGCCGCGGACCAGGGTGGTAAAATTGCCAGCCCACTGGCCACTCTCGAGCAGTTTTTGGCTGAGCGGGCTCCCACCCTCCTCGGCCACTTTCTGTCCTGTGATTTAGTGCAACCATCTGAGTCCCGGATCAAAGTCTACTGTATGGAACGTCAGCTGAGCCTGGCTTCCATTGAAGGGATCTGGACTCTGAACGGGCGACGGAACGATCCAGAGACTCTGGAAGGCCTGGCTGCCCTCCGAGAGCTGTGGCAGCTATTGCCCGTCACGGAGGGTCTATGTCCACTCCCGGACTGCTTTTACGAGCCTGGTACCTCCCCGCAGGAACAACTTCCTTTCATTATCAACTTCACGTTGTCTCCAAAAAGCCCACTTCCCGAGCCCCAGATCTATTTCCCTGCGTTTGGTCAGAACGATCAAACCATCGCGCAAGGACTGGCCGCCTTCTTTGAGAGTCGAGGGTGGGGTGGCATGGCTGGAAGCTATCCGTCCGATTTGGCATCGTACTAGTAAGTCTTGACCTGTATATCCCGAATGAAATGAATAGAGTGGGGCTGACCTTCGCCGGCAGTCCAGATGTGGATCTGCATACCGCAAATCATCTGCAAGCGTGGATCTCGTTCTCGTATAAGGGAAAGAAACCCTACATGAGTGTGTACCTTCACACCTTCGAGGCTTGCGGAGTTGCTGCGCAAGGGGTGACGATGTGCCGTGAGGGGCAGAACCTTTGAGGTCAGCTTCCCTCTTCGTTTCCATGCATACATTCCACGTTTCACTCGCTCGTGTTCGTGTCGGGCGAATATTCCATCCTGGGCATGAGGGTTGGAAATCCAGCGAAATGTCCGCGTATGTCCGTATAAGCAGCGATCAGAGCCCTTGTTGCCACGCTGACTCCCCATCAAAAGTTTCCCCCTTTCTAGTTGCCCATTCTACACCGAAATTCAATATGTGTTCCGCATAAAGTTTCGCATTCCTATTGCCTAAATGATTGAATTTAACAGTTGTAGCTCAGTATTAATATTTCATTGAAATGATATTGTGATGCAATCTCATTAGATGTCGGAATGCACTAAGCGGTAGCACCATGTACATGATACTATCAATAGAAATTGCTGCCTCCGGTACCAGTTCTACGTCAGGAGTTGGGATATCTTGATGGTTTTCTAAACGTCAAGCACATACGAAGCTTTCGATGTAAAACGGTTGTAACTATCTGGTATCGATACACTTTACACGTGTAATCTGCGAAGCAAATGTCAGTCATTAATGTGTAGGTCGAGATAAATAAGACTGAACCCACAAACCCTAGACAACTATCAGGGTGCGGCCGCCATTCTACGAGTGCACAAAATCAAGGGGCCACACACCCAGAACAGCGACTAAGACGCCACCATCTCATCGAGAACTTCATCCGGATAGCCCCAAAGCAAGATCGAATAATCCGACGCCCAAGTGAGGTCCTCTTGTACCGGTTCGGGGATTCGGTACACGCCCTCATCCAAGAACCCAAACTGGGAGATAGCATCGACCCATTTCGCGAATGCTTCCCGGTCCTAGAGCTGGCCTGGAGGATATTCAGTCTTTTGCCCTGTGTTCAAGGTCACGTAATCTTCGTGCGCAGGAGCAGGGTTGCGGCGCCCATAGGGCACCTGAAGTCGTCCAAGGTAGTTCCGAGTCACAGTCGTGTTGAAGAATCCCTCCACATCGTAATTCATTGGCGTATTATCTTCGGTATAGTAGGTTTCGCCGGGACCGCTCAACTAGTCATTGCGTTTAACGACAGTGACGGTCTTGCCTTAGTCTTCGAGACAAAGCGCGGCGTAGGTCCCTGAACTGCCACCACCCAGGCTGATTACATCGCGAGAGATGGTGTCATGGGCGACGATGCCATTCGCCAGACTAAGACAGGCGACACTGGAATGACCAAGGAAGCTCGCAACCTTAGCAGCGATCTTCGAGAATACCAGAACGGAAAGTCGAGGGATGACGGGGAGACAGTCCAATGAGCAAATCCACCGATTTAAAAGTAGACTCGCAGGCTTTGCTTCATCGTGATTTCCCGCCCACGATGTCCTAGGAATCGAGGGCAGCGCCTTCACACGCTGATCACTAACTCTGAAGATCATATTGCACCGACGAAGCGGTTGCCTTGCTTCAATGCATTCTTGATCTCAGAACAAATCTCGAAGCTCAAGGTCTGTGCTTGGTCAGCTGTATCAAACAGTTATTCAAGCTGAGAAACAGGGCGTTGATTCAGCCCTGGCTCACGAAATGACTGGTCATGACCGTCTGGGCCTGCAATAACCTTCAATAAGTGGAATCAGACATCCATCTAGTGAAGCCATGCCGGTACTCGTGCCCGGATATGGCATGTGCGTGTCGATAGTATTGCATTTCTGAATTGCCGGGTGCCACATTTGCCAGTCTCGCACGCCTGTACGGATCCTGCACACTGTCATACTCACCTGCCAGTAGCCTTGCATCTGAGGGAGAAAGTTTTAGCAAAAATGATTGACATGCAAGGACATCGATGCTTCCCTCGTGAGGTCTGATTGAGCCAGCCACGAATAACACCTTGCGTCTGCATGCATTGATTCTGGCTACGTTCAGCCCATGAGCGCTTGGGTTCCTAACGATCTCGCCATGTGATGCCTGAAGCATTCCCATGCTATAAATCTTCAGCACGTATCATGGAGACCCAGCAATTTGCAAGTGGGTTCTCCTTCAATCCACTCGCGTTGCAGGGATATTTCCATGCGCTTCCTGCACCCTTTCGGGAGTCGGTTGAGTGTAACCAAGGATATCGAAAAGTAGAGGATTGTGTAATATATCGAGCGACCGTAGCAACAGCTATGAAAAATTGCAGGAGCCACAACGAGAAAGCAACGGAGTCTGACTACGGAGAAAAGCTTATCTGCACAAACGGTCAGAGTGTCTTCACCTCTATCCTATGGAACGGCCCCCGTTATATGATCACCCAACCCTTGGGTAATCACCGAGCTACTTCATTGGTATGCCTACTTTCTCGTTTGTTCGTATTAGTTCTCGCCCTAGTGTCGAATAAGCTTACTCCAGAGGGTCCAGGCTACTTCAAGCAAATCGGGGGAGTGTGGCGCCATGTGCCTCGTAAAATCATATTATCCGTCTTGCTTGCTCTGCCTTCTTTGCTTACTTGTTCTTCTATGTCTTTCATTCGCTGGCCAGTGGTGATCCCAGCAGGCTAAGCAAGGGGCCCTGGGGAAGGCGCGCACTACCGGGGCGAAATAAGGCAGCTCCTAAGTTAGCCTGTTGTACCAGTATAACTCGGTGAGCACAACCCATCTTCCTCTCTAAAGTGCCTTCATACCAATCAGAATCGCTGACACCCTCATCGCAAGGTCATATATAGGAACATGGGTCACCAGGAAGAGCCGCCAGAGATTTGCAGAACACACAGTGGCCATGAATGGGGAGGCGAGTCTGCAGAAAAGGTATCCCATCCTTCGACCCAGGAGGTGGCCTGGGATGAGCCAGCCGATCCTGCGCGACCGGTGAGCTGGTCGAGAACCAAGAAATGGTGGAATATGGGAATCATCTCATATCTCACCTTTCTCACACCCTTGACCTCGTCCATCGTCGCACCAGCACAGGGGCTCGTGATGAAAGAATTCGGTTCCACCAACCGGACTCTAGCTTCCTTCGTCGTCTCCATCTACCTCGTCGGCTTCGCCGTCGGACCGCTGTTTCTGGCGCCGCTCTCGGAAATCTATGGTCGGCTGCGCGTCTACCAGGTGGGCACGTTAATCTTTACGGTCTGGAATATCGCAGGCGCTCTCTCCCCGAACGTCGGTGCGCTTCTCGTCTTTCGCCTATTCGCTGGAATTTCCGGCAGCAGTCCGGTCACCCTGGGCGCGGGCTCGGTCGCGGACATGTTTGCTCGAGAGGAGCGTGGAGTCGCCATGTCCATCTATGGGCTGGGCCCGCTCCTGGGGCCCGTCATTGGGCCGATCGCAGGTGGCTACCTTTCCGAAGCACAAGGCTGGCGATGGGTTTCTGGTTGCTAGCCATTGTGGTCAGTGGCGTCTTCGATCCGTTCACTCGTGGTCCAAACTCACTCGTTCATCGATATAGTCAGGAGTCGCCGTTATTCTGGTTATTTTTGTGCTATCCGAATCCTACGAGCCGGTTCTCCTGCGGCAAAAAGCGAATCGAGTCAGAAACGAAACCGGATCGGGGGCAGTGAACGCTGGACGGGTCCTGAAGCTGGACTCTAAGAAGGTTTCATCCAAGCAATAACCAGACCAACTAAATTACTCTTTCTTACTCCAAATGTTGCCTTGTTCTCTCTATACACAGGTGAGTCGCTCCAGATCGCGGACGCGGCACGAAGCGTAACCATTGCATGCCCATAGGTGTGGTTTTCGGCTACCTCTACCTGCTCTTCACCACGGTCACGGAAGTATACGAAACCACCTACCATTTCAGCCAGGGCGCCACCGGACTTGTGTACATCGGCATTGGTGTCGGAGCCCTCATTGGTATCTCCAGCTTCGGCGCCGTTTCCGACCGGATCCAAAATCGCCTCATCGCCCGAAACAATGGCCAACCAGAGCCAGAATTCCGACTCCCGCCGCTCATCCCAGGGAGCTTCCTGATACCCATCGGTCTCTTCTGGTACGGCTGGTCCGCCCAGATGCATGTCCACTGGATCATGCCCATTATCGGGCTGAGCTGGGTCGGCTGCAGGATGATCGCCACCCTGCTTCCCATCCAAGCGTATCTGGTGGACGCGTTTGGCGAATATGCTGCCTCCGCCATAGCGGCTAACACGGTCGTACGGTCCATTGTCGGAGCCTTCCTGCCGCTTGCCGGACCCTCGATGTATGCGAAGCTGGGGCTGGGATGGGGGAACTCCTTACTGGGGTTTGTCACCTTGTGTTTGCTGCCGGTGCCGGTGGTGTTCTACTTTTATGGCAAGAAGATCCGCATGAACTCACGGTATCAGGTCTCGGCGTGATCAATGATTGGGTCATCGTTGGGTGTTGACGAGATTTAGACCACTTGCTATCGGCTCATCTGCTCTGTTTCTCCTTATATATATCATACGTGTAGTACCGGACACATTGAAAATGCTTTTTCGAACTTATTTAAGGGTTGGCACTGAAGGCGAGCATGTCGGCTGAACCGACTCACAGCTCCCAGATATTCCGTGTTCTGTCCATAATATATCACGAATGAAAAGCGCGCCTAGCACAGTTGTTCTCAAGCTGTCCTCTCTTTCTCGCAGTGTGGGTATCTATATCTGTGAATGATACGTAATAGAATGTTAGTCATATCCAAAGAAAAGGAACCAAGCAAGACAGACGTCTTGATAGTACTCGTGGGAGATATGGAGAGGTCGTCTGTTGCCGATGTTGGAACGGTGGGAATACGCTTAACCCGATCAGTCCGTCGATCACGTGCGTCCATTTCCAGCTGCCGCGTGCAATTTGTTCCCTTTGGCCACTGAGGACGAGGAATAACACAGACAACACGGACAACACGGACAACAATGACTCCTGCAGCAAATGCCGACAAGGTTTTCCCCATCACCACGTTTATATCAGACCTGCCCAGCAGTCTCACTCCGCAACTCGTATCGTCCGCGGAAAATGACCAGGGATCTGCTACTCGACGATTAGTCATCGTGGGTGATGTACATGGCATGAAAAGATCTCTGGAGGCACTTCTAGAAAAGGTCGGCTTCGATAAGGACAAAGGGGACCATCTGATACTAGTTGGTGATCTGATCAACAAAGGGCCGGACAGCCCTGGTGTGATCGATCTGGTCATGGAGTTGGGCGCCACCGCCGTGAGAGGCAACCATGACAATGCCGTCCTCGATGCTGCCGTGGAAGTCAACACAAGAGGAGACAGCTCAATGCATGCTGGAAGCGTATCCAGCGGTACCGCACAGGTACCTGGGACCTCGGGAGCTGATTCACCTAGCGAGACTCTCGCATCCGACGGCCCTGAAAAAGGCGCACCTCCCGAAGGTAGTCTTCACACACGACACAGCGAAACAACGTACAGCACAGCCCGCGCGCTTTCGGCGCCCCAGCTCGACTGGCTCGCTGCTCTGCCATTGATCTTGCGCATCAAGCTGCCGTACCACCCAGCATCTTCCCTAAATGAAACTCTTATTGTCGTACATGCTGGTCTCACCCCTGGTGTCCCGCTGGAAAAGCAGGATCCCCATGCTGTAATGCACATGCGCAGCGTCACTCACCCGCCAGGCGATGAAGGCACCTTCGTGCCGGCGGAAGCATCGGGAGAGGAAGGCTGGGCTACTCACTGGGATCAGTGGCAGGACCAACTGACTACCCGAACTACTGTGATATTTGGGCACGATGCGAAACGTGGTCTGCAGCTGGGCAGCCATTCAATCGGACTGGATTCCGCGTGTCTATATGGTTACAGTCTTAGCGCGCTGATCGTGGAGTCAACCGATACGGGATTTCAGCATCGAGTAGTGCAGGTCAAATGTGCTGACACGCCTGTTGCCCCAACAGCATAAGCAGTGGCCATATCACTGGATTGGAACCCAGTGTGACTTGCAGCTATGCCGACCTAAGACAATGCGTGTCTTGTGTTACTTCAGGTCAAATCAAGTGAATCGATGGCCGCCCTGATATCAGAACGATTCGGCGCCTCCTATATCTTCTCGGTCGCTCAACTTTTAGCAACCACAAAAGACGCACTGACTTTCTTTCGTTATTTCCAGTATGCGTAGATTTGCAACTACTGAGGACGGGTGAGGGTCCGTCTACCACTTTCCTCGTTACACAATTTGGCTGCTCATGGCTTCTTACTAGACTCAGTGAGTTTAGGCCTTCTGCGCTTGGAGGCGTCGGCTGGAGAACGGGCTCCGCGGATACACCGGGGCCAAGTGTAAATATGGCTTCTTTAGCCGATGGGTAAGCGATTCCAATAGACACTGGCGGATCATAGAAAGTATTTAAAATCAACGTCTGGGCAACTACCAAAACAACACGCTGGGGGGTGACGGCCAACTTCTGCTATGCTCTTGAGCTGTTGGGTCCTGTACAAGCAGAAGAGGGCACTTGCTTAGATTTATTAGGTTGTCAATCCACTGGGATGTATCAATCCGCGGGCGCCTTCGAGGACTCTTAATTGCTGCATTCTGAAGTACTCGGCGATTCATATGCAAGACAAAGCAACAGGCGAAGCGCTGCAGCTTGAGCATGTACAACCCATCGACCTGTTTTCGCTGCCCAGCGGTCGAACCGTGGGCAACACTGAGGATGTCCTGGCGCGGGCTAGACGCGATGTTATAAACCCATAAGCCGGGCGAGATTGACCCCCGCTTCTGCTTTCAGGACCCGCCTCACGGTTCACAGAGTTCTTTGGGTCCTGCAGCACTTGACAGATGTGTGCTCTGATTTTTAGAAAGTTATATCTGAAAGCATTCGCGCCGAAGCCTGAGCGAGTTCGCTCTGGACAGGCTCTGGGATACACCGAGTGGTTTACAACGACTAATTAAGGAGAGGATCAGACTCATACTCTGGTCGCCAAGAAGAGACTTTTGCCCTCTCCGGAGTAGTACACGAGCACCCCCACGAGTCATGGCTGCGACAAGTGGATCACATCTGGGTGGTGAACCTGGAGGTGTGAATTTACGGGGTGCCCAGGCTGGGTGGGCCAGGAGATACGTGCCAGAGATATTCGCCCCCCGGGTCATTATCGGAGAAACCTGGGAGGACCGGCAAATGAGCCCTGAGCGCGCTCACTGTGCCGACTCTTGGCAGCGGGGACTGAAGTTTGGGACAGGCTTGGGTTTGTAAAGGGGAGATACGCATCTCCCCAAGTCTCAACGAAGCTGAGACGACATACCGACAATATTTCAAGTACCCTGCTCTATCAGACGAGGACGAAGCTTTTCCTAGTCTCGATCCGCCGTTCGGCTGGAGAATCACTTTCATTTATACGGTTTGCCGTGCTCGGCGGAATCCCGTACGGTGCTGGGCATGGCTTGGCGTAGTAACTCGGGACTCTCAACCCTGCTGCTGTGCCGGCCCGGTGTCTTGTACTCCGCTTGTTGGATGACTATTTCCCAGTTGCTCTTCGGAAAAAATGGGCCTACGTTCGTGAAATTCGGGAATCCTGCCCGATCCACGGGGTGGGGGTCTTCCATCATCCCATGATAGGAAAGATCGGCATGTGGGTTGCACTTAGGTCTCCATGAAAAGAGCAATCCGGGATGTCTTGGCCTATACATTGACTGGAGCTAAGAGCCCCGAAGTCGTGCGAAGTGGGGGAAATTTGGTATCTCCAACGCCCTGACGCAGGATGTGTGTCTGCGAACCCCGTGGAGGTTTACCCCGGCCATGTTAAACTTTTCACCCCAGCGAGAGGAGGTATAAAGGGTGCCACCTGAGCCCCGATCATTGCTGCTAATCATTTCTGGCCTGTATATCTCTTGGCTCTACTGTCGAGCTCTCTTGGTCCCAGGCCTCCCGACTCTACAGTACATTCTGGTCTTGCCGAACATGGCAGGCCTTCAACTCAACATCGACTGGAAGTCGAATCGACGGGCCATCGCCTTCTGTCTGGTGGCTGCCATTGGGGCCCTTTGCTATGGATATGATACAATCTACTATACCGGTGTTCAGGGTATGACATGGTTCGCTAAGGACTACGGAGAGGAAGGCTCAGATGGCTCCTTCTCGCTTGGAACAACGTTCCTGTCCTTGTCTGCTAGTATCATCTATGTGGGAGAACTCGCCGGTGCACTTGCCGCCGCCCCCATCAATGACTTTTTCGGTCGCCGTGCCGTGTTCCTATCTGCCTCGATCTGTATCGTTGTCGGAGCCGTCGTCCAAGCCTGCTCATTTGGCTCGCACCCGGTCTTCTACGTCAGCCGTGTCCTGATCGGTCTCGGTGTCGGGCAGTTCACTGCCACCTGCCTAATCTACATCGGAGAGGTGGCACCATCCGCTATCAGAGGCCCAGCTCTCATGTCTTTTCAATTCATGCAGTCCATCTCTCAACTAGTCGGAGCCTGCGTCAACCAAGGCACACAAGGCATCCAAAGCTCCCAGTCCTACCGCATCCCCATGTGCCTCCTCGTCGTGCTCCCCGGCATCATGCTCCTTTGCCTCCCATTCACCCCGGAAAGCCCAGTCTGGTACATGTCCAAGGGCAAGCGTGAGCAAGCGATCAAGTCCCTCCACAAGATTAACCGCAGCATGCCGGACTACGACCCGTCCGCGGATATCCAAGCCATCGAGGACGCAGTCCAACAAGAACAGGAAATGGCCAAGGACGCCACCTGGGCCTCCCTCATTACCGATCCTGTCGAGCGCCGCAAGCTGTTCTACGCCTGTGGTGTCATGTTCGTCCAACAAATCAATGGTATCCAGTTTTGGTACACCTACGGCGTCGTCTTCGCACAGTCTATCGGTGTGGCGGACCCCTTCACTATCAACACAATCATTTACGTCCTGCAGATCATCACGGTCGGTGTCTCCGTCGTCCTTGGGAACCGGATCAAGCGTCGTACGAACCTCCTCGTGTGCTCCTGCGGGATGTTCATCTCACTACTCACCGTTGGCGGTCTGGGAACTACCAAGGCCGATGATGGCACGCTCAGCCGTGGCATTGGCATTGGCATCGTTGTCCTGGCATACGTCAACATCATCTTCTACAATTTTTCCATCGGAACCCTCTCCTACTCCATCGCCTCGGAAATGTCCGTCGGCCGGAACAGAAACAAGATCACCTCGTGCGCGATGGGCGTGTTCTTCGTCACCGTCTGGCTCATGGTCTTCACCAGCCCCTATATGTATTATACGGCGAACCTAGGCCCGATGATTGGATTCGTATACGGAGGGACATCGCTGTTCTTACTGGCGTACTCGTGGTTCTGCGTTGGTGAGACTGCAGGGCGGAGTAATGCAGATATTGAGAGGCTCTTCCAGGATAGGGTTCCAGTTCGCGAGTGGGCGACGTATGTTATTCCTTCGGACGATGGGGGTGATTTGAAGAAGAAGGGCACCCAGGATGAGCAGATTGAGACGGTATGACTTATGAGAGCAGCTACCTGGCCTAATAGGAACGGTGGTGTGACGACGAATGATATATTCTAACCTTTATTATATTGCATTGATCTTGGAACTATATTTTGAATTATTTTCTCTATCTATGTATTGCTTTCTTTCTCTTTGTCTATATCTACGCGTGGGTTTGATGGTACGAAGCCAGCGGAAAAGAAACTCCTACTTTGTGCCTATAGAAAAAACCCCGAATCAGCCCAAGAGGCGATAGACACTAAACCTAAGGGCGCTGATGTTGTAAATCCGTTCGGCTGGCTGTTGATCCCCTATCCTAACTCAGAATTCTCGGTCCAACAAACGTCTAACTGGCTTCATATGACATGGCTAATTTTGGTGCACAGACACCAGAAAAATTGATAAAAAGTCGAGCAATGATTCAAATGGGCCTGGGTCTCTGTTCGATATAGAATTGGAATATTCTAAATCTAACTCTGCCTCGGCCCCTAGTCTCCATTTCCATCTTGCCTCTTATTCCTCCGCGAGGTTTCCTTTCGCCGTCATTCATATGTTTCATTTTCCTATGCGATTGCAAATATTAAATCGTGTATATTGTTTTGCCAACGTGATTGCAGGCTCCACAACAATTTTGTTGGAATGCCCAGACTTATATATTCTCACACAGAGGATATTTACAGGGTACCATCGCGGATGGAAGGAACTAAAGTTTTTTGATCACTACGGGCAGGGATTTTGAAGGCTGCCTCCTCACTATGCATACTTTTGGATCATTTGAATCCCCAATGTTGGCCTGGGGATGCCTTCCTGCATGCTCTGCCTGTGGATAAGTGTAATAAAATGAATCAATGATTGATATTCATCCTGCCAGGCTAGCGCTTACTGTCTATTAATGACTCGGACGGCTCGAAGGACTTTGGGATGCATCTATTGGGCGCTCACGGTGGGTTTGTGACGACTTCATTATCGATACCCCTTTCAATCGGGCTATAATGACATTCCGGAGACCGGTGATGAGGCGGTACTCACATCCTGCGCAACTGAGCATGGTCGAAGCATTGCCTGGCTGATACATGGATTGCTGACATGGCGAATATTTGCCAACTGTTCCGATGTTACATCCGTCTATCAGTCCACCGGGAAATAGATGAATCCTTTCCGGTCAACCATGATGATCACCACGGAGGCGGGTGACTACTAAAGTCCGATATCCCAAGTTATCCAGCGAAAGTTTTCGCACTCCGCTGCTAGAATCTATGCTTCCGCACGCATGGAGAACCACGTGGCTTGCTACTATGCTCCTTCGGCCTCAGAATGATGAATCTAGGACCCCCTTCCGCAGGTTTGGCCCAGTTGCAGTTGACGTGAAATGCGGAGATTAGCTTTAGAGTGCTTGGCAGGGCTTGTTAGAACCTTATTTGCATCCTTCGGTTATCAGCAAGCAAGGTCAAGTATTGAACTGGCTTCCGCTCCTACGTATAAATTGCCCACCGGGGGCGATGTTGTACACCAGGCAAACGAGCTGCCACCGTACTTTCCTTTCTGTCACCTTATCATTTCCCACTTACTTCTACTTCAATATGCGTCTTTTTACACTTCTTGCAGTGGTGACCCCCCTTGTCGTTGCTCTGCCGGCAGAAAAGAGGGAGTCCGGTTGTGTTGCCCTGAACAATTGCCCCGGTAAGAGGGAAATTCTCGAGGGCATCTCTGAGAAGGAAGCAGGCTGCATCATCCTGAACAACTGCCCGGAAAAGAGGGAAGCGCTTATGGGACTCTCTGAGAGGGAAGCAGGGTGTATCATTCTGGGTACTTGCCCTGAAAAGAGAGAGTCTGGCTGTGTAGCGCTGAACAACTGCCCTGGTAAGCGAGGAGAGGCTGCAGGTCTGTCGGAAAGAGAGGCGGGCTGCATCATTCTTGGAACATGTCCTGAAAAGCGGGAGCTTTTCAATGGCCTCTCCGAGCGAGAGGCAGGTTGTATCGTCTTGAACACCTGCCCCGAAAAGAGAGCAGCTTTGGTTACAAGAGAGTCTGGCTGTGTGGCCCTTAACAACTGTCCCCCAAAGAACTAGGAGGAGTACGTGCTATCTCCTATAAGCCAATGCAACATTCGCTGACTATTTGTTGTAGCCATTACTTGCCAGCTCTTCCCTACGCGTCACGGATGCCACATAGCAACCTCTGTAGCCTGACGCTACACGGCAAGATTATGACTATGGAAGGAGAAGTGATAAGACGAGGAATATGGCAGTCTGGGCTTGATTTTGTCAGATTCAAACAATCTGTCTGCACATGTTGATATCTGGTCTCTTACTAGGCTGCACCTAGCTTGCTGGTTGTATGTCTCGAATATGATTAGAAATAGCAATTGCTGTGCGCTATATCTCGTTTCTCAACACCACGATACACCTTTTGTAACATGGATCGACATCCATTATCTTATCGGACTAGCGCCACTCTCTATACATAATCCAACTGACTGGTGGGCTGTGGGTCAGTTCCCGGAATGGCCCTGGAATTTTGTACGTAATACTGTAGGGCTGTAGCGCGGGGAAATGATGGAGAGCGCCCAGTTGCTCCTTTCTACTACCATTATCTTTGCTCAGTGAGTCCATATCGCTCCTCGCCGGATTTTTATTAAAGCTCACTATAATTGCCACGGATTTAGGATCACGTATCTCTAGGTTTAATACCCAAGAGTTCCCAACCATGGCAAGCTCTTCTTTCTGAGAACCATGCAACTTCTTCATATTTATGATGACATGTGCATTTATCGATATGCCCAATATCTCTGTTCTAGGTCAGACAGGGCCATGGCCCATGGGTGCCTAAAGTTTGGGCGAAATTGATTCATGCATGATTGTCACCAGGCGCTTTGCATAATATCTAACCATCTCAAGTTACCAATGCTATCAGCCGGCCTGTACTCTCGCAAGCAAAATCCTAGTCGAACTACTAATGGATTACAAAATTGGAGTTTCCCCGCGCGAACAACCGAGAATACCCTCGTGAAGACCCAAAAAAGTGGAATTCCTAGCATTGGATCGGCCGTCTGCAAGCACTTGGCCGGGCCCACCGGACAGTAGCCTGTTCGCCGAGCTTTCCATCAGGGTACGCACACGCACTCCACTGCTAAGGCCGAGTCCTTCACCATGGCAGGGATCAGTACCGGCTCCTAATAACTCAGTCGTGCCCTTCTTTCGATCAATGAACCGTGCCACAGCCCCCAAATCGACGCTTTCCGGTCTGTCTTTGCGTTCGGAGGATCATATCCATGGATGATAACTCTCAAGTACTGTCATCCCCTCAGCCAATGGCATCGGAGACTGGTACTATCAAAACCTCTCCCACCCATGTCCACCATGGGAAAGAATTCGACCTCCGGGAGTGCGATGAGCAGACCCCAAACAGTGAGAACGCAGGTTCCAGCAGCGTAGCAGGCTTGAACGAAGTCTTTTATCGTACTGGTCTGACCGGTCACCTATTCCTGGTGGTTATTATCATCTCTCTCGGTCTCACCATGTTTGTCTATGCCATGGATGAGGGGGTCACCCAACAGTTTACGCTGATTGCGGCCTCCTCCTTCAGCATGCACGCCCAGCTGGGCGCGGTGAACACCGCCAGTACGGTGATTAATGGTATCACCAAGCCAGTAATCGGCAAGCTGGCCGACGTCCTGTCCCGTCCGACCAGCTACATTATCTCTCTCCTGTTCTATGTGATCGGATATGTGGTGGCGGCCAGCTGCACGAACTTTGTCGCCTACACCGTTGGCGTGGCCCTCACGGCGGTTGGCAAGGCTGGCCTCAACATCCTCTGCCAAATCATTGTGGGCGACCTGACGACCCTGCAGTGGCGCGGCTTCTGGACCAGCATGATCATCGCTCCCTACCTCGTGACGACCTTCACCAATGGCTTCATTATTGATGCCTTTGTGCCCGAACAGTGGAGATGGGGTCTGGGCATGTTCGCTATTATGATCCCGGTTCTGCTCATCCCCGCGATCATCGCATTATACGGGACGCAGCAGAGAGCTCGCCATATCAGAAGAATGGGGAGTGGTGCGCCAGAGAAAGAAAAGGAGAGCACGTTACATACAGCCTGGCAATGTTTGATTGCGATCGATATTCCCGGCCTCGTGCTGCTCGGTTTCTCCTTCTCGCTCATTCTTCTTCCTCTGTCACTTGCTGAGGCTGCTGAGAATGGCTGGAAAAACCGCAGCATGATTGCCATGGAAGCTGTTGGCTTCGTCATTCTCGCGCTATTTGTTGCATTTGAGATGTACATCGCGCCGAAGCCTATCATGACGAAGCGGATCATCGCCAACAAGGTCTTCCTGGCTGCCCTGGGCGCCAACCTTTTCGACCAAATGACAACCACACTGGGAAGCAACTACTTCTCGTCGTATATCTATATCATCAAAGACTGGGACAACTACACCTGGACCGTCTTTACCGGTGCCCGGAACCTTGCCATCACTGTCTTTAGCATGGCTGGCGGTTTCCTCCAGGTCCGATACCACGGTTATCGCACCCAGATGATTATCGGGGCCGTGCTGAAGGTCGTGGGCTACGCGGCGTGCCTCACGAGCGACCAGCGCAGCACACAAAGCACGGCTGCGCTGGCCATCTCACAGGTGCTCCTGGGAACCAGCGCTTTGACTGCCCTTGGGTCCCGCATTGGAGCCATGGCCTCGGTGCCTCACGAAGATATGGCCTCCATCATCGCCGCTTATTTCCTTTGGACGTATCTGGGCAGTGCTGCTGGGTATGCCATTGCTTCCGCGATCTGGACGGATCGTATGCTGGGGTTCATGCGCCAGGAGCTTCCAGACGCCCCGGACAGTACACTCCAGGAGATCTATAGTTCCGTGAGTATTCTTCACACCGAGTATGACTTGCATGACCCCATCCGTGAGGGGGCTATCCGAGCTTATGCGCGCACCAACGGCATCATTTTCATCGTCGCCGCCGCCATCTCCACGCTATCTATCTTCTGCTCTTTTATGATGCCTGGTAATTGTCCTCTCGGTCTTCTATAGTTCCCTGACGGTATACATGCTTACATCTTTCAATTCCATAGATTATTACCTTGGCAAGCAGCAGAACGCCGTGACCAATTTAGGCCTCGATGGCAAACCAGTCGAACTCCCGACGGGTGGCAAGAGGGAGCAGAGCTTCTGGGCTCGGATGAAGTCTAGGTACTTTAAGGAGACGTAATTAAGGTTCACTGACTATAGTTGTATTGAGTGACGGAGCCAACAGGAGTGGTGATAAGAGTTATAACTGCATTTCCATATGGTCTGTGTGCATATATATATCTCTAGGGTGTGACGGCGGTGTAAATGAACATCCAGGGTAGAAATACTTAGCAACAAACAATACAAACGATGAATATAACAAAACAGACCACCATGCAGAGCGACCGAACGAGCTGTCAAACAGCGTCTAATGCAAAGCAATGACCAACGAGAATCACACTCAAAGGCCGATAAGAAACGTTCCCCGCATGAGATATCGGCGAAATCCCGCGACTTTGGATCCACTCGCGGCTGCGACCGTCGGCCTGACCCGCGATCGGTCAACGCCGGACAGTCGCTGTATTTAAGAAGGACACCCCTTCCCCTACGCTGACATTCGTCGCATTGCCTGTCTGGAGATTGGATCTACAAGTCTACCGGGTCATTTACAGCGAACAATTCCGCAACCATGGGCAACGACAACAACATCCGTGCATATTATGCACCCACCGGCGGACTGCCGCCGCAGACGCAGCTGCTCACCGACCGTGCCATGTTCACTGAGGCCTATACCGTCATTCCCAAAGGCACCTTCAGCGACATCGTCACCAGTTTCCTGCCCTTCTGGGAGCAGACGCGGCTGTGGGTGATCGCCCGTCCGCTCTCGGGCTTCGCCGAGACCTTCTCCCAATACATCATGGAAGTGCAGCCGGGGGGTGGCAGTGACCGCGCCGAACTCGACGAGACCGCCGAGGGGGTGCTGTTTGTTGTGGAAGGCCAAGTCAGCATCACCCTGGCCGGCGAGACGCACACACTGACCGAGGGGGGATATGCGTATCTGCCTCCGAAAAGCGGGTGGACCCTGCGCAACACGGGCGTGGCGACTGCGCGGTTCCATTGGATCCGCAAGGCGTATGAAGCGGTGGCCGGCCTCGACATGCCCGACCCACTGTTCCTCAATGAGAAGGACATCGTGCCCACGCCGATGCCCAACACCAACAACGCCTGGGCCACCACGCGCTTTGTCGACCCCAACGACCTGCGCCACGACATGCACGTCACCATCGTCACCTTCGAGCCCGGCGGTTCCATCCCCTTCGCCGAAACCCACGTCATGGAACACGGCCTGTATGTCCTCGAGGGCAAAGCCGTCTACCGGCTCAACCAGGACTGGGTCGAGGTCGAAGCCGGCGACTTTATGTGGTTGCGCGCCTTCTGTCCCCAGGCCTGCTACGCCGGTGGCCCAAGCAAGTTCCGCTATCTGCTCTACAAGGACGTCAACCGCCACATGAAGCTGTCGCGATAGACTCGCAAAGGCCGTGCACGAACGGGGCCGGACCGGAATAACGACCTTCCGGGCCGGAAGAGGGCAATGCGGGCAGCCGAGGTTGCAAACAACCAATCAGCCAGCCGGAAATCCAATCATGAATTGTAATGCCACCACACTTTTCTTTTCTCAGCCACAGGATGTGAGGGATACACGAACAGTGATGATTGATGTAAATAATCAGATACCACAAACCATATAGAAAAATGCCAAACAGAGAAGACCGCTATGACGGAAACAACCAGACAGCCGCCTCCCCCCGAGCAGAACGCAGTGCAGTTATTTGCTAAATCGACGTCAGGGTGAAAGAGATGGAGGAAAAGTAAGGGAGTACAGAACTATGTATAGCATTGAGTTGTACAATATGATTAAGAGTCCCCATTGAAATACATTAGAAGATACGGATAGGAGTAGTGCCTTTCAACCACATGTCTTCTCATTATTCTGAAATTGCCATGTTTGGTTGTGATGATATTCAACATGATCTGATGATCCAATGTCTTACGAAATACGATTTTTAGGTGACAGTTCACACATAGTGCACTCTGGATTTAGAAGTAATTGTTGGAACGGTCAGGCACGTTCTAACTCGAGAGCCCCGTCGGCGTTGCGGGCATGCTTTTGTATAAACTCGGCCTTCACGCGAGGAATAATCTGCTGCGCCTCGCTGAACTCTTCATGGCTTACCAGTCCCGACGCGTAAAAGAACTTTTTCCTTACCATCGCTTGAGCCCCTTGCATTAGCTCAAGACCGAAGTGTGCGCCCGTATGGTCTACGTCGATCCTATGTAGCATGTCCGCCGAGAAACATATAAGGGAGTTTTTATCACCGTCCTTTAATCGTGGAATATCTCTCCAGCTCTGTCGCTGCTGATCTGCCAACAGTGCTAAATAAGTTGCTTCGCCATTGAGTAGAAGGTATCGCGCGAACAGAAGCAATTCAAAACACATGTTTTCACGAAACTCAAGCGCCTTGAACAGTTGCGGGATCCGCTTGTGGATCAGGTGTCCGTATAAAGAGACAAGTGATATGTTGGTGAATAACGAGATAGTCTTATAGTTGGCGATGGACTCCAGCTTATCATAAAAGAGTGCGCGAATATCCACCAGTTTGGCTCGGTCAAACAACCCATCCAGCGGTGGACCATCATAATCAAGAATATAGGGTTCAACAGTATGATCATGTAACGTGCTAATTCAGTCGATTGCCAGTTAATAATTCGATAGATATCCGACGGATCTATAGGATTGACAAAGATATCCTCTGCATGAAGATCATCCTGCCAGATATGGGAGGTTTGCATAGACTCCTCGGGGAACAGGAACTTCAGTAATTTGAGGTAACGTTCCACCGCGAGGATCTTCTGGTTTCTGGACGGTTGGTACGTCCCGGAATAATAGATGTGAATCGGGGAGGTCGGGAGCTGTCATACGTTTCTGATGCAATGTAATTCGCGGAAACCCGTGGCATGTTCATAGTCTTCTGCGGTATTCCCTATAAAAAAGTGAGTGTGGGATAGAAATGGCGGAGGTCACAGCACGTACAAGGGGCTTTATCAAAGTCCATTTCAATCCTGCTGGCATCGCTACTTTGTCTGTTTACTAATAGACTAATTACAAAGCAATTGTCAACTATAGTCCTGCCATAATAATCAGTATATTCAGCACAGGGGGCCGAATCCGCGAGGACTGGTTTATAGTATAAACTCTTGTAGTGCGAAGAATAGGTACATACCCACGTTTCTTAGTATAATATAACCCTTTCCAGCACCTTCATCTTAATTTTCACATCAAGTTAATTCCATAGCATACTCAATTAGACACCGCGTATGTTCACGGTAAGAGTATACTCCACCCCCACCAAATTGTCCGTCGTGGAGCTCCAAGAGAATACCTTTAGAAGCGGTATTCCCATTATATACCTCGTCTAGCCTAGGACCATTATCTGGCTCGTGTATCCACATCAGGGCGTAGGTTATAATACAAAATCCATTGTGGCAACCTCGGAGACGGTCATGAAATGCGGCTTACCAACATTTAGATTATGTACTTTACCCACCGCTTGAAAACCATTATCCATCGTGAACCGTACAGCCTTATTGTATATCCCATCGGCCAATTTCTCAACATTTACGCATCGCCGGATCTCAGTACTAACAAGCTGGGCGGCCCGGACAGCTACTCACTCGAGCTCGTCAATATTAAATTGAACGTAACTTTAGGCCAGGTAACGTGGCTGGTCACGAAGAAATCGGCCGCGAGTGAAACGAAAGAACTCGTCATTGTTGTTCCAACTGCTCAGGTTTGTTGAAATATTTCGAAGTCAGCTTGACGGAGGGGGTGTGATTGACATCTGTCCCATAGCTCAAAATGGAGTTCGTCGGTGCAGCCTAAATCAAGGAGCTACTTTCAGCAAGTGATTGCCAATGTCCTCTTCTGTGACTGGAGAACAATACCAAAACATCTGCATAGGATGGAACTCAACCTGTATAGTGAGTACCTGCAACACATAAGGGGTATGAGACCGCTTGGCTTTGGCAAGGTCATTTGCGTCTACGTATGAAAAGCCTTGTTGCACTTGGGGCAAGTTGATAGATGAGTATGAGCCACGTATCCCTGTCTCAGCCACATCAACTGGCAGCCACAGTTGGGCACCTTTATTTAGACCTTTGCGTTTAGGCCTCGAATATTCAATGAAAATAATATAATCAACCAACTGTCATAGCAAAATCTTACCTTGGTACAAACATGATAAGGTACTATAAGGGCTACAAATTATAACGTGGGGATACAAGTGAGATATCTGTTGTAAGCACATATATTCTATTTTTCAGTGATCATTATCACGGACTCCTAGTCCTGTGCTCTATATACTTCACATGCTTGGTGCACCCAGGTTTCCAGAGGTTTTCTGCTCAGGGCAATTATCGCTGGAAGACTAGCTATCTAGATAGTGTGGTGAGGTGTGATCTCGTGGTTGTTGCTACACGTTGGGAGGGTCAATGGTAGCTGACAATGTCCAACGTGCTAAAGTCGTTGAGATTCCGAAAGTTGAAAATACGGTCAATCTTTGCTCGGAATTGCTCGGTGAGAGCCATGTTGTTGAACTATATAACTGCTAGATGCCCGTGACAGATGTCTAGCGCGGCCTACCTCGTTTCTATACCGGATGACTAGTAAATTGGATAGGATGAGCCCAATGCCCAGGACAGCCGAGACTGGAGACCTCACGAAGGCTGCCAGAAACTATTCAGTTGGCCCTAATGACACGCAAGCATAACTCTAATCGCCGTGGGTGATTCATAGGGACAGTGTCCTCACTTGAGAGATCTCGGCCAAAGCTTCAGTGCCACCTCGCTAGACTACAGAGGTACGCTATAAAAGCTGGTTCTTGAAACCAACTGACAAGTATTGAATTTGGCATACTATATCGAGAAATGTGATATACACAGAACAACGTAGTTACTGTTCCTCTCAGCTGCATGTTGACAATGACGTTCGTCTCCCTAGAGTCCCTTCCCACTATGTCCAATGTCGATGTTAGAACAGAGGAAATGTGACACGGTTTTCATAGTCCACGTTGCCCTTGTGACCTTCAATACGTTCACGGCACGTGCCGAAAACGCGATCCCAGACGCGAGTCTGCTTGCCGTAGTTGTGGCTGTTCCTCCATCCATATCGGTGATGTAGGTCATGGTCTTCGATCACCAGGTCTGCATCAAAGGCCTCGAGCAACCAGTTGAGAGTAGAGGGCGCGCCGCCGTGAACCCGGAGCCCGCTATGTCCGATGATTTCAGAGAAGGCGACATATTGATAGCAGACATACCATTCGTAAAATGACATCGGTAGTCCCATTAGTTTCAGAGTGGCGTACGCAAGCAGCGGGATGCCCATCATATCCATAAACTCCTGCTCATGGTCCGCATAAGCACCAAGTAGCGGGTGGGGGTGTTTCGTTAGATGGTGCGTGCGATGGAATTTCCACAAGATAGGCACCGAGTGCATCAGGCGGTGGTACCAGTAGAAGAAAAAGTCCACCGTGATGCTGTAGAGTGCGATCTCCAACGCGAGCCAACCCCAGTTAAAAGACAATGGGAGCTCCTCCGGTCGATAAGAGAGGTAGACAGACATGGCCAGCCGAAGTACTGGGACCGACAACAGTTCGGCCGCTACTCGGTCCACGCCAACATCAGGGATGTCATCTCGTGCATGTTTGTCCCCGTCCAAGAAGCCGTAGACCCCACCGAGGCGGCGAATGGTTTGCGTAAGATGGATGCCGGTCCCATAGAATGCCGTGTTATACCAGAAGAAGACGGCGACAGGGTGGAGGGTACGGCCAGTATAGGCTATGTATGTTTGGTGAAGAGCGAGCGGAATCAGGGCGTGTAGCAGAATCCACAGATGGACCGTCCACTCTCGCACGGACGGGACCTTTTCTGTCTTGGCATGGACTGGCACCTTTCCATCGCGGGGAATGAGGCGTGTGCCCAGCAGGTCAAGTAGCCGGTGGGAGGCTGTCCATTGTGATCGGTCGCCATCGCGCCAGGTCGACACCATGGAATCGCGGGGATTGCCTTTCGAAGTCGTCTGAGTCTCCATCGCTCACTGTGGTGTTCCGCTTTGGGGGAAGAGACGAGGGTTAGGGCGCCAGATCTACATAGCCTGCTGTCTTATATGCCTGGCGTAGGCCCAAGTCGCTCGGCACCATGTGTGGTCGGTATATCATGTGAGATCGACGGTCATTAGCCCCTCCACCCGACCAGTTGCAGGTGTTTGGTCATCCAACGGCTTCTACTCCATTGATCCGCCCCCAGGATGTCATTCAGGGTCCTGTTGGGGAAGAGCAAGTGTCCGTAATTGGCTCCGTGTGGTGGGCATCTTGCCTCGGTCCGGTTGCGTTTGGCGATCTCCAGAGCGGGGAAATCCTGTTCCATTGTTGGACCTCTAATATCAAGAGCAACATTCGGAATACGATTGTTGCAACATACGATTACACATATCTGGGTGGACCCTGCTTTGGTAGGCTTCCTACTGCATCGGCATGGATTCTATTGGCCTCTCCTAGGGCAAACCTCGCACTTAGTCTGGTCTAGCTTCTCGGGTTCAGTGGTCTCGCATCGAATTCCCAAAATGATTTGTATTGCGTAGGTCCATCAGTATGCATCTCAACTGCTTTTGTTTCAGATGCAAGCGTTTGGCTTGGCAAACGAGCTGTTGACTTGTGCACCGCAAAGGCACGCTACCTTTCTTGGTCGAGGATAGGTCTTCCTTTCCTGTCCGCATGACTGGATGACATGCTTAACGCCTGTGATCCTCAGAGAGGACCCAGAAACTGGAACATAGTGCATGCTCTCACGTGCCGTCCTTTGAAATCCCTTCGTGTAGCTCACCTCGAGTGGTAGAAGGCCGACACCATTCATAGGACCACTGCACGACAGCAAGTGGCATTGGGCGAGAACTGGACCAATGGTTGTTATCCCCCCGACATAAGAGTGCCTCTATGATAGCCTCGCATCCGCGGCACGCTCCGGATTGAGAAACAGCATGTGCCGCGAATTGGCAGTGTCGAACGTGAACGTACATGGCCGGATCTTGGAGAAAAGTCGGAGTATAGTCATTATCAGGCCAACATTAGGAGGACTTGGAGCCGGCTGATAACCCCTTCGGACCACATGACTCTATCCTGGGTCATGGCTTCAACAAGTCTTTTGAAGACCTCGGATAGGTTGGCTTTCCAGAGAGCAATAGTTGACGTCCTGATTGGGTTTGTAGCATCTCCTTTGAGGAGGTAGTTTCAGATGCGATTATCTCACTTATGTCCACCGAAGGTGACGGTCGAGAGCCTCCAACGTATACTGATGCTGGCAGTTGGTGGTTGACAGCACTTCACCCCATCCCTCTTCCGGCAGAAGTATCTGATTCGGACACGAGGGTCGCCAAGGGTGGACTGTAGATATGGAGAATATAGAAACGACTTTCAGTGTTTGATCTTGGTTCAATCGTTCCTGTCATATGGTCGCGTCCATATCTTAAACGTGATTGTTGCCGCGTAAGAGGCCTGCGAGATTGGATGTGTAAAGATTACCCGGAGCCGTTTCGGTCGGCCGTATAGCCCCGCATGAATACATTGAGTGTTGGCCATTGGAAAGCGTTAGAAGACCTCGCCACCTGTCGGGAAGGTATACTCTAATACAAAAGGGCGTGCGACTGAGGGAGCAGAGACGCCCGGCCGCAACCCGCAATAGCCGGGTAGAGCTGTTTCCATTCTCAAAAAGCAGTGGAAACCGGCCTACTTCTATTATTGACGTATTGTTCGAAGCAACTTAGGAGGCGGTGCTATCCAGGCACTTGGCCGTTGCCATAGCATGATCTTTGCGGATGATCCTTCGTGAAGATGTAGCCGGCGAAGTGTGGACTGCGTCCAGCTCCTCTGAAGAAGCTGAACCGTGGATACTAGGCTTGGGGATCGGAAATCTTCCTGTATTTCTTCTTTTGGACCCGATTTGCATAGATTATAGAATTGAGAACTCAAAATAAAGATCCACACGCATTTCCCAACCCAAGCTATGTCTCACATGCTTCTTTTGTTTTTCTTCCCCTGCGCTATGCGTTGCTTCTCCGTCTCGATCTGCAGTCAGACCCGCATTTGCATCTCTAACTCCACTGCCGATTATACAATAATGAAAACAACTCTCGCCAAAGGCAGAAATGACAGCACATCGATTGTTCAGGGCGTTATGATTCATGGGAGCTCCGGCGGTTGAGTGGGAAGGTTCATGTTCGACTAGATTTACGCGGTGAAGACTTGGACGGGTTTACGGTTATCACATTAATGGATTCCAGCAGCTAGAACTCATAGATCAAATCCAGACACCGATATATTAATCGGTCATTGCATTACTGGTGTGTGCGGGTAGACAAACTTGATACGCGATGGTCCACGAAAGTCTTTATAGTGGAGCTCTAAAAAGCCATCCAGAAAGTTGGACGATATGCTGTGATCGATGATGCTGGGACAATGGCTCGCAGGAAGGTAGGATTTGTAATTGAACGCAGCAAGGGGTGAGCCCTGAATACAAGAGAGAAGTGCTCGAGCTATAGAGGAAATCCGGTGCGTATGTATCACAGATATTTACTTCGTCTCCCCCTTGGCTAGAATTTGGGACCTCTCCAGTTGAAATAATTTAAAGTATCATGTGAGTACAGGCAAAAACTAATATGATTGCATAAAGACCTCGACTTATGCATTGCGTCGAAGCCCGAGTTCGCTTTCGAGTCTTGAACCAATAAACAACAGATGTTGGCAAAGAAGCCTGTACAGGAACACACGGAAGACTATCAGTATATCTTCAGCTACCCAATCAATATCTTGCACCCAGAAAATAGGAGCATATAAAGGGATGTCAACAATATAGTAAGATCATTACGAGAGGTTGAGAAGTGTTGATTACGCTTTTCTTTGTGGACATTGCTGCTCTTTCAGCGTGGTACAAGTGACAATATACCATAACGCAAATCCTGCAATCATCTATCTATTATGCAGCGTAAACTGGGAATACGCAAATAAGACACCGATTGAGTCATTTACGTATAGAATAAAGGACACTAACCCCAAATTGCATAAATGAAGGCCAGGTATGTACAAACATTAACGGAGCAGGAGTCTTGGTATGCCTGCTATACACTGTTTCATAGGCCGCAACCCATCGCATGGCATATCTCAAAGTATCTCCCATGGTCCAAGCTGATGCTTCCCGGTTATCCATCTGACCTCGCTGGGGATAATATAGGGAGTCATTGATATTACTTGCAGCCGGCTCCGCAGCAGACCCCAACACAGATCGCATAAGCAGCTGGGCCATTAAGCCAAGCAACTGCGCACTGCGCCGCACAGTTGCTGCAACAACTACTGGCCTGCACCGGAGGTTCCGTTCCTGTCTGCTGCGCCATGGCAGTTACTGCAGTCATGGCCAGAGCAACAAGTGAGAGTTTCATGGTGATAATATCTAATTCGTTAGCCGAACGTCTTGTGAGAGGATTACTTGACGTACCCTTATCGGGCTATTCTCCTGGTGTAGAACTGAGGAGGATGTATACGGAGATTGGTATTTCCTTATGGAGGACAAAATCGCAGTGGTATGGTTTGTAAAAGCTAGCAACAGTGGAATGAGTTGCAGGAAGAATGGGTATGGTCAGAATGAAGATTGAGTGCAGTTCAAGTAGGCGTTAAGGCATTCTGGTCCAGCTTGAAGACCTGTATTTATAGCGGGCATCCTACTGCGGGGAAGCGCTGGGGACGGAGATATCCATGATTTCTTCCCCTCATACGTGTGGAACGGAACTTTCAGCTGGCATTGGAGTTTCTTGATCGTCGGTTTACACTGCATATCTAGCTTTAGGTCCTTTCTTGACCGTCCCACGTATCTTGGAACTGCGCCAAATCATGGCGTTAGTGAGTCGAGGTTACTGTACTTGCCCGCTTTCAAGGCAGGTGGACCGGTGGGCCGTGACGACATTCAGTGTGTCATATAACCAGTTATACGCAGCTTACCCTGTGGGTATGAGAAGATCGACACGTAAAACCGGCGCAAGAACATCAGATACGAGGCTAAGTTCAATGGTTGCTTGTCCAGGTTACAGAAGTAGAACAACTCTTCAGGTGTGATGGACCATGACACCAAATACTACCATCCCCTCTATAACCTTAAATCCCAAATGCCTCGACAATCAATAAACCTTACGGAACTTCAGTGCCAGTAGGGCTTTCGCTTTGCCAACTAGGGGCAGGGACTAATGATAGAGAGGCGGGCGTTATCAAACAGGCTGTACTAGCAGAGAATGTCACATTCGACCCGCTTAGATCTGAAGCTTGGGCCTGCGATCCGTAGTCGAGTAAGTTTCCCGCATATCATACTACATCCCTTCCCGTTCCATCAAGGAACGGGTGGGTATTAGCCTCAAGTACAGATGATGTCAAAGTTCGATCTGCACAAAGGTAGCACAATTATTCGGGGGCTGTTTGTGCTTATCAGCAGGTGGGCAAGCATTAGTAAAAATGAACTGGGGCCCGTACTTTGCTCGGACAGCACCAATTCCTCCTCAACATGACGGTAGGTAGGCCACTCGAGCTAACCGATCAAGCTGAAAAACGGAAACATATGGAGAATAAGGGCTTCTACCCAAGATTACATCAAGGATAGAGACGTATGTCAGGGATCATCCACTGTTTTCCGATCGACAGTTGTCTAGACATTGGCCAAGACTGAAATGTCAACCATATACAGTGGTCGATCGTGACGGTCGACAGATTAGAGTTTGACACATGTTCGTCCTTTTCTATTCTAGAGATGCTGTGCCTACTACAAACTGCGCCAGGTAAAGGATGTCTATATCCAATTTCAAACCTAAAGTACCTGCCAATCCTGTCAGGCCTGCATTGTATTGGACGCCATGACCCACTCCCTTCGTCATAGCATGATCGGCAGTGTGCGAGCTTATGCAACCACCTGTATATATATTACTAAAACACCAATCAATGCTCACCACGTAACCCAACATTCGCCGGCTGTTATCACAGTGGAGACGAACTATCCGCTACCCGAAGCGGCGCTGTAGAGGACGTTATTGGTAGATGACAGGCCATTGTGAAGAGTGAAGAACCACAGATCTGCATCCTCCATGAGGGGGGAATGGATCGTCCGCGGTTCTTTTGGGGCGAGATGCAAGCCTCCGCCATGAACCTGCGGGGAGCGCACCATAGTATCTGACGTTGATTACTGCTCCACGAAAGATAGTTGGAGACCTGCATGCTCTTCCTTGATTTCTGCTACGACGCATTACAACTTCTCCGGCGAAGGGCATGAGCTCAGCGAGAGTATGTGGTGACCTATTTATATCTCGACCGTATTTCTTAATATGGGCAATTTTTCCAACGGGAGGGAGACTGATGATCGTCGAATAAATCTTGGTCGGTGGAGCTGCACTTCCTTGCTCCTTTAAGACTCCGTTTCCTTGTTAGAACAACACAGACGTGAGGAGAAAACCACTGGCTATGGCCATGCGACCAAAGTGACGCCCAGAAATACTCTGAAACCATGACGATAACACTCCACTAAAGGCTGGCAGCCGCCTTACCCGTGTAGTAATCTTGCGGTCCATCAGTAGAACTCCTAACAGAAATTTCCCCAAACCGTCTTTGACGGTATATAAAGCAGACCACATTCCCACACGTCACTATTCAACCGGATCCTTTTGGATGGGAATAACATGTTGTGTTGTCAGCAGCTTATACGTACGTCTCAGATGCGATCAGGTAGTGACTGGATACAGACTTTGAACAACAATCTATATACATCCACGAAACAATCAGACGTCAACATACGGCAGGCCAGTCGCATATCCAAACCCCAATTCTAGCCATAGCTGTGAAAATCAGTCTTTACCATCACAGATATACCCCTCAGCGGCCAATGCCTCGCGTCGATAACGCATACCCTGCCCCTCCCCCCATACCAGACACTCAGAGCCCAAGCCTGGCCAATCGCTCCTGTCCCCGATCTGTGAATAACAGAAGCCCATTGAAGTACCCAACCACCCAAATCATTGGGTAACGCCAATGGAACCACAGTGGATGTTCAGTCGCGCCGAACCAGCCAAAATGTCGATCGAGGTTGTAGCACAGATAGTTGCAACTGCTAAGTATAAGTAGCGACAGAATCCCCGTGAAATGTGCCGCTTTTTTACCGTAGTAGTGGTCGACAATGAAGCAGTTGATCAGACCTCCCATCGCGCCGCCCATTCCAAGTGGACAGAAGACCAGAGTCCATAAGATCTTGTAAAGAAGGTCCCGGGTACCCGTCATAATGAAAACACCGACCGCCAAGAAGATAATCTCCGCGAAAAGAGAATTGAGCCAGAAGAGGAGGAACGGTCGGAGATAGACATTTCGTCGTTTGTGAGCAGTCTTGGTGTCCTGCTCTCCGGTAATCAACACTTGGTAGTTCATCGGTGGCATTGTGATCGAATGGGTCTCGTGTGGCTTGATGGTATGCAGTGATAATGTCCTGTAACTCAGTACCCATGAAGGGGTTTAAAAAGGTTTGCTATTTCGACCCTGGAGTGCCGTAAGTTAATTTCGATGTCATTCCTATAGACAACACCGAGGTTTCGGTATGTGCGTTGCTTTGTATTTCTAGTGATTAGCTACTCACCGAGGTTATGTAGGATTGTTATCATGATTCGTCCTACCCGAGGATTAGTGATCCACCGGGGAAATCCCCAAATTGCTCGCGAGTAGTTGCTCGGAGTTGTATTAAAACCCAAGTGATAACTTCGCCAGGGGTTTTACCGACGCGCATCGGGGCGTTAGGATTAGTGATCTTTCCGATCCACCAGACATGCGCTCCGAAGACATTGACACGTATTGAATATCTCCCTTCCGAGCTGATATCGCTGCAAACCCCATGGTGGAATTGAGAAGCCCCCTTGATATGACAGCCAGCATTAAGCAATTTTTGACTGCACTGCCCTGAGCAAGCCTACACTTCTCTGAACACCGTACAGAAGCACTACATTCCGTACACAACTAGACATTGCGACCTGAGGGGGTACCTCAAGAAGAAACGCCATCCTGTTATTCGTACGGGTGTTCAAATCTGGCCGTCCGCCAAGACATCACTTGGTTGCCAGAAAGCTTGCCAGACCCTAATCTGGGTTATGTCCCGTATCCAGACTGTTAGGAATCGAGAGGGACATGGTTCTATCATCGCCGTTCCATGCTCTCAAAGGCGTAGGTATAACGTAGTATCTATGGCTATTATATTGCTTCAGCCTTTCAAATACAAGACTTTCAACAACTATACAATCTATTGGTCAACGGCTTGATAGCCACGATGCGCCCAGTCGCTTTGTCTCCATCGTTTCTTGTAGTCTTCCATCTCGATTGGCTTGGACGTAGTCGGCGGACCTTCGGCGAGGCCACGCTCGAGACGACCTTTTCGACGTTGCCGGACGCACCACATTGCGAATGCTGCCACGATAAGCACTCCAGCAGCAGCAGCCCCGCAATACATGCCGATATGGGCCGCCTTGCCCAAGTCATCCCATTTTTGAGCGAGAGTTTTGGTCGGCTTCTTGTTGATCTCCGTTTTCGCGGTTGAGTTGCCACTGCAGCGTCGATCAGTCATCTTAACCCACAGACAGCACGTAAGCACAGGGATCGTACCTGACGACATTGATACTTTCGTATGAGCCCGAGTGTCCGGAATATGTATACTCTTTACCCGAATGAAAGTCCTGAACGCGAATCCTCTGCACCGTCATTGTGAAGGGGAGATTGGTCCAGTTCACCAGACCGCCGCCCCACTCGATATTTCCAATCGACTGGGACGCAATGCCCACCGGCCAATTACTGACTTTGACTCGACACGGAGTTTGTGGATAGTTCTTGCCGTAGACGGTCAAGGGTTCCGAGTAGTTGACCGTGCGCACCAATTCGTTATCAATCCACCATTCCAGGCGGTCTTTGTCCCAGTAGGAGGTGTAGTTATGGAACTCCGTATCGGCGTTGGCCACGGCATGGAACCCCCCGCGGTCACTCGTGGTCGTATTGCCCTTACCAAAGAAGTCGGACTGCACTGAGCTGGTATTGTATCCGACCCATTCCCAGTCGATCTCGTCCAAGTCGTCCGACTGGAGAATCACACTGCTGATGATGCCGGCGCCCTTGGCCATCTTCACGTGCGCCTCCATGACACCGAAGAAAATGTAGAAGTTGGACTGTAACAAAGTCGACCCGTTTTCTGTCTTGATCGGAAACTCCGCCCCTTCCGAAGTATATGTCGGGACCCCGGTGGTCATATTCCACAGCTTCTCATCCAGTGTGGAGTTGAACCACCAGGTGTGCTCGGTGCCCAACGCCGGGTCGGCGGGACATGTATTGTTTAACGGGTTGCATTCGGTTTGGTCGTCGGCAATCGCAATCCTGGCAAGGGCGCTCAGGATGCCGACATACCGAAAGGGGCGCATGAAAACGTTGCTGTCGTGGTGGCGCGGCTGGCCGTTCCCTCCGTAGGCGAATCTGGGAACACGGCCTGGTCCAAATGTGGTGGTACGGCACAAGTCCTGTCAGCAGAGTAGGAGTTATGCGAAATGGTTCATGGTGTATGACGAGCAGGCGGCCATGCTGGGGTTATACGCCAGGAGAAAAATATGGTAACGGCGCACTATGCCCTGAGGAACCGCAAAAGGGGGGGAAGAAGAAACCCATCGCCAATCAGGCTAGGTGCACTTCCCCGGCACATATTAGTGGGAGCCGAACTATCGGCTTTTCACGCGTGGAGCCCACGAGGCTATTTATAACGAGATGGGAGAACTCGCACAACTTGAAGCTCCCAGTCGCGCGGAACGACGAGAGATCTCATTGGCGAGGCTCCCTCCCCACGTCGCTGGCGATCAGAATGCTTTCAACATGTTCACAACGGGGATGTCTCTTTCCTCTCCACGGCACGTTGTGAAGGAAGTCAAGTCTTCTCCGTGGGCTGCTGCCTGGTCGAAATCCACCCAATTTCCATGCTACAAAAACAAGTGGATCAGGTGTACGACGCCGCTAGTCCCGGCTGGGCCTAGTGACCAAAAGCTTGTCAGGTCTCGGAGAAAGTCCGTCTAGCCTGTTCCGGTAAGGTACGGCATCACGAATCCCGTGAGCTCGGAGTTAAGATCCAAAAGAATTTCTACACAGGCAACACACTACGCATCCAGCAAATGTGCGAACCAATGGACTTTCATATTACCCGTCTCTAAATATATCCCTGTGCCTACACTTCCGTTGGGAAGGGTCATCTTATATCCTCCTTTATTACTGTGATCCCATCCTGCCTCCACTATAGCATTCATCACGACTGAGCGCTCAACGAGTGGTCGAGAAAGATTATGCCGCCCGGATACCCACAGATCCCTCTGCAGCCGCGATAATTGGCGGTGGCTTCTCGATATTCTGACGGAAAATGTGCCGCTTGATGAAATAAGGAAGCCACACGGTCAACTCGTGGTGAATAAAGTCCTTGGTTGGGACCGAGAAGACCTCTGGAAACGAAAGAAAGTCAGCTAAGGCTACAGAAAGCCGAGCGGGGGGGTCACCTACGATCCAGCTCCTCTAGTGTCAGCTGCTTTGTCTCCCGGACGAAGCAGAAGATCATAAACCATGCGAGAAGGTTGAGTCCCGCGTAGAACCCGACTGGAGCGAAGAGTCAGCGGACGGCGTATCGCCAGAATCCGGGAATGTTCACTTACAAGCGCCGGTGGGAGTCATGACGGTCTGCATGCGAGGGAAGGTGAGACTGAGGACGCCCGCTATGCATGTCTGGTTAGCAGGACTGCGGTCATATGGAGGCTGGAAACACTCACCAAAGGTGTTGTTGATGCACACGGCCCAGGCCATGCCTTGCTCTCGTTGAATGGTGGGGAACACCTCAGCAGAGTACTGGAAAGCGACGGGTCCTTCACCTAGGGAGTAGCAGATCGTGAACAGGTAGATAAACCTAGTCGAGTCGTGTCAGCCAAAATGCACCTCGGAAAACATAGTGTACAAACGTACAGGACAACGGGTCCGATTTGGGCCCCTCTGCTACCGGTATCATTCAGAAGCGACAGACCACCGGCTAAGAGGAAGATGCACATGAGTGGGAAGGTCTTCATGGGTAGGACAGTCAGCTATGGTCTGGAACCAGGGTGGGGATCACTCACAGCCAATGTCAGGGTTCGTCGACCTTTGGTGTCGATGAGGAAGAGAGTAGGGATAGTGGATACGACCTGAATGGCACCGTAGCCAAGAGACGCGTATAAGGCCTGCTCAGGGGTGTAGCCGACCTTTTCGAAGATCGTGGAGCTGTAGAAAGAGATGACTGCCAAGGGTTAGGGCGAACCAGAAGGTAGACCAACCACACAAACAGTGACTTACTGTTGATTCCGCACATTTGTTGCGCGATCATGACGGTCGAGGCACCATAGTTCGCGCGCCGAATCCGGGGCACGGCAAAACAGTCCCACATACGGGCGAAGTAACCGGCACCGCGAGCCTCCTTGAGCTCCTCTTCGTAGATAATCCACGAATAGTAGTAGTCCCGGGCGGCAATGATGGGATGGGCTCGCAAGCGCGACATGGATCGGTATCCGGCCGCAAGTTTCCCATGCTTCATCAGCCAACGAGGGGACTCGGGGCAGAAATAGATACCGGCGCCGAGGATGAAAGATGGGATGAATGCCGAGCCAAGTTGGAGACGCCAAGAGATATCTCCCGTGTCTTTCACAATCACGTTGGCGCAGAAGCCCAAGAAAATACCTGTTGTGACCATTAGCCATGTTGTGAGAGACAAGCGACCGAACATCACTCACCCGCTACCACCCACAGCTGCCAGAACATGACGAGCGCGCCTCGAACGCGCGCCGGGGCCATCTCGGCGGAGTAGATGGGCACCGTAGCATTCTTGGCACCGATGCCAATACCCATGACGAATCGTGCTGCGAAAAGCCCTTGCCATGATTTGGCGAAGGCGGACCCGATGGGGGTGGCCGTGAGACAGCAAGCCGTGACGAAAATCTCGCCGCGTCGGCCCAAGTAGTGGTTCAGGGGATCAACGATGAAAGCGCCACTATATCCCAGGTCAATCAGAAAGCCAAACGTATCATCGTTTCTACCACACTCACATGAGACCTGCCGTCAAGAAAATGATGGCATTGATAACTCCCACGATCCATTCATCTCTCCCTTCGCCAGTCAGACCAAATTCCTGTGGAAAAGACAGGTTGGCACCGTTGGATCCCGTCTGATCCCATCCTTGGGTGGCGGCTCCGACGGCGCACAAGGCAATTGAGTACCAGAGCATGAAAGGGCCGTGCCATTTATGATCGCGCTCGTAGATGAGGGCGGCGCGCTCCTCCTCATTAAGCTCGGTAATCATCTCGAAGCGTTGGGGGTCCCGCGCGACCAAAGCCGCGCGACCAAACAGATCTGCGTGTTCCGCCATCTGGTGCGACTCGGCAAATGCTCGGGCATCGAGCACAACTTGCTCCGGAGAGCTGCGCTATGAGGGTAAGCCAAGTCAGCATCATCACCGATCGATCCGACCATCGTCAAATGGCCAATCTCACCGTCAGCGGGTTCTCAACGAGATTGAGAGCGAAGGACTCGCGGCGGTCAGCGGGGTCCGCCAGTCCTGGCTTGGTGGCCTGAGCCAGGGTCTCATTGTGAGCGGTCACACCCATGGCTGTCTTTTCGTCCATGGTGGTGGTTGGGGTTCTGGTAGAGCTTTGAGAGCGATTCTGAGTCTTCCCTCCGGACGCCTTCCTGGGTTTTATCTCGCGGGGTCGACGAGCTCCTCCCTTCCCCCCGTGGGGATGACCTTAAATCTTTAAATCCTGCATCCGGCCATGGCGCGATACCGTCAACGCCCCGTGGGGAGAGATCCTAGCGTCGTGGCTCGGCGGGTCATCCAGACAGCAAATTAGGGCACGCCGCGGCTGGTGACTGGTCGCGTGGTTGCAAGCTCGACCCACCGGGAAGGCGGTCAAAGCGGAGGTTGAAAGAAAACAAGCCCTAGAATCAAGACTCACATAAGACTTGTGGGGTTTCCTGGCAACGTCTTGTCATGGTCTTGGTTCGTCAATCGTGCCCTCCACAAACCAAATGGCTCCTTCGCAGTCGAAACATGGTTAGAGCGCTGGAAATCTGCCTTTTCATTCTCACGGGAATCGTGATACGAGCGGCAGCACCGAATCCGACAGCCGGCCGCCACCAGCCGCCCTGAATGCAACCTTTGTGATCAATGTGGCTTCGAGGGGAACCTATGAAAAGTCAGATCCCGAGTCAGACCATGCCTCTCTTGATCTTAGGTGAGAGACGGTCCTTCCACTAATCATAAATGTGATTCCCCGGGCATTTCCCTGATGCGGGAGACTAGCGCAGCCACCAACGCGGCTTTGTTCTCTACTGGAGTCTTCGGGATGCCCTCAGCGACTTTTGATTAGCTGCTTGGCAACCTTGCTCCACTTGGGTCTGCCCAACCTAAATGCCACGCGAACCTCGCCAGCGTCAGAGAGTCTTCGAACCTACCAGAAAAATCGGATACGGTGCTTTTCTCCCATGTTCTTTGTGGTTAACAGGGCACGCTTTCAGACAACCTTTTTCTTTTGTCTGTTTCCTTTGTCTATGGAATACTGTTTCTCATGGGAAGAATCATGCATGACAAGCCGATCATTGTCGCAACCAGCCTTTATCAAGCTCACCCATGGATCCAAACAGGCCGCCTTGTCGGAGGCTAGTGGATGTGTCAGTGCTACCCTTGTTGGGTTTCTTCCGTCAGCCTGCTGGTGTTTCGCCGAGGGTCACACCTTGTTTACCCAAGGTTTGCTTTTGCCGATCAGTATCCTTAATGGCCTTAGTCAGTTCGGAATTAGCCAAAGGAAACTGGGGTGCGGTGGTTGATAACACCACTCGCCCGGACATGCACCGAGTACGGAGTAGTTTTGATCCTAATCCTTCGCACCGTTGTTAGGCCTTTTCCGGATTCTGGCCTCTCTGCCTTGTCACGGTGAGTCAGGCCGATGTGAAAAAGACTTCCGGTCCCTACATCCCGGTGAAGCATAGAAAAATTCAAACCACCCTTAGACAAACAAAAATGGGGCGCAGCGATCCAGACGCCATGGCTTTCACGGCGGGTACTTTCTCGTTTTTTTCCTTTTTTTTTTTTGTTGTTCTTTGTCCGTAGTCTGGATTTTCTATCCGACAGGAATCGTTTAGTCCCTCGTTCGCGCTCGGGAAGACAGCATGGAAAGCGCTGCTTTTCCCCAGGTCATCGGGCGTTGACTGACCAGCCCACACGACATTTACTCTTTTTGCACAATGACCAGCGAGCTCGACAGAATCGTTGACTTGCTTATGCGCTCTCGTGCGATTACGATGCAGATATGCGGGCACAAGGCTTCCAAAAATACTATCAATAGCATGTTATGATTGCTAGAAGCGAGGCCTCGTATTAGAATGCCATGTCGCGACTCAAGTTCGCCCAGCCTGCCGCAGTACGGACCACGCGCCATGAAATAAAACGTCGCTGACTCGACTGGTGGCAAACAGATCTCGAAATCCCTCATAATCCAGTTGCCCTTGTCGCTTACACCTCTCGAGTAGTTGCCGCAGATTTCCTTGCATTTGCATTTGCATTTGCTCGGTAATTCGACTTTCGCTATTTGTACAAGCGCTCGAGATGCTGGACAAAGTCGTGGAACGAATCACTGCGAATGTAGGCAATTCTGCCTTTATATATGCGCGTAACAAGTATTGCATAGTGGATCGGAATACATGCCATGTCAGGATGCCTGTAACGTCAAATAGATATGCCTTTCAGTGACCTCGCAGACTAACAAATACGGCGCCGTAGAGTACTCGGGGGTTCACAGCGGGGGAGACGCCAAGCGATTCACTGTATATATCGTGGATTATCATTTCAATGAGTTTTCCGAGCTATGATATATCCAAAATTAATCAAATTAAGTAATGAAATAAGGAAATGATGATGTGTACAAGTGAACGTTGGAGTGCGCCTTGCTTCTTGCGCAATCGCGATCACATCATGTGAAAATGTGTGCCTCAGGCTGCCATCGCCAGGATTATCAGATGTCGGATCTCGTTGCCCCGACAATTATCGAAACTTCCCGAGAACAAATGCAACCAAAGATGTCACTAGCAATAGTATCATTCGAGGCAAGGCATAATTTTCCGGCCGAAATGAAGCATCCGTGGCTACTTAAATATATCAGCTACTTCCGTTTGTTATACTCACGTTCCTTTTCTCATCCATATTGTACTAACGTAACCCACAAGCGAGCGGGCCACACAACCGGGCGGGCCACCACGCCGCTATACTAAAATTGAAATCGGTCAAATATCATCAATTTATATTCATATAGAAAAATGAGTAGTTCTATCGATTCGGGCAGTTCGTAATTTTATGGCCCTGTATATTACATCCAGAACATCTAGGAGGTGCGCGTCTAGACCCCGATTCAGTACGCTGAGTTCCATCTGCCTGAATAGCTTCATCTGCCTGAGCTCTGCGCTCTATATAGATTCGGGCGTCAAATACTGACGTACCCCCTTTAAAAGCAATCTGCTTAGTAGAGCGCTTTCGCTTTTTAAGTTGCTTTTTATATAAAGCCTCATATCGCTCAAGCTGATACTTAAATAGCATCATATCGTTTATAGCTCGTTCAGCGCCTTTAATCATTTGATTTAGACAAACCTTAGTAGGTTAATCGGGGCTGCGAGATCGATTTTTAAGCAGCTTTTTAAACATAGTTTCGGACTTTTTCAACTGCTTGACTGTATGAGATATTTTAGGCGCTGAACTGCCTCGGCTGCTTGGTCTACTACCCGGAGGTGTAGGGGTATTGAGTTGAACTACCAGCTAAGATAAAACGTATTCAGGATTCAGAGGAACTAGGCCGGTAGCTCTAAAAGCGCTATAAATATTACTTCCAGTAAACGCCTGCGTACGAGCTTCAGGATAGGCGTCTAAAAAGTCAAATTTATCGATATGATAAAGCCCACAGCGCATCTTAGATTTAACGAGGCCACCGTACGCGCGTTTTAAAGGTGAGAAAACAGCAACATCAAGCGGTTAAAGCCTATGAAAAGCGTGCGCAGGCATACAGATCGGTATAATATCATTTTCCAAGCATATCTGATCAAATTGAGGCGTTAGATGACTATCGTGGCCATCTAAAATAAGTAATCGATATCGTCCGATAGATCGGCCTGCAGTGGCCGGTATAAAATGATTCTGCAACCAACGTAGACCTATTTCATTACTCGTCCAGCCGTTAGGACTGACCTCGATCCTCCAATCAGATAGAATCTTTCGATCCTCATACCAGGCCTCCATATGCACTTTGCCTTTAAATATAATACAAGGAGGTAGAGCCCATCCATTAGAACTAATACATTCTATAGAAGTGACCCATTCCCGGTTACCCGGCTGCAATAAAAACGGCTTGCCTGGCATACTAGACCTAGTAATCACTTTGGCAGTAGCGATTAGGCCCATTGCAAACCCGGTTTCATCGAAATTGTAGATATCGGATAAGGCTATACCGTACTTTTGAATAGCCTCATTTACTTGCTGAAACCAGGCATTTAAAATCTTCGGATCTTCTGTTTTAGTACGTTGATAGTTATAACGGCGTGCAAAGCAGGTCTTAAGCTCAGGCGTACGCCTGGTAAAGTTAGATACCCAATTTATCCCTACAGTAGTAGGGGGAGATGTAGTATCACGCTTTGAAAGTAAAATATTGGCCATTTCTTCCACGTATGCAGGCCGAGGAGGTACTCCACGTAGATCTAGTGATAGAATCCACTCCTTAAGCGATTCCTCTTCACTAGCAGTCAATTTATGACTGTTTGCGCGTAAATCTGATCGAAATATATACCCTGCTAGGCGTCTTTGCAATGTTATACGGGGTATATTAAAAACGCGTGCGGCTTCACGAATATTGCTAATATCATTATTTTTAATGGCTGATATAGCTAATAAGACTCTTCCCTCTTGTTCTACCTTATCTTTTGATGATTTAGGCATTTTTGGTGGTATGGCTGGTGGTTGAATAGCTTCAAAAAAACAGACGCGTAGAAATGACGCGTGGTGGCCCGCCCGGTTGTGTGGCCCGCTCGCTTGTGGGTTACGTTATAGGTGCACAGCGTCTATGTGTGCTGTAGTCATGGAGACAGCCGTTGCAAGATATATTTTGGCCATCGCTCAAGTCAGCGCTACAGAACGTTTTATTATTGCAACGTCCTAACACGACTTACTTTGTTAATGTTTTCAACCACTGCCAATGCTTGGCTATCTAGTCCGTGCCATGTTATCTTTCGACTGAATACAGGGTAATAAATCTTTGGGTGCTGGCCGGGTGGATGGTTGAGAGGATGAGGAATTGTGGAGAATTTATTCCACAATCAATCTGGATCGTGCCAAGGTCGAGAGAGCATTATTTTCGACGAGAGATCATTACCAGATTAGGTTGCTGAAGCCGACCCTGTTTTAATCTCCGAGATCGCTCATCGTCTGAGAAGGTGACAGGATGTATCCCAACATGAGTGGTGTTGAACACGAATGACCATCAATTGTGACAGCAGTCCCTGATTCTTACCCAGCGGAAACATGCGTTACTTCTTTCCTCTAGCCATTCCTGCTATAATAGCAGCTCAAGCCGTAGCTCTTGAAACCAAACAACTATTCAATTTCTCCACCGCAGTTGCTATCGAGAATAGCGCCCTCCGGCCTGATGGCAGCCTTCTTCTCACCACTTTCGACCAAGGTCGTCTCTACACTCTCAATCCATCCCTACCCAATCCCCAAGCGGAACTAGTCGCGGCACTCCCCGGAGCCACTGCTCTCTGCGGCATTGCAGCGATCGACACCGACAAGTTTGCCGTCATAGATGGCATTCGGGGCAACTACAGCTACACCAATGAGACGATATACACCGTGGATTTTAGCGCCAACCCCATCAATCCGACTATACAAGTAGTTTCTCAGCTCCCCAATGCCATTATGTTGAACGGCATGGCCGCCTTACCAGTACATCCGCATGTGGTCCTGGCCGGGGACGCACGACTCGGGGCTGTATTCCGCGTCAACACAGACACAGGGGCCGCAGAAATTGCCTTCACAGACCCCTGGCTTACTGCACCTTCAAATGCATCCACCCCGATTGGGGTGAACGGGCTGAAGATTGCGGGCGGTTATATGTACTTTACAAATACCGCAAGGGAGATCTTTGCGCGGGTACCCATTGATGGCTTTGGAGAGAAGACCGGTGACATCGAAGTGATCGCAACGCTGGACGATGCAGATTCGTATCATTGGGACGATTTCGTGGTTCTGGAAGATCTGGGTGTCGCCTTCCTGGCCCAGCCGGATACTGCCATAGCCCAAATTTCACTAGACGGCGAGCAAAATATTATTGTGGGAGGAGGGGACGATCGTACGACGGTGGTAGGACCGACATCGCTGGCCATTGCACAGGATGGCAAGGCCCTCTATGTCACAACTCGAGGGGGCACGGTGAATGGATCTGTGTATGGTGGGCAGGTGGTTCGGATTCAGCTCTAAAGGAGGAATACGACATGCATGGCTTGTGGGCTGAATGGTTGTTGAGTGGATGCTAAGTGCATCTTGAAAACAGGCGTCGCAGGACCAGGCCGAGAATGCTGATGTCTGTAGTCTTCAGCGCCAGAACGCACCCTAATGGCTTTCTGGTTTTCTATTTAATATAAGGATATTGTTGGATATGGCATTTCTCAATGAAGTATACTCCGCAAGGAATTGCCACCAACCACCGGCGTAAAAGCCTTACGCCGAATACTGTGACGGTAAAAGTATCCACTTCTAGCTATGGCGGGGGGTGTGAAAAAAAAAAAAAAAAAAAAAAAAAAAAAAAAAAAAAAAAAAAAAAAAACCTTAAAAAAAAAAAAAAAAAAAAGAGAAAATTAAGAAAGAAGGGAAAATTTAGAAAGTTTGGAAACGAACACTTTAGTGTGACTGATCTCCCCGTGCTCCTTTGCAACCCTTCACATGGCTTCCTTGCAGCCGCTCTCGGCTTATTGATCTCGTGCTTGTCGCATCCTGGAATGTTGACAGTGGTTAGTCTGCATCGGAGCTGAAGTCCTTCGCACCGCTTAGCATCCCTGACCATCCAGGCTATTTCGAGCATTCTAGAGGGACAGGATAACCAGGGCGACCGCGACTCGTTTGAAGAAGCTTCACGGCTTTTGGCTGAGCTGAAAGACGCCGGGAATTGTGTCGCCCCGGAATATTGCCACCACGTTGAGGTCATTGAAGCTGCCCTGACAGCAAATGCAAAGCGCATGATGCTGTCAGAGAACTCTGGTGGACCCGGAAATGGGGCACTGTCAACATCCCAGCTGGCCCCGACTATGCCGCGCGGGGGCCTCCTATGGACCGATTCATCGCTTCAACAGCTTCTTTCCCAGCCGGCTCTTGATGTGCAGTTTCTCGAAGACGCTGTCAGAGACAGTTGGTCGCCGGGGCGCTACGGGCCTGGCTTCGGCAATGTAGGTTGATATACGAGTGTCTTAATGTCACTGAAGAAACTTTTGGATTTCTGTAAACCATACGCAGACTCTACGGAACACGATCTTTTTTACTCCGACCATTGGTCAGTGCAGTCTATTGTGCCACGGCCGCCGTATGATGTGGAGGTAGTCGTCCTACCACCCATATCACGGAGCACTTGTTGCACCAGTGTATGTAGATGATCTAAAAATATGCTGTCAATATGTAGTTTACCGGTTGAGCCCCATATAAAGGAGTGGTAATTTCACAGATCATAAGTCAATCTTATGACAGTATACTTCCCTGTTTGGGCTCGGTCGCTAAGCTTTTCGCCGAATCCATTTTATTTTTTATCTCATTTGGCTTCCAAGGATTCTTTCTCCTTTCTCCTTTCTTTCCCCTGACTTGCACACACACCAAGTCTCTATTACCCTTGACAACAGAAGCATCTCACTATTTGGCGGTCATGTCTGCCCGAGCACCACTGCGCCTAATGCCACTGGGCGGATCGGTGACCAAGGGAGTTGGCTCATCCCACGGCACGGGGTATAGAACAGCACTACTTGAGCTTCTTCAAGCGCCGAACTTTGAAGTCCGTATGGTCGGGTCGCGCAGGACAGGCTCAATGCCCAATAACGACCATGAGGGATGGCGCGGAAACAGAATCGACGAGATCACAAACAAGGCTATGAAGTCGGTCGAACGTTTGATGCCCAATTTGTTAACCGTCAACGCGGGCTCCAATGACTGTATTCAAGCGTTTAGAGTCGACAAGGCGGGGCAAAGAATGAACGATCTGTTGGAGTATATCTGGCATGCGGCGCCGAACTCGACCGTCCTTCTCTCTACTCTCCTGGTCAACTCGGATGAGCAGGTGAACGAGCGAGTCATGCACGTCAATGACCAGTTCCGTGCTCTGGCCGAGAAAAAGGCGGCCTTGCAGAGGAGGATTGCTCTTGTGGACCTTTATAATGATGGACCTCATGTTGATGATCTGGTGGATGGCATACACCCCAATGATGAGGGATACGACCAAGTGGCAGTTCTTTGGTTTAATGGTATCCAGAGGGCCCTGGAGGAGGGCTTGATAGTGGGACCGAATGACGCTGGAATGTAGTTCACTAGAGCACTTTCGTGACTCGATTACTTGTATCAAGTCCTACTTAGGTGGATCAGTGACGATTGTCTTGTGTACAGTGCGGACCATCTGGCCGAGTGCACGACAAAATCGTTCCATATTAAAGTAATTAATCGAGGAACGGACATTATAACCGTTTCCACCACATGAAAATAAAAGGTTTCCTATCAGGAATCTATAGTCAGAGTTCAGGGACAAACTACAAATTCACCTTCGAGGTGTTGCAATATGTGACCAAACAGCGGGCGCCTGGAGACCTCTGAGCTGATCTCGTGTTAGATATGGTGGAGGAATGTCAGAATCGTCAAACCTATACACACGACCTTGCTATTCCGATCAACCCGACAAGCAATACCATACATGACTCTCATCCCAATTCAACTACTTCCGACCGTCACGCATTTCCCTTTGTCATGCCTCCTGTGAGTTCTCAACTTCCCGAGTAGCTTCCATAAACCTTTCGATCATATTATCAAGATCGGCTGTCGTTATGAGGTTTTTCCTCTTTTCCCACCCGAGCTCGACGGGAAGCCGTTCTTTTTCTACACCGAAATTACATTAGACATGAACAATATTCTGAATGAAGTTGAATACACACCGAAAAGATACTCGATCCAAGATGTGTTGACAGTCGCCGAGACCTTGTCGCCGAATACAAGGAGGTACGTGGCTGTCTGTGCATAGCTAAAGCGAAGGCGTGACCCGGAGAGGTCAAATGTAGGGTTGGTAGCCTTGGACGTGTTGATCCGTGCGAGACGGGCTCTCGCTCCTGCGTGGAGATCGATTAAGGGTTCGGTCCAGTATGACTTCGCTTGGTCGAAGAGGGTCTGGTTGAAGGAATGGTTGTCTCCGAAGTAGAAGTCTCCACGGCTAAGATCATCAGATGGTTAGATTTCCAGATCAGGTTGGGGAATAATGTTCACAAAGGGTCTTCACTTACCTCAGACTGCCATCATGCTCGATGATGTTGTGATGATCCAAATCGTCAAGAGAAAATGTGGTGGCATTGGGTGTTAGGTTAGTCTTCAACGCTGCTGCGAAGAGTATGTCGGAAAGCCCTTTATCTACATGCAACGCGTCCATGGCGCGAAATGTATCTTGCTGCGTGATATCTTTCCCATCGTGTTGGAGGATGTTATGATTGGCAAGTGCATTCAGCACGGGGCACGGACTGCGCACTGGTGGTCTTTAGCTTGGTATTTGAACCGTCTACAACACTTCATCTTACCATCATCAGGTCCAGGGGGTGACCAAGGTATTTCTTGTGATAGTGCGCTCGCAAGCGCAGCAGATACCGCTAGTAGAGTCAACCTCATCTTGATGTTATGTTTGGTGTTCAGCTCCAGTGTTTAGGCGGATTTTGGGGGTAAATATCCTCCCAGGTTCAGAACGAGAAATAGGAGCAGTTGACCTATTCAAACTATTTCATTGGCCTATGTATCCAGTAAGGAGGGAGAGCGCATTCCTGTAATATGCAATAATCCTGCACCTGAGATCTGTCACATGGACAAAAACAAAAGCAAGAGTCCAGACCCACGCAGATGCAATATCGATGCTGGCGAGCTCAATGCACATATGATACAAAGTACTGCAGGACATGCTGTCATAAGGTGATTCACAACGAGAACTCGGAGACCTACGATGTTTTCACTATTCCTGAATTGGACAGCTCGGGAAGGAGCACATCTCATGGATATGGTTTGCTCCAGACTCTGCATTAATCTTGATATTCCCCAGTTCAGGTCCTGTGATGCGGGGTGCCCTAAGAGGATGCCAAGCCCTGCCTCATCTACCGAGGTTGATGAGATCGACAAAGCCATTCAAAGAACAAGGTGCTTGTTCGCACTTTGTATTGCTTGTTTTTTTTTTTTTTTTTTTTGCTTTTTTTTGGGTCTTTTTTTCTTCTTTTTTTTTTTTTTTTTTTTTTTTTGTTGCCTTTGTCAGCCTTGTATGATATCTCTTGGTCTACAGGGGTAATCTCTGACAATCCCCCAGGCTACAGGCTACAGTGGCATCCACCTTACCAGACTGCGACTAGTTTCTGCGCTATGAAGCCGCTAGCGTCATGAAGATATACGAGATGGGGCTAATATTATCAGCACAGACGATACGAAAGAAAACCGAGGTAGACCGAGTCCGCACAAGCCATCGTGGTAAAGGACAACGCCGACCTCCTCCACTTCCCCGACCGGAACGTTCCCACAGCTTCCCACAAAACCATGACAGATTCATCCGCTCAACCAGCAACGCCTGCGGTCCACCATCCCGCACGGGCCGCGGTTGCCTGTACGCAATGTAGACAAAAACGTCTGAAATGCAATTCGGGCTATCCTCAGTGCTCGCGGTGCTTGTCTGCGGGGTCTAACTGCACGTACATCCCCTCGCGGCGTGGGCAACGCCCGCCCAAAAACCGACCCGAGCTGGACTCGGTCTCTCAGCATATCTCAACCTTCGCCATCCAGACCCCGCGATCCTCCTTTCTCCCGGCCACCCCGAATACGACACTGCCTCTCTCCCTCGCGGACACCCCGGCACCAGGGGAGGTGTCGCAGCCGGTGAACCTCGCTCCTGGTCCGGCCTCGGCGACCTCCCCAATGACCAGCTTCACCACCACGGCCACCACGTCATCTCGCCTCCATTACAATGAACGCCTAGTCAACTACTACTTCAGCAACTTTCACCCCGCGCATCCCATCCTCCTCCCGCACTCCCTGTACGCCACGCAGGGCTACCCGGACTACCTGCAGGCGGTGGTGCAGTTCGTCGGCAGCCACTATGCATCGTCCCCGGTCGATTGGCAGACGCGAGAGGAAACCGTCCAGGCCATCATGAGCAGCAATAGCCCGCAGACGCCGGAGATGGTCCAGGCCCGGTTGATCTGCGCCCTGGCGATCCACGCGCGCTACGAACTCATGGACTCGTTCACGATCTTCCAAGCGGCAACCGACCTGGCCATTCAACTCGGCATGGACTGCGCGAGCTTCGCCGTGCAGCATGGGAACCAGAACCACATGCTCGAGGAGAGCCTGCGACGGACCTGGTGGGAGCTAGTCTTCAGCGAAGGCATTCTCTCCGGTCTCTACCGCCACCAGCGATTCACCCGCGCGACATACTTCTCCGACGTCCTCCTCCCCTGCGAGGAGACCGACTATGAGAACCTCACCATCCCCGATCCCTCTAACCTCGTGTCGCTGACCCAATTTGACAAGAGGATCTTCAACCCCAACAGTATCGAGTTCTCCTCGTACTCCTATCGCATCGAGGCCGTTCGCATCTTCGTGAACGTTCTCACCCTGACCGAGCCGGACTCCAACATGCGCCCGTCGCAGGTTCACGCCGTGGACCACGCCATCGCCGGCTGGATCCACCATCTCCCAGATGTGAAGGGAGATATCCTGCAACCGGACGGCAAAGGCGACGAGATGCTCTTCCAAGCGTACATGATCGTGCAGTACGCCAGCATGTTCCTGCATTTCCCGCGCAGCGATCTCATCTCCATGCTCCCGAATCCGGACATCGCGTGTGCGCAGAACGAACCTCATGTGTCGCCGACGACGTCCCAGCGTCTGCACGGGCTGAAAGCGATTGTCGCGTCCAAGTGGATCTTCAACCTGGCAGCCTTGCGGCTCCCGGTGATCAAGCACACGCCGCTGTTTATTTGCGCGCTGCTGAGTGCAGCGATCGTACAGTTGTCTGCATTATCCAAGAGGAGTCAAGACGAGAATATCGACATCATGGAGTGCTATGACTCGATGTACTTGGCGATCGGGGTGTTGAAGTCGTTCAGTAAACATTGGCCCTTAGGGCAATCCGCGGTGCAGGAGCTGCAGAAGGTGGCCAGCGAGGTCTTGAAGGTGCAAACGACGACACAGACCTTACCGGAAGAAGATGGCTGGACGTGTAATATCGACTTTGAAGGGGTTCAAGGGTTTTTACATGGGAATCGCGATATGGCGGGTTGACGCAAGAGTGCTAGAGAGACTTTAGCGCCAGTGGGGATGTCTTCGTTAGCGTGCTGGAGAACTATGCAGATTAGGTAAGAAAAATAGACGTAAGAAATTCGAATTCAAATGCAATCCGATCGAGCGATCCCAGAACGAATCAACGCAATCTTCAGCCCTCAGAAAATCACTCGGATCGTGCTATACTGTGCCCGTACTTTTGTTGATGACCGATGTCGGGGATGTTACCCGTTGAAGCGATCAACACGGCGTCGCGTAAATTAGTCGGTTTGGCAACTTTAGCAGCCTAGCCAGATCTTTTGCCCCTTCCCCAACCTCAACAATCCTGCGAGTCGAAGACGTGATCAAAGCCACATTTGAATGGACAGCCAAGCTCTGAGTCACTTCAACGAGAGCATATAAAGCCAACGCGACCGAAGTAGCCGAGTGATTTAAGGGGGAAAACAGTGACCGGGGAAAACGTGGCATGGGAACGAGCTAAACGAATAAATAAGAACAGAACCACACCATGGGTGGCTTCTCCAGCGCAGCGAGCAAACTGCACCGCACTCTGAAGCTCAGCGGCGATACCGATCAGTGGAGAAATCGAGATCTGATACCCTTGCCTAGAGGTAGGATTTAATGTGGGGATGCGAACAGGGGTCGTGACGGTGCTAACCCTCGAGCATAGATCGTACGATCTGGTCCAGCTGGGACTTCCTCTATCTATGGAGCACCGTCTTCTTCACGACATTCGGCTGGCAAATCACTTCGTCGCTCCTCGGCCTCGGTCTAAATGTCTGGCAATCCATCCTCTGCAACATCATTACGAAATTCCTCCAGACCGCCGTGGTGTTCTGTGTCGGATGGCCCGGTGGAGTCTGGCACATTGGCTTCACCGTCAACTCCCGCTCCGTGTTTGGAATGTGGGGATCGTATGTGCCAGTCATTCTGCGCATTTTCCTCTGCATTATTTGGTATGGCGTCCAGGCGTTTACGGGCGGCCAACTGGTGGCGATTATCCTGTCGACGATCTTTTCCGGCTACCATCATATGGAGAACACACTGCCGGAGTCGGCGCATATGACCACCAAGCAGTTCGTCGGATATGTCATCTTTAATATCAGTGAGTGTGCCTTCCGCTTATTTGCGCCCGCAACATGGGATCTGACGCGGTACAGTCTCGCTCGGACTCTTGTGGGTGCCCCCGGACAAGCTGAAGAAGCCCTTTAAGTTTATCGCCGGTATTAACCTGCTCGTCATTCTGGGACTGGCGATCGGCCTCATCGCTGGTGCCCGAGGTGGCTCCCTGGGGACCCTCCAAACATCCCAGCGAACAGACAACCTGGAATGGACCTTTATCCACGGTTTCGCGGTCGTTTTCTCTGGCAACGCGGTCGGCATGGCGAGTCACAGCGATTTCTCACGTTTCGCCCGACGACCGGGGGCTCAGGTCAAAGGTCAGCTCTTCTCGTTCCTGATCTCCGGGAACGTCGTGCCCATCCTGGGGATTTTTGGCACCGCCGCCGCCGCGAAGATGTATGGCGACGTGAACGAACTGGGTCTGTGGAACCCACCCAATATTCTGCAAATGTGGCTGGACAACCAGTACCATAACCCGGCCATGCGAGCTGCGGCATTCTTCGTCGCGTTCGGGTTGACATCGAGTATCATGGCCATGAACTCCATCGAGAACGGTGTCTCGGGCGGCATGGACATCGCCGGACTGTACCCCCGGTACTTCAACATCCGTCGTGGATCGTATCTGCTGGCTGCGATTTCCGTGGTGATCAACCCGTGGCAGATCATCGCCAACGGCGCCATTTTCACCAACACTCTGAATAGCTTCGGAGGTGAGTTTTCTCGGGCGTGATACACCCCCTACTCAATCCCACACTAACCGCGCCAGTCATCCTGTTCCCACTCATGGGCACCATGGTTGCCGACTACTACGTCGTTCGCAAGCAAAAACTGAAGCTATCCGATCTCTACCGCGCCGATGCGAGCAGCATCTATTGGTTCGAGGGTGGTTTCAACTGGCGTGCGTTCACGGCCTGGTTGGTTGGATTTGCGCCCAGTATCCCCGGTCTCGCCGCATTAAATCCAAACAACACAGGAATTCCCATTGGCTTGACGTATACATTCTACCTGTGGCCCATCGCGGGATTCTTTGCGTCGTTCGTGCTACATGCTGGCCTCTGCTATCTCAGTCCCCCGGCGGGTATTGGGGCGGTGGATGAGCAGGAGTTTGACCCGATGTATACCGAGCGGTCGGACGAAATACAGAGCCAGACCATTACCGCGCTGGAGAAGGGCGGACATCCATAGACTGGCGCTGGTCCTCCCATAGCGAACGATGTGAGTTGAACGGGGTGACCTTGGTTGTCCCGACCTTGTACCGGATGGGCGCTGTCTCCGTGTTCCAAGAAAAAAAAAAAAATTCCATTCTATGTAGTAATAATAGAACTCGCCTAATACATGTCACAATGTGATTTGACACCCGGTGTCCTTCCTTTTCGCAGAACATCCCCGACCGTGTAGTACGTATACATCTGGCAACCCGACGGCAGGAACGGCAGAGATGTACAAGTTGATGGTTAGGCTAACTTCCCGACTTCGCCGAGATGGGTCCACCACTGCTTCGGTTGGGATTCTAGCGCTTCTTAGTGGGTCCTGGGACCTGTTGCTGGGATTAAGACCAAGCAGATTGACCAGGATATGCGAGAAGATCTTGGATAGGGTCAGACTAGGGCAACTTGCCATTGGCGATGGTGGTGCAACGGTCGAAGGGTCTCCACATATAAAACCAGTCCGACCGGGCGAACCCCTGTCATCGATCTAGATATCACGATCAACCACCACAGCAGCCATCATGATTGCAGAAATCCACTCTCTTGCTGAGTACGAGGCCGAGCTGGCGAAGCCAGGCCTTGTGGTCTTGGACTTTTACGCTCCTCATTGTGGTCCTTGTCATGTAAGAACCTCCGACTTCTGATTGTTCAGGATACTAATCGGTCGGGAAGGTAATCGCACCTTTATACAGCAAGATCGCCGAAGACCAAAGCAGCGTACGCTTCTACAAGGTATACCACCGCGACCGTACTATGTCTGCCATGTCTAATGCACAGTATCCAGGTCAACGGCGTCGACGAAGCGGGATCCGAAGTGCAGAAGAAAGCAGAGGTCACCTGGTGGCCAACGTTGGTCGTGTACAAAGATGGCAAAGAAATCTGGCGAGACCGAGTGCCAAATCCTCCTTCTAGAAAGCCGTTGGAGTCGTTGGAGTATTACCTGAAGACGGTGGTGGCTTGATTTTAATGTGGTTCATGTAATCGATCAGGTTGTCAGCATTGTATTGAATTTAGTGCATTTTTCTTTGAAATTCCAATGTGATGCATGCCAGATTAAATCTGACAGGGATTATTTCTGCATGTAATCGAAGGCCCCTCCTCTTAGGGGCTTGTCGTGTTTGCTTTTCCTTGGACACAGAAGAATTCAATTGTCGGGATTGTGGGATGTTTTAGCGCGACTGTCCCGGTTGTCGGCGACATTGCCTTTCGGGGACTTTGAGGATAGTGACAAAGCCGAAGTTGCGCGATCAACGCATTACAATCGGCATCCCAAGCTGACTAACGATATAATAGGTGGCAAGACTGCGAGAGGGCGCTGCAGTCGGAGCTTAGCTAGTGATCTACTCAATCGCTAGAGAGCTAAGCTACCGTATTGGATAGACTTTGTAGCATGGCGCAGTCAGTGCGGATCGGCGTGGACGTCGGCGGTAAGACAACAGCTTCGTACATTGCCTTGTATATCCATGCAGGATCCGCTCACGCCCCTTAGGAACAAACACCGACGCGGTGTTAATCGACCTGGGACAGCGAGACGCACCGTCTCGGGGCATTCGCTCATCTCACAAAGCCCCAACGTCCCCGGATGTCACCACGGGCATCCAAGAAGCTATCAACACAGTCCTCCGGGACTCCAGGGTCGCTCCAGAAAATGTGGCGTCCGTTACTATTGGCACAACTGCCTTCCTGAACTCCGTGCTGGAGCAAGACCCCCGCCGTCTAAGCAAGGTTGCGATTATCCGATTGTCGAAATCGTTCCTGCGCGATGTGAAGCCGTTTTCCGAGTGGCCAGCTGGACTGGCCAGTCTCATCAATGGATATGTCGGGTACATCGATGGCGGCCTCCATATTGATGGGTCTCAGGAGGCGCCGGTGGTCGAATCGCAGGTCGTTCGGGAGTGCGAGAACATCAAGGCGCTGGGTTTAACGACTGTCGTCGTGGCAGGTGTTTACTCGCCCATTGATGAGGTGTTCCGACAGGAGGAAACAGTGCGGGAGATCATTGCCCGCGAGATTCCGGGGGCGGACGTCGTATGTTCGAAGGAGATTGCCAATATAGGTATGTTGGATACTCTGCCCCGTCACAAATCGGGTCGGCGAGGGTAATGCTAACGAGCACGGTGGTAGGTTTCCTGGAACGGGAAAATGCTGCTATCCTCAACGGCGCCATCTTGAGATACGCGCGTCAAACAATCCGACGCTTCCGGGGTGCGATGAAATCCCTTCATCTGCAGTGTCCGCTGTTTCTCACACAGAATGATGGCACCATCATAGATGCGACTAATGCAGCTAAGACACCTATCCGGACGTTCAACTCCGGTGCTACAAATTCCATGCGCGGCGCCGCATATCTAGCTGGAGAGGATCTGGCTAATAAGTCTACGATCGTCGTTGATATCGGTGGAACCACGACTGATGTTGGGGTTCTGCTTCCCTCCGGGCTGCCACGTCAAGCTTCGGCTTATGTCAAAGCCGCGGGAATCAAGGTCAATTATTCCATGCCCCATTTGTACTCTGTCGGACTCGGTGGAGGATCCATTGTCCGCGATGCACAAAGCGACGCAAAGACCGGGGCTGTCACCGTTGGTCCAGATTCCGTTGGGCATAGACTGCTCACAGAGGGTCTTGTGTTTGGCGGAGAGACTCTGACTGCAACGGATATTGCTGTTGCCGGTGGTCAGTGTGTCGTAGGTAATGCGGAGTCCGTTAAACATCTAGCTCCTGAATTGGTATCTGCGTCACAGACACGGATCAAACAGGTCTTGGAGCGCTCAATTGACCTCATGAAGACCTCACCAGAGCCACTGCCAGTGCTCCTTGTCGGAGGAGGTGCCGTTCTGGCCCCTGCAGAGCTAGTGGGTGCCTCCAAACTCATCAACCCGCCATTCTTCGATGTAGCGAACGCGGTGGGCGCCGCCTGCGCCAAGGTCGGTGGAACAGTAGATAAAATAACCAGCATCGCAAATCAGTCGATCACGGACGCTGTGGAAGACGCTAAGAAAGCTGCCATTGAACGAGCTATTCAAGCCGGCGCCGTTCCAAATAGTGTTTTTATTGCTGAGGTTGAGTCCATGCCGATTCCATATATTTCCAATCAGTTGAGAACTGTCGTCAAGGCGATTGGAGATTTGGATACTGAGAGGTCAATGAACATGTTTGTTGACAACGATGAGGGCGCCGTGGAGGAGGAGACAATAGCTGACAGCCCCAGGACGGTGGAACACCTTCAAGTGCCGGACGTGATTCCCGTTGATCATCTTACCTACAGGCCGAAGGTTCTCTTCAACGAGAAGGCTGGCTGGCACGAATGGCTCCTGACAGAAACCGACCTGGACTACATCGCAGACGGAGCGTATGTCCTCGGCTGCGGCGGTGGCGGAAGTCCAGACGCTGGCCGCATTCAACTACAAGAGATGATCCGTCAAGGGTACAAAATCCGGTGCATCGATCATTCCGTCCTGCCGGACGATGCACTCGTCTACTGGGGAGGACGCATGGGATCACCGGCAACCACTGTGGAGCGACTCCAAGCCCACGAAACGGTGGATGCGATCGGCCAGCTCATGCACTACATGGGTCACAAATCCTTCGATGCCGTGATGGGCCTCGAAATCGGTGGGTCCAATGGTCTCGAAGCCTTTCAATGGGGGTCGGATCGATTCTACGATTGCCCCGTTATTGACGCGGACTTCATGGGCCGTGCCAATCCCATGATCTGGCAGACTACAATGGCCGTGTATCGGCCGGGGGAGCTCGCTCCTTGTGCAATTGACTCCGGCGATGGAAGGTCTGTCATCATGCCCCGAGCGGGCGATGATGAGATGGTCGACCGGGTGCTCCGTGCTGCTTTGACTGAAATGGGCTCTTTAGTTGGCTTATCAGCTCGCCCGACAAATGGTGCGGCTGTGAGGGCAATCGCCATTTTGAATACGGTGTCACTATCATGGAGAATCGGGAGAGCCATTGCCCAAGCTGCTCAATATAGTACACTTCTCACCGTGCCAGAAGCCATCATTGCTGAAGTCGGAGGCCCCCAGTCCGCCAAGGTCCTATTCCGAGGCAAGATCTCTGGAATCGAGCAAACAGTATACAAAGGACATTCATACGGCGAGCTCATCATCACCGAAGTCCCCGCCGAAGATGACGACCAGGCCAATAATCAGAATTGCTCTCCTGCGGTTGCGCAAGGTGGGCAGCTCCGCATCCCGTTCAAAAATGAGAATATCTACGCAGAGCATCATGCTGCCGACGGCTCGAGGAAGATCATTGCCAGCGTACCGGACCTCATTTGCATCTTGGACAAGGAATCAGGCAAGCCAATCGGGGTGCCAGAGTACCGCTATGGCTACCAGGTGGTGGTGCTGGGATTAGCCTGCTCTCCACACTGGTCCAAGACGAAACGAGGCCTCGAGATCGGTGGACCAAAGGGCTATGGATATGATTTCGCATATGAGCCGTTGGGCGAGTATGTTGAGCCTAGGAGTGTGATTGATGAGTTCAAGGAGGGTAATTAGGCCGCACGCAGCAGATCATCCTATAAAATTGTTAATACTAGCGTTAATGAATACTTTCCACCTCGTGTAAGCCAAATTCCCCACTTAAAGACGACAGGGACCATAGATGTGAGAAGGAGAGAATCCACTTGACAAGATCGAAGTGGAGAATCAACAGAATTAATTACATACGCCGTATTCTCCACTGGGTTTATCCGCTCGGGTGGATGTTGATCCGATGATTTCGGGGGCATGACAAACATGACAAACATTCCATTCGAGCACAAGACCAATATTGGAGCCCAAGGCACGCTTTAAACGACACAAAAAGAGAACCCAAAGGAAAAGACTGCTGAACTAAATACGAGGCTGAGTAGTAACGGCTCTTTCGGATTTTCGGTAGATATTTACAGCTTGGGGTAAGGTCCGTGGAGATGATTCCAGATGTCTGCGGTCTTGCCCTCTCGAGATATATATTTAAAGAAGTCCTGTGTCACGGTCTCAAATTGTCATGAAGTGACTCCAAGCTCTAGACACAGATTGACCTGTTCTACCTAAACGTTCTATGTCTTATCAAGAGCTATATACTCGGTCTACGGTGTATGCCTTGGCTCACGAACGGGAGTAGTGGACACATTGCAGATCTCTCGTATTCAACCCAATACAGGCAGCAATAATCATCCTTTATAACAGTCATCTTGACGCTCCAGACTACGTTTCTTTTATACAGGTGTACTACGCCTATCGGTCTGCAGTGTGCAAGTTATTACACGAATAGATGCACTATGAGTTGTAGGTTCCCTGAAGTCCCAGGTGCACTATATTGCATGCTGATGGCCAGTCCCCGAAGCTATTGTTGACTGGGTTATGTGGCCCTTCAGAACCCTGGAATTCAGAGTAAATTTGGTCGGTGACTATGACTGTGGCAAGACTACTCTACTTTATCAGATGAAGCTGGGGGAATTAGTCACTACCATTCCGACAATCGGCTTCAATGTTGAGACCGTCGAATACCCGAACAAGTATAACTGGACAATCTGGGATATGTCCAGTGAGTGAGCCCACAATGACAGTGTGCCTGTTCTGCATTGTACTATTATGTCATTTCGTATTTCTGCCCTTCATATTTACTGGCGTATCAATGACAAGTTACAGTATCTAGAAGGTCGCGCGAGCAATTGACCCACAGCTACTTTCGGGAGACTGACATTGTTCTATTTATCCACAACTGCGATCCGCAGCAGCCCGAACCCATCTATGATTTTCAATACTTTGTCGACTTTGTGCAACAGCATGATTGTAGACATCTATGGATTCTCCTCAACAAACAAGACACGCTTCCCCCAGAAAGCGCTGCAGAAATTGTCGATGGCCTGCGAAAGAAGTATCAGAAGGAAATGGCCAAGTGGGGGGATCAACTCTCATGGAGGATTTTAGATCACAGGCTTAGTGCCAAAACGGGAGAAGGGGTGCTGGAAATCCTCCGCCAACTTCATTCATCTGCAAACCTTCTTTTGCGGACTCGACCAAAACCCCAGCCTCAACCGAGTGCTGATTCCAAGAGGGAGCCTGAGATAGTGTTTACTCTAGACGAGCCAGAGGACACAGTATCCAGTCCGAGTCAGAGCGAGCCTATTGACAAACGAGCATCACACGATCCTGTTAATCCCCAGGCCTTTTGGGACTCATTCGTTACTGGAGATATACCAGTGTGGGATCATCATGCCCACCTGAAGGTCACCTACATTGTAGTTTTGGAATATGTGAAACGAAGACAAAGTACGTTTGCTATGGCTGATGTCATAATCGCCCACCTAAGGCGATTACAAAACAGTCTGCCAGAGAAGTTCAGAAATAGGGTACATCGGTAAGCCCTGTCCAGTTCAGAAGTTCCTTTAGTTTATACCCTGGCAACGCCAATAGACTAAGAATTTATTCATAGTACGATAACTATTTTCTGGATTTTACAGTTACAGATCGCCATCAGAAATTACAGGATCGCCAACAGACTTGGTGGAGACCCGTTATGGATCGACTTTTACAAGGTTTTGTTCCATACACCATCTGTGATGGACCCCCGTCTCTGGACTTCGTATTATAGCACAAAATATCTTTTTCATCCACGGGCATGGGATTCATGGACCCCTCCTGATCGTCAGCCATTGCCAGTCGTGACATCCCTTCTTGACAAGCCTGCTAGTTTCTCGACAAAACAAGGAGATCCAGCTAGACTGATACGATTCGCGTTTGTGTTCACCAGTCAGTGTGAACAGATCTCGGAATCGTACGACGAAGATGCCATGAAACAGGCACTTGTCACACTCCAATCAACGACTATCCGTCTACGGGCTATACACACGGTGACACCACCATATTCCGAAACGCAAGCCCGGTTCTGGCTGCACATGGTCCGCGCATGTCTACAGTCATTGGAGATCCCCCAGGGAGACAGTAGAGAAATTAAACCGTCACAATTGACCTTTGACGGTTTCGTGGCCCTTTTCGGTCTTACACCAACGTCATGGAAGAGATACTATACCCAAAAAACATGGGATGGTCTCGCTGCTCGAGTTCAGTATGTTGCCCCAGACAGACGCACGTTGCCAAATGTTATCAACATATCGGCCCATAATAGTGAGGTAAAGGCGATAATGAGAGGGATAGAAAAGGAGGCACTACATTCGGACTCAGAATCATTGGAGGATGTATTGTTGGCTACATACACGGAAAGTGCAGAATCGTCTGGGACAAAAGAGCAGAGAGTCGACATTGAGGCTTTTCTTTCATGTTGCGATGATGGTCTAAACCATGAAAAGGGTAGCTTTGATGATTAGAAGGCATGACGAATATCTGACTGAGCAATATGACGAACGCGTACGCTGCATAAGGGAGACATAAGAAGATCTGGCCTAGAATCATTCATAGCATATGGCTGTTGTAGATCGAGAACATAATACTGTACCAGAGTGACATAGGGTTTTTGTTATCACACGGCCTTTCGGAAACAACGCCAAGCATACATGCTGTAAATCAAGCCGACGAAGCCAAAGTTCAAGGCTCTTCGGAGACAATAGCCGAGGCTTGGACTCATATCAAGATTCAACATGGCAAAGCACATACGGCTTTACTAATAGGAACTGACCAGGGAAATGGCAAGTAAAACTGGGAGCTTGAGCGACCAACATCTGGCGGAAGCACAATAAGCATCACCTGAGTCATCTGCAGCAGACAAGCTCTGGGTAATATAACATCGCGCTTCAATACAAGTTTAGGTTGCTTAGCCACTCTGACCTATTGATGATAGCATGATTAGCCCACTCCACCAGAAGTGTGAGCAACTAAATAGAAAAACAACTCATATTTCACGAAATTTCCTAGTTGCTGCTTGTGTGAGTATGAATGTTTCCAGAGTTGTGGGAGATCGCCAGATTATTGGAATGCGTGATGAGATCCTCTAGAAGTGAACGCTACTGCGTTAGTGAAGTGGCGGACCAATATGTTACCTATGAATGGACCCGAGCGTACGGTGAATCTAGTCACATTGTCCCGGTAGGGATGATTCTACCTAAATGATAATCAGAGGGGAAGATATAGCCATAGTAAGTTGAATTTATCGGCATAAGAATGTTAAACTGGCGATGCTCAACGGAGTAGCTTAACGATTTCTGTGAAATGATTGGGATAATAGTGCAAATCGGTTTATCGCACTATTTCTGTAGTATTAGGGCCCATAACCCAAATATTACTGGTATAGAAATTATTATAAGCGATGATATTCACAAATAACGGGTCTGGCAAAGCACTAACATGATGTGCGCCCTGCACATTCCCAATATTATGGGCACCCTAAACAGTTTAGTGAATATCTGTACCGGTGACGAGGATTTTTTAATCATTATAGTCGGACTCGTCATCACTCCTCTTTCTCTTGTAATCTGTAGAGTATGGTAGATTTGGGTAAACTTCGTATCAATGAGATTCTTGTCATCGAAATACAAACGGCGTAGTGTGGCTAGTTGATTGATCGTAGTCAGGTCAAGTGTATAGCAACGGGCGCTTTCTAAGATAGCGATCCCTCTTCAAACGGCAGCCATTGAATGCCCCTGCCATACCTTAGGGGTAGCAAGGGTCTCAAGAATGCTGATGGAGAGCAAAAAGTCTTTCAAAAAGTACCCCCGATATAGTCTTCTGACCGTGTTGTGTGACAGTAGGCCTTGGGAGGCAAGGTGTTTCCAGTTGTCATGCATCTGGTATTCCAAGGCCGTATACCAAGAATACCATCGCCAATCAACAGTTACAGATGGGCGTGCACAGATGGTCTTGGTGCAGCTTACCCATATAGGCAAGGAGTTCGATTTCACCAAGGGGACGTTGAGTCCTAGTTTTTGGCCAGATTTGAAGTATCAAATGTCCAATAGAGACACTGCCAAAGTTCTCTGTACCTGATCACGGTGTCCACTTCACGAAGGGAGCCGCCTTGGTGTCTCTCAGCTCGTACCTCGGAAGGTAGATCGAGAGTCGACCATTCCAAATCAGTTTTCTGCGTTTATTTTCTGTAGTAATGAACGGATGATGGAAACTATGAAAAGGAGGGTTACTCTGGGTAATTCCTAGTCAAGAAGATGGGTTAAGGATATCAGGAGGAAGGAGTATCGAACTAGAAACTACGTTATGGTTGAAGACATACATGTGAATTTGGAACACCGCTTTCAGATTCTGCCGCGTCCGAGGAACAGTCACAAGTATAACACAGGCATTGGTTTTAAAGGTCCTCTTACTGGGGTTAAGTTACGCCATTTTCTCCACTGTTCTGTTGGCGTTGGACGGTTACGGCTAATGCCAGCTGTCTGATACAAGCGCACGCCACCGTCTCCACTGTCTTTTGTCGGTTGGAGGGGTTGTCGTTTTAGCTTGCTTGGCCTGACAGTACGTAAAACCAATAAATATTGCAATAATCCCGGTATTGAGCACTATGTGGAGTTGAAACCGATATCTCCCTCGTGGCATATGATTATGGTTGATAAGATGCCTAATAAATATAATGGGGCCCCTCTCGTTGCTACCTAGAACCCAACCTTTTCATTCTGTTCATACTTTTGAAACAAAATCCTTCGTTGTATACTCTGGCTTCCCCCCATAATGTCTGTTCCCAACCACAACGAGATATGGCGTCGAGGGGCAGAGGAATTCAGAGGCCAGAGACTGCTGCCTCACGTCGTTGACTATCATGCCCATGAAAATCCCAATCGCGTGTTCAATTCCATGCCAAGAACCCAAAATGTGGCGGATGGGTTTCGAGATTTCGACATGAAGACAATGGCAACCGCGGTCGATTTCATGGCCTGGTGGCTAGATAACCATTCTAAGAATGCCCCTAAGGAAAAGAAAGTCCTGGCGTATGTCGGAGTACCAGATATCCGATACCCTGTTCTCCTCTTTGCAGCAATCAAAGCCGGATGGACGGTAGAGAATCCGAAATTCCTCCCGAGGCCTGGCATTTCAGCTGATATCGTGATTTGCTAGACATTTTGGATATCGCCACGGAATCCGCCTGATCACAACCTGTATTTGCTGCGTGAGGGGAAAGTGAACCTTCTTCTCTACGCGGATGTAATGGAGCCAGTGGTTAAAGGCATTCAGCAGCTTGACTCTGCCTCTCTGATATCCTACCTGCCAGTACCATCCCTGGAGGAAGTACTGAATGGCCAGTCCCGTCCATACCCTTTTGATGTCATGTTTGCGGACGTCAAGGATGAAAAATGTCTTGCTATGCACACGTCTGGATCCACGGGTACGATCAGCGCCCTGCACAGCCTTCTAGATGGTTTCTGACTCGAGTCATAATTCCAGGACTTCCAAAGATTGTGTATTATACACATGCTGCATTCTCTTGTACGGACTCCGACCGAAATATCCCAGTCCCAGAAGGGCGTCGGCCACAGAATGCTAACCAGTTTGATTTCTCTCCACCCGGGCGATTCTACTGCTGCTTCCCGCCGTTTCATGTAAGAAGTCTCCCCTGGATCTTGATTCCTTTTGGTTATCAAATAACTAATGAAGCGAAGCTGGGGGGTACAATGGCATTCATGGTGATACCCGCGTTCTCCACGACTGCTACTGCTGTTTGGGGTCCTTCAACGATGCCCCCCAGCGGTCGCCTCGTGAGCGCTATCATGAACCACACGACAGTCCGAGCCCTGTATATTCCTCCGTCGACTATCGAGCAGTGGTGGACATGCGACCCGGATGCGACCAAAAAGGCAGAAGGTCTCGACTTTGTACTCTTTGGCGGAGGGCCTCTAGCACCCAGTGTTGGGCAGAAGCTCAGCGAATTGACGGACCTGTGTCAAATGTACGGCTCTATTGAGAGCGGTCAGATCCAGATGCTTATCCCCCAGCCCGGAGAATGGCAGTATCTCGAGCCCAATCCTGCCGAAGAGTGCGATATGCAGGAGGTAGAGGAAGGCTCCGGCCTTTACGAGCTGGTGCTCCATCAGGATGAGAAATTCCGCGGGCGACGTACTCTTTCACATACATTCCCGGAGGTGAAGGTATGGCGTACAAAGGATCTCTTCACTCCTCATCCGACAAAGGCAGGGTTATGGCAATTCCATTCTCGCACTGACGATCTCATCGCGCTCGGCACTAGCGCAAAGGTGTTCCCCGTTCCCATGGAGACGGCTCTACAAGGAGATCCTAATGTCGCGGGCGCGCTGGTCGTCGGAAATGCCCGCCCGGCGGTTGTCCTGGTAATTGAGCCCTCGCAGCCCTTGAATGGTGTGAGCAAAGACGAATTTATTGACAAGATCTGGTCCTCGATTGAAGAAGCAAATGCCGCTGCACCGACTCAAGGCAAGATTTCACGATGTCGTATCCTCCTGACAGATCCTGCTGTGGGGTTTGCAAGAACTCCGAAAGGCACCATTGCACGCAAGCGCTCCGAGGCTCTTTACACGGCAGCGATCGATGCGGTGTTCAGAGATGGCATTGTGGACGAGACTAACTCGACTAGTGCGTTTTGAAACCTTTTTAGGTCGATGAAACGAAGAAATTTATGCAGCCAGATAGTCATGCCATGAGAAGCTTTCAAAGGTGGCTACCGCTATTACGGCGGGCAGTTGTAGACTAGAAATGCTAGCACTGCAATTTTGTAGCAGTATAAAGTGTTTAGTCTATATAGCTGAACTCCTGACCGGTCGTAGTAGCGGAAGTTGGCCATACGAATCCTTACTACCAGGAAGCAAATCCTACGAGACCCACACATACTAACGTAAATTCTTACTAGAGTGTTTTCCCTAGTCCGACCGGTCACTCCCTTGGACGGTTCTCGCCACAGTGGATGTACTATTAGCAGATATGATCGTGAGCATGTGCGTGGCTTATACTCCAATGATGTGGAGTGACCTTTGCTGGTTAGCAGGGCCAACCTCCTTTCGAAAGAGATTGATGTCCCATTTCGGCCCACAAGTGAGCTTCGGGTCAAATGCATCACTAGTAACGATCCTCGGAATACGTAAGCTCCACTGAATCCTCCCATCTTTGCCCGAGAGTCCACTGGGTCGGGGTAGTGGAGTCATAGTATCGTTGACGCCCCAGTGATCTTGCCCTGTGAGGATGCAGATCTTCCCACGGGCCTCTGCTCAGCCTTGTAAGCCCTGCAGATCTTAAGAAATAAAGGTACTTCTACTTCCGTCTTTAAGGCACCGTCGGCGTTCGCCTGTGCGTAGTACCAATTGCACGGTGTGAGGATTCATGATGTCTGTGATGGGTAGATCAGTGGCTGCTTTGCATCTTTCTATACATGTGAAGCCTATATTAATGATTAGTGACTTGTATTTAGTTCTCGCCTTCTTGACTTAGAAATAGAAAACATCAATAGTATGCTTTTTATATAATATTTTACACTCAAGCCGTCGCTCTCATCTCAGCTACAGACTCCTGTTTCCCAATCGCCAACCGTTCAGCCGCCTCGCGACTGTAGGTAGGCCCCTTATAAGTCCGCATACCCTGGAACAACCACCAGATGCCGACAAGGGTCATAAGCCCGACGGTAATAACACTGGTGTAGTTCATATTCTGCACAGTCACCGGCAAGGTGAAGGGGAAGCAGAAGAACACCACCGTGACGGCGATGTAGAGGACCGCGAGGATATTAACCACATACCCAATTTTGTGGGGCATCGCAAAGGGCCCGGGGACAATACTTCGGCGCCGGGAGAGCACATGCGGGACAATAGCACCAGCATAGGACAGCGTGCTCAGAACAATAAATGACGAGATCAACGCCTGGAATGCCGTGGTGCTGCCCACGTAAACACAACCGAGACAGGAAACCATCACTGCCATGGCTACTGTGGCATTGACCGGACAGTCCAGCGTGGGGTGAACCTGGCCAAAGAACGAGGGAAAAGGGGTGGCATTGTCGCGCGCAAGCGACCACCACATCCGGCCACCGGTTGTGAGGGTTCCCACCAGTGTGGGAAAAGTGGCTAGGAAAAGCAGGGCGATAAGGCCTACTGCCCCAGCTGTAGAACCTGTTGCCTGCAGGTAGATCTCGGCGACGGGAAAATAATTGACGTTGGTGTTGAGAACGGCGTCAATATCATTGATACCATAGAACAGCGCAATGAGATAGACGAACGCGGTGAGAAAGGCTGTTAGAAGCTGCAGCATAATGCCCTGTGGCACCTTTCTCTCTGGTTGGGGAACTGAAGGTCGGGCATCGTTAGTATGTACAAGCTGGGGTCAGAGAGGCAAACGTGAAGGAACCGTATGGAGGGGAAGAAACCAGGACATATCTACATACCCTCTTCGGAAAGGTGGCTAATACAGTCCGGAGTACCGACCGCAAAGGCAGCATTCAGCAGCCCAGAAAGAAAGCAAATACCGTCGGACCAGCCACCAGTTTCGTTGTAGTAGGTTCTCCAGACTTGCGCATTGCTCGCGCGTCGACCACGCGGCATCGCGGCCAGCACAACGATGGTTATAAACAAACCACCCATGGACAGTACCAGCGAGATCCGATTGATGAGCGGAAGGTACCGATTTCCCAAACACACAATAGCACAGCACATCCATAGTACAATTAAGAAGACAATGAAGGGCTGCCAGCTATGCCATTCTACCCCCGGATGCCGTAGGAGATACATGGCAACCGCCTCATTCCCCAGAATTGAGCTCATCGAAGCTGCAGATAGCAACCAGGCGCAGGCATTGAGGTAGCCAGTGAAAAAGCCTGCAGCACGACCATACTTGCCTGCCACCACGGACGACCAATGATAGACACCACCTGCCGAGGGAATTGCAGAGGCCAGCTCAGAGAGGGATGCGGAGATGAATGCGTAAAAGACAGTGACCAGGATAAGTCCATATAAGACGGCCATAGGACCGCCATTATACAGTGCAGTCACAATCGTTCCTCCAGTAGCCGCCCAGGAACTATTAGCAATTAGTTATCTTGGTTAGGATCGGCGACTTCAGGAAGACAAGTAGGGGGCGACAGGGAACCCAGTGCAGACACATACTTGGCAATAATAATTCCCAGGCTGGTCAAGCTAAACAATCCGAAACCACGAACCAATTCCTGTTTATGGCCCAAGGCCGCTTCAAGGCGTGCTTCATCGACCTGGATGTTCCCCTTACTGGTGCGACTAGCGCTGTCTGGAGCCTGCTCCATTTTTAGGCCACCGAGCTGGAATCAATACAGAAATGGCGAGTCAGCAATGGAAAGTTCCAACCGCAGCAGGTAAGCAGAACAAAACAAAGGAAAAAGAAAAAAGGGCAGCCCGGAATTGGAGAAAGTAAACAGCGAGGCCGGGAAAGAATAGAAAGACATTGCGTAAGTTTCCGATAGTTGCTGCACGGGCGGGACGATATGCATCTCTATCAAATCGGTGCAGATACGCGAGGCGCACGCCGCAGCTCGCTTGACCCCCACCGCGCTAAGCATCGTGGTCAAGTCTTGCTGTCACTCTTCATTCGGTCGCATGAAGATTTAGCGTGTCGGGCCTGCTTTCCTTCAGCATTCTGAGCAGGGATATGAATCCTGGAAACATGCCAATCTGCAGACCGGGATTCGTGTACGGCATTAATATGTCCAACGGAGAAGCCCCATGTCTGGAACATGAGTCCTCGCCTGTTGATTGGAGTACCGAAGCGTCCCGGTCTAGCAAAATATGAACCTGTACGAAATTTTTAGCTTATCTTATAGACCTAGGGAGCGCCACTAACCCGCTGCCGTTGAAGAACTCGTGCATTTCGGATCGCTACTGGCACCTCGACACATACGTAGAGATCGCATCCGATCTACTATGGGAGATGCTTCACCCACTCCCCACCAGCTCATGGTAGAAGCAGTTGTCTTCTGGAGTATAGCTGTGGTGATCTGGATAGGGAGACTGTAGGGCGATCGTGTCTGCCCCTTGTCAAACACATCAGGAGCTAAGAATAAACAGCATCGCTCGAAGCATATCCAATGGAGGCATCCGAAACCTTCAAGGTGCGTATTGGGCCTCCAATCCACAGGATGCCGCAGGTATTCGGACCTTTGAGTACTATTTACGCAAAATACTAATAACAGAGTAGTCGATGACTACATTATGAGTGTCACCTTCGTACGTGTTCCATCATTTTTCTGATTATCGACGACTCGTATACAACCCCAACGGGCTCACACGACTCGGCTGACTCGTTAGGGTATCTACACGACACTCCTGGTCCTCATCAATATTTCTTCCAGTTACAACACCAACCTTTTCCCCACCGAGCAACTCCCACAGATACTGGCGGACCCCAAGGACGTGGCGAATCGAGTATATGGCAGCAAGATCGTGATTGGCCTGGAACAATGCATGCTTCTGTCGACATGGGGTGTCAAAACATGTCTCGTTGCCATGTATTGGAAGCTAACGAAGATGCTGAGCTGGCATCTCTTCGTTAAGCTCCTCGCCGGGTATGTCCTCCTCGGCTTCATTGTGATTGAGGTTACCTACTTCGCCGTGTATTGCCGACCGTTTCATGAATACTGGGCTGTTCCACCACAGAACGCACAGTGTGCAACATACCAACATTATTCCATCACGCAGGCGGTATTCAACCTTTCGTCAGATGCGTGCATGTTGATCATCCCGATTCCCCTACTGAAAGGGACGCAGATGTCGCTTCGCAAGAAGATTCTCCTCGTCAGTGTGCTCGGACTGGGAGTTTTCGTGATGATTGCCGCCATCCTCAACAAATATTTTAATTTCCACTCACCGCTCACCACGATCTACCAGATCTGGTATATTCGCGAAGCCAGCACCGCCATCTACGTGGCCAACCTCATGTGCTGGTGGCCCCTCCTACGAAAGCTTTTCGGCAATGTCTTGACACAATATCATAGTCGATACGCTACGAAGCAAGGGCATGCATCACATCCCTCCGGGGTCCTTTCCGGGGGTACCAGCTCCACAAAGCCTCCGGCCGATCGGAAATACGTGAATCCCAAACGATGGTGGCAGCCCAAGGGCCTTGGGGAGTCCTCTGCCCATGTAATTTCTACATCAGCCAGTCAGGAGGCGATCAATTTGCCCGTTCGTGACCCTCAAGCGGAAGGGCATTTGGAAATATGGCGTAAGGTGGACTACGATATCGAAGAAAGCTATGACGCAAATAAATAAGATCAAGCACTCCGAGTATTCTACTTTTCTTCTCCCTCTCCATATGTGGTGATAACTCTAGACTGCTCGGCCAGACAGCTACGCAGCACGTAGAAAGTACACCAAAAATATAAAAAAGAAGTTAAACGGACGATCAATTACGCTGCATCAAGATGATCGCAATCAACCGACAATAATAATCAAGCGGAACAATTCTTCAGCCGGACATGGGCTGAGCCAGTTTGCCGTGGGGCACAATTTATGCGGCCAGTTAATGCCTCTCATCTTTGAAATTTGCTTTCCAAATGTCTATCCATCGGGTGGGGCCGGCCACCAGTGTCAGAATAAAATTAATTCATGGTCTGGATGGCCAGAGGCCGCCGGATGTCTTTCCTTTTCATACACCAAGTGGAGTTGTTTAGGGTTTAAAGGGTTTAAAGGGTTTAACACTTTGGGCGGCGCGGGTTGGCCCGATCCCCGAGGCCGCGTTTTAGGGCTCCTACCCTGACATAGTGAGGTAAAGTGGATGAAGGAATTTCTTTTAATGAATCCCCTGCGTTGGCTGTCTCACATTCATATAAGTAACTTCTCTGCGGAGTACGCTCTCTTGTGTTCCTTTGCACTCCGTTCTGTTGGCTTCCGGTTCCTGTTTCCCGTGCTGGTTAAGAGCTAAACGCTGCCGATGCGATCGACACTGCATTAATAACGCAATTTAACCATGCCATTCAGTCATTTCAGTTTCTTAGACTTTGGCGCTTGGTTATCCGAATGGGGGCTAAATTACTAGTGCTCCGGTTTCGGCAACTCAGGCTGCACTTTGGAGCCTTTTTGCCTCCTAAGTACTTCGCGCCGGCTCGAACGCGTAAGACACCATAACGTAATTTTCAGCTGCAGACATGAAGCTCACTCATCGGTTTCTGGGGGTGGCTATGAGTCGTTCAACGCCATGCACAGTGGTCATGGTGCGAGGCGTAAATACACAGTGAGCGTGTGTCGATCCCCCACGGCGCTCGGCATAGGGTCGCATCCAGCAAGCCCGCCGCGGCGTTCGACTGTTCCCGCGCTGAGCATTCCGTACTCCGTAGGAAAAATGGAGTTACCCGACCCATAACTTGCATAAGCTTCTAATCGCTAACTAATGCACCTTCAAGTACATGAAGAACACCCTGTGAGAGCTCAGTACTGATCTGATATCATTACTTTTTTGCCTGGGTGCGACCGTGACTATCATTACGGATGTTGCGACTACTACCTTCTAATTCCCCCTCGCCCAGAATATATCATCCACGGTGGCACATAATATCCTAGCATTACAGCTGACGTAGATCTCACCGGGTCAATGATCGACGTGATCGGAATTGTCTTTCGTTCGAAGAAAGCCCAGGCCGACATTGTAAATGTGGCTCAGAAACCATACCAAAGTACTTGTGTCCAATAAGAACCAAGGCATATTCAGTTGGCATGCTATCTGCATCAAAAGTAAACCCGAAAGATACCATTCACTGCTAGAAAGCACGAATATGCTACTCCTTATCCACTGCGACCTATATTCCCAAGTACCGGACCAGACACAATTGTAGTGGACGAGGAACACAGCACTATCAACGAACAACAAAACATCAAGCAGTCAAACATAGCTCTTAGAAGAGAGGCTGGGCCGCGAAGTTCCATCGGCGGAAGCCGAATCAAATGATACCTGCGCTGGTAACGATGAAGTCCTTTGACTGCGCTAACGGACGCTCCTTGGCCTCCGTCTCATCGGCGTTGCGTCTGACAAAGTTGAATTGATAGCCATCGCTATTGGAATTAGTAAACTGATCACGAAGTGAGAGTAGTAGAACGTGTACATACTTTGCCGGAACACCGCTCACACCTTGAACTCTGTATGATTGGGCATCCCTGTTGATACCTTGATCGATACGCCTGGCATAGTTGGGGAAGTGTCGCATGTTGACCAGCCAGAGATCAAAGGACGGATTATCGGTGCTGGATTACAGACAGCATGTCAGCTCACTGTCAGTAACCTCAATGATAGAGAATCGGCGGTTTATAACTTACTTAACAGCGGTCCATGTAATTGTGGTGCCCGCCTGGAGGAAGATTCGATCACCCGTCATCGGAGTGCTGACCTCATAGGCTGCGACGGAAGACGCAAGAGCTGCGAGGCAAACGAGAATGAACCGCATCTTGGTGGCGATTGGGTGAAGCTGGGTGCTTTTCACGAAAATTGCTCGAGGTTGTAAAGTACTGGCAAGGTGTGTTTGTTCCTAGAGAGCGATGAGAAAGGAAACGGCGCAGAGCACGACGGCGATATATACCCATCAGCTGGAAATCAGGACACTTGCTTATGCCTCATCTTTCAAGCTGTTCCCGCTTGGACTCTGGATTATCGCCGAAGGTACATTCTACTCAACCGGTAGCCGAGAGACCTGAAATCCAAGAATGTCAATGCAGATCCAGTATCTATTGTACACCCCCATGCCCTAATCAAAGGGCGCTCATCGTTATCTCGTCGAATTGCAAATTGTAGTGACGCTCTTTCGTATGTAACTCGAAACAATTGTTAGCTGAAAGAGTCTCTCGCACTAGGATGGTCGCCGATACACTAAATGAGTAGAGAAAGAACTCCTGTTGGGGTGTGCAGCCGCTCACCGTCCTTGCAGAAATAGTTGCATTGCTTTCGATAAACGACCAAGTATCTTGTCTCGCGCGTCTCAGCATCCAGGGATGTATATAGTTGGAGATCAAAGTTGTTCGCATCCTATCCCACCGCACAACTCGATCGAAATTTTCTATTGCAGAGGGAAGATATATAGCTTGAAGTGCAGATATCTGTGTCACCAAACTCCCCGGCCTCCGGAACTTGAACGTTTTAGCTGCCGAAAATGATTTTATATTCAACCATGTCTACCGTAGGCCAAACCCGGTAACGTAAAGCTTGCCTGCATGCGCTGTTGTCCGAAGTGTGAACTGTACGCAAATGTCTATGCCGCGGGAGGTAATTATCGGACACCGAGCTACTGTCAGGCTACGATTCTGAGCATTCCTATGATGCAGTTTTTGGTTCAATATTTCAAATGATTTCGTACGATGCTGGATGTCATGGTATACTCGTTGCGTAAGTAGAGAGTAGTCAGACGGCAGTAGTTTTAGAGGTCTAGGATCCATGTAGCGAGACGATATCAAGGAGACGTGCGCTATGGCCGCTGGTCTGACGCCAGCTGCGTTCAGGGTGCACGACCTGGAGTTCATCAATGACAACCCTTCGCCAAGACGGCAGGAGTATGTAACTATCCGGGTAAATGAATGTTTGATTTTAATTTTGCTATTTCTGTGATGCCCTTGACAACCCTCAACTTGGTAAATTGAACGGCAGGCATTGGAATATGTTCCAACGGTGCTTGAAAGGATTACATGTTCTGTCGTCGGTTTTACTTATTACGATCTTGGTAACTCAGGGTTCCGTAATCCACCTGAAGTGTTTGAGTTACATTCTTCATAAGATAATGAAACAGCTATAGATCTCGTAGGCCATCTGAAGATTGACATGATGAGTCACACATTTTGACGCACTATCCCCTTCCAAAATTGCTTCTACGGATTAGTCTGGAGTTGAAATGAACTAGTAGTAGAGTGATGAAATCTGAATGGTAAACAACAAGAGCTTATGCTGGGATCCAAAGGCACACTACGTAGAAAGACTATATTAGACCTGTATAATATATTATCACCCCTGGATACTCTTTCTGACGGGGAGCTTATAATTGACGCTTAGCATGCCAATGTGCAAAATAGTATGCATAGAAAGAGGAGCATGTCTGGTAGGTCGCGAAATTAATCTTCTCCAGAGCAGGACTGCTTCCTCTGTGGTTCAGTGCATTTACATAGTTAAAGAGTGTGCCATTGTATTTTCAGGCCTTATGGAATTAGGCTGGACACCTACCCCAACGATACGGATAATATGGTTTTCCTTTCACACAACCAAGAAAATCAAAGAAGTTGATTGTTAGACGCTTCAGCCAGGTTTAGCCGTTCTCCTATGCTCAGGGTCTGGAGCGAACTAGACGTAGAATGATCTCCAATGAGTGAGCCAGGTTCAATGAGGCGTGAACAATCAAAAATGAGGATCGAAGACAGGTTGGAACATGGCACTTCTGTGAGGCTCCTTACCAATATTCTGGCGCGTCAATAGGCTGTACTGAAGCAGCTCTATGTCGGCTCATATTTACCTTTCTCAAACAACATCGGTAGACGGTCTATGTAGGTATATACCTAGTCAGCATGCTCTACTATACACATTACTAGACTATTACTGTCTGTTAAATAACTACTGAAACACAAGAAGGTTAGTAATTTCCCAGCTTCATTATAAGTACCATAGAAACCACCTAGGGTTCTGTTGGCATAGCTCTATGTTGCATCACGACTGAGTATATTCATTCGATGCGGATGCTACGACCGATGATTGCCAACACCACGTCATGTAGTACTATGTACAGTGCAATATCTCACATATGCTGTCTATATGGGAAAGGAGGAGAAGGCGGGCTACTCAGTGAGAGAGCTGATCAATCATTCCAATCCAGTTCTTGCTTACCATGATTCAGCGAAAGAGGAGAATAAGTGGAAGTCATTAATTGTACCAGTTCACCGAGACTGAAAACGGCTTAGGTAGTAGGACTCTGTAGCATCCTCCATCATAACCTTCTAATCCTGATGTCAAAACCTTGATGTATTTCCCGGCATTGCATTGAAATGGTGTGCTGGGCCAAAAAGACAGAGTATCGCACTCGCTGTCCTTAGGGTCCGCCTCTAATACCTGTCTTCATCTGTTTTCTACACATACATCTGAAGACCACATCTTTGTTCTTCTCACGCCTTGACTACGCTAAGGCAGAAGCATTACAAAACTACGAGAAATGGCTTCCGCTTTGGACAAATTCTTCGATGCGTATGTCAAATCAATGAAGCATTCACAGGAATCACCCTATTAATGCAAAGGACAGAGTCGACGACCTTTCTTCATCCTTTAAAGACAGTAAGATTTGGCTTACCCCCGGCTGCCTTGTATCTATCGCGATGTGATTGACATGGGCAATTATAGGGCTGGGAAAGGCCATCCACATGCAATCGGTTTCATCAGAGGCCGATAAGAGGGATGAGCTGACAAAAGTAAGTTTACTCCAACGGACGCATCCATCTAAGTCGCCATATATAGTCTGATGCTGATAAAGACTTCTCGCACCCTAGATGGCGAAATTTCTAGCGGACGAGCTCAACACCCTTGGGGCACAGGCAGAACCAAAGCTCCTGCCCAACAATCTGCCACCCGTTGTCATTGGCCATTATCCGAAGTCTCCAGACCAAACGAAGCCAACTATATTAATTTACGGTCACTACGATGTCCAGCCTGTTACAGGACAGCCCTGGCACTACGAGCCGTTTGAGCTTACCCAAGCCGGGGCTGTCGATGATGAGCGATACTATGGACGAGGTACGACCGACGACAAGGGCCCCGTCGTGGCCTGGGCCAATGTTATTCAGGCACACCAGAAGGCTGGGGTCGATATTCCAGTCAACCTACGCTTTTGCTTTGAAGGAATGGAGGAGTCCGGTTCTACTGGACTCGCGGAGTATCTTGCAAGTGAGGAGGGAAGGAAGATTTTCGAAGATGTCGATGCTGGCTGTATTTCAGACAACTATTGGCTTGATACTAAGAAGCCCTGCTTGACCTATGGACTACGAGGAATCAACTATTTCAAAATCACGATCTCTGGTCCCCCAACTCAGTTACACACTGGATTGTTTGGGGGCACTGTCTATGAGCCATTGACTGACTTGGTCACTCTCCTCTCGAAGCTGGTTGCTTCTCAGGGGAATATACTAGTCACTGGAATCCAGGAAGATATCGAGCTTCTAACGGAAGAGGAGGAAGAGACTTACGATAATATCGACTTCACTATGCAAGACTTCAACAATTCAATCGGCCCCAACACCGATTGCGGAATCTTCAATGACCCTAAGCGAATACTCATGGCGCGATGGAGGTACCCATCTCTGTCTATCCACGGGTTCGACGGTTCAGCAAATGGTCCCGAGACTGTGACCTCCATACCTCCCTGGGTGACTGGAAAGTTTTCCATTCGCACCGTCCCAAGTATGACTACAGAGCAAGTCACAGAGCTGGTAACGAACTATCTCAAGGGGGAATTTGAAAAGCTGAATAGCAAGAACCGCTTGGACATCGAGATGACTGATAGTGGCGAATGGTGGCGTACCGATCCACAGGCTAGGAATTTCAAAGCCGCTGAATTAGCCACACAAAAGGTTTGGGAGAATGTGACCCCAGACCTGACACGCGAAGGTGGAAGGTTAGTAGACTGTGATCTTTAGTTTGAGCCCATACCATGCTCTTCCGCCTGCAGGGTCTAGAAATGCCCAGTCAACTTGTTGCGCCTTGACACACTTAGTCCACACTACATATTTCCTTTCTTTGGGGACGACTCTAGAAGAAGGCGCCTTCACGGCTCCTTAATATCGGCACATACCTAGGAAGCTAACAATTGTACAGTATTCCTGTCGCATTGGATATCCAGGAAGGGCTAGGTAGCGACAAAAGCTTGATGTTGCTTCCAATAGGGACCTCGAGCGATGGTGCACATGGTCCTGACGAGAACATGAGGGTTCGAAACTATCAGAATGGTGTTAAAGTGCTGGGAGCCTACCTCCATTATTTTGCAGAGAAAGGTATCGAGGAATAGCCGTGTCGCCATTCCTAACTTTTTCAACCTTCAACTGTTTGTAATCGAGAATGCCTATCTTTACCTCCTTGCCTCTGAAAAACTGTTTGAGTATGGAACGCTATTTGTACGAGATTCTCCATGATCAACGCTTTTTATTTTCGCTTGAATTGAAATGGCAATCCACGTACGGGTACAGCATGCGAAAAGGAGGAGTATGATAGTAGTTGGTCCAAGAAAGATCTTCCCTCACCCTCGTTAATGACAAGCCATAGTCAAGGAGACACACAGATATCGCCAATCCCTCTTCATTTCCATCCGAGTCCTTCAATCCTATTTGTAGCCTCCCAAAGCTACAAGTATCATCAATCTCATGGTCCTTAGGACTTGGGGCGACCAGTGTCTATTCAAAAGACAAAACTCCAGATATACTATTTTGATGTGACATACAACATCCTATATTCAGGCCTCCATTGCAGCCACGCTTACCCAACGGGACAATGCATCTTTCAGTCTTTGTATCTCAATCTCGTCAGTCGAGACCCATGCGACGATACCATCAGGTCTTAACAGTAAACCCTTGAGCCCGAATGTCTCCTTTGCGCTCTGTCCACAGTATTGGATCATGAACTGCTGGGACTGTAAAGGCTCGACAAACTCTGCCACCCGGCTGTTGCCCCCGAAGTCAATAACCAAGAAGGATGCTTTCTCCAACTTAGCTCCAAGTCGCAGACCATCATCGAATTCAAAGTCCGGAGCGCTACAACCGACTAGTGGATGTGCACCGCCCAGCTCGTAGCGTAGTGAAAGTCCCCAGATGCGATCCGCGAGGTAAGTGGCCCCCTCTTGAGTTTTAATCATGTCACGCATGACATCCGCAATGGCCTGGCCATAGGGATCAGGGCGTAATATCGCCACTTGAGCGCGAGTCCACTCAAGCACTCGTGCGGCCTCTGGATGCCGCTCTTGATAATAAGTATCGAGCAGACCGGGAGATCCAACCCCCTTAACGGTAGCCGCAAGCTTCCAGCCGAGGTTCATGGCATCGCTAATCCCCGTGCTCAATCCTTGCGCGCCCAATGGGGAGTGGATGTGGGCACTATCACCAGCTAAAAGGATGCGTCCTTTACGATACTCTGTTGCTTGCTTCGCGCGATCGGTAAATGAGGAGGCTTGACGAAGCGCTTTGACAACGATGTTTGTGTCCGACACTTGGCGGAGTACTTCTTGAAAGTGTTCCCGCGTAATGGGTTGAGACCGGTCAAACCCCCTATTGAAATCGATGACATGCAGATGTCCAGGCCCGCTAAATATATACATTCCCGAGTCTGTGTGTGTAAATCCTGGCTGCAATAACTCTGGCTGGTCGAGATCGCACATCGCAATATAACCAGTGAACTGCGCTTCTGTCCCGACAAATTCAAATCCAGCAGCTTTGCGAACTGTGCTGCGTCCACCGTCACATCCGACTAGCCATTGTGCCGTAAAGCACTCATCGCCGGCCCATATCTGCACGGAGTCACCTTCATCGGTTAGTTGGGAGACTTCCCTTCCTCTGAGGATTTGTACACCGAGGGTCTCTGTGCGTTTCGTCAACACAGTCTCGAGACGTCCAAGAGAGGTTGGGCCAGGAAGAAAAGACGGTCCTGGCAAGTGATACGGCCAGCGTGAAAAATCAATATTGTTGGCATTAACCACCAAGCCCGCAAAATGTCCCCCAAACTGGAAGCCTTGGGTCTTTTCGAAATGCATCGGACGCTTCTCATCACCCATGATCTCCTGCAACATGCCACGACGGTAGAATGCTTCTACTGATGGGATATAGAGACCGCGACGACCAAATAATCCCTCCTTCCAAGGTGACCCTGGCTGTGTCTCACGTTCCAAGACGAGTACCGAGACACCAGCTGTGGCCAATTCACATGCGAGAAACAGTCCTACTGGCCCAGCACCAGCAATAACAACATCCCAAGTTTTGTCCATGATTTGCATCTCCACCAGCGGTTGGTTTTGTGATTTGACAGTGATCGAGCTGAGTTGCAAAACAAGCCTTTCACGAGTTGTTTTAAGTAGGCCATCTCGGGGTTTACTAACTTCCGCTCGGGCTGTCGAACACCGACGGCGCATATGAATCAACCTCTTACTGACCCCTTTACTAGACCACAACCAACAAAATTTTACATCAAGAAGGCACCTTCGTGTATGGATATTGCTTGGACAAGACATGCCACGCACCGTGCTGGACGTCCTCCATATTGGTCCAACACCTGTTAGCTTGGCTCATTCCCACAACCTGAAAGCGACCTAGAGCTTAACATAACTTCAGTAAGACAGAACACCATCAAGTCTCTCTTAGAGAGGGTTTCATTATCTCGATGGCAATGGAGAGACCACATAAACGAGACAATGCCAGCGGCCAACGACGGCTGATATTTATACATAGATCTCATACTATCAGCAAGATGACAACGGCCCTCTTGTAGATATTCATCAAGTGAACCATCTAACCATTCTTGTGGCAAGGAATGATCAGGGCCACATGTCCTGAGAATCCCAAGTTTTATAGAATGACGCGGTATATTTAATCTCTACATGTTAGACTGCAAAAGCATGTCCAGAAGTACATGTCTAGCAGTCTGGTGTCAAGCCCAGAAACACATAGTTTATAAGGCTCTAGTGGCCGGCTTAAGAGATGTTATTAGTTCTATATTCCTATATACACATGCATGAAAGCCCAGCTTCATTCCTCCAGCTCTTTGATTGCTTCTTCAATACTGGGAAGCCTCTGACGCCCCAGATTGAGCCTTCTACGCCACTTCGCTTCCATCTTCAGCTTGGATCTCCGGCGACGAGTACGCGGATAATTTATCGGAGACTCTCCTCCAATAAAGATGAAAACGTCATACACTGCGCCTCCGACCAGGGCACCAGATATGGTAGCCAGCCAGGCGCCCCAAAACCACCATCCTCCTCGTTCGGTGAATGTGCTTCCACCGTATCCTGCCATCAGGGCCACGAGGCGAGGACCAAGGTCTCTGGCTGGGTTGAAACATCTGGACGTTCGTTAGCGCGGCCTTCTCTCAGACAACTTGCAGACAAGCGGGAAAATACATACCCTCCAGTATTATAACCAAACCCGATGGCTAACACAAAGATCAAGAGGCCAATTATGAACAAGTGCATACCCGCACCAGGTGGAGCGTTGCTATCGTCACCCATTGCAAAGATTGTACAGATTAGAATAGCAGCGGCGACAAATTCATTGAAGAAGGCCGTCACATTGCGGACGTACGTCAAGGGCTCGGTATAGAAGCCCAGACCAGTCGCTCCCATTGTGATGCCGGAATCGCTGTTGGAACCGCTGTGGAAAATCGAATCGCGGTAAATGCAATATGCCAGTCCACCGGCCGTGAGAGCCCCCAGAATCTGAGCAATCACATAATAGATACAGCGCCGGCCTGGAAACCCTCGATAAATCCATAGCGCAATGGAAATAGCCGGATTGAGATGTCCACCGCTGATGCCACCAGCGATATAGATTCCCACGGTAATAGCCAGGCCCCACGCCCAGTGAAGAGCGAGTTTGTTACCTGCATCACTTCCCCCAGTGGATATTGCCAGAGTGGCACATAGTCCGATTAACATCGCAACGGTAGTCTGCCCATCCCATCGTCAGTACTGTATCTCTTAGCAATGTTCGGAATTGCCAGGGTATCTTCTTACCCCTAACCATTCTGCAAAAGGTTCCCGCAATTGGTGCCGCACCATAGACCACTTGTTGAAATGCTCCGGCTGGCCCCCGTACGGCTTGCTCCCATCCTCCGTCACCTCGTCTTCCACAGGTCGCGGCACACGGTCGGTGTGGTCCGCATTTGACATCTCTTGGTGCAGCATTGTGTCATCCCGTGTGCCCGACTGAGGACTCGAGACCGCTTGACCATCTTTTCCCTGCTCGTCTCCCTGGTCGGGAGTCGCCTCCAATTCGGGCACTGGTTCTGCCTCTCCCTTTTGTCCTGTTGGGTAGGCAGACGTTGTCCCACCGCCATCATGGCGACGCATGCCTGGTCGGACCACGCGCGGAAGGGGTTTTGCTAGACCCCAAACCGGCTCTTCATTGGTCTTCCCATACTCGGGATTCATGTCATGATACTCTGGATGAATGTAGATCGAGCTCATGTCGGGCTCTCGTGGGCCGGCAAGAGAAGGAATCGTTTGGTTCGTCCGACTGGTCTGGTTTGTCTTCCGTCGTCTGAGTTGAGAGTACCGGGACGGTCGCTGTGATCCGGTGCTGCGGTTCTGCAGTGGTGGCCGCTGTCTGTCTTGTCTCATGTTGTTTGGTTGTTCATCGTCCCTCAATGGCCCCCTTCTATTTTCTTGGGTGGTATTTAGATCATTGTTTCTATCCTGACGGCCATCGGCCAGATCCTGCTCCTCCGGCATCTCGGATCTTCGGTATGTCTAGATTGGAACGCTGGGGTAAGAGGGGGGAATGGATGGCAAGGATGAAGTAGGAGAGATTGAACTAAAATATATAAGCAAAGAATAGAATGAAACGCTAGCTCGGCATATAAAAAGAATTATATCATAACATCATCAGTGATAATACAGAGTACCGTTGACCAAGTTGAATACCAGCATAGGTTCTATCCTTCATTTTCTAGTATCTGTGGGGCTCATGATATCGAAGAAGTGACATAGTACGCCAGAGCCCAATGAGTTATCTCTAATTATGATTGATGTTCCCTGATTATTATCAGTGAGTCGCGTGGCAAACGACCCTATCGCGACTGATTGAGCGGATCCATGATGTCACGAGCTGCCCGAAACCCTTGCGGCTTCATTTGCTTCTTGGCAAACAACAGACCATGGCATCTACTTTTCTATAGACCTCTCTAAACATATCGAGCACCTCCCCTGGACGGCATGCGGGCTCTAGAATGTTCATCGGTGATATTTCGGGATGTATCCCGGTTGGCAGCAGAAACCGGGACGTACCCAGGACTTTCAGGGAACCCGACTAGAGAACACGTCGATCCCGACCTCTAGAACTCGTACGCCCCTGTTGATTAACTGTGAGTGCAACGCATATTGGTAAGCGCCCCATGGCATCAACTGCTATCGGGAAAAGTTCTCCCTTGAGCTTGAATAAGCTTGGTGGAGATCACGACGTAAAAATATCATATTTAGCCCTAGGGATCCACTGACGATCGCTACCTTTGGAACCGGCTGTCCATCCAGCCAATCACTACTGCTGTATCAGGCGGAATTTTCAAGCTTATCCCATTCAGGGTTTCAAATCCCCCAACTTCAGTCACCGATCCTAGCAGTTCACGTCGTGTACGCAAGTGCGTCCTCTTTCTAGAACCTCTGCATGCAAGGCGATTGCAGTGTGGCTACGTCATCGCATGTTAGGCATCCACTGCTCAATATATTCCTACCGTTACTTGCTGGATCGCGTAACCAGGCTTTTCCCTACCAGTGTCTTTTCAAGTCGCCGCTCTATGGCGCCCGTTGGGTGCCATCGACTACAATTGGGGTGTTGCCAGCAGGTTTTTGACGACCAACACACTGTTGTGCTTCTATCGTGGTGTAGTAGAAGATCAGAGCATAAAACCAAGGGACATGGTTATTGATGGGTTATCTTTATTACACTAGTGTGAAGAAAATAATAGACGGCCGAGACAACGCTCATTATAAACTTCGATAAGGTATCCAAAGAGCAACCAGCCGGGAAGAGATGGCGGTACCTACCATCCTTATTGCAAACCCTAGCAGCGTACGGTCTATTATATGTGGTCCACAGGTCCATCCTGCGGCGTACGATGTGGCTGGTGACCCGGTGGTAGCCCTTGGGCAGTCGATTCCGATGCTACCATTCCCGGGGTCGGCATATCATGCAACTCATATGCTTGCTCGTCGTCCTTGTAATCAACCGCGATCCTGCTCACTCCTCCTGGACGCGGAAAGGTTCCCAAGCTATACGTCCGGCCGATTTCCTCCAAATGCTCCCGCTGCTGAACCTCAGTCCACGCGTGAGTACCCTGGAAATCCCGCATCATCTGACTATGTGCAATCCAGGGGATGAGCGACCCAATAGACTTGGGAATGCGTGGCCCACTGAATCGCCCACGGTAGGCGACGAATACGCCAACCATCAGCAGAACATCCAGTGATACAAGTATGATAACAACGAGAATTAACGGGGTTGATGGCAATATACCCCAAATCTCTTGAGTAACTGTCCCTTCGACGGCGACGGAATGAGACTCTGGCAACGGCTGCAGATACAAATCTCGCCAGAGCGTAAAGTAGGTACTGAAGGCTGTTCGGTAGGTAAGCTGGACAGCATTGATCAGAACTGTAGGGTCCACAGAGCCCGAGTTGGGATTCAGCTTCTCAATTGTCCGTACTGTCAGGACTCCCGGCCAGTCATACTGGTAAAATGACGAGTTTGGATGAGCAGGAAGTGTTTGAAGTGACTGGGTGAATGCCCGGTTGAATTGACCCAAAATATCCGACGCATTCTGGTAAAATGCATTGTCAGTGGTCGCGCTTCCGGGCACCGCCTCGTAAGACTGTATGTGACCAGAGTGGTCGAACTGGACCATGAACTCTTGAACGTGAATTGTCGGCTGGCAGTGCAATGCGACTATATTGTCAGTGTGAGACGATGCCCCTTTCGTTATTCCAGCGCGTGAGAACTACGAGTGTAGAAGTCTCACATTCCGTCGAGGCAGAGGATCCCGTTGGAGCCAGATAATGAATAAACCTCTCGGGGTGATCAGAGGCTGCCCATGGCGACTTTACCGAGTAGGTACATTTCGCACCACCATTGAACGGCTTAAACTGCCAGTATGGCTTCCCAGAATCGCTACGGGGAAGGCTTTCACATATCAGATCGGCACCGATACCACGAGTCAAAGCTGTATAAGAAGTACGATCGCGTTCCGGCTCATCGATTGTAATTGGCACAAATGAGTGGTTTGGGGTAGTCCACGGCAGGAAGGGAGCATCTTCAGTGATACTTGTGGGAACAACACTGTAGGTATCCATGACGGGGATATGCGATTGTCTTGCAACCGTGGACAAGTTATAGGTCGCATATAAACCAGAAGCAGCCGTCAAATGTTCTCTTAATTGTGGCTCAAACAGGCCACCGCTTACAACAGTCAGGTCCAGGTCCATAATACATGCCAGTGAGATGATCACGAGCAGGCGAGGGCCTCGGCGCGCGCATTTCCAGAGCACCGCAAACGCGGTTTGACAGCCATAGTTCATCAACAGCGACTGCTTTGCGGTCACCAGTCCCTTCTCTAACTGAGTCCACGGCTCTAGAACGCTGAGGTGGCGAAGCACAGATGCTAAAAGGCCGCTGATCACGGAGGCAACTAGGGTGGGAACAAAGAGCATCGCAGTATACAACACTAGCAGAGGCCAGGTCATGTAGTTAGGGTCGTCCAGACGGAGATAGCGAAGAGACAACCCAAACAAAGCGAGCACAATCGCCAGCGTGAAACACTCAATGCAAAACCACGGTAGTCTGAGGAAATGTGGCATAAGATCCTTCTTTGTCCGAGAATCGCGGGTGGAAAGAGGCACTGGATTTCCATCGAGCGACACAATTTCTAACCTGCGTTCCTTAGGCTCTTCGCTCCACCGGCACCATAGCCCCTTGGCCCATTGGAGAAGCTGCCGGGTGGTGGCTTGGTGGAAATCCGTATCAGGCCGAGCTAGTGCAACTGTTGGACTGAACAGATCCGCAACGATTGCGCACTGCGCAGCAATTGACCCCGGGTCACTTCGAAGAAAGTTAGGGCGCCGCGGGTAGACAAAGGCTAGGAAGGAGAGTAAGATAGATGCAGCACAGAGCATGATTTCCCCATGGATGGCAGGGTCGTGCAACATTTGGAGGATCACTGAGACACTCTGCTGTTCTGCATGAATCATCGTAGGACTTGTGGGATTGAACATTTTGTTCATCGTGACGAGGAAGCGATGATTCCATAAGTTGCGCAGCTGTTGCCGGTACTGTTCGAGGTCTATAAAGTTGGATGGGGACTCCGTCTCCAAGACGCTTGACGAGCTAGTAGTGTGAGCAGTCCGTTTCATCCTCGCCGCTCGAGGTCCGACGCGAAATTGATCCTCAAATTTGTCGATACTGAACTCAGACGGACTGAGACTGCTAACTGTTCCAGGATGGATCTGGGCTGCGACGATTGACGTGTTTGTGGCGATGAAGACCTCCGCTTCTGCGGAATGATAAGTGGCCCCACAAGCAAACGCCGTGGCACTTGAAGTCTTTATGGAGTTATTTTTCAAAACATCACCTTCAATCAAGGCACCATACAAGGTGGGTGAACCGCAGCCACTGCCAGTGAATGCAGAAGTAGCATTCGAATTCCGGGTAGATTGCCCTGGCTCCCAATAGCGAAGCTGAAAGCGACCAGGCTCGGTGGGAGCGATGCTGTCAAGTGCGAAGTTAATCGAGCAGTTCGAAGTGCTATCACTATCATTCGGAGTTGGAAGAGATATAGGGCGCATATTCCATGAAATTATCTGTTCGCCATGTAAACTTGTATGGGCTCTAGGGTGCCTCGTGGATGTGATCCCCTCTAAAGGCGTGTCTACACAAGTCAGATTTGACCAATATATCGTTTGGTTCAAGCGTAACATAGATGTATCATTCTCGTCATCCACAGGCATTGAAATCGGTGCCGCTGCATAATGGGGTGATCGAAGCAACAGAAAATCGGCCTCTTGGGTGAACTCGTCGCGGCCAGATGGTTCCGCTGTAACCAACGCCTTTTGCGTTTGCAAGTCGACAAGGGCCGGCCATATTTCAATTGTCTTGGGCTCAGTCAGGCTCAGCTCCCCCATCACTATTAGCCCAGCAAATAAGGAGGGCAAGAGCATCCGGAGGACCAGTGACATGAGCGACACGCAAAGAACAATCCAGTGGCGGTTGCGCGCGGCGGTTATCGGCGCGGTGATACCGTAGCAAAAGCTGTAGTTTGTGAAAAGTACTCTTGCTGAGGTACCTCTCGGCTTTGCCAGCTGAAAGTAAGGCTCCAGTCGCAGCACATCACAGGAGCAGAATTCCCATAGATTCACGGCGACCAGCGCTACGACCGTTGGACCAATGATGTAGGCAACTGACACCGTCGTGGGGAGGTCGCTGGCATCCTTGTAGCGTACGAGCCAGCCAATTCTATCGTTGTACCGACGACAAATGTCGAGCGCGATTGTTATCAGCAGCAAGAAAGCTGCCAGTGTGAGAAGGTATGGTGCTCGTAAAGGTACAGGCCTCCACGCATCTTGTGGATCCCACAGCGGTTCTGTTCTACCGGTTGTTGCCGATCGGAAGGGCCATCCTATGCATATTTTAGTCCACGCTGAACGTATTGAACTTGTCATGAGGTTCATACCTGGCCGTCTCTTCCGTGTCAGCGTTGTTATGGCCCATCTCAAGCTCATTTGCCGTTTTTCTGGTCGAATTGGTATCTTTGCAACGAATCGTCATCCCGTATGAGCTTGAACACAAGTTGACACAGTTACCATCTCAGCATCTGGGATAACGACGCGACATGACAACGTTCTCGTGCCAGGGGAGAAATCAAGCGCAGCCCCACCGGTATAATCGTTTTACTTGTTTGCCACAAACTGTGGCTGCCTGGTCGAAGTGGAGTGCACAGATAACATACTAGCCCTATCCCGCACCTTTGATAGGTCTTGGAGGTCCCCACTAGCTAATTACGCTCTGCGCTTGTCTTGGATTCTGGGATTTAGCATACTCTATACAGTCAGTTTATTGGAGGTCGGAATTTCTCTTGTGCAAGGTGGAGATGCGAATGCTTGGCTTCAGGTACGCCCAACCTCAACTCCTTATGCACCTCTGCTTATACGGCTTAGTCATTATGCCTTATGCCTTCTCCATTGCATGTACAAAGCTCGAGATATTGTACGAAATTCATTTGACCCAATCCAATATCATAATGGAGAATGCCTATATAAATTATCAAGCGCTCCTGATCCTGGCGGCAAAAATTATAGAAACACACGACAGAAGTATTTATACCGCATCCCTAGGTATATATTCCTCTTCAGTAACACTTGGACATTTCCTTTCAGATCCAGCGGTATACACCAATCGACATCATTTCTTTCGTGTAGGGGGCCCATCAAAACACAGTCAAAGCAGGTGAAGCGGGATCTCGGGGGGCTGAAAACCTCGTCTGAATGAAAACCTTCTGCATGCCATCTGCACGACGGTTGAATAAGTCATAGACCTTCTCCATATCGTTGAGGTCAAAGCGATGAGTGACCATATCCAATGGGCAGATTGTCCCTTTTTGGATGAGGGCGAGTAGTTCATTCCAGTACTTATGCACCGGCGCTTGACCATTTCCATTCAGGTGAATCCCCGTCTCCATCAAGGACCCAATATTGAAGTGATTGCACTAGGCCAGGGGTTAGTGATTGACAATGATATCAAAGGTCGCCACCTACATAGCCGGTATATATGCCGGTGACCCCACAACACCCGAAGCCTCGAACGGATTCAATCATCTCGTTCAAGAGTTCCGATGTGTCGTTCTCCATGCCTAATGTCCTCTGGATGGCGTGGCCCAACCCCTTTGCATACTCGCCAGCGGCACACTCAATTGCGATGTCTGGACCGCGCCCATCACACATTTTTTTCAACAAGGTTACCACTGTTTCTCCGCTCGGAAGTCTGGTGAAGTCAATCGTCTCCAAGTTCGGAACCTTTGTCTTCATAAAATCGAGCCGCCATCGTCCCTCTCCACCGTCAATCAGGATGATTCGGCTGGCGCCATTCACAACCGCAAACTCCGCTGCCATCTGCCCAATAGGGCCTGCTCCCCAGATGGCAACGGTGTCTCCCTGTTTAACCCCGGTATCAACCACAGCATTCCACGACGTGGCCAAGACGTCGGATAGATAGAGCCCTTGTTCGTCCGGTACATCATCTGGTAACGGCAGTAGATTCACGTCCCCAAAGGGAACCCGCACGAACTCCGCCTGTCCCCCTGCAAACCCTCCGGTGAAGTGTGAATATCCAAACATACCTGCCGTTCGGCGGCCATAAAGAGCCTTTTCGCTCTCACTGCCATTGGTTCTTTCACACAACGAGGACAGTTTCTTTTCGCAATAGTAGCATGTCCCACAGGCAATCTGGAAGGAAGCGACGGCTCGGTCGCCAATCTTGCGTTTCTTGACTTTGGGGCCGACTTTCTCCACAATCCCGCAGAACTCATGGCCCAGAATGTCGCCTTTGTGCATCTCAGGTATGGCCGCTATAGAAGAGGTCAGGACTGCAGCTCAATTTGGGAGCCAGTCACATACAGTGAAGGAGATGAAGATCGCTTCCACAAATGGTACTTCCTGTTACCCTCAGGATCACATCTTCATCGTCCACGATGGTTGGCCGAGCCGTTTCCACTGTGGTCAGATGAAGATGGTTAGTATCTTTTCACTTCCAGCCGATCAATTAGTTGTTCGATAATCCACTTACCAAGCTTCACTTCATTCTTTCCTTGCCACGTCAAGGCTTTCATTGTCTGGGTGGGGTCTCCGTGGCCAGTATCACCATAGTTGCTGATGTCCGTAGTGAGAGCCGGCTTTGCGCTAGACATTATTGCGGGAGGTGCAGTAACCTCAATGTGAAGAGGATGACAAGGTTATTGGTTTGAGTATCTCTTCCAAGATATGTGATAGAGGGTAGATTATATAGATATAGATAAGTGCCACTCACGTAGCACTAGTACCACGCGCCTAAGACGTCACTCTGATGCCTTGATCTTCGAAACTTTCCTATGCGCTATTTCCTTCAATATCTACATCATGGTTGCCGGACAAAGTATCCCACTTGCCTTTGGCATCTTGTAGTACGACTATGTGGCCAACCAGGATTGCTTTATCATTACAGCCCGCGATCACCGCACCGGACACGTTGTCTTTCCAAGAGGGATCGACCGATGAGTGTGCTCCTTATCGGGTTCTCAGTTCCGCCGGGATGCATCTGACTATGCACTTTTTGTGCACCGGACTGTGAGCCTGAATACCGGTGTTGTCATAGCTGCTGCACGGCGGGAGAAAACTACATACGATGATGCAGTGGTCAAAGCTAGGAGCAATGACGTTCCCCACAGTGCTTCCGCTACAGATCCACGGGTTGATAATAGTCAGACTTTGCTTAGGAAGCTCAAGTCGGCAAGAAACTTCTGTCCCCAGTGGAACCAACCAAGGAGTGTCTGGTAGCCCCACAAAACAGAACTTTATGATGCATGAAGCCAGATAAAGCCCATTCAAAAATACCCATGTGGGTCATTACTGCCGATCTGGCCGCTGATCAGTCGTGTTTGACGTGGGTCAAGGGCCTCGACTCTATCTAAGTGAGAAGTATCTCAGGCTGATTTAGGAGAGAGTAATTGGCCAATGACTACTTAAAATAACTACCCATCAACGTTAAATCACAAAGTAATCTAAATGATTACCAAGCGGTCCAGGCTTTACTAGATAGAAGACTAGTTAGGTGTCTCTCCACCCAGGGTCGGAAGCAACCTAGGATATCTTAGCTTGGCAACTATATCCATATCGTAGGGCTAATGGTTATGATCCGGGACGGTCATATCCAGTACATCCTTTGAGTCACTCGGGTAGACCCCGTTTCCCACCGCAATGTCGATTGTCTTAAAGCAAGCCCTCCCCTCAGTACTTCGCTCAATATACTGGTACTCACTCTTATGTCCTACACCACTGCAAGGTATCAGGAATACAAAACAACTTTTACGCAGTAGAAAATGGTCTTTACCACAAAGGCAGTCATCGCGTCCTTTGGCGGCAAGCTTCTGAAGCTCAGTCACAAGGCCACTTCGACCAGATGTGAGATGGCTTTCAACCTCTATCTTCCCCCGCAGGCCTTTGAGGATCCGCCGAGGAAAATTCCCGTCATGATCTATCTATCTGGCCTGACATGTACCGCCGATAACTGCTCTGAGAAAGGGTTTTTCCAGCACGTGGCCTAGCAAGAATGGAATCGCAGTGCTATATCCCGATACTAGTCCTCGTACGATTCCTCTATCCTTCCCGCGCTGCTATTTCTCGATGCACTTTTGATGCTCGAGCCGTCATTTGAAATTCAGCCGCATGATTATGGTGCTGAAATAACTGACACTTCATAGGGGGCCTCAACATTCCAGGAGAGAACGATAGCTGGGACTTTGGCACGGGTGCCGGGTTCTACGTAGACGCCACCCAAAAGCCTTACAATGAATCGTACAATATGTACACGTACGTGAGAGAGGAGCTGCCCAATGTGGTTTTCCAGCACTTTCCCCAGCTGGATCCCGAGAGGGTCAGCATCACGGGCCACAGTATGGGCGGCCACGGAGCTTTAATGTTGGTATGTCTCGAATTCGTGTGCTTCACGGTGTTGACATAGCATGCGCACTTCGTCCTTCCTTTTCATTTATAATTCAGGGGAGTCCGTGCTAACAGCAGACAGTACCTTCGCAACCCCGGGAAATACCGATCTGTCTCTGCGTTCGCGCCGATTTGTAACCCTATCAACTGCCCTTGGGGCCAAAAGGCCTTTTCAGGTTATCTCGGAGAGAATTACCAGGACCTATGGAAAGAATACGATTCTACTGAATTGGTGAAAGGATGGAAAGGTCCCTTGAAAATGCTTATCGACGTAGTTCGTGTCCTCCCCCTCCCGGATCTCTTGTGTCCTCCATTCATAGACTGACTTCAGTCCAGGGTACTGGCGATAATTTCTACAGGCAAGGCCAACTTCTTCCCGAAAACTTCGAGAAAGCAGTCACTGAAGCTGGAGTCAAGGGTCTACAGATACGCTATCGGCCAGACTACGACCATAGCTACTACACAATGGCGTCATTCTCGGATGACCACGTTGCGCATGCGGCAAAATATCTTGTATAGTATCCAAAGGTTACAAAATAAGACATCATGGAAGCAGTCGCCATGTCCTTTCTTAATAATTTCCAGTAAATGATCCATCTATCAGTGTGTATATTGAATGTGCCACCTTTAGCATGATTTCCATACATAGAGCAAATAGAGTTGTATTCCAAGGCGCCACGACGCATTCAACCTAAGCCGCTAGAACCCAGAACAATGGGCCGGCGAGCATAATTAGCCAGGCGCTGTGTCGATTCAAATTTAAATATCTATAAAACAGGTCGAGTGACAGCACTTCCGACGTGTGTTGTATTCTATAGTAGGGCTAATCGTCTTCGACAAAAACAGTAGTACTAGCTGACCAATCAGCAGCAAGGACCCGAATTTATACACCTTCCCGAGCTCTGTACAGATGGAATCCTCTGCAACGAGAATCCGGTTTAGCTCAATTCCCCCCATCAAACGGCGAGTTGCCCAATTTGGGTGTCGGGGAGGGATTTTTGAGTTGGAACTCTCTTTCAACCCTCGTGCAAGTTACATGGCCCTCCAGTGAGTCACGACACTGACCTATCCCGGCCGGGGCTGGAGCCTCGAGTGCCTCGACGTTACAAATCCAAGCCATGTACTATGGGTGACAAGGAGATGGTGAGGGGCTGATGAGGGGGATGAGGGGGTATGAAGCCATCCGTGTATCGCCAACAAAAAACAAGACGAAAAGAAGAGAAAAAGAAGAGGGAAGAAAGAGGAAGGCCTCGTCCCTCTCCAAGGAACTCACGCAGTCGATGACGGAATCATGGATTCTTGTGGCAGTTTACCACCCCTCACGCGGAGGATCAACCAGCCACGGTTAGTGACCAGGCAGGTATATCAGAGCAACGAGATCTCGAGTTCAGAAGCATATTGGAACACACCAAGCCCGATCAGTGCTATTCTCGTTTCAACCACTACCGATCACAATTACCACGGCCATGTCTCTCCACCCTCTCATCGACAACGGAATCGTCAAAGGACGCCAGAACTTTGCCGGTGGAACACTGTACTGCCGCTGCCCTTCGAACCAAGTCGCTGTCTCCCTGAAGAGAAATGTCGCCCACAACCATGCCTGCGGCTGCTCCAAGTGCTGGAAACCAGCCGGGGCGCTCTTCTCCATTGTTGGCGTGGTGCCACGCGAAAACCTCTCCGTCACGGCCAACGAATCCAAGCTCGTGATTGTCGACGAATCGGCTGCGATACAACGCCATGCCTGCAAGGACTGCGGTGTGCACCTGTACGGCCGGATCGAAAAGGACCATCCCTTCAAAGGGCTGGACTTTGTGCATGTGGAGCTCTCCAATGAAGAAGGATGGCAAGAGCCGCAGTTTGCCGGCTTCGTGTCATCTATTATTGAGCAGGGGTTCAACCCCAAGGGTATGGATGATGTGCGGGCAAGATTCAAAGGACTTGGGTTGGATACGTACGACGTGTTGTCACCGCTGCTGATGGACCTGATCGCAACCTTTAACGCACAGAAGGCGGGATTCACTTTTGCGGCATAAAATGTATCTAGCAGTCCATTGATCATCAGATAAAGCTTGCACTTTTCCCATCAATCTATGAGGGCTATGCTGTGTAGACTGGACTAGAACGAGCTCATGGCGCTATTGACTCTTGGAACGTCTGAATTACGCAACGTAACACTGGAGTAGCACTCCCCATAGAGTAACAATATGAATGCACAACGATACCACTTGTAGTTACAGGGCCAACGTGTCCTGGCACTTGGGCTTGGTATGTGCGTAGTCCTGGTATTACCGAGGTCATTTAATGTATGCTACATAGCTTTGTATTACTTAGTTCCATTAATCGGCCAACTAAGTAGGCAACGGAATAGATGGCTTGAATATGACCAAAATCGGAAATGTGCTAAGATAGACTCATTGGTCTTGACGAACAGTTGTTACGCTTGGAATAGAAGTATTTGTAAATGTGGGATGAATGGAGTAATAGGCCGTATTGAAAGATATATATCTGTCCCACAACAGGGCGTTATTCATTAAAAATATATATCCGCACAATCAACCGAGTTGTATATTTTCAGGATAGGCCTCACAACCAAGGCAACGATCAGTATTGAGAAGCAATCCGATGACTTAATTCGAGTTACAATCAGGAGGAAAGAACGGAAAGATAAAAAGAAAGGAAAAATAAACCTTGGAGGAGAAGAGAGACAGGACAAAAAGCAATGACCAGACTGGGGCTCGATCCCAGGACCTTATCGGTGTTAACGATACGTGATAACCAACTACACCATCCGGCCAATTGATGGATGGACACTGCTTATTTAGCATTACAGTATAGGGCTAGACAACCTTTTCTACCTTCGCACTTAAATCTGTATTTAATTCCTGTTGTCATTTGCAGCTATCTTGTCTTGCTATATGTCCATTTTACTTCTCTGTTAATCCACACATTCTAACATATGCCGCACTCTAGGCATAAAGATCGGCAGAATGCTGAACAACAGCGCGTGTTCCGTTCGATTGACATCCTCTAGTTGCCGCGATCTGCACGGGCATCTTACTGGCGACACCGAGAAAAGCGTCCCTTCATCGGATGAGTGAGCGACAAATCCTACCACGCGTTATTTCTCGCCACGTTACCATCCAGACACATCGGGTCCCCGGCCCGTGTCTAACGCACCCCCTGTTGTTCCAGGGACAGGGGTCGGAGCACACATTACTTGGCGTAAAGATCTGACCGTGGTCTATGTAACATTGGACGGACTACGGTCGATTGAGACTGTCGGGCCGTGCCGACGGAGATATTTGAGGTTGTAGTCTCTGTTGAACTGCTACCATATAAGCCGTGCCACGTTGACCCTTGCGATACTAAACCAGAGGGCGTGCATGTCCCTCGCTCTGCTAACCGTATGATGTTTTAAGGCATGCCTCTTAGAGTCATCAACGTGCCTATATTATGGTATATTGTTCACAGAACATGCGGTACATTGAAGCCATACTACATGCACAGCCTATGTCAATGGATGGAGCCTAAAGTCCCGTCGAAAAAAGTCCCAAAGTACGCCAAGGACCGCGGGTGGAAGGAAGGGAATGCGTGAATGCTACGTGAAACGCCAAGAAGGCTACGTTCCTCTCTGGCTAATATACACTGGCTAGGAAACCAACCCAGATGATTTATTAATTTATTTTTGGTGGCCGGAAGACCGACCGAGGCAGCACTAACACGTAGTGGCCCACAGAACAAGAGCCAAAATACTGGGATCCATTGGTGGATGGCCTAGACAACATTCCGAAGCACATCGCATGCAGCACCAGCTAATCACGACGATCGCGCACTGACTCGGTCACCGCGAAGGTCCTGACCTCCCGAATGATATGGGTTTCGCTTGACTGACTCTCTGCGTCCCCGTCGGAGATCGCTCCTGACGCGGTGATTGTTGTCTCATATGTGTCCTTGACAGGGCGTACTGGAGTAAGCTCGTGAGTCTCACTGCCATGAAACGTTGAGTGATAACGCAACGAGGATAATCCATGTCGCTTCGTCGATGCCATATGGTAACTTGTCAATCCGTCAATGCGCATGCCCGTGGAGCGCAAACTATCCATGAACGGTTTGAACTGTGGGGAGCAGGCAGTTACGACGCTCAAGCATTGAACAAGTTGTGTCGATATGGTAGCCGCCCAAGTATCGAACGTGGGATCTTTGGAAGTAATGGTTTTGTTGATATAGATCAGTTGACCGATAATGGCGGCGATCACACTCGAGTGCTGCATCAGCGGCCCATAGTAGAACTACAATATCTTGCTCGGTATTACTCACAATATACGAAGTCCAAAGATAGTCGCTAAAGTGCCTTTCTTCGTCCAGTTTGCCTGGATCCCAACGATAATCAGAAGGGCCTGGACAATGATCCCCGACTCGGACAGAATATTCGTTGCTCCAAGATAGTTCCACCACGCGCTCTAGGTCTCCCATGTTAGCGGTGTTCTTTGGGTCTCGTGGAGAAGTTCACAGCGTACCATGTTGAAGCATTGTCCACTCAGATAGTCCCATGTTCGAGGCGGCGTGCACTGGAAGATGGAGGCGATAACACTTGCTACAGCCCACAGGACTGTGAAGATTTCTAACCCGATGGCAATGCGACGGTCGGATGTAGCTGGTGTCACGCTCCAGATAAAGTGGATAAGGGCTAATTTCGAAAGACACATCGTCATGATAAAGAGAATAGCTGCAGCGTATTGTGACTTATAAGTTATGAGTGATGTCTCGAAATCGAGGAACAAGTACAACCCACTTTCAAGATGTGGTCCACGGCTGCCCCTGATAACCCGCCATAATGCTCACCATATCCATGGGCCGTGGCCATCGACAAGGCCAGAGACTGCGCCGCGCACAGTACCATCGAGACTATACTGAGGTAGTCATCTGTCGTCCACCGTCGGAAGATCCAGTACTTGGTGCCCAGCCGAGTGAGAACGCAGAGGATGGCCGTAGTCATGAGAAACCAGGTCACGACATTGACCGTAGGCTTCCAGTTGTCCTTTGCAAGCCTACCCATTGCGCATGTGAAGGGGAGACGGGCAGCACATCAACGAGATGCGAGATGTTGACAAGGGACTTATTATGACGCCCACGGCGCAGAGGTAACTACGCCGCGTAACCTCATGAACCATCCCACCGGCGACACCGTACCACTGCCATGGTGAACGGATTTAATGAATGTGGAAATTACCTGGATCAGGTACAAACGATCTAAGACTGCAGTAGGCCGACCCATGGGAAGCCACTCTATTTTGACCAGGGATTGTCGGAGCGGGACGGCCACAGCACCTTGTCTAGTCAGAACGTTAATTGATGAACGCCCTAGAAACACAAGAATCTAAGACCTTTCCAAGATTATCTGAGGCCGTCTGGGCAATCTAGGCAAATTCCAAGTTGCACCGCTATTGCAGAGTACACGTGTGATTGGATTGACCTAGGGAACGGACATGCAGCTAAAGACGCGCTTGACTCGGATCCCTGCGATGTCGCAATAAATCAGTCCACATGTATAGGTTCCCCTCCTCCAGGGTATCAAAGTCAATCAAGCCGTTTACTTAGCGTATCATCGCTTGTAACCGAAGCAGGGAGTCTAGTCCCCTCTGTGTGGCGGACAGTTCTATTTGAGAGAAAGGGCGCCGAAGAAATTTCCACCCCTGTATGCACATAGTTCTTCTCACAGTCGGCGTAGGGTCTTTGACAGTTGACGCTTCAAATATTTCTTCCTATTGCAGGCTTACCTTGGTCATGCTATAAACGTTCCGCTTTCAATTGTTTCTGTTCCACTCGAGACGGCTTCTGTTCTATTTTGCTGAACTCCGGCCTACTGGCTATCTCTACAATGGGTCGCCATGAGCTGAAACAGGTTCCGCCTGCAGCACTACACGAAATAGATGGCTCATCGCAGGAGAATCTGGATGATATCAACCTGGCCCGCATTGGGAAGCGCGCTGTCCTAAGGGTAAGTCTTGCCCATCTTGTCTCCAACGAAAGCTGGTCGCAGTTCATCTGATTTTTATGGCTTGGTTTAGAGAAACTTTGGTTTGATGTCAATCCTGGGCTTCAGTTGTACGATTCTTATCACCTGGGAGGGTATAACAGCGTATGTTACTGTCCTTATACACGTTCAAGATTTTGTGGTCTGCTGTGGCTAATGTCAGGAACCATAATAGGCTATTCATACAAGGCTTCCAAAAGTATGTGGCAATCCATATTTCAAGCCCGAGGATTGACTTCATACTGACATGGCAATTGCAGTGGTGGCCCTGCTGGATCGGTTTATGCTTTCCTCTTTGTGTGGGTCGGTGTCACAGCAACCTTCGTTGTACTATCAGAGCTCGTTTCAATGTAAGACATCGATCAAGATCCCAAACTCTTGTTGACCACTTGGTAGGGCTCCAACAGCCGGTGGACAGTACCACTGGTGTTCGATGTTGGCACCTCCGTCGGCCATGAAACTCTCTAGTTATATCACGGGTGAGCCCTATTCACTGGAAGGTTTAGACGTAAGGCGAGAGGGTGGAGATACTGACAAAGCATGGCAGGCTGGCTTACTGTTATCGGATGGCAGGCTACTTATGCAACCGCCATTTACCTTAACGGAACTTATATTGCAGCAATGATCTCCCTGACGCATTCCGACTACGTCCCGCAGGCATGGCATATGACTTTGTACTCTTATGCAACCGCGTTGATCGGTCTGGCCATCAACTGCGTGGGAGGCAAGCTGTTACCACGGTTCGAAGGGACAATTCTAATTCTCCACATTCTTGGGTTCTTTGCGATCCTGATTCCATTAACCTATATGGCTGACCATAAAAGTGCCAAGGAGGTGTTTACTCATTTCCTAAATGAAGGGCAATGGCCAACCCAGGGCCTCTCGTTCTTCATTGGGTTAATTGGTCCTGTATTTGCTTTTGCCGGTGGCGATGCCGCAGTTCATGTATGTCACCAGTCCCCGAGTTGGCTATTGTCAGAAGATTCCAGGCTTCTGAATGCCACACCTGTCAAGAAAACTGCTAATCGATCCGCTGGTAGATGGCAGAAGAGATTTCCAACGCCCCTACCTACGTGCCCTGGTCGCTGATGCTCACTGTCTTGATCAACGGAACCCTTGGTTTTGCCATGCTTCTCGCCTTGCTCTTTTGCCTCGGCGACATTGATAAAGCACTGAATGATCCCACGGGACTGCCCTTTGTCGGCATTTTCCTACAAGCAACCGAGTCCATCCCAGGGACAGTCGTTATGGCTTCTATTATCATCGTGTTGTGTTTCTGTACCTCAGTGGGCATGCTTGCGTCCGCGTCGCGTCAATTCTGGTCCTTTTCGCGTGACCGCGGAATCCCCGGCTGGCAACTCTGGAGTCAGGTAGGTGACTAGAGACCTATTTACACGACAGTGCTAATCATCCTAGGTCACAACGCGCACCGCAATACCAACATACACCGTCGTGTTCACCACGACCATCTCGCTCCTTCTAAACCTCATCAACATTGGCTCCGACGTAGCCTTCAACAGTCTAGTGTCGATGTCGACATCCGGTCTGTATCTATCATACATGGCCGTTGCCGGTCTACTCCTCTACCGGCGTTGCACTGGCGGAATCATCACCAGAAACAACGGGACCCGCGGGTCCGAGATCAAGATTAACACAGCAGGCGCGCAGCTGGTCTGGGGCCCATTCCATGTCCAGGGTGTGTGGGGGATCGTGCTGAATGCCTTCTCGTTGATCTACATGTCCATTGCCACTTTCTTCAGCTTCTGGCCTCCGAACAATCATGCAGATGTACAGTCGATGAACTATAGCGTGGTGGGTACAGTAGGGACGATCATCCTCAGTCTTTTGTATTATTTCATTCGTGCTAGGAGGGTTTACTCTGGGCCTGTGGTGGAGATATAGCATTGGTTGCTGTGTGCAGATAGGTTATGTGGTTCTTGGAGCAGCATGTTGCATTTAGGCGTTAGATCGCGGTGGTTCATAGGCATGACCGCATAAAAGAATCTTCCCTGTCGCTGGAGGGCAGAACTGCAATTCACGAAGTTATAAGAAACGTCCGATTTAGATATGGAAGAAAACATGCACGACTCGTTTACGTGACACTATAGCGGCCCAACTTCCTTAATCGCTCCCCGTAGATATAGAACAATATCGGCACTGGCATCATGAGCACCGACACGAACCCCAGCAGGGAGGTGGCCCAATTAATCCCCAAACGGTCATACATTGGGGTAGCAAACAGAGGGAACCCTGTAGCAGCCATGGAGCGGACAAAGGTGTTCGCTGAAACAGCGGGTGCAGCGTATGGGGTGTACACGTCCAGAATGTAGTTGAGGTCCATCGTATAGATGACCTGAATACCCTTGCCGATCGGAATCCCGGCCAGGACCTGAGGTATCCAAGTGATGTGAGGGCTGCTGGTCCATGCAAACCAGAATAGTCCTGGCGGTAAAACGACAGCACCCACCATCATGGGGATCAAGCGCTCCTCCGGTGCGACTACACCACCCCCTTCGTCGTATTTGCGTTTAAGACGGAAGACGGTTGTTGCTGCGATGGTCAGATTGCCGCAGATGACACCTGCGCTAATGCTCAGGAAAGGCAAGGCTCCCACACCGGCATTCCATCCACGCTGGTCCTGAAACGAGATGGGATACGCTTCAAAGAAGAGATATAACGTCCCGTAGAGGAGGGACATGTACAGGGTTGTTAACAGCAGGATTGGCTCGGATGCCAACATAATTACTCACTTGTTAGTGAAATCGTGGCACTCGATCACAATGACCTTACCTAATGGTCGTGCCAAGTATTTTGTCAGGAATTCCCTCCAATTCATGTGGCTCACTGGCGAAGTGGCATTTAATTGTCCAAGCTCTTCCCCTGCATCAGAAGAGCACTCACGAGCCTGGAACCGACGCAGCAACGTCGGGGCGTGAGTCTCAGGCACAAACATCATGCCAAGGACCCAGAAAAAGACGCCTTGGATAAGAGTCAGCCAGGCAGTCCATCGCCAGCCGAGATAACTGTCCACGACGAAACCGCCCACAATAGGACCCAGAACCGGCCCCGAGAATGTCGCGCCGGAATATATACATGCAGCAATTCCCCGTTCCACCGGATCCCAGATATCCGCAAGAGTAGCCCCAACAATTGACAGCGGCGAACAAGCAAATAGACCACCGATGAAGCGGCAGATTACAATGGTTGGCACGTTCTGGGCCACGGCTACAGGCACTTGAAAGATACAGAAGACGATCACACCAAGCATCAAGGGTAATCTACGCCCATGGCTCTCGGATAGTGGCCCCCATAGCAGCGGACCAAAACAATATCCCTGCGTTGATTCATTAGCCAACCGTCCGAGCGAATTATATTTGTCTTTGCCAGAGTCAGATCGCTCACTAACATAAACAGGCTAAGACCCAATATCATCACTTCGTGTGACACATGGAATTCCGCTGCCGTTTGCCTTTCCGCGGTGCTGAAGATACTACTCGCAAAGGTGACAGAGAATGTCATGAGTGAGGCAACAACAGTGATAGTCCGTTTCTTCCCGTTCGACCATCTCTTCGGGTTTTCAGAGTCAGGAATTGTGACTCTGTCATTGAAGCTACTCTTGAAAGTCGCTGCTTGGGCTTCGGATGATCCCGACGTCATTTTGTACACGATCCCCTCACGGCTGTGAGCCTCCTGACCTGCTACCAACGGTGCAAAGCCGGGGGTCAACCTTTGGAAGCCCATTAGTAATTAAACAGTTGCTTCTCCTTGTTGATGTGGGTCGGCGTGGAGAGTCAACTGAAGCCAAGTCGATCTTGGCACTGAAAAACATCTGCCGAAATGAATACCGAGGTCATTGGATTGGCCACTGCATTAGAGCCTTCGATATATACGGGTATGTCCCACATGGGGACAGGCCATGTATCATCCGGAAACACCGAGATGTCCAAAACGAAGTATTAATTATCTACTTCGGGACTGTCTATGGCATCTGTATAATGAGCGGAGTTTACAGCAACAAATGAGCATGAAAAGCTAGTGAAGATGAGAGATTGGGTATATCTGCAGAAAGGAAGACGGTTCATGCAAACTGTAGGATGACAAAGACCATAGTTTCATCTAGATGAGGGACATTTTATGGAGAATACGTGGCGCGAGGCTAAGCTTTAGACCTGTGGAGCTGAAATCACCAACTTGGTAAGACTTCTTTGAGGGACCTAGTGAATTAAGTTAAGCCTGAATAAGATAAAAGCGTGCAGGCGATCTATAGAACAGTCTTGACGTGAAAGAAACTCTACACCTTTACTTCGAATATTTCTGTACAGCTCCAACTCTCGCCGTTCCGCTGAGCAGATATCGTATCAACCTGGTCAGTACACGTGTCGCTTCAAGCCAATCTTCCTTGAGGAATAAGTCATAACTGCGTGTAAACTGTAGATTAATAGGCTCTTGATCGAAATGTCCTTGGGCATATACTCTGGAGATGAGATCTTTCGTAAAGAACCCACGAGCAATATGGATATACGGACCATGGAAACCAAGTATAAAAACTTCCTGGTCTTGGAAACCGGTATCCAGGATACTAAGATTTTTAGTGAGCTGTCCTAACATGGCACTGAAGGTTTCTATCAGAAGTTCACTCCAAGTCTGCCCTGGAAACCACTGAATAGTATTAGCAGACAGCCTACTCAATGAAGTATTGTACAAGTACCCCAGTAAAAGAGATTATTGGTAGATATTCAGCTCTTGGTCCAACAACAGCGGCGCCCTCTGGTCTGGCGGCATATCGTTTACCGCCAATCGTATATCTTAATTCGCGTCCGCGTGTGGTAAAGCTAGGGAGATTAGGAACGCTAGATGCAAAATAAGCTAAGAGACATACCCAATTTTGAGATGCTGCTCTTTGACATTATTGAGATTGCAACAGATAGCCCCCATTAGCAAGCTGGATATTATGCACTGGTCACGTATAAGATATTTAGATGGCTCTCTTCCAGATATGCGCCAACTCTTAGTGGGCAAGGTGATTGCTTGGCTCGGTACGAAGATATTCGAGATCTCTGTAGTATCAATGGCGCTCTCTTGTAGCTCATATCGGTAGGAAAATAAATTATACAAGAATTGGTGAAATTTGCAATCTTCTTCAGGGCCACTCACTAGGCGCTCCTCATCTACAATATCTGAATGCTCAAAAACTCAGGGAATGACTTTCTCTACATCCCTTTATTAGATAACATGTCAGTAAAAGATATCAGTGGAACAGGGTACATATTATATACCTTCGCATTCACGGTCCACAACTCTGGGGATCAAATTGTCTAGCTCAACCAGTTTGGAGCTAACAGTTACTGACATTGTAGATGGTGATAAAGAAAGAGGGGGAGACAACAAGTTGGAATCTGAGAAGTGCTAGTGGAAGTTACGGTTCCTGGAGGCGGTCAGGAAAAAGCCAGCCACCTTGTCCATGGCTCGCTATGGTTAGGAGAAACAGACTTGATCTCGCGGGTGTTGATATAAGTAGCCCGCGAGCAACCCTTTGTTAAAAGAGGGGAGATTGAAGATGATGTAACTGTGGACATGGCACTAAAACGCCTCGTCTAGTTATATTATAGGACAGCGCATTTGTGCGAACTTAGCAGATAGGAACTCTCCCTGGTAGTATGGGACAACTACAGGCATAGTGAAATATTCTCCACTTGTAATAGTAGTTTTATCTAAGTGTTCAATATTATCCAATTCAAGAAGGGTATCTGCCACAAAGTCCATTAGTTAACGCTATCTTCTTCACCTTAACCTACTTATATCCCTAGAAACCGTAGAGGACCCCAGATGTGACACACTTGAGAGCAGGAATTCAATCCCAGTACGATGCTAGCGCTGTGCATCGAATGAGAAAGTATTCCTATGTGATTCCTGCACGAGTTGTTTAGCCCCAGGCAAACCCAAAGAGCACGCTATGGCTTGAAAAAGTGGCGAAATAAGCGACCCGAGTGTTCAAACCGGGGGTATATTTTTCCAGGCCGGGGAACCCCGTGTCATTGTACGAAAGGTTAGGACAAAGAGAAAGGCGAGAGACTCTCTATCGTACCGAGACAGGGGCAGTAGCAGGGATATTGCTCACTAGACTTAAGCAGGTGAGATTCTCGCTGCCGGCGCACCTGCCTCATTTCGCAAATTGCCCGCTGCTAGTGGCGTTCGACCGGTCTGTGGAAACCGTAGCCCCCTGAGACCAAAAGTACGGAACTCCACCACGCCGCGGGGACGGGCCGCCGACAGCTCACGCGTGCCTCGATCTTGGGAAAGACTAGACTCGCAGGTCCCACCGTAAGCCGGGGTAGCGATCCTTTGGCAAAAAGGTCGGGAGGGGTTCGTTGAAGCTGGTGGCGCAGCGGTTGCAGGGCGCGTTTTGTTCTTGCTCTCAGATCACCGGGACTGCCTCTAATGTAGGGACGGAGCGCTATATGATAAGCAATGTGAACCCCAGGCCCCTCTCGTCGACTGGACGAAGTTCCATGTACTCAGCCAATGTAGGTAGATATGGCGATAAAGCAGACATATTTCATTCCATTTCATCTTTTTTCCTCCGAGGAATATACTGGCCAGTGTGCCGCATACAAGAGCAGTAGAAACAAAGGTCGCTGCACGTCCACCCCGGGAAGCGATTTGATCAAGAAGACTAAGATCAACGAATTACACGCACAACTTCAGAGCAGCTACGAGAATAGGACTGGGGATGAAGATAAAGAAAAGATGCTGAAGGAATTGGCCGGGCTTACTATCTGCGGGCGTCAAAAAAAAGTCGATGGAGCCATAGAAGATGCCGTGCGCCAGTGGAACTCTGAACTAAAGACGCAAGATAGCCCGGCTGTTTGTCCAGCAACACCGGCGAGAAATGTCAATGCACAGTCGAAGAAGGACGAGGGGAGTCCCAAGTTGGAATTCACACCCTATAAAACCGACGATATGGACAAATACATCGTGGGCAAACTCAATGAGGCGGCTGGTCGCGATTCCAGCATGGACAGTGACAAGGAGAAGAGAGATCATCTATATATCTTTGAGTGCGATGATGCGAAAGGCATGTGCAAGCTTGGGTACAGTTCCAGTCTCACACGAAGGGCTCGTGAACAGGAGAAGTGCTATCCTAATACTACGGAACGTCGATCCCTCTATTGTCCAAACCCGGATATATTCGAGAAGGTGGTACATCGGGAGTTGTCTCAGGATCGATACAAACATAAATGTGGCCGATGCAATGTCACTCACAATGAATGGTTCAAAGCTGATCTCGATGAGCTATACCGGCGTGTCAAAGTTTGGTGCCAGTTTTCACAGGGCTTCCAGGACCCTGAGAAGCGAGTCGACGTGCGTATTCCGCCTCCTGAGCTCCCTTCAGGTCCAGACAGATGGTACAAATGGGCTCAAAAATGGGTTCAAGATTGGGAGAAACAGGGATTACATTCCGAGCCAAATACTTCAGACACGTCCGCTGTTCACAATGCTATCATGGCTGTGGAGGCCCTGAACCTCGACGACGATGCAGAATCGGTGCCTGGACTTTCTCCATCAAGCTCTGTGTCTGGAATTCCCGGCGATGATTACATCGATCCTCCCACCCCAACCCCAATTGAACGCTCACGAAACGGAAAGAGTCTCTTAAAAAACAATTTGATCATACCGACTGCATCGCCGTCCATGTCGTCGGAGGAATACTGGACCGCCGTCGAGAGTTTGTCAACACACAAAGGCTCCGTCCTCTTTCCTCAGGTACCCGGCGGATATCCTGCCTCACCAGTGAAAGTGACAACCAATGAGGACGACAATGGATTGGTGGGTACTCTTGAGAATATGGCACTCCGTTGATTGCTTGTTTCAATTCTCATCACAACGCCTCGTTGTCTTTATGCTGTTTGGCATCCTTTGTAGCTTGGCTGTTTGCTTGGATTTATGTATTGCTACATTTCGTACTACGTTAAAGCCTGATTGTGATATAAGAATGGAATCATTTGCTGCTGAGGTACGACTTTACTTAACAGGGCACTGTCTAAAGCATAACTTTAAATGATCTATTTTGGGCTCACTATTCCACCACTTACAGATATATCAATGTATAACATTTATGCATATAAACGCAGCATAATGGCAGCAAGGTCCGTGATCAGCAGACCTCAGCAATCTAAGACCAAGAAGGAAAACTCCGCGAGACAGCCTTGTCTCACACGCTAATGGTGACCTATCTCATCATCGCGCTGGTTCTGACTCGCTAGTGTGGCGCCGTTCAAACAGGGATCTGGATCCTGCAGCGCCGCAACCCGCCAAAGCCCGTGCCGAGTTCGAGTGAACCTGTCCTGTTCCCAACCCCAGATCAGAGGAGGCTGGCGAGACTTTCCCCTCCCAGAGATCATCTCGTCCCCTAACCCCCATTCCTGCCAGGGCCGGGTCATATCCCCGAAATGGATGGTCAGGTGCCTAGGTATCTGAAAGCCCTCGCGAGCATGTTGAACGTTTTCTGCCCTTATCTTCAATCTACTTGAGAAACTTTTGCCCGCCAAACAACAAAAGTATGGAATATCCTTCGACTTCTGTTTTCTTGTCTACTACTCTGAGTGAAGCTCATTATTGCGAAAATAATCCCAGAACCATGCTTCCTTGATTGTATGCGACATTGGCGTCGGCGAAAAGTATTGGGGGGTATATAATATGATCGAAGAACCAGCAGTAGTTGAACGTGGTGGGTACGATAATGAATGTGATGCAGATCGAGAAGGGTTAATCTCAGTGTCACGAACACCGAGCAAGGAATCGAGTTCTGGCTGGAAACATGTAGCATAAATAATGGATGAGAAGTTAGGATTATTCAACACTCAACAGCTGTGGTGCTTTCCTTGAGCTTCCATTTAGGTAGGTACATTAAAGCCCCGGAGACAGCGATCAATCCCATGAATCCCGGACCGGATATCGGTCGAATATCGGCAAATTACCTCATCTGCTTTCTACTGGTCGTGCTGTGATTTATACATTCCAAGTCGGATTCCCGGATAGAATAGCTATTATCTGCTAGGATCTTGAGATAGCTGTCGCGAGAGCAGCTATGTTGTTAGGAACCAAGCCCAAGCACAACAATATTAATATCGGGGAAACAGCTACTTCAAATAACTAGTAGTTACACCACTCAGATAATAATAGATACACCTTTGGATTGGCTGTTTATAATAGTATCAGTATGCTTCCCTTCCACACTTCCCGCCCAGTTGATTCAGTCTACAGCACTATTTATGAAGATTCCGTTTCTTAATTCAACCGAGCACTTGTCTAGACAGATGATCTACTGTCACTGCTTAACACTTTAGTTCCACTTCTTTCACGACGTTTTTCGCTCGGCCGTATTCTACCTAAACGGTTGACGTCGATAATAAAAGCATTCCCCTAATTTTCTCTATAGAGGCCTCTGGGTGGTATAGACAACGTATAACATCCCTAGGGTAGGAACTTAATTCGAGCTTCTTTATCCTATTAGGGTGTATCACGACTAGAGGCATTCTAGGAGCTATTCAATGAAGAAATAGATAGTGGATAGGGAAAGAAAAAGGCTTGGTCGGAGGTGACGCGTTTAATATGGAGACTTTGGGTGGGTCTAAATCTTTGCCCGCCTGGACTGTGGCGTGGTATAGAAGACATTTGGAAGCTCTTGGGAGTTCAACTTTTCATATGCCGATCAAATCACTGTTAGAAACATCTGGCATTTTTGTGGATATTTCCTACAGACCCAATTGGCAATGTTGTGGTTGTGTGGCGGCATTTGGAATCCCCACTGCAGGAACGGCGGGAGTTGGTGGCTCCACTGGAGCTTGCCTGCTATAGCCTGTCATGGATAGGAATACCACAACGTGTTCAATGTAGAGACGCAAATGCGGACTCGCTTAATGAGAGTAAATATAATGTCCTACAGCACAAGCAGTGTGCCGACTTGATAGGTGAATGGCTACCAGACGGTTTGCCAACCATGTGCCTGACAGTTGAGCTATATAATACCACCAAGTTCTCCCAGTCAAACCCTGAGGCTTGCATCCGAGGCGAAAAGAAATGTTTTAGGTAATGATTATGGTTTGTCATATTCTTCTGGTAGCGCTGAGCTTAGCCCTAGGTGCCTCTGCACTTACCCAGGCAAACCGGAGAACAGTAACGGGGAAACGCCTTCAGTTCACAAAGAACGGAACTTTCCAGTTATCTATCTTTGAGGACTTACACTACGGCGAAGGTAAGCTTATTCTTCGGTTTCAATGCGACAGCACCGCTAACTAGGTTTTAGCGGAGGCCACCACCTGGGGACCGACGCAAGATGCTGAGACCAAGGTTGTGATCAATACCGTTCTCGACAACGAAAACCCACAGTTGGTCATCCTCAATGGCGATCTCATCACCGGGGAGGACACCCTCTTGTCCAATGCGACCAACTATATTGATCAGCTTGTAGCGCCTCTCGTGGATCGCCAGCTCCTCTGGGCTTCTACCTATGGTAACCATGACAGCGGTTATAATCTGTCTCGCAGCGCTATCCTGGAGCGAGAGAAGACCTACTCAAATAGCCTGACAAAAAGTATGGTCTCGGGAGTGCTTGCTGGTGTATCCAACTATTACCTGCCCGTTTACCCGTCGGACTCATCCAAAGACACCCCAGCTTTTACCATGTGGTTCTTTGATAGCCGTGGTGGGAACTATTACCAGCAACTAAAGGATGGGAGTGAAGTTCCGCAGCCTTGTTGGGTTGATGAGTCGGTTAGCCATACCCCTTATTCTCCTGCGGCTTGATTCCCTTTAACTAGGTGGTTCTAGGTGGTTGAATGGTTCACACAAACCAACACAGAGCTGAGAAAGAAGTATGGCAGAGTGATTCCTTCAATTGCATTTTACCACATTCCCGTCAACGCAATGCTTGCCTTCCAGAAGCAGGGGGTCAACGCGAATTATGAGCCAGGCATCAATGACGATAACCCTTTAGCCCAGCAAGGCGAGGCAAGCGGACAGGGAGAGGTCTCGGGAACTGTGTTCAGCTACTCCGGTCAGGACATTCCATTCATGGAGGCAATGCTGAACACTGAGGGTCTCCTGGCGACGTTCAGTGGCCATGATCATGGTGATGACTGGTAAGCGGCTGCCTGCTTTCTGCCTTCTCCATTAGTCCATGCTGAAACAAACGGAAAGGTGCTTTAAATGGGACTCGAAGCTTCCCGGTATGAATCTCACTGGAAACGGATTGAACCTGTGTTTCGGGCGTCATACTGGGTATGGAGGATATGGTTCGTGGACTCGGGGATCACGACAGATCCTGTTGGATGAGATGACTCTGGAAAAACAAATCTTGACATGGGTTCGGTTGGAAGACGGATCAGTCTCTGGCAAAGTCAACCTGAACTCTACTTACGGAGAGGATTGGTATCCCTCCGTCACGACGACTTATACGTGAAATATGGACATGTAGCCGAGTCTCGTTCCGGGCGCCCAGAGGCAATTCATTACTTGCTATACCTGCGTGCAATGATCCCGTCGAGCATTCCTACGGCTCCCACCACAAGGACAACTTGCACATGTTGTATTATGCATCTGTTTCAGTAACTTGTGGGGCAATTATGGTATCTCACTTATCAAGCCAGGAGATCTAGCGACAGCTTCGTAGATACCATGTGAAGAACCCATAAATCCATCCGAAGACGGGGTCGAGGACGATGGCCTTTTGTTCCTTTTGGCCGTTGAATATTCCAGTACAGGAGCTATCCGTCAAGATATATTTGGCCTCCGTCTGACCGAGAACACTCTAGATTCTTGTGACGCGCATCTGCAGATCGACAGGCACAACGACGGCTCCTGTGTGAAGAATCGCATGTAACTGTACTATAGTCCATTTGGACTTCTCCATACAGCACGGAATTGAGGGTAAACCCTTGGACCAGGAGTTCACTTTCCTATAAGTCAGGCCGCTAGTCAATACAGACACAGCAATTAATGCGGCCGCACGATGGCCTCCTCCTCTATGCTTTCCTGCAACAGACAGACGATGGATGGGAGGTGAATTGCTCTATAAGTGAAGCCACTGTCGATATTTAGGGATCAGAAAGGTGATGGAGCCAAATGTGCAGTCTGACACTCTTCATGGTATGCTGGAAGAGATTGGAATCGATCTGTGCTTGGTCGGACAGAATCTAGGATGTCCGGTATTCGAGAGCAATATCGATGTGACCAAGATGCTTCTCAATCACGCAATATATTTGAATCTCCCAGAAATCAGGACTACGATGTTTGGAAATTTTTGAGCAAGGGTTAACCATGATCTGAGTTGCTTTCATCTCGTATAATGCCGTAGGAATCATTGTCCTCGGTTGCAAGACTAGAGTCACCATGCATGGGTCGAATACTAATACATGGATCGCGACTGATCGACCTGTCCTTCAAGAAAAAGTATGAATGCAATACATACAAGAAGACACTACAAAGCAAGAAGCTAGGGCTGCTTGGAGATCTATCAGAAACTGTAGGACCCGGGCGCCGCTTTTGAATTTCGCTGTACCTTCGACGTGGACCTTTAATGGAGGAGGTACAGTAAAGCTTAATAAAAGCCAGATAAGTCCATCCCACACCGAACCCTTGCTATTCTGACGTACTATGCCTGCCAAAACGGCCATTTTATGCCCTGACATGGAGGTAAATCACCCTGATCGAACCCGGCACTCCTGATGGTTGTACACCATCCCCGAAGTCCGACACAACAGCTCGGATATGGTGGCGCGGACAAGATCGACTCCAGCCAGCTACAATCGCTGCTCGCCTCCATCCGTGACTCTCAAAGTATAATTTAGTAGAAGGAGGATATGATTGGGGAGAGTGAATCACTTAGATGATCTGCATGAGCGAAGGTAAGATCGAACTCCACTCGGCTCGGTAGTCGCGAGCTGAACCATCCACGTGGTTCCACACCATGAGGGGCACTGCCCTAGAACAAGCCCTCAATGGCTACAGTACGGCAATCAATCACTTATCGTATCTCGGTCTGATCCTCTAGTCAGCGTCACCGCTGCAAAAGATCGGCAGAGCTGAAAAGGCACAGCCAGCGAGTCCACCCCACAAAGGATTTAAAACCCGTCTCCGTCTCGATCGTCAACATCACAGCATCCTATCGTCTTACTACCATTTTCATTCTCGCCTTTCTCGAAATGTCTGCACTCGCCCCATTTGACGCGTCCCTGTACGCATATCGGACCAATTTTGATGGCCTAACGCCTCGGGATCCGGCCTCCGCAGCTCGTGTTGAACAGGCAGTCCAACCTTACAAAGACGCCCTTGAAGAGTTCGAAAATCGGGACAAAAAGGCACGCGAAGAATATGAACAGGCCACGAACGATGGCTTCACTACCGATAAATTTGAACGTTGGGTGATCGAGAATGTAAGTCCCGGTCAATTATTTTGAATTTTGGAAGTCAGGTGGCAGGATCTGGTATTTCTGACCTTCTACTTATAGGTCCCACAATGGGCTCAGGCAAGGGCTGAGCTGGAGAACTACGGTGCCGCGTTAAGTCAGGCTGCCTTTGATGCCTTTGGGGACGACTACCATAGAAAGATAAGCCAGGGCCAGCAAGACCTTATGATTGCAGCCAGGCGAGCGGGTTGTGATCCTCAGTACTTTTAGAACATGTATATATGTGACAGTGTTAATCCAGAGAATTCGTCATTAGCGTTGAAGCCACTCAGATTGTTGAACGACATACATACTATTCAGTACATATCTTGCACAATAGCACAGGGAGTCCTTTTCCGTAGTGATGGCTTTCTCACAGATCGGATCTTATTCAGACAAACCTGAGTTTCCGTCTTCTTGTTCTTGTACGATAATAATATCGATCGAATGTCGCGCCCTCCGGAAGAACACACCTATACGATCAAAATGGCGGTGCACAGTACTTGTCTACTCCAGAATTGCTCGAGTCCATTCCGTTGCAACTAGAGGTTTGTACAAATGGAGCAATTAATAGTATTTCTATGTATATATAGAATACGCATGATTACACACACGGCACTTGAGTGTCATCTCCACAAGGCGCCGGATTTCTCCTTTTGAAGTGATGGGCTTGCCCGCGGGGAACACAGTGTCGAGACTGCGAAACCAGCCTTTTTACTCGGTGAGCTTCAACACTAGGATCAGTTTGGGCTTTAAATTCTCTAATGACCACGATGAGTTTCCAGCTAACACCCATTTGATTGTCTCCCCAGTCCTATGCCAAGAATATACTAATCTTGGTTATATAAAGTATACGATAAATTTAAGCTATATAATAAGCAAGTTTCCCACAGGTAGTCTATGCTGCAGCTCTAGGATAGGTTTGCAGGATCAATCCTCTTCGTCTTCTGGAACAACAACCTCGACGCCAGATAAAGCCTTTAACTTGTTAATTGCCTGCTCGGTCAATGGCCTGGTTGAAAATCTCGCGTCAGTCCTCACAGTTTCACATCATACATCACGACGACGGCAAAGGCTTACGCAGGCTGAATCATCGGAGGGATACTAGGCTGTGTAATAAATTCACCTGTTCCTGTATCCTCTTTGATAATCCTATGGCAATATTTAGCCAGTTATCTCTTTTCATATGGACCTCTGGTAAACCAACGAAATGACGTCCTGGACATGCTCCCCGAATCCTTGTATAGAGAATCGAATAATAGCTTGCTATTAGACATATGTTAATCATTGGAAAATAAAGCCTACCCCACACACCTCACTTACCTTCGTGGACTCGGACATGTTCTGTTGATCTGTGGGAATGATGGGAAATAATCAAGTGTCGACCTTGTCTGTTGGGCAAAGCTATTTCAGAGTCTCAACCAACCTCTATTTATACTCGAACAATTGCTCGGAAACACAGTCCCATACCCCTCTACAACTGAGCTGACGGTGCCACGTATCAAGTCATCGATCTGCTCGGCGAGGGCTGCGCCCAGCCACTGATACACGTCCGTGCCGAAGCCAATCTGCCGATCGGTGGGGAAAATAGGAACTACACGGCGTAACAATATCATCTATAATTCAGCTGAGTTGCATTGCTGTACCGACTGCAGGTTCAGCCGAAGCAGGATCCCTATCGTGGATTGATAGATTGACATAATTCAACAGTATGATATTTAGTCTTTTATCCAGGTACGCTGATTCCATATGCTTCTGGCCTATTAATGTAGATAGCATAGGTTTCACCAATCCTTGCGATGCTGAGACAGGGTCAAAGGCTGTAATAGAATAGCAAATATAGACAGTCCTGTATATATATTGCCCATCAAGTAAAGCAGTCAGTTCTCATGTTTTTCAGTCCGTGTTTTACTGCAACAGTCGCAGTTTGCTTCCCAGGACCAAGGCACTTCGCCAAAGTAATCGCCGCAATCATATAGAAGCCAGTTAACGCTTCGACCGACAAGCCTTCCTCCCTGACCAGACGTCGATACATAGTGTACCCTTCTTCCTGTTGAAAGCGCATAATTCATCACAGAGTTTTCAATCTGGATGTGGCTGGTAAAAGCCAATGCCCTCAACAGTATATGCCCTTGGTCAACCCTCTCTAATGATCGGCAAAGATACTTACTGGTTTAGTGTTTACAACAAGTATTTCTGGCCACTTCGACTTCAGTATCCTTGCCTCATGCGCTGGTTGATTTGGAAACCGTCGCATATCGAGACATTGCAACAAGGAGCCATCATGCGTTTCAGATAACATTCTAGCACGACGGCTAACGAAGCTGATAGCAGAGAAATGGTAATACCCGGAGCGGCAGAGGTTTTTGAGCACTGAGAGGCCACATTTGAATTTATCGACAACGCGTGCCACTATCCTCGAACCTCTGGACTTCGTCCTGCCCTTCCCGTTGTATCTGCCAGGGTGCCCGAGGCTGTGCAACTCACAACTGAGAGGGACAAATTTGTGCCAAACCCGCAGTTGAAGCGACAACATTTGGCTTTCCGCACTCCATAATGGGCAAATACCAAGCATGCGGATTCGACAGGCCAAAAAATACAATAAATGCACAGAAAGTGGGCCGACTGCCGATCGCTCTCTGATTCTTGATCGAGTCCTATTTCGTCGGTGAATTTCCGTCAATAAACCCACGGGATGATGCAGAATGGCCTTACATAGTCCTTGAATGGCACTGAGCGCGACATTGGCAGGCACATCGATGTATTGTAATATTAATTGCCTCTGGCCATGGAACAGAACGCTAGTGTAAATGGGTATCTTTATCTACATCTTCATCAAGGAACGACCTGTCCCTGTTCATTTCCCTGCATCCTTGCTCATCAGCTCCGATACTGGTTGATGGTGTTCCAACTCCACCGGGGGGCGCCCAGTCATGTCGGTGGTATTCATATATGGAGCAGCAGGAGCGTGTCCAAAAGCACCGTGACCCGCTTCAAATGCCACAGGCTGCATCTGCTGCAAGGCTCGGCCTGCCCTCCTCCGCTCAAACAATGCCCAGATCAGCAACAGTATAGCGATCACACCCAGTGGGACCCCCACCCCTGCTCCGATCGCGGTGTCATGGGACGATGGACAGGTAGCCGGCGTAGCCGTAGAGGAATTCGAGTTGGAGTTGGAGTCCGATGATGAAGATGAATTGGTGGCGTCTAGGGTAGTGATGTTTTGGAGCATTCCAGCGCTCAGGATTGGATTGCCGTCTTGGATAGAGAAGGGGACGTCGCTATTATTATCCGACTCACTGGCGAGACAAATGACCGTCGATCCATTTGTCCTTGGACTACCGCAGCAATATGTCGCCTTACCGGAGGAGAACCCGACGTTGGTAATGGAGGCGCCCATAGAGGGTGTGGCTTTTGCTACAAGAATCATACCCGTCAACCAACATGAAGTCGGCCATGGAGTATATATCTACTTACTGCAAATGGGGCTACACCCGTTCCATTTATCATTCGTGAAGGCTCCTCGAGAAAGCACGTAGGGCTGGTGGCCCACATTGAGGCACAGCCCGTTGTCTAGACATATGTCTGATTGTCCACAGCAGTGCGTGTTGGTGTCTGATTTGCAGGGAACATTCCCGGGCGCTTTGTTTCCGTTTGGGAAGTAACATTGCCTTGTGTCGGAAGTCATGGTGGAGAGTCTGTGGGGTCTTCGATCGGATGGATCTCGCTTTTGTGTTGCGGGAGTTTGTTAGCGAATTGACAGGACAACCACCAAGAGCGGGACTGCAGCTTACAAGTATCAGCCAGAGGAGAGGCTCAAGCTGGAATTGGGGGCCAAAATTGCTACTGTTTAAGGCAGGCAATGGAGTGGACCCTGAGGGATCAATGCTCACCCTATGAGGCTCGGAGATGGACCGTTGTCTATGATGCCATGCTGGAAAAGGTAAGGAACAGCGACGGAATGGCCAAGTGTGAGTTATCCTACTCTGGATATAGTTAGATCGGCGGTGATCTCAAATAAGTGGGCCCACCGTGATGGGCTTGCAGTTTGAAGGGTTTCGCAAGGCTCAGTATCTGATCGAGGGAAGTCTAGACTTATGCAAGGGCTGATACTGTCTGTCGACGGTTATCCATCGATCTGCACCAAGGGATGTTGGACCCGGCAATGAGAACCCACGCGCCCAACGCAGGTGTTTCTTTGAATACGATTCTAGAAGTCTTGGGCAACGGTCTAGTAGTGTTTGACATAGTCATTTTCACTATTATGGCATCAATACAATTGTCTTCAAGTTCAAGAGAGGTGAATGTAACTGACCGTTCGGGAGACAGCAGGAATGTCGTTCGCGCAAAAGAACACTGTTGAGCACTGAGTCTTGGAACGGTCATCCTCTTATGTAACTATCAGGTACTCAGCAGCCAGGTGGATTACTGCTTCATAATGTAATCACTTATGGAGACCTCGGGTGGTACCTGTATAGTAACCTCACATATCCGGACTTTGGCTTTTCATCTATAAAGTAGACCATGATTACATTATCACGGGTTTATTCGGAGTTTCTAGTGGGGCCCTAAGGGGGTATAAGTACACTCCCGTTCACAAGAAAATGCGTTCCAGTAGACTTGGACAAAAGCCTAGTATAGCCATGAGAACTCAACGCCCACCTCCTTCGGCTCAACTCCGCCAGTTGAGAATACTCCTGAGCTGCCTCATCCTTACGACCACCATCCACTACGCCCACAACTACATTCGCGCCGAAGACTATCCTCCCGTGCCGGGTATCTATCCCACACCCGACGCATATCGCATTGGCATCGCAATTCTCTTTCCTATCCAGACTCTCTGCGGTATCCGGGGCTACTACTTATATCAAGCTGGTCACGTTCGCAGCTCTATTCCATACTTAGCCTGCCATGCAACACTTGGCATTCGCACACCAGGTCACTTCTTTGGCGGCGTACCCCAGATTCCATGGTTCTGGTTTGTAACAATTTTCACGGATTTCTTTGCCGGGGTTGCCTTGGCTGTTTTCTGTTACCAGGCATATACTGCTAGCATATTGGAGGGGGCTTTTTGAGCGGCAGGGAAACAGGCGGTACGCAGCTCTCGTCATGGGTATATTGGTTTATTGAATGGAGCATAGGCCTACTAGATTTCTGTGGCAAATGCAGACTTGCTGAGCTTATCCAAATTTTCAGACGTTAGATCTGGAGAAATGTTGATGGTGTTACAGTATTTTGTCTTCTATATGAGTGGAAAGAGACATCCAGTCGTCTTGTGTATATCGCCAGCTAAGGGAATCTAATTTCCGACCAGTTGTCTCGTCGCCACCATCTTCTGTGTCATGGTACTCTGCAGTTCCGTAGTCAATACATGTTATAGCTCATTTTTGACCAGAGGGTTAGTCTCGGTTTCCCGAATCTTATAATTGGATCACAGGAGGATTTGGCCTCAGATTACAATATCTCGGCCCGGGCATGGATACCTCACACGTGGCATGTGGAAGAGAAGCAACAGCAGCGCCATATCCAAGAAATTCTACTGCACTCTGTGAAGTAGACAAACATAATATTTGCCTTGGTTCATATAGTACTCACTTGTCGACCGTTACCTTCACGAAGGCAATGACAAAGCTGTAGCGACATGGTTTCCGGATACAATGAGATGGGTCTGGCCTATCGCGACCACGATTGCGCCCATGTCAATGAGACTGTGGGGTACTGTGCTATTTAGATGTCTGTATTGAAAATGGTAGCCAAAGCTTTGTGGATCTAACTTTTATCGTTACCTCGGGATATCAAGCTGGTTCTCCACTGTGACAATATAAAAGGTGTCCCCGAAGCTCATAGTGTAATAGGCTCTCTGGCTAACGTTTTCACCGGCATAAGCCCTCCATTTCTCTCTTTATATTTTGTCCCGCGATTGTTGCCTTTGTTAACTATCAAGTACCATCACAATTTATAAAACGCAATGGTCACTCTAGATCGGCAAATAGCCGTCGAGCCCCTTGGGCCAGACTCGTATATGTCGGCAATGCCTCCAACGAGAATGGGCTCTCTGGCTTCATACGCGTATGGAGGAAACACACTAGCCATAGCGGTCAATGCCGCGTATCAAACGGTGCAAGCTTCATTCCACTTGTACTCGATCTGTGGGCACTATATCCGCGCCGCGAGGACCGATCGCAGGCTGATTTGCCAGATCGAAAGAGTCAGGGATACGCGCACCTTTCAGACTCGCGTTATCCGAGTGAGCCAGGAAGGAAACGATGCCTCGACGCAATTGTGTTTCATCGCTTCGGCGGATTTCCATATTGAAGAACCACGATCCATGGTGACCTATTCTACGCTTCCACAGACCAGCCTGCCACTTAGCAACACCGGTATCTCGACCATACCTCCACAAGGCCCAAAAGAGCATGGGTTATACCAGAATCTCGAGCGCTTTCTGGATATGCAGCCGATTGCTGTTGCCGCCAGCATGAAGGAAGAAGAGCAGAAGGGTCCATCCTCTGCGCCCTCCAGATTTTCGGCGGAAAGGTTCCGTGTACAGGCACCGCTGGAGAGTGAAGCTGAACATATATCAGCATTGGCATTTTACATGGACAAAGGCCTGGCGTATATACCCGCGAATCACAGTGGTTATGCGCTCACCGACGCCAGTGCTTGCGCTACTCTGGACTTTTCTCTTCGATTGTTCACGCATGGAATCGATCTGCGACAGTGGCATCTGACGGAGGCAACGACATCGGTGGCTGGGAATGCTCGGGCCTTTAGCGAGGGACGCGTATGGGATGAGAATGGCCGTCTGGTTGCCAGCATGACCCAGCAAACTCTTCTTCGCCCGAAGGCTGGTTTCCATCCGCGCATTTGATGGTGCTCACCATCGATCATCATCTTTAAAGATCTAGCTTTTGTATATTTGGAGACTTTGTGAACTGATTCATAGAATGCTCTTGCCGTACATAGATATCGCAGTTAAATAGTATGACTCTGGTTACTCGTGGGACAAAGCCGTGACCAACGATACAACACAGGTTTAGTTCCAAGATAATACCCTATACCCATCAAGCTCTCTATAGAACACTCTTCCACACCTTCCGATACCTCTCCGACCTCCCCGGGCCATCGCGTTCCTTCACGGCAGCCTTGAATCCTTTCTCCTTGCTCAGTTCCTGAAATGCAACACCTTCCGGGGAGTTGCGGGTGATGCCATCGAAGACCGTAGCCAATTTCTGGCTTTGAAGAAGAGGGCCATCGATAAGACCATTAATAACCTGCTTTTGCATCCAGAGCTGATTTTGCGGGACCGACGCAATGCGGTTTGCCAGCAACATTACGGTTTCCTCCAACTGCTCCTGAGGCACGGCTTTCAAGACAAGGCCCATCTCCGCCGCTTCAGCGCCGCTGATCAAGTCACCAGTGAAGAGCATCCGCTTAGCCTTCTCGACCCCGACGCGGTACGCCCACATGGCAGTCGTCGGACAACCCCAGACGCGACTCGGCGGATACCCGATGCGCGCATCCGTCGCCATGATGACCAAGTCACAGCACAGGGCGATATCACTCCCGCCCGCCACAGCGGCACCATGCACCTGTGCGATGGTCGGCTTGTGGCTGTGGAACAGTTCCGAGAAACACTCGGTGTTCGCCTTCATCATCGTGTAGTCGACTAATGGGTCGTATCCCTTCGACAGATCCTGTGATCCATGCATTTCGCCGCGCTGCGCGTTCTGCGCGTAGATATCCAGATCATAGCCGCCGCAGAATCCGGGCCCGTTTCCTTTCAGGATGATGCAGTGTACCGTAGGGTCTGCATTGGCTAGTTGGACCGCATCCCGGAGATCTCTTGGCAGGTGCGCGTCAATCGCATTGAAGCGGTCCGGACGGTTCAGGGTTATATATGCGATCTTCCCGTCCGGGGACTTTTGGTAGATGATTGTCTTGAAGGACTTGGCTGCCATTGTCAGGGAAGGTTGATCGCAGGGCTATCCAGGTCTAGCTATTGTGAATATAGGCGGAAGATTATAATATAGGCTCGCATGTGGATTCCTTCAACCTCGGCCCGTTGGTGATCACCCCGCAGGTCAACGCAGGATGCAGCGAAGTGAGGTGGAAACATGCAACGAACAAGTCTATTGAGGTTATTTTATCACGATGTTTCATTGGACCCTGTTGGTTCAATTCTATAGTTAAGACGGGGATCGACAGGTTAGATAGCATAAAGATCAGCGTAATTCATTCCATCATACTATTATACATTTCTCACTACCATTACCGCCACTCGACTCAATGCACACTCAACATTTGCAGAAACTGGTCTCCTAAAGTGTTCGCAGCCGTAGGATTCGCGCCCGTAACCAGCTCGCGATCCACCGTAACGCTGCCAATCTTCTCCTTCACGCCCTCGACCATAATGGCGCCTTCATTCCGAAGATCGGATTCCACCTTCTCAATCTCCCCACCCATCATGGTCTCCATCATCTTCTCCTCGGCGTCACTCCAGCAGGTGATCCGATAACCTTTATACACAAAGTTACCCTCTCCAGCAAGTTTAGTACTCAAGAACGCAAACGGCCCATGACAAATAGCAGCCGTGGGCCGACTCTTGGCATGGAAAAATCGCAAGATGCGACCGAGATGTTGATCCGCGCCCAGATCTCTCAGCGGCGCGTGTCCACCGGGGATGAACACGCCCGCGAATGAATCCAACTCCGCATCGCTAATGGAGCTAAAAGTCCGCGGACGGCTGAACCCGTTCTCGCGCTTCATGCGATCAATCAACTCGTTCTCGCGCCGGCGTTCGTAGAAGTTGCCCGCGAAAGCGAGCAGCGATTCACTGTTGGGGTCCGGCGTGGGCTCTTGGCCCTTGGGCGACGCGAAGGTGACTTCATATCCGGCGTCGAGCAGTTTCTGGAGTGGTTTGGCCAGTTCCATGAGGAAGAAGCCGGAGGGTTGGTCGACGACCTGGCCGGCTTCTTGGCCGCTGGTTTTCTTGAGCGGGAAGGAGTCGGCGTCGCTCAGGATTATGAGGACTTTTTGGGCGGGCATGTTTAGTTGCTTTATTTTCTGGAGTTAGACAAAAACAAATAAGTAGGTGGAATTGTGCTTATCGTCTTTGCTGGACACTGATCTGCATTTTTATATCCTGCTATCGAAATGACATCGCAATGACGTACCCGATCTGGCTGAACAAAACGACACGTAATAAATAATCCCTGGCATTCGTCCTGTTAGTTATTCTATGCAGGAAGTAACCTATCTTTATCCTACATGATATATTCGTGTTGTTCCTGTGAGCTATAGGTTCATCTGGTTATGTAGGGCTTCCCCACATGGCCCAGTAGGAACCTACCAGCCGAGACACGAACTCACACACAAAAGCGTTGGCAAAGAAAGGAATATATGTGGCTCAATATGGCTATGTACATACAAGAGATATCCTTTCTGGGGTTGTGTCTCGCGACAACGAATTTTATACACAATTAAAAAGGATTATGTTCAGAGTTTTGTAAGGCTATTGCCTGACTGGCAAAGCGATGTTGCAGTCAAGATGACGAACAAGAGAAAGGTATAAAAAGAAGAGAATTCAGGGCTTGCTATAGTGAATGGAGACACTGTGTCGAGCATAGATATTGGTCTGAGTAAAGTACGGGTCATAGTTGCTGCTTTGCATCGACAGGTCCTGGGACGGGTTGAGCGGCTGCTTGGAATGACCCGTGCCAGATCGCAGCTGGGACCAGAAACTGCCGCGGCTGAGTTTAAAGAGCGGCCTCATGTTAGGGAGGCAGGCGGCGATAATCCCGACCGTGGCTTCGATGCAGGTCCAGACCACGACAGGGACTTGGTTGTCTAGGTCGAGCGATTAGCAGGGTCCAGCTAGACAACCCCGCGACAGATATGATGGTGAATACTTACAGGTAACGTCAGGACCAGAGCGTGTGAGGTTGATCATGGCAACAAGACGCACGATATCAAAAATCAGGGTTCTGCGCAATGTCAGTTAGGTTGATTCCAGGATAGAGGCAACGAGTACTTACAACCCGCCAGTGACAAACACTCCTGAGAGCAGCAGCCTCTGGGTCTTGGAGATCGGAAGTGCCCACACGAATTTCAACGGCATCACGAGAAGAACGGCATCGGTCAAGATGTTGGGGATTTGTTGGCCATAGTAATACTGGGCGGAGTCGAGGCAGGATCCTGGCACCGTTGGGTCCCAAAACTTCTTGACCGGAAGGCACAATAAGATCCCCACCACGCACACACTCAATCCCCATAGGATGACAAACCCGGCGACAATATTGGCGGCGAGGATCATACGCGGAGTGGAAAATAAACGCTTGTACAGTGCGAGGATGGATAACTTAATAAAGGCGATGCAGGTGGTGTAAACCAAGGGATTGGACCATCCAATCTGATTGAATGAGTAAGTGGATCACCATGCAAACAAAACTGGAGCCGCAAACCTTCAGATAGACGGTGAGATTCTTCTGGGGAATCATTGTGATATGGGAGCCCAGTCCGTTGAAAAGCACTGGTATCACATTATTAGCCACCTGAACACGTGCGTATCGAGGAAGGGATCGCATCAACGGGCCACCTACGGATCGCAACACCAATTGAGCATCCATATTTGAAAAGCTACGAGACGAATTAGTGAGGAGCGTAAAGAAACTTCTAGAAGGCGATTCTGCATACAAGAGCGAGGAGAATCAGATAATCATCCAAGTACAGCCGGGTGCCATTCATCCTCCTCGCTAGCAGCCGGAGAGCCACAGCGGTTGTGGACAGGATGAAGGCAAAGTAGAGCGTGATGATGATGGACCGACGTAGATTCTGATTGGGGTGTTCGAAATCCCCTGGGATGCCATCGTCGGATCTTGGTTGCTGTGACATGACAGGTAATCTGCCCAAGACTGCAATAGAAGTTTAAGAAAAGCATACGCTGGAAGCAATCCCAACGGCAGAAGGATGAAGGTTGTGGCTTCGAGTATTTGGAATCACTGTCTCGCGCGGCCAGCCGAAGGGTTAATAAATACTACCTACGTTCGAGGTGGGACAGGGAGTTCGCGCATCGACTCCCTGTATGTGTCATGTTCTTCACGTCCAGGGCGTCCAAAAATAAAAAGTCAAAAGACCAATGTGGGGAGGCAACGCCGATTCATCACATTGGACGCCGAATAAATAGCGTGAACAATAGATAGCCCAAGTCCAGAAGGATCCGTTTACGTGCATCGATCAACATCGTTTACTAGCCATGTGGTTCTCATGAGGGGTATCCATGTCCAGACATCCCTCACCAGGACGAGCGCGGTGGGGCGTCCAACGCAACGTAGGGAATCAGAGACAAGGATCAAAGGTGCCGAGTGCCTTCCCAGTCCCTTCCACCCTTGACAGGTATCAACCTTGCGTTGGATGGAGTTATATCCCCGATAAGCTTTGACCAAAGAACGGCGGCGGTTGGATACATCAACTTTGTCCCACCAGATACATCCCGTTCTTATCCTCGGTGTCCACTAACACGCGTAAAGTCGGCGGGGAGCGTTGTGAGACGGTGGACTCTGTCCAAAGCTGCCACAGACGTAGGTTGATGTTCGCTCCATAGATCCGTTGATGTGCGCCGGTCAGCGACAGATCGCAATTCACAATGTGCTGAAGGTCGTTTCAGAAGGGATGAGATTAGGGTTGGGGGTCAGACCTCAGAATCCCCTTACATCAGGTACGAGTACTGGCCAATCATAGCACCGCAGAAAGGCGGACGGTAACCTAATTCCGAAATGGCAAAACAATGTCCTTTTGTTTTCGGTCGGGAAATTTGTGTCCAACTGACAGATCGCATCTCTCGCATGCACAAACGAATCTTTGGCCTTCCCCCTTGCGTCCCTTAGGCTTGACACTAGGAATAATAGAACATCTTCTCACTTCCCCCAGCCTTGTTTCCCCCTTAAGATAATGGTCTATCTCACACGATGTCATTGTGGATAAGGATTAACGAGTCCGGTACACCTCCCTTTGAACTTCGCTCAACTATAGCACAATTGTGATCGCATCCATTCCTGATTCCATTCTCCATTTGTTGTGTGGGTCTCGGGTACCATGGTGTTCTCGAGACATCCAATATATCATGCGTTCACGATACGTTAATCTGGCGTCAAATTGAAGACGCGGTGCTGGGATGCGCCAGGCCCCACTACGGGAAACAAGTCGACATGGGCTCGTCAATCGCTCAAGGGGTCAGAGACTGAACCGAACTATCAAGAAACCAGAGCTAGTTGTGGAGGCTGCCCCCTGCGCCGTTGATGTGCAGTTTCCCGCTCAAGCACATTGGATTGCAGGGCCACCGGGCACCATTGGTTTCACTGCCAATAATGGCTGCCATTGGATGAGATATCGTCCCTTGCCACCTTATTTGCTGCCAGCCTCTGCGATGAAATCATAATCGCTACCAAAACTGGCAAGGGCTTGCCCTGAGACACTTGTGCGTCTCCTTTCTACTCATATTCGCATCGGCTAGACCTCTAAGGGGCAGTGCTGGCAAGGAGGTTATCCCTTGCCACCAGGGCTAGTCTTCATGTCGCATGTCACTTGGAACTTCTTGCACAACTTCAGGCACATACTGCGTGACACCAGCGTGGTACATGTCCTAGGACGGGAATACACCTTTGTTTTCCTCGTTCTACCTCCAGATTGCTAGGCTATTCCCGACTCATGCTTCCCTCCACTGGGAATTTATCTTGCCCCTCACTCTCGTGGCTTCCATTGTTAATATCAGTAACTACTAATAGGTATGTCTTTCTCATGACTTCCCCGAATTCCAAATACCGCTTTAGATAGCGCTGTTGTTGAGCCACTGTCCGCTAACATAGAAGGTGATCAGTACCGAAACGGTGTGATTGTGCCTGTGAGATGAGGACATTGTGACGCGTGACTTCGCCAGTCCACTGATGAGATACACCATACAGGATCTCATTCCTCATATGTCCAATCATGTCACCTCTATAACGTGTGATTGTGATTGGTGTTAACCCTGAATGAGTCTATTGCCTGGGGAAGATCTGCGACCGACCCAGCTCAGGTGGCGTTATTAATATTAACAGATACAAGCATAAATACAGGTCAATCTCGATCTCTTTTAGAGTTCATTCCCAAAACATCACATCTATTTATCATTCCAACTCTGGTGATATTGTGGAGGTAAGTGCTCAATGTATCACCTAAGGGAGGTCAAGCCACAACTTCAACATCTTCGGATAGTTAGGTGTTCCCAGGCCGGTGGCAGGATCCCATCTGAACGTTCTGTGTCAGCCAGCTGGCGATAGAAACAAGCCAAGAATGGAACTACTCACCCAGGCGCAGTTGCGAAACCGTCTGTCCCACATCCGGGATTAGTTCCATTGGTGATATCATTCAGGACAGAGGGATTCTTGTAGAGGACCGGATTGATAAACCCGACCGGACCCTTGCCGACAGCAAGACGCTCGTCGATGATGCGATTGATGATGGCAGCAAAGATCGGAGTGCCTAGGAGAACGGACGTCTGTTTAGTAGCTGCAGGAGCGAGGGGAGAAGGTGAACATACTAGCACTGGTTCCACCCGACAAACCGAACTCGCCGCCATTGAAGACGGCAATGTTGTCGCCATTCGCGGCTACATCCGGATAGCCTCGACCCAACCGATTGTAGAGGCCGCCATTCTTGCCGAGATTTTCGGCGCCTTCGTAGTATGGATAGGGAGGGTTATGGTCCTTGAAGTATCTATGCATTCGGCGTCAGTGGAAGGCATGCTATCATGGTTCAGACGACGCACGTGGCTACAGCATCCGCTTGGTAGTCAGGGATGGGATAGATGTTGCTGAAGCCACCACCTGACGCATAACTGTACAAGCCAGCCGGATCATACACGGCACTCTCGGGCTGGGAAACGGTGTATCCTGGGTAGACCTTGGTGGCACCAACGTTGGTGATATAAGGGCAGCTGGATTGGTTAGCGCACGAAGTTCACGAGGGGCAGTGGATGTCTCTTTACCTGTTAGGGAATGCAGGACTAAAAACTGTGCCATTGTTCAGGCAGCCATTCACACTGCCCCCATCTCCTGGAGGTCCTGCAACCCCGCTATCACCAGAGGCAAAGAGCACCGAGACTCCTTGCAGACCCAGCTTCAGAAACCTTGAGGATGGTTAGCGGTGAATAGAACAGCTGCGCTGAAGAGTAGCACTATGACCTACTCCGTGCATTGCCTCTGCTGATACTTTGCGGGAAGGTCATTCTCCTGTTCGCCGTACGAGACACTAATGACATTAGTAGGCTTGAACACGCCACACATGAGCTGTCCATCGTAGCCACCGGCATCAGGGTAAATTGGATCCAGCGATGGGTCATTGCCACATTCACCATACGCACAATAGGTGCAGTAGGACTATATATTCCGTCACATTAGCAGTGTGTTCGGGTAATATGGTGACTCAGGTTCAACTCACGCCATCAAGTGCGTCCAAGAAAGTATTGAGGAACCCGGTGGTATTACTAGCCCAGTTTGCATCATCGGTCTGGTACAATGTGATACTTTGGGGATGCACGATTGGATACGCCAGCTCAAAGTCGAGATCAGACTCCCCACCGGCCTGCCCGACGGGGACCGGAGCCTCCGCGCCGTCGATGAAGGCGGGGATTGGGTGTGTGCCTCCAGGAATATTTTTGGCAAATGTCTTGAAGAACAGGTCCAGGTCCTCCTGGGCATAGTAGTCCCCTTCCTCGAAGATGCCCAAAGAGTTATTTGGGTGAGGCGCCGCACGCGCTGAGGGAATCTTATACAATGCCCGAATGCAGTCTGGCGTGATTGAATGATCGCAGTTAGTGACATTGAGGCCTGTGAGATCGCCTTGGTGAATAGGGCGTCCTCCAAGCTTCGTCTTTCTGCTGGCCGAGCCCCTTCTCCGGATACTAGAGGCTTTTCCCGAGGATGGGCTCAGATTGACTCCAGGATGCACATAGTCGATGTGCTTTTGCACTGAATCTGGGACATGGTACCTGCATAGTGTGTCAGTTACGACTTCTTGAGCCAGCATTACGAAGTATAAATCTCACTGTTCGCAGGCAATTGCTTTCTTTCCAGTTTTCTTATTGTGGTACTCATAGTAAGTGGTGTCAAACAAGTCCTCGATCTCCTTGGACGTTGCGTGGAATACAAGCCAGCCGTGGTTCTTGGTTTGAGCGATGCGGCTGGCATTGATTCCCTTTTCAGTGAGCCAGTTCTGGACCTCGTTGACTGTTTCTGTCGACGGCGCAAACTTGGCAGCGACTTCATCTGCCGAGTAGAACTTGGCATAGTTGGGAGAGCTTGGGTTGGAGCTATCACCGGCGCATTAGAGAGGAGTATAGCATTGACAAGCGAGACCACAGCTGTTCACTTACACATCCATGAGCAGGTCGTGAGCCTCTTTGAGGCTACTCTGGGCTAAGCCAATGCGGACCACATGTGTGTCAGATGGGCTCACACGCGCCCGCTTGACCCAGTTCGATGATGTTACTTCACGCCTCTCATGGACTACTGGGGTCGCAGCCGAGAGGGCGGACAGGCCGAGCAGGAGCCCGCTGCAAAAAGAAAGATGAGACAAGGGCCGCATTTTGTCGACCTGATATCCGATGCTTCTACACCTAGGAAAGCCTGAAGAATCATATCCGTGATACCACGACGGGTGCATACCTTTATAGATGGCTCAGTCTCTTGTGTATAGTAATGTTACCATTATAGCCCCCGGTATATCTTACGGCTAGTTTAGTGCGATTCCCCGACGGAGCTCCGCCTAGTGGAGTCGCTGCTTGCGAGGCTTGTCTCAGTGGCAGATGAGAATCCATGCTCCCATAGAAAGCCGAAGAGGTTGACTCACTTTCCCCCTCACAGCCAGTGACATGCTCAGTGAATCCAACAGGACACCATGACTGACTGTCTGTTGAGCTTTAATGTACGATTGGAAATCTAAAATGGTTTCTTTGCACCGCCCCTGACGGTCCAAACAGTTTAGGGGCGAGAAAGATTACAGAGCGAGGTATGCGTCTCTATCTGACCAGCGATTCCATGACCCATGAGATGGGTGTCATCCACAGAGACTTGTCCTCCCTGTAGGCTGTTGCATAATAACATGTGCAAGACAGGAAATCATAAATTGTCTAGCCGGTCGACTTCCCAGGCCCATGAATGGCGACATATCATGCAAGGCCCCACTTGAATAGCATAGCGTGGACACCTGGATCTTTATCTTCAACCATTAAGAGCTTGTTTTTCTAGGCATTCCGAGCTTAACCGGCACAAGCTCCGCACAATTTCAACCGGATAGCGTAGCCCGGTTGTAATAACCTAGCTCCGGTCGGGCCGATCACCGTTTCTAAAATATTGTCTTCCCCTGAAAGACAGACCAGCATATCGTCTCATGGCTGCTAGGGACCGGAACGTCCCAGCGTGCTATGCATGCTCTATTACCCGAGGACTTTGTCCGATTCTGTCGGGAGAACCGCGGAGGATTCAAACCGGACGATAAACATCCATATTTTATGCACTCTAGCGTCCGGTTGCTTGGATATTCCAAGACAACAGGTAAACAATACCTAACGAATAGCAGTCATTATAGCATTGAGATCTAAAATGATGAATTATCTACCATTACACATAGAAATCTAAACAACCTTTTGGTGGAGATATTCTAGGGTATGCTCTTCACAGATCGAACAACAGGGTCTTCCTGTTCCGGAGAAGATCGACAGATTAATGTCGTTGCCCCGAATTAATGTCTCTTGCGCGATGAATCAAACTGCTGCACTCTCTTGAACGCTCTGTATATCTCCCCTACACTTTGTTTCGCGTAATCTAGACGGAATCAGCCATATTATCTTACTCAGCGGGTCTATACTCACAAGAGCCAGCGACCATCCAGATGAAGTTGAAGAAAAAGTAATAAAACCAGAAGTAGTAACCCTCGGGCCGACAGAAGCTTCCTCCGTGGAAGTAATGGTCAAACAGACTAGTGGCGTAGTAGAGGACGTCGCCATAGACCTGGCCGACGGAGAGCAGAAGCTGGAGGGCATGGCGTGCAGGATGCTGAACTGCGATGCAGTAGGCAATAAAGAAGGCCAGGGGTCCCCAGCAGAACTGTTTGGTTGAATTGTTAGCATATTCTGATTACCATTGGCACAGCCAGGTCCACCTACAGCAGTCACGGCCTCCATGGTGACCAGGAATGCGTCCGATGTCAGATAGCGCGAGTCCGACAGGGAGTACTCCTTCCATAGCTGGCCGAATAGCTCCTGTGAGCCTGCCAGGGTCTCATGATGGATCACAAAGTAGGCCTCGAAGAATAAATGAATGAACCCCGCTGCATGGATTTCTTTAGTTGGACTTCTTAATAAGAGGGTCATGGAACATACTCAAGCACATCCACACAAAGGCCAATTTATCCGCCCAACTTGCCTTCGGTCGCACCCGTCGTATAATGAGAAAGGCAATCCCCAAGACGGCAGCCCATAGGAAGCCAAATTGAGCGATTAAGGAAACTACCGAAGTTTCATTGGCGACAAAGTGTGGTAGATGTATAGTGGTGGGATAATAACGGTGAGGGACCATTGTGACGCGACTAATGCAACCTTGATATAGAGAGACTAAAGACGGGTTTCAGGCACACCAATCGGATCTCCCACGTATAATACTTAGTACACTTCTTTCCTATAGGTTGTCTGCTATTACTTCTTATATGTGTGGCTGCTGGACGGGAAACCTCCCCGGACTCCGCGGATCCCGAGCATAATCTCTCGGATAGTTCGATTTCCATATCGGACCATCTTGGCTTGAGATTAAGTGAGGAACACCCCAACACTAGCTTACTAGATATGATACGTCTAGAGTGAATGCGTTCGCAACGGTAAAGATCATCTGAGATAATTATAGAACAATGAGGCTAATACATCAATAGCATATTCACTGAATCAAATCGGCCGGCCTACATTCTGTGCCTCAAGCAACAGCCATGGAATATCGCGATGTCAAGCGAAGGAAAAAACAAAATGAAGAATTGAAAATTAACAGAAAAAAAAGATAAAAAACATAGCATCCGCCTACATACCCGTCGACCTAAAATGACACAACATGGCCAGGTCTTGTTTGTTCGGCCGTATATCGCACACCGTCCACCTTGAGTCCCTGCTCATTCAACAGCGTGATTGTACCGCCCTCATCGGAAAGCGCACAGTTGTGCAGCTGGAAACTCTGGCGACGCCTTCGACGCAAGACGGCACCGTCGGGCAGGTATTCGTTTTCGCCCTTGTGATTCCGGACGCTCCAGCCATTAAGTATCACGGGCGCGTCCGCGCGGTTCGTGAGAGTGACGATCGAGTCGGATTTGGTTGTCGGGTCTGAACCATGATGACGGATCATGGCCTCACTAATGGTAACTGTCCGATCATGGACATCGCGCCTTTGTCGTTGCTCCCCCGGGATTTCAGGGTTTAAGAGCTCATTCCAGCTAAGATACCCATGGAGTGGAGTAGGTTGTCCTTCGGCATCGGTATGCACGGCCTGGGATGCGAAACCAATGAACACCCCCTTCCAGTGATCCCCAAAGTCCAGCAGGATACCCCCGTCCTGATAGATGCCGTTGTCATTTTTCCACTTCTTAGGACTTCCTTGGTTCATGTGAACATTATGGATCCCGTTGCCAGTGTTGAAATGCGATCCAAAAATGTAAATCACGCTGTCGTGGTCGACCGCGCCATCCAGCACCGGGATAAGTTCATCCAGTATATCATTATCTGGTCCAGGAATGTCATGGGGTAGAAGTCTGCCTGTTTCTCGGTGGAACAGATTGCCTCTAATGTAGTCCAGGGCGAGACCGTTGGGGGCTTGCTCCATAGTGCCTTCCAGCAGATGAAATCCTGGTTTTAATTCCCGGAGTCGTTCATTTTGAAAGTTCTCGAAGTTCTTCACCAACCAAAACACTAACCTCGAGTCGCTTTTGTCTCCAGACTTGATGTTGATTGCTGCGCGGCCTTCCCCCTGGCTATTGTCACTGGTAGTGAAGAACAGCGAGAGATGGGGAGACACATGGTCATCTGCATCGGTTTCGTAAGTAAAGCGAACAGGCTTTGCCTTCCATACTCCGTAGCTCTCAACAGGCATTGTCAGAGTCGGTTGTTTTAGATAGGCTATTGAATGAGAAAGTTTACTAGGTCATAGATCCAAGATACGTCGGGGAACAGGAACCTTGTCGGAAAGGATGGGAAAGTCATATTTACTTATATCTCTCGGTGTTAGTCTAGACCCATAAGGTGTCCGTTACCTGTGGAGATTTGGCCCGATGCTGATTGCCTCTGGATCACAAGGGTAGATGTCTGATCTGAAGGCATGTCGACTGATTCATTATCGACACATCTTAGAGGTCACAGCAGGATGTTCTATCTTTGGTACCGATGGCCTGATCAAATGGACCTTCAATCCAGGCCTTGCAGACCTGCTTAGGTTCGATCGTCACGAAAGAGTGTTTGATCCAGAGTGTGTCCCACAAATCGCGTGGACGGACAAGCAAAAGTAAGTTGACCGTGTCCATGGAATCGAGTGAGATTCAGAACGCAGTTATGTATACGACGCTGAGAAAGGTATAAGGGCACATCCCACCTTGTAAAGGGAATATTTTCCCCTTTCCCTCTGTTGAATACTTCTGACGAAGTTTATTCGATTTTAGGGTTATACCTTATAACAAATGATCGCTTCCATTCGAACTATATATTTGTCAATGACGTCCTTGACAACCACCACTGGTTCTTTCGACGTGGACAAAGTACGAAGAAAAGGACAACTCTGTTTGTTTTAGAAAATTAATATATGCCTCAGCCACCACGGTGTCAGATAAGGAACCCTCACAGTCCATCCAAATTGTGCTCAAAGAGGTCTCTGCCAGAGTTGAAGAGTGATCAAGTCCAATCCTAGCGATAACCGTGTTCATTCTGCCTGACAATAAATTGTAGAGGAAGGCGGAATGAAGTGGCGGTCAATTGAGTCTCCACCGCCAAGCACCGAGAGCCGAGAATCTCACCTCCGAACACCGAATTGCTCCAGGCCATAATGTTACTGACGGGATTCCGCATTTTGACCCCAAGAATATCTCGGTGTTTTCTTCAGTATAGCACCGAATAGTGTCTATTACCTTTGGTCAAAAAGCCGAGCAAGTGAACCGACTAGCAGACGATGATGTATCAGAGCCGGGTCTGCAAGTCCTGCGAACCATGCAGGGCTCGTAAAGTACGGTGCATCGGTGAGCCTTCCATCTGGTTCTACGACACTTAGACCTAGAGCTGACGCGGTAGAAGTCTCCCCGGAGGACCCTTCCAGATGCACGCATTGTATTGTAGGCAGGATCCTAGCCGTTGTATACCGGCTAAAACATACTAACCGGATCACCTGGCTTCTAGAAGCGTGATGAGCATTGCGAGTTCAAACAAGCTAGGCGCAGGTTCAAGCCTCAGATCCAAAGAGCAACCAGTAGGTTCTGTAAAAGGTTGGGCGCGTGTTAGTCTGTCTAATGAATCATGGAGTAGGCGAGCTGTCGCTCCTAAGTCTGGGTCATGGTACCAGGGAACACAAGGATGGACAGATTAAACCAGTCTTCGCACCATTATTTGTGGACCAGTTATTGGATAGCCAACCCATCCAGGGTGTGACTCAAGATGAAATCCATGTGCTAAGGGTAAGCGATGTTCAACCAAGATATCAGGATCGTGACTGAGCCCTAGCGTGTAGGCGCAGGAAAATGAAGGCATGATTCAAACAACAAGCTGTTTTTCGGAAGACAAATCTGACCGAAAATTATAGTGTGCAGCTCGAATCTTGCTTTCTTTTCCGATATGAAGATCCAATCACTGACACAGAAACTGGGAAATTCTCGCCTGAAAGAACTGGTCGATGGTATTGAAGCAATCATTGAGGGCCGCGTTACCGCACAGGGAGCGACAACTATTTCCCCGGTTACGTTCAAAAAACCACTCAGCTCCACGCGTATCTCCGGGGGATTGACGCGGGTCTATGTAGATGGTTGCGATCCAGGAATTTGTTTGTGTCCAGGCACATTCTAACATCTTGATAGTCTACTTCAAGCGTATCCATCCGATGTACCCGTTCCTGGACCGACAAAGCTTCGAGGAGACGGCATTCTCGACAAACCTCGCGCAGACGTTGGAAACAACCCCCGCATTCTCTGCTCTTTATCATGCAGTACTTGCATTGGGATGTCAGTACCATGATGGTGGATCCTTTGACCCCGGAAAGGGTAAAGCATGGAAGTTCTTCCAAATGTCACTAGGCCTGATGGCCGACATCCTCGTGCCACGAGAATCGCTGCTTAACCTGCAAGCTTTGACTGCTATGTCCATCTTTGCCATGAACACCTGTTGCCTGCAGATTGACGAAATCCTAATCATGGAAGCGGCGCGGATGGCGCAGGCCCTCCGATACCACCGAGCCATCTGTAGTGGAGAGCAGCAAGTGTGGTGTCTACGCACATTCTGGGTCATCTACGGCATGGAAAAGCAGTTAGCATTTCAGAACAGGGAGAACTCAGTGAGCCTACGATTATCTAGAAAGGAGCCAGCGCTAACGCTGCGATAGTTGATCGCAGATTATAACGTAGGGTGTCCAATCCCAGAAACACCTGAGGCCAGCTTTGAGGACTATAATTGGTTTTTGTCCAGCATCCGGTTTGCCAGGATAACGTCACAAGCATATGAGCTTCTGTTCTCCATTAGTGCCACTCAGAATGTCACAGAAGCATACTACACAACGATTGATTATGTCCAGGAGCGCCTGGAGAAATGGCGACTGACCGTGCCTGCAGGATTTCGACCGGGAGAGTCTTGTCCTCCACAGACCTTCATCGATCCTGTGTCTAAAATGGTCGCTCTCCAGACACACTACTCCTACTACAGCATGGCCATTGCTTTGGCGCGTCTCACTTTGCAGATCGGCTCTGACGATGGTGCGCGACAAGAACACAGCAGACGAAATCTGATGGCTTCTGCCCGACGGATAATTGAGCTGACTCAGTATATTGACAAGGCACCCCATACACCACTTTCGTGAGTGAATAGCCTCTGTCACTCGAGGGTCTTCTGCAAAATCTGACAATCGATACAGTATCCTTGCCATAATGCCGCTTGTAGCCCTCTTCATACTTTTCGACTTTGTCGTCCACAATCCCACACACTCGGAGACAAAGACTAATTTGGCAATGCTTGATATTGTTTCAGGGCACTTCGCTCTTCTCGAGCATGCATCCAACGGCTCATTGCCCTGTTCATTGGTCTCGGAGTTTGCCCATATAGCGCGACAGCACGTCAAAGATGTCAACGGTGGACGTGGCCCCGCAGACATGATGGAGACCCCGCTTACCCCAACGCAAAGGCCTTGCCGTGGCCATATCAGGACGGGAGCAGGCGCCGCGAGTAACACGCAAATGCCAATAGCAATGGAAGGGAACATATCTGTAAGAACGTACCTTGCTCATCAATGTGATCTAATCTGGTGACCATTGGACCCATATAGGATGGTCATCGACCTAATGTTGAACTCAGCGGAGAGTTCGAACCGTACAAGCACACAGATAGCGTCAGTGAGCCAGCAGACCCACTATACTATGCTGCAATGGATGCCAGTTTCGACTTCGGGAGCGACCCTCTGTTGCCCGGTTTTGATCTGCGGACGTTGTTCGGGTCGGTTATCTCGACCGGTTTTGATTCGCCTGAAGATGCCTCCGGTTTTGGTGGGATCATGCCGACACCTCCAACATAATATCGGCGACGTGACAGATGCCCCAAGAATACGTCTCATCACGATGCTCCGCTGCGACATGGCATAGAATTGCCTATTGCAATGGATTTCGAAATATGTGATGTGTATTAGTTGACCTAGCCTATTCTGAGTTGTCAAGATATAATGGATATTTTAGGGGTAGAAAGTGTAAGGCAGACATCATGACTGTGGATTCGTGTAGATTTTAAAAATGCCGTTTCGAGGTCTCGGATAACACTGTTCCATGCTGTTGCCTCAGGTGTCCACTTTCTTTTCGGGGTTCGGCAATTGCGAAACCCACAACCCTCACCGTCTCTTGACTCCGCCTTCCTATTATGGTATTACACAGGCAGAAACCCGCCAGTCAGCATGCATTCTTAATGCCTTAGGCGTCAACTTCCCGCTCCTGCGCCACAATCAGCCTTGAGCATCGAATATCAACCACCAACATTGGCTGTGATGATGTGTCTGGATGTGTTAGGTACCGATCTACGGTCTTCTGGCCCCACCTTTTAATATCACAGCCAGTCATTTCATGCCTATAATTCCGAAAGGAAGTAATCCCGGAGATTCTGACTTGGCTTTTCATGGTCAACAACCCTTCGGAGGTCGGGGGTAAGCGTCACCACGCCCTCTCTAATACGTACGAGAATGTGAGTTGCGCCATATAAAGGCCCCCACGGGGAGCTTATCTCAGCACGTAAGCCATCATCGATATATAATTCTGGTGCCTTGTCTTGCTTCCAGGCAATCCAGGTCCAAAAGTGCGGCCCAAATTTACAGAAACCGGGAGACTCACCATGGCCGCTCCCCTGGGTTTTGTTACATATTTCTTCCTATTACTTGCGGGCTTCTATCTTGCCCGCAAGATAGCTAGACTCGTCCAAGGTGTGTGCAGCCCCGCTGACCATGTAAGAGTTAAGGCCCCGCTAATGCCAGCACTTCCATAGTCCGACGATTCAAACAACTACACGGTTGCTTGCCCCCACCAAGAGAATATCATAAAGATCCGGTGCTGGGTCTGGATGAAGTGCGGTCTATGCTTCGAGTGTTTCGTGAAGACCGCTTTCTGGAATGGGCGTTAGAGAAATATCGACGTTATGGAAACACCTTCGCGACCTCAGTTCTGGGTGACGATAATATATGCACCGTTGAACCGGAAAACATCAAAACCATCCTGGCGGTGAAGTTCAAGCAGTTTGACCTGGGAGAGAAAAGACGGAGAACGTTCCATCCGCTCTTGGGTGATGGTATTTTCGCATCCGATGGGCCGCAGTGGGAACATTCGCGGACTCTGCTGAGACCGAGTTTCACTCGCACGCAGATCGCGGCGACTGATTTATATGAGAGGCACATTCAGAGGCTGATCAGCCAGATTCCGCGAGATGGCTCAACGGTGGACCTTCAGGACCTCTTTTTCAAGCTGGTATGGAAGAACATCCGCGGTAGAATGCCCCAGTGCCATACCTAACAGTACATCCTCTAGACACTTGATACAGCGACCGAGTTTCTGTTCGGAGAGTCTGTTGAGTCTTTGCGCCCTGGATCTTCCGCCGAATCTACTAGTTTTGCCCACCACTTTAACGTTGCCCAGGATGGAATAGCCTTCAGCGTGGCCGTCGCGCCATTCGACCGACTGATTTTCAGGCCCAAGCTCAGGGAGTCTGTCAGGGAGGCAAGAGGATATGTCGGCAACTTCGTGAAAAAGGCCATTGAATACCGACGCTCGCTTGACGCCGAGAAACATGCGGGCGATGTATCAAACTCACAGTCGCGATATGTTTTTCTCGAAGAGCTCGCCAAGGAAACAGACAATCCAACCGACATCACTGACCAGGTCTTGAATATCCTCCTTGCAGGAAGAGACACGACCGCCAGTCTGCTAAGCATGGTATTCTATCATCTCGCACGGCGTCCAGATATCTGGGGAACCCTGCGGAGCGAGGTTGCGACACTCGACGAGAAACACCCATCATTTGAGGAGCTAAAACAGTTGAAATATCTCTCTTGGATCATTAATGAGAGTATGTTCAGTCCTATGCAGTACTCCCCAGATCTTGACGAGACTGACTACCTATAGCTTTACGCCTGTACCCCGTGGTCCCATCCAACAGCCGCACAGCAAACGAGGACACATTCCTCCCCGTCGGCGGCGGACCAGACGGCAAATCACCCGTGTTTGTCGCCAAAGGCCAAAGAGTTGCGTACGATGTGTACGTGATGCATCGACGCCATGATATATTCGGCCCCGACGCGGAAGAGTTCCGGCCGGAACGATGGGAGACCATACGACCCGGCTGGGCTTTTGTCCCTTTTAATGGAGGCCCTCGCATTTGCCTCGGACAGCAGTTCGCCTTGACAGAGGCGTCTTATACGATCGTAAGAATCGTGCAGTCGTTCAAGGAGATCACCAATCGAGACCCGGAGCCGTGGCAGGAACGTCTCGCACTTACGTTGGCGAGTAGGCATGGGACGAAGGTGGCGATGGTTCCTGTTTAGATTAGTGTCTGTACTTCTTTCACCGTAGCTAATACTTAAAAAGGTTGACTGGGTAGTTATTCCAGCCATCAAGACTCTATTTCGGGCTCTAATCTATTTTTTGAGGATCTAGCCATTCTGATACTTCACTAGTGCTTTGAAGACCAAATCTAGAATGCTGTAACAAACCGTAGGCATAACATATAGAGGACGGTAACCTATTCGATGCGAGGATCTGACTCTCAGGTGGCTTGGTGAGACTACCTGACCTGGTGGTGAGAAGCAAGGATATGAGAGCTAATGTTGATGTAACAAGAAGGAAATAACAGGGACATCAGAACAAAGTTTCAGGGCTCTATCAACCTTTCACTGTCTACATTCTACATTGCCCGTCAGCTCCGTTCAACAGCCGTTCAGATTAATGGGTAGGAAACGATTGAGAAGGGTTTGATCCAATATGGGAGGTGGGCCAGGAGATAAAAATATACGCAATATAACATATAGGTTATAAGCTATAAATGTGAAATATGCCGGTGAAATGTTTCTCACTGCAGACGGTCTACAAAGTTGATAACTTCCCCGCCGTAGAGCTCCGCTCAAACCCATCAAGATCCTTCACAAATACAATGCGGAATACATGTTCAGTCTCAGGTAAAACAAAGAAAAATGTGCGTAAGCGCTTGACCAACTGCTCTTCTACTAGAACGTCTGGTCGGGGTGGAGCCCGTAACAGGCGCACTTCCAGAGTTGCCTGCGGCGAGGAGTCTAGCTGGCCAAGTAACACCTGCCACTGCAGGATACCACATTCCTCTGCCTGCACCAGAGCTTTCAGTTTCTCAAACTCGAAGTAGGCTCCATCCCACTTGAAGCTGAAGCGACGGTCACGGCCTTGCATCTGGAGCACACGCAGGTACTGCCGTTCACTCTCAGGGACTACGGCGTTGGCCATCTCGGGAAGTGGATGGAGGGATCCCAGGTCTCCAGTGATATAGCGAACGAGTGGGTTGCGCAGACGCCGAAGGGAGGTCTGTATTATAATGTCTGTTTCTCCTAAAGGTAAAGGCTCAATGTTAGACGGAGAATTTCCCTCATCTAAAGCCGCAGGCGACGGAGCCCAATGACGGGGATCGGGGACAGATGTATGAGGCAACTTGCTACTTTAAAGAATAACTTCTCAAGTAGGAGACACCATTCAATCTGGCTATCAGTCACGTTGAAAACGTCTTTCTTGCTCACTTATCCCCACCATTCCTGTGCCAAGTTTTTCACAGAGAGGAGAATCTTCTGGGACAGAAAAAGTAATTATCATCTAATTGGAAGGTAGATGCATTCACTTCGTGGCCACACAAGAATACTCCGGCTTGATATGCGTGCCGTCACAGAGCGAGGCCTGCAGGACCACCAAGGCTCCATTTTAGAGATGGCCGTCGCCAAATGAGGGCTGTTGGCTAGGAATGGGCCCTACGCATTGCTACTCTCGCACATAGCCCCGAGCCCCGAATGTTTCTCAAATCGTAGAAGAATGCACGCGAATATTTTCACAGCAGCCGGATGCTCAATAACTGACAAAGATCTAACGTGTATCCGCAGAAGATTCGGGCACAGGGAACATCAGTTGTTCGAGTGTGATGGCAGATTCGAAATCCAATAGCCTGCCCCAAGTATCAACACGATTAGTACTTTGAAAATGATACTAGGTTCACCAGGCAGAGATAGTCATAGAGAAGCGAGATACAAGCGGGTCCAGAACAGAGCTTCAACTTACTCATCGTTATCGAAGGATCCACCAGCTGATACTGGAGCAAAGGGACTCAACATTGTCGCGAAAGCCTCAAGTATTTCCACATCGTTCTGACGTGCATTATTTGGTAGCTCCGGAATAGGAGCAATCGTGGAATCACTCGATGACTGAAGCATATAGTCCCTGGGATCTGTGGCGGGGGCAAGCGTCCGGTAGTTGATCCAGTTCTTTGCCTTGGTGAACATTCTTGCGAGTATTTCAGCGCCAAAGTACACAGATTTGAGCTCTTCGATGACCATCATGCAAAACTCAAGGTTGTGGCGGCCCATACGTTGCACCATCTGCTTTTCAGACGTAGCATCAAGCAGATGGATTTGCAATGCGGGAACCAAGGCAATGCAGCTAGCGATATTAGCACCCTGATCTTAAATCTCATAACTGTCCTCAGATACTGTACGTACACGATCGCCTGGGTGTTGCTAATCATGTCAGCGCCGATCATGTTGCCAAGGATCCTGTTGATGTTCGTCGCAGCATCTTTGGCCCTCCGCAGCACAGTTGATGTCCATTCGTCCGCAGAAAGATCAGGCGGATTCATTTCTGTCCGATCAAAAAGGAACGGCCGGTATAGGGTTAGCAGAACAGAACTAGAGCTTTAGCGTCAGCCTGGTGAGGACAAGTACCATGGTTTCACTTACTCTAGATATAGCTCTAGATGGTACATGTGTAAGGAAACGACGTGACTATGTCCTTGAGCTATAGCGTGATCTTTGCGGAAACAATACTGTCGGATGGTATCGTCCATCTGCTGTATTTCAGTCCTACTAGGCCGTGTCCGGTCCGCTCGGTTTTGCCATGAGAGAATCTTTGCTAAGGAGACCGTAAGTGTCAATAGCTCCGTCCATAATTTGGACAAGTCCTTAGTGCCTTCTGGAAGGTACTTCTTCCGAATACACTCCGGAATCCCAGCGAGCAGGTTATCGGAATCGTTGGCATGTGGCATTCGGGTACTGCAGTCGGCTAGGTTGATGCGCATAGGCCTGCCCATGCCAGCAGAGAACCAGGCTTCACGATAAAAGCAGCTCCACCATATCTGCCTCCAGATGCTGCTGTCACTCGTTGAGATCGCTTTACTGCGTTTCCGACCCGTGTCTGGATGCCGATGTAGCCCTATCGTTTGGCATAGACTGATAGCAATGCCATTCCAATGCCAAGGTCCGGTCCTGTCTTCGGTGTCCGAATACCAGAAGCCTGTCAGAAGTACCGCCTGGATTAGAGTAATCTTCCTTCTCTCATACTCTGCGTCATAAAGAGCCTATGTGACTTTGGTTAGCTGCTACTGTCTCTCTAAAACAGCATGATCAAGCTATGACCTTAGCTCGGGTATACATTGCACGCTTCATCTCTTTTCGAGAAGAGAAATTGGCTGCTTTTAGGGTGCTGTCATCTGCGAACTATTTCTCATGTTAGGATGCCAACGTGGAAAGTAATGGGGTGAGTGGTACCCATACATTCGCAGCAGCTAGAAGCATGCTCCACAACAGGTGTACGCTTACTTCGTTGCGTCTATTTTCGAACGTGTCGAGGAACGAATGGGCATCAATAACAGGAAAAAACGGATGCACATAGTAGAAGTATGTCCGGATCATCATTTCGCAGACAGCAGGAGTGGGGAAGTCGAACACGCCCTTACGGCGCAAGTATTCAATCGTATCCTGATCTATATGGGTGAGCTCAATTCGGGGGATGAGGAAGTGTCCACTCTTCTCCCGTGGCTCTGGCTCGCATATGTCGACCACCAGACCGACGCCACGGGGGTCCCCTAAGTGACCGAATCAGCATCAGAGTGGACCATCACTGGCGCGAGTATCTCCAGAAGACCAGCTAATTGTTTGATTCATACCATATAACGGGGAACAGCATTTATCTGTCGCATCCCCGTCTAGTTGCGATGCGCCCATGTCACCTCCATTATGATGGCTGAAATGCTCGTTGAATGGACGATAAGAGTTGTCGATGCTATCTCCAGTATCCCCTACTGCTGGAGCTGTAGGACTGGGCCCGCTTGGCACGGATAGATCCTTCAACGCAACGAGGCGCTCGGTGGAAAGCTGCCATCCCCCAGCGGAGTACTCTGTATCGCGGATTCGTTATTCGACGGCGAAGACACCGTACTAAGGTGGTAAGGTAGGCCACGTCGGCTACGGCAGCTCGTTAGCGAGCTTTCCGAGGAGGTCTTCGCGCTGAGGTTGCTATATGGCTTACTTTGATCTCCTGCTTTCCCGCGGCACACAGGAAAGCTCATCTAACGAGCAGTTGGCACAAGGATTCCCAGTTTGTGGGAGACTGCACCTTACTTTACGGGCGTGGCATGACTGGCAAGCCACGGGTGCTCGTTTTCTGGACTGTCGCGTTCTGCCAGTATTCCGCGGGCTCTCCTTTGCAGAATTGGGCATCATGGAAACCGCAGTCTTGTCGTTGCGAAGGAGGTAGCACCAATGCGGGAATGTTGCCGCGGATAAGAAGGACATGGGGTTGCGCAAAGGTACACTCGGTGGGCCTCGGCCGAACAAGGCAGCCGGTGGGTCGTGATTAGTCATACCGTCATACCGAGTTGGTTGCCTCGGCTGTCCAGGTGTATCTCGTAGTAGCACGATGACAATACGTACTCCTGCATAGTACGTCGCGCTGGGGAGTGGTTTCCACTACGGGCAACTAAGTTACCATCGAATACATGCACCACAATCCTCCACGCATATTATTGAAGCTGTTGTCGCTACAACGTAGACGGAAGTTGAACATTTAAGATCCGTTGGTGCTAGAGCCGACGGATGACGCTCTCAAAGGCCAGAAACAAGAGAACGGGTTGAAAACCTTTCTACAGAGAGACAAAAAAGGAGAGGACATAAATAGAGCTTGGAACTGTATATTAGGCGAGGCGCAACGAGGCGCTGATGCATATGACTAAAGCAGTGTGCAGCGTAGGGCACCGTACTATGTACACAACAAGATCAAAGTCGAGAAGCCTTGCTCTTGGACAGAGCCTCTCCCATCTTTGCCTGTGGGATACCCTGGCAGAAACGGTCGAGGCCACCAAACATCTCGAGCGGCGCTTGTTCGTCCTGCTCCCGAACTAAGCGACGACGCATCAAAGCCTTTGTCTCCAGCAGGCTCGACTTCACCAGATGTTCGCCGAACGTCTGCTGCAGGTGCCCCATCACCTGCTCACGGAAGTTGCCTTTGCTTTCGAAGACCTTGTTCACAAAACCAACCTGAGCCAACTCACTGACGGGTATCTTCCTGCCGAGAAGGAGTGCCTCGTTTGCTCTCCCTTGACCCATGCGCTGCACAAAGGCGACACTAGAGCCGCCCTCGGCAACGAGGCCGAGAGAGGTGAAAGGAGTCATCAGCCAAGCATCGGATACCGCGTAGATAAAATCTGAGTGCGATATCAACGCGGCAGAAAGCCCTATGACCGGTCCGTTCAGCGCCGTGACCAGAATCTTCGAATGGCTGTAGAACGCTCTCGCCACGTCGATGTTGTTATTCACCAATTTAGGAAGCCAGTGAGGGCGAGACAGCATGTCCTCCATGGATGGTGGCTTTCCCTTGAGGTCAGCCCCTCTAAAAGCTGGAATCAATTTCTCTTCCCCATTTCCACCTTTCTCTGTGCAAAGGGTGGAGGAAACTTACGCGGAGAAAAAAGCGCCCTCGCCAATTAAGACAGTCACATAGACGTCTGAATTGTCTTCAGCCTCTCGAAGCAAGCTGGCGAGGCGATAATACAGGCTCTGCGTCAAGGCGTTGAACTTTTTTGGGTTGTTCAGTGTGATGATGGCAAAGATGCCGTTGATGTCCAGGCGAACAAGATCCTCTTCAGCCATATTGCGATGGAGTCATTGTGTCGGGTTAAGATAATGAGAAGATGATGGCAATGTCGTTTGTACAACCTGGATTTTGAGGGCTCTCATTGACCGTTTTATGTCGTCTCTTAAGCGTATACTATGGCTTGACACCCGCGGCTCTGGAGTGGGTACCCTCAGTGCCGCGGGAACAAAAAGATGCAGAAAGTATAGTCGCCTGTAAGCAAGCCTCGGGCACCTCGGTATGGAGTATATACCCGATGTCCTGTACATCTGCGACTATAGCAGCCTACATACAGCTGTTTCGGTCTATTTACATCAGCCAGAACGTCTGCCTTTCGCCATGGGATACTTGATGTGGTGCCTCGGCCTGGTACTAGGCCTGAGTCTCAAAAATCTACCTTTCATGTGGCATGTAAGCTCCGAATGAAAGTTCCTTCCTCCTCCCTTGAATCGACACTAAACTTCTAGTTTCGATTTTTTGGTGCCCTCGCAATGGGCTACCTCACTCGCCAAAGGTCAAGCTATGCGCTCCAACAACGTCATGTCTTTCTACCGGCCGTGGTCAGATCTCGGTCTCCAGCAACAGAAGGGGACTTCAACATTCATAAGTCCAATTCGACCTACATCACTGATCTCGATGTATCGAGAGCGCACCTCAGTGGGTTGCTCTTTGCGCCCGTCTTGTTGCAAATTAAGTCTTCGGTGCATTGCAACTTGATAGTCAGCGCGATTTCGTGCACGTTCCATCGAGAAATCAAGCCATTCCAACCGTACGAAATTTGGACCAGAGTTGCGAGCTGGGATGATAAGTGGATTTATATGGTCACACATTTTGTTGATACGAGCAAATTTTGGCCCAGTGGCTATATCATGCAGGCCCATACTTCGACTAACAGGAAGATAGGAGTTCCGCTACCTCATACAAGAGAACACAAAGCTGTGTTTGCATCTGCTGTGACCCGGATGGTGTTTAAAAGAGGCCGCTTAACTGTACCTCCGAAGCGTGCTTTGAAAATCTGCGGTCTCCTACCGGCTCCGACAGCCGAATCCCCGACGGCCGCATCCTGTCCAGATCCAGGGGCTGGGGTAACAGAGTCCGCTACCGGCTTCAGTGAATGGACAGCAGAAGATATGACATTGTATAAAGAGACAAATCTCCCAATCGTGCGACTCGAGAGGGGTTGGGATGCTGTGCGTGAGCTGTTCCGCGAAGAGCAGTTGGTGTTGGCAGAGTACAGGGACTTCACATGGTGAATGTCGGATCTTGGGCAGAGGGAGGTCCGGTGTCTGGGCATTTTAACACGTCGGGAGTTGTCAGGTTTGGATGATCAGAAACGTGTGTTGTGACGAGTGGTGTCCGCATACCCCTCGTATCGTCTGAACGGCGGAGGTTGAGGCTTGCTATTTAATGGATGAGTCAAGAGACATGGGCGTTCATATCTGTTTCGTCTCAATTACCGCACAGCAACCGTTATTCCGTCATGTGTAGGCCATCCGTATCATCCAAGGGTAGCTGCCTTGCGAACCTCGCAGCTTCTGTGCGATCATTCCATGGTGTATTTCTCCTGGCCAGTCTAGGCCAGACGTTAATCTTTCTCCCACTCCTGCAAAAGGGTAACTACCTCTTCAATTGTATTGTTGGCGGGAAGCAAAAGGAGGCATTTCGCCTGCGCTGTTATCTACAATCGAGTGAGCGCTCCCTTCTAAGGCATTCTCACGGAGACGTGAGAATGGAGGGAGATCTGCGGAAAGAAACAGGAAATTCTCATACTCCTGAAGGTATCTACAAGTCCTATAAGTCTGACAATGAGTGCAGGCTCCAACGCGAGCTTAAGAGCTGAGACCGCATGTTAAAACGGTAAGAGATATGAGACATGGATTTTCCTTTCGGGTTGTCCAACCAGCAGAGTGAGACCAGGGTTTGGGAAGGAAGGTGAGGGAGCCAAGGGCCGAAGGATTGAGCCATCTAAGCACTAGCCCGCTCGTCGCGCGACTTCAGGGCGGCACTGCTCACCTACTAGAACCAGTAGGCAAATCGTTCAGGTGCTCGTAGATTTTTGCTCAATAGGTCGTTGACAAGCTCGCCCACAAACATACGACCAAGTAGTAACTGTCAGGAGAGAGCAGCGGCGAAATGCAACTTGAATGTGAACTTCCTCCAATGCCCGGATTCATTCGCCAGAGCTTTCCAGCAGTTTTAGTTGCGGCTGAAGCGTGTGTAGAGTAGTTGATCTTGCAATTGAGAGTCCTGGCTATGTCGAGGAATATGAGACTTCAGGACTCGCTGGAGTTATTGAAGACGGGATATACCTCTCCAGAACTACAGCATGGTGGCCGAAGCATCTAGCGTCAAATACCCGCTTCCAATCTGACCAACGATGTCATCAAGGTGGAAAGAGTCGCTATCAAGTCCAGAAGTAGGTGAGAATGGTATCGAATGATCGCCTCTGTTGGGATGGACAGTAGGGGAATACTACCTTGTCAGGGTCTACCAGTTACGGTGATACACACACCATGCAGAAACAAATAAACCCCAAAATTAATATATATCATTTCATGGGTTTTCTTCAATGCCCAAAGTGTCCAACCGGGAAAGGTATCCCATTTCGTAAGGAAGCGTGCGAATATTGTTATCGAACAAATACAGCTTCTTCAGGCTCGTAAGCATGCCGATCTAGTACTTCTCAAGCAGGACGAAGGGAGAGAGGATCATCGAGACAGTGGAGAGCACACATCCTCCCTCTGGGGCCTTGCCGCCGCATCGATCGAATTGTGAAGGAAGCTGTCAAGGATGGCGAAGTCAAGGTTACTGATTGGTTGATATACAGGGAGATTGAATGTGGGTTTTTTTACTTTTACTTGTACCTTTATTTCCAGACTTCATATGGCAGAGAGCATGTCGAAGCTAATGGCGTCTTCAGCCGAGACAATGTCGGCATCATCCCGGTGTAATCAATTTCCGAATAGCTACCGTGTAATTTCCCGAGATCTACGGTTTCTGACCTGTCAAGACTAATGTGCAGTCTTATAAGAAAGCAGCTACCTAGATCTGACGAATCTATACTTTGTAATCATCAGTTGCCTGGTATGGTCAGCAACCCGCGGGTATCAAAAAGAGCCGGTGTGGATTTGTTGACCCACTTAGCAGCATCTTGACGCACCTTTCAGCCGTACCACAACCAGGAGAAGCTGAAGTCCAACTCATCCGGGTATGGAATTGCACAGTAAGCAGCTTTGCAATAGGGTAGACATAGCGCCATGTAGCTCTCCACCAATGATACACCGTGGGAAAAGATCGTTGAGACACTCAAAGACTTGCCTAAGACGGACCAACGCCGGGACGAACAGGATCTGCGGTCTTACACAGATGTTCCTGCGGCAGTGGATGTTTACGCTGGCTGGACGCTGGATCTCTCGCGTGGGATCTTGCGGTTTGTTTTCCTGTTCTTGCTTCTTGCTCTTGGCCGCGAGTCGAGACTAGCTCTCGAAGATGTCACGATGTGGCCCTTGCTTCCTCGGAGAAAGCCAATTCCTGACGTTCATTGTGAAAGTCGGCCGTAAGGTTCATCCTGCCAGGGAAACTGACCGATCTTTTCCCCTACTCGATCTATGGGTTCGTGGAAATACCCGAACTCACTTCAGCTTCCATGAACCCCCACTGTCGATCATTGTCTCGGCATATTGGTCATTGGAATTACTCTTGCTTATCCTATCTCATGTAGATACAACCTCATTCCACGAGTGTCCCCGACTAAACATGTATTTTCCAATTAACATCTGCAGTAATAAGAAAATTTGATCCGGACTGGATGGCGCAATTACTTTTCATGGTAGAGGCTGAACCCGTGCATTAAGCACACCACCAAGACGACAAGTGAAAGAAATAATAAATAAATAAATAAAGACCAACTTCGAAGAGAAGGAAAAGGGAGCTGTTAAGAGGCTCATAGCATGTTCTTGGTTCAGGAGACAACACTATTAGCAAACGGAATGGCATTCCATCTCACCCGACGTAAATGCCTCGCTGGATCCTTGATGCTGTTCCGCGCATGCAGCCACCGATAATTATCGAGGAGAATGATTGATCTTGCAGGGAGGTCAGCTGGAGTAAGGTGCAACGTGGATTGCGCCAGTGCCTCCAGGTCCTGCAAGGCCGCTCTCAGCTCCTTCAGCGCCGCAGCCGCCCTGGCGCTCAAAGGCGTCACAATCTCGTCACGGTATCGCATCATGAGGGAATGACCCCGATCTTGTGTGTCAAGGGCAAATAGGCTACCCACGATATGACGTTGATCGGGGTTCTTGATAAATTCGGGTGGGATGGTGATCTGGTATTCCGGTTCATGGAGAGCTGCTTTGGCGGCCGGGGAGAGAAACTGGCTCAGTCGATCAATTTTCATGACGGAGAGAGTGCCCCCACCGTAGCGATCGGGCTGGAGAACTTGAAGCGCAAAGAACCGCGGTGGGGCGTGCTCGTAGCTGCAGTCTGTGTGCCAGGGAAATTCCTGCATTGTTTCTGATCGAGCCTGGTGATTCTCGGTCTGAAAGGTGGTCTCGCTGGGGCGGACGTCCCAGAACCAGCCACGGGATGCGCTATGGGTGATGGGGAGGCCATGACCATGGTTTTTTGACAGGCTGACAATAAGGCTTGCCAAGTAGCGACTGTTGTCATCAGGAAAATTCAGGCTGATTTTGAGGATCCCTTCATGCTTGAGGTGGTTATGTACATCGCGAACATGGTGCAGGTGTTGAGAGTCAATGAGATCTTGTGCCACTAGATGAGGTACTCTGGGCACAGTGTCTGTAGCGAATTGGCGAGTCAGTCTTTGTATCCCTGGCAGATATTGCACAGGGCTTTTGCTTTTGTTGAGAAATCGAGCATATCTGCTCGTTGATCGAGCGGCGCAGAAATGACGTCCTATATGTTGCATGAGGGGCAACTGGATTCTTGCAGTGAACAACACAGTAATCCGGCTTGGGAGAAGGGATCCTCATAACCTAGCCGGCCGTCTTCGCACGAGGAATGGCACTGGATCGCAAAGGCAGGGTGCAGGGTAGAATGGGGCGAATTGAGTCTCCTGACGCAGGACGTGTTGGTCACAATGTAGGTCTCGCAGAAATTAGATTAACGTTACGTAAATAAAGCTAAGAGAAGGGATACGCAATGTGACTGTCTAAATAATCTCTTGAATATAACAATTACCTTACTGAAGACGAGTTAGCTGGCTGCAGCTGAAGTACTAGGTCGAAGCTCCACTACCCAGTCGTACAGCTGTGTTACCTCGTCCTCGAGGTCACCATACGATAGCCTCATTCGGCATGGTACATGGTGCTAGCACGATTAATGGAAAGTTTATATTTAAGTGGAACTCCACATGCAGATGACGTGAAAGCTGAAAGCTCTGTGTAATGTGAGTTGTGATTCAGACGGGCCAAATGAAAGATTCCAGCACGCACGGTCAGCTGTCCGTGATTCACGGCAAGTGGAATAGTATGTCTCGATTATACGCTTGTATAGATAGCAGATTGTTATAGTCAACACATATAGTACACGTAGATCTTCAACTATGTATTTGGAGAGCGATCCCATTGCATTGTTATGCCATTGACTAATATCATCGCGGCATTTGAACGTCTTGTAAAGAATGGAGTCTATACCTTCCTGCCACCGGTTAGACAATCACTAGATGCAGAAATAACCAAAAGTATCTCTTAGCTCTCCAAGTACTCATCCAAGACTGACCAAATCCACGCGCCTCCATGACTGACGGCACAGATCCTGTCAGGGCTACTTCTCCATGTTCTCAGCCCTAGAAGCTGGCCATTTGTTGTGTGATAGGTCCCGATAAGTGGATAATGACCTCTGTCACCAGATGACTTGAGGATGACTGCATACAGGCGCGGCCAGATGCGACGCTGCACGACATACATAGTGTTTCCTGAAACAAAGTGAGGGTTGCGGAGACGCTCAAGAGTCGATAACCACTCGTCGGCTCCGACTTCATCTCCAAATAGAATCTCCGCCCCCTTACCTCCATGAATCGGCTTGAGCAAGTATTCCTTTCTTAGCTCCGGGGATTTCGCCGAAGTCTGAATGAGTTCATTCAGTTCTGGGCTTCCAGGGATAAAAGAATCTGCGATGCCTGCATCAAGGGCTTCTCCCTGGGCCGGGGTTAATACCTCCCGTGCTACCAGGGACGGAATCTCTTGCTTGATAATACCAAGCATTCGTTTGTCATGAACAAGGAGAATAGTACGCATGTCATTAAAGCAGCGTAGGCAAACTTCACGCAGTATCTCAGGTGAGAGACCGGATAATTCGTGCTGGTGAAGCTCTAGACCAACCTGGTGTATCTCTTCCACAACCTCACCATTACTGGTGAGAAGGACAGGAGACTCATTAATAAGCCTAGCATGGCCTTGGTCTTTTACCAAGCAACATAGCTTACCCCCATCTGGGCTTTTGGGATCAGGGATTAACCTAAGATCTACTGGTGTGACCAGCCGTGGTCTAATGCCGATATGGCGGTGCACGAAGTCGATGAACATGTGGATATCTATCCCCGGCTCTTCGCCCCTAAACAGGTGCAATAGGCGGCTTGGATTGAAAAGACTGAGCAGGCCGTTCAAGATCTATTGTATATGTAGTAAAGGATTAGTCTGATGAATATCGCAATACAGTGGTAGCGCGTGATACAGAAAAGTTCTACCTTTGAAGAATCAGTAGTATGGATGAGACCATTGCTTCCTGCACCGAGATCGCTCATCACTTCTTGTCCGTATGCCTGGTGCATAAACCCGTTGAAAGAAAACCGTGCATTAATTTCTGTGAGACGGTAGGGTTCCGTCGAGTCCAATCGTTCTACTAGCATAGACAATGCTGCCAGAGACCAATGTACCCTTCAAACCCTCATGAACCACCAAGCACTGAAGACCCCAACTACTGTAAAGGCGACCGCCCAACGCGCCAGCCCTCTCTTGATGTGATACTCGGCCACGCGATCGATCGCCTTGGAATCATTGATCCGAGGGAAAGGAATATCCGTCGGGACTTCCTTTCCCAATGCCTCACACAACGGACCCCAGCCATCCTTCACACTGAAGAAAACCAGTTGATCTGCAGGAACGACCTCTTTCAACCACTCGAGATGGCGCTCGTAGATGTACGCGTTATCCCTTGAGCCATCATAGATCGTATCCCACTGCGCCTGTAGCAGGGAGATATAAGTCACGAAATGTCGCATCCCTAATCGATCGACGTTAGTATTCATTTCTCTGCCCTCTTTTCCTTTTTTTTTTTTTTTTTTTTTCCTGTGGCCGTGACCGACTGGCCTCATAGAATGTTGGTATATTACGTTACCTGGGAGTGGGAGCAGCACCGCCCCTAGAAACCACAGTTTAGCCAGCGAGCTGATCTGCTGCATGCTCTTAACCCAAGCATCCGGGTCGCGGACCGTGACGATGACCTTGCTGTCGGGGTAGAGGGCGAGGAGTTCAGGCACCAATTGCGAGGCGGGCGCATCAGTGATAGCTGCGTACCCAGTAGTCCGTCGTTGGAGGAGGGATAGGGTAGTGGCACGGTCGCCAGCAAGCCAAGTCCGGAGAATTTGAATCCAGGATTTGATCTCAACGGGACGGCCCATAGTGTTTTGCGTGCCGCCGTGATAGATGGGTCCGTCCAGGAGGATCTCCAGCGCTGCACTGAACGATGCGGTCCCTGTACGCGAGAGACCCGCTCCAATTACTTGGAGCTGGGTGCCCGGTTTGGGGACGGATGCTTGCTGGCCCATTGTTGTAGTTATGGGAAGAACCACTCGGCGGCAATAGTGAATGGCTTTGTAGGAGGGGTGAAGCAACGAAACAATGAATGGATACATGCGGGAATTAAATATGGTCTACAGCTGTCGTACCCACATACCGATAAAAGTAGTTAGAACCGGCAATGCTACTAGTGTTGAGTAGTGCTGACATGAGGCCATTAACGCGTGTTATAGAGCAGGGATGTATTTGTATGTAAGACACCGGTAACAATGGTAATATATCAACCGTCCAACTAGCATGCTCGAGCGAGTTGGGCCGGGGCAAGGTAGAGGGAAACGGTGCACTCGCTAAGCTATTCGCTAAGCCATATGTAGCTGCCAGAGTGGAGACCTCCGCGATTGCCTGTAATTTGGGCAGCATGGCTGTCCCAGCATCAACGGTTGAAGTGCGGCCTCCTTCCCTCGGTGGATATCGAGCACACTTGTAAGATCTTGGGATCCTAGAGATGATACTGCGGAGCCCCAATGACGCCAGAGTAAGTACGAGCCGTCACTGACCTTCTCAATACAGTGGTCTTGGACAACTTCCCCTTCATTTCTCGTTCCTGGAAGTTCAAAGCTGCGAGCTCAATGGCCGTGTGAACCCTCTCTCCAACTTCCAAGCTCCATGGACAAGACGCAATGCGCTCCAATCCAAAAGGCGCATAGCCAGTGACCTCCGCAGAATTTCTTAGTAGTCTACGTCCGCATACTGCACCTTAAGCAATTGGACCAATATCTCCAGAACATCGGGGATGCCATAGCTGGCCATGAGATGAAGGCCGGTCTCGCTCAAAATACTGTGGTACACTATTTTAGGACCAAAATCAGGGCGTCTGTGAACAGCATCACTGAATATTGGGGGGGGGGGGGGCGCACGACTCGTGAGACTGACAACGTTTATATTGATAATGCGACAAGGAAAGAAAGAGCGAGAAAGAGGTCGACAATAGGAAAATGTATGAAGGAAAGGATCAATAAGTCCAAGGAGAGTGTTGACTTGGTACGAAAGCTGACATGTATTATACTGTAACATTGTTTCCATGCGTCATATAGCGGGGAGGATTGTCAACATTGACTGCTATTAACCTCCATCTCTCTGAAATCCTTGTTGAGGCTGGCATTTGTGGAAACCTCCCAGTCGACGCTATACACGGCCCTGTATAGCGTTACTGCCTAAATCCCCAGAAGAGCGGCTATTATGGTCCTCCTATTCCCGATCTCCTCACGCTTCAAACCTTTCCTTATCATTTCCTCAGCTATACTCTGCCCGGCCAGTGGTCTTATTGGTCTCTCTAATACTATGTCGCAGTCTGAAACGCAGCTGCTGTCAAGATCACCAGGCAGCACCGATGAAGAGGAGGGAAGGACAAAATTCCCGTACCCTTAGGGTCTGCCGCTGGTTGTCGTCATGTTCTCCCTTTTGTTGGGGACGTTTTTGATGGTTCTGTCCAACTCCATAATCTCAGTGGTTACTCCTCGAATCTCTACCGACTTTCATGCTGTAGATGAGGTGGGCTGAGCCAACACCATATATGCGTCGCGATTTACTAGCGAGCCGTTGTCTAAATGACCGCAGCTGGTTGCAGAAACAGCGCAAATCTTTATATTATTGGGTTGTTTCCAGAACCCCAAGTCGAGCCACTCCCATCTACTAAAATCCTCCGAAAGTCGTTGCCACGGAAGACGGGCTTCAAAGTATTATGGTTTAAAGAATTGGGAGTTCCACTATACACAGCTTAGGTGGCAAGTGTATGGTAGGATGTATGTTTCCCGTTAAAGCGGCTATTTGTGGATAGAGAAGATCATTTCCCCAAAAATAAGAAACCACTAAGGGGTTTCTTGCAGATTACAGTTCGGGACAGCCAAAGTCTTTGAGCTTGAGATTAGGTCACATAATACATAGTCTCTGGCATAGGAAATCTCAAAAGTCCAGACCGTAGAATTTGAAATTTAAAGGCTTCGGGATCCGCGGGTCCGAGTAGCCATCTGCTGGTGGATCACCCAACCCTAATTCAATTTAACATTAGAAATATGCCGCCCCGACAGAATGGGAAGCTCCGATTGTGTGGGACGCCAAGTCCAAGCCTTATCTGCAGCCGCGATTATCGTGAAAGATAAATATTATACTTTGGCCAACGACGTCATGGTCGTCGGTAAGTGCCTCGAGCATTTGTCTATAAGATCACGATGGCCCGCCTCGGTTTATAGGGCTCCAATCTCATACTTGATATCGCCCATTTGTCTCTCAAATCGCCTAGGATAATCCTCAAACGGCTTGTCTCATCTCGCACTATGCCTCGGGGAAATCGTGCAGAAGTGATTGTTATTGGCGCTGGCCTGGCAGGTCTCACAGCTGCTGCAGAATTAAATCGTCAAGGCATTGATGTCATTGTACTGGAAGCATCATCTCGGATCGGTGGAAGAGTGAATTCCGCTACTACCAGCCTCGGGTCACACCTGGATCTTGGGGGACAATGGATTGGCCACGGACATCATCGCATCGCTGCTCTGGTAAACAAGGCGAAGGGGACACAATTCCAGACCTTCACACGCGGTCTGCCGACGGTTGCTCGCGACGGTCGCACCGTGTCTCTCTATTCACCCTCTATAATTCTCTCGATGATTTACCTCGCCTTGTTCGAGCTGGTCAGCCGGATGTACGTGCCTCAAAGTTGGATCGATGTCACTGTGGACAAAGCCATTGAAACCTTGGTCCCCTTGGAAATTGCCCGACAATTCCTTCGTCTCCTCATTGCAGTATCTTCTACCGCTGAATTGGGTGAGGTGTCGGTCTACAACTTTGCAAAGGCGATACCTCTATCGGGAGGGCTCTCGACGATGTTAGGGACACGGGGTGGGGCTCAAGACACGTTGGTGGTGGAATCTATGAGTATCACGACATCTATGTTGGCCAGCGAGGTCTCTGCCAACATTCTAACCGACATGCCGATCACCAGTGTGTCCCAAAATCACAACGATAACGTGATGGTGCGTACAGCGTCAGGCAGAGAATTTCACGCGAGGAAAGTCATTATCACGGTTCCCCCACCAATGTTGAAGAACATCACATTCGATCCGCCGATGCCCCTGGAACGCAAAGCACTGCAGGAAAACACCCGCATGGGCGTTGTCTACAAAGCGATAGCGGTCTTTGAACAGCCCTTTTGGCGCGACGGATTGGGCGGAGAATTCTTGATACTGGATGATCCTGCGTGCGGCGCCTTTGACACTTCATCACCGGGAGGCCCTGGTCACTTGTGCTTCCTCGTCGCCGGCACCCCGGCACGCCAGCTTGACATGCTGGATTCCAATGCACGCCGTGACTTGCTGTTGAGTCGACTTGCGCCACATCTCGGGCATCGAGTCCTCCAGCCTGTGGATTGGCACGAAAAAGCCTGGCATTCGGACGAGCACTGCGGTGGCGGGTATCTAGGATATGCGATTGTTGGCACCACGGAGGGTATTCTGCCCATGCCTCATGAGCCAACGAACAATATACACTGGGCGGGAACAGAGACGGCGGAAGAGCATCCTGGATATCTCGAAGGAGCGCTGCAGTCTGGCGAGCGTGCCGCCGGTGAAGTCGCTCGCGCGCTTGGTAAAGTGCACAGTATCAAATAGGGCGTGGCAGATTCTGCCCAGCCCCAGAGAGAGGGTGGCAGGCATATATATGAAGGGGGCATACCACCTTCGAGGTTTCACATTCGCGTTATGTTCTACCGATCGACAGGGACATGCAACTCAAAATCGTTGTTCTATTCCTTCGCTAATTTTAATATAGTGTATTTTATCTTCTTCGTCTTATTCTGAACACCTATGGAGTGTAAAATAGTTTCATTTGTACATGCAGTTCCCTTTCCATCGTTTCCACCGAGGTTCTGAAACTTCCGCGAACCATTCTATCAACCCTCACATAAACTCTAGCCATCCACTCCTTAGTTCCTGCACTGATTTTGTGTTATGGCCTACACTTCCATTATTTTCCTGGAATCTGACCAGCTACGGTCCCCATGGCTCATCAACACAGGGGCGTTATGATCTAGACGAGAGACAACGAGTCGAAAATAGAGCTTAGAGCCTAGACTTAGCGAGGTTCGGGGCGAGTGCTAGATCTTGAACCCGAACCCGACCCGATGCCAACTCTAAATTTATATGGAGAGTAATGTGTGTAGATGCCAGTTTGAATAGGAATATTTCGTGATTTCGCTGCTGGCTACGAGTCAGTTCTTCGGAACGCGTCGCCAAACAACCACTTGTTCCCCATCGGAACTTATTAACGAGCTTTTTTCCCATGCGAAATGCCCCAACTTGGGCAGCAACATCCGCCAAATATACCAATAAACCCCACCGAGGCAAAGTAGCAATGTTCCAGTGAGCGGCGTAAGCCACACTGGTAAGCTGGTGCGACCATTCACTGGGGCCACAAACGGTGACACAATAAGGAATACCTGCGACGCTAAAAAGACAAAAGCCACGCTGGTCCAGACTTTGAAGGCACGAGGGGGGTATGCCACACGTTTCCGGATAATGAATAGGCCACACACGACGAAGAACTGAATCACCGCAACAGCCCACTGTCCTACGTCAAGTAGGAAGTTATATGCCTCCCCTGCGGTATAAAGTGAGTTAACCCGGGGTTTGCCATCCATCAGGACAGGGGCTTACCAAAAGGAACAGCGATGATCATGACACACGATGAGAGAAACACCAGTGCGAATGCCCCAGCAGGTGAGCCTGAGCTGGATCTGCCGGAGAAAAACTGAGAAAATGGCAACAGGCCCTCCTGCGCAAAACTGCGTATGACTCGGGACATTGAGAAAGACGCTGTCATAATATTTCCCAGTGATGATAAAGCAGCAAGAATGGCAGTGAAGCGTTGCATGTGCTGACCAAAGACCTTACCAATGAATAATGCAACCACCGTGATACCGGTCTCGCTCAGCTCCTTTGGTGTTGCTGCAACGAAGAAAACTGCATTCACCAAGACATATAGAATCCCTACCGAGCCGACTCCCAAGACGCCTGCTACCTTAAGTGTGCGGCGTGGGTCTTTCACCTCGTCCAGGACATACATTGCATTGGACCAACCCTGAAAGGTGGCCAGCACTTTAAATAGGGCGACCGTGTAGTCCGAGACGTCGGTAGATGACCCGGCAAACGGGCGTTCATAGCTGATGCCGGGGTGAGCTACATTTGGCGACCCAAAAACGACGAGCCCAAGACCAGTTACAACTATCAAAGCCAGGATAAACAATTTAAGTGAAGCGAGAATATTCTGGCACCTGGTGTAAGCCATGTTGACAGTGGAGAGCATCAAATGATGTGAACGGCCCCTTACCATAAGTTTAACATTCCAGGTTTTCGCACAGATATGCATTGCTGCGACGGTTGCCATGAGAGTGATTGCCATACAGCGTTTCACCCAGTCATTCGTTGTTGCTTGGGTAGCTAAGAGTAAGTTCTCTGCAATGGCAATAGTTCCAATACCTGTGGATTGCATTAGAAAATTGATGACAACAAGGGCAGAGAAGAAATACTGTACATACCGGTGAAGCCAAGAAAGATAACATGCGTTGCGAATATCACGGTCGCAAATAAGTGCGGATGTGGATAGGCAGCTTCGAGGTAGTTCTTCTCCCCGCCATTGTGTGGTAGAAGACTGCCTAGCTCAAGGTATATAAAGAAGCCACAAAATGCTAGAAAATAACCCGCAACCCAGACGACCAGGGATGCACCGGCGCTTCCGGTACTATGTGCTATAGCAGACGGTACAGAGAATATTGCTGTACCGATCATCCGGTTGGTTCTGTGTATTCTTCAGTGAGATGAACAATTCAAAGCCAGTGGTTGCATTGCTGAGTAGGATGCATGGTTGCTTACTGACATCAGAAATGTTGTAGAGAGCAAACCGAGGCGGCGATAAGGCTGCGCCTGGCCAGGAGGAGCAACAGTCTCATGATCAGACGGAAGGATTAGAGGCGCGGCCTCCGTAGAAACTTCGTCATCCGGAACGCTCTCATCATTTTGGTCCGGATGCATATCTTACGTGAGAGCTCGTCTGGGGCTTCTTGCGCGAGTGATATATCAAAGTCTCCAAGAGACCACCTTGCATGGAGCGACCCGATAACTGAATCACGTGTGGGCAGGTGACATGATCTATATCAACCCGTGACTGGAATGTAGTCTGTGTACCCTAAGCAGCACTTTAGAAATAATCTTATGAATTTGATAGTTCCATGATGTACTTCGTACATTAATGTCATGAAGCATATATGTAGAAGGTTAATTACTCCACCCCCACCCGAACTGAACAGAACTGCGCCCCTAGGATCTGAATTTATGCCTGAACGCACGTTATTTTCCATGCAGGACTCTGGAGCCTCATATACGAACATTGTATACATCCGATGTACATGAAAGTCGGGATGGGATTGTGAATCATATTGTGTATTGAAGTGGGCAGAATTAGTTGACTAGCTGCAGGTGAAGAAGCGATCGGCTTGACAAAACAGTGTTAGCAGCCAAGGTAAATAATGAAGGGCCGTAAGAAAACGAATGGATGTGATTGCAAACTATCTAACCCTTTGAATGACTGATATAACAACACTGAATACGCTCTTCGAGCCAAAGTCCAACTTATAATGTTTCAAAGCAAATCAAAGGCCTATATGTAGTGCGAGTAAGCCGACCATGCCAACTGCATCTGGTCGCGAGCTATTTCCCCAATTGGGCGATAGGAGCAGGATGCCTCTATATTCCTAGTTCGCACTAGCAGTCCATTTGGAAACAGTGAAGGTTGCCGGGCCGCCAGTGAACGGCTCAGTTCCGAACTGCAGATCTATAATTCCCTTATTAGTCACTTAGCTTACACGCGTTTTAGGTTTGTGTGTACTTACTGATCAAGTACTGGGAAGAAGCAGGGAAATTTTGCTTGGATGTGAGATAGTCGAAAAATGCCTTGAGGTCTCCGCTGAAGGAGTTTATCGGGGTTGCCGAGACGAAGCTGTACGTCTTTTGCTCGGCGCCAGCAGGGGTGGTGGTGCCGTACCACAGTTCCCAAGTATGGCCTTCGACTGTGATGCTATCAATCTTTGTGCCAATGGGCTGGATAGATCCGTAGCGTGCGAGCCTTGAATGTGGGAATCCCCGACTGGGTCAGCCTATGGAACTTTTTTTACTGCACGCGCAAGGTAGAATAGATCGCTTCAGTGATCGGTTGATACTCACCAAATCATCAGTTCGTAATCACCGCTGTATGTGACATGGTTCTTGTCGGCGGCGGTAAACAGGTCGTATGCCACGTCGGCGTTGACGTTGGTGTTATCCTGTTTCCATTCCACGTCGGTGGGGATACTGCTGACATCGCTCACAAGCTTCTTCTCGAGGTCGACTCCGGAGTTGGAATAGCTTTTCACGCTGTTGTCACCACCACTCCAGGTCCAAGTAGTGTGCCATGCAACACCGGAGCTGGAGATGCTGTCAACGTAGACGCACTGGGAGCCAGTTCCCGAGTCCTTTCCCCAAAGATTGGTGTTCACTGTGTATGGAGGGCTCGAGACTGAGTCGTATTGAGAGCATAGCTCCTGTTGACTGAATGCTGTGGCCACGAGGGTGGCAAGTGCCAAGGAGAGCTTCATGGTAAAAGTATAAGCGGCAGAGCAATCTATCGGGACTAGTAATGTTGCAGGACTGATCGAGAATACAGGACGTGAGCAGCGGGCAACGCTGTTTAAAAGGTACAGAGTTAGCAGGCTGCTGATACCATCAACGTCTTCCACTCCAGGAGTGTACCATATACACGAGTGTTTCACTGGGGATCGATCTTATGATCCACAGGGTTCCGTGTCTGCCGAGCCATCATTCCCATGAGTGAGAATCGTCGAGTATCAGTAATTCTTCTCAGGATCTACAGCCGACGGACTATTCGGACACGGTGTACAGGTCCGATCTACCGGCTAATAGAACTACTTCTTGACTATAATCTGGCACATGTCTCGTCATATTCCTAGCCGTTTGGCGGCAGGGTCTATCTGCTCACATCGGCAGGCAGGCAGGTTTATTTTTACTCGGGCTTCGGCTTCGCCTTCGGATATAGTCCTTCGGCTGGTGATCTCACATCGATGTCCGAATATCTCTGCACTCTTATGTCCGTTAAGTTTTCTTCTAGTGCATCCCAGGCATGACACTATGCAACATGGGTCTTCAGAGGATAGATGGACGGCTGTGGTGTTCTAATTGATAATGCAGACCTTAGGGGACCTGTTTCTTCCGACTATAGGCTATCAACAAACTCTCAGTTGGCTACAATATAGTCCATGTCAAATCATGCTCTATTCATACCCGGTTATAGGGCTTGAATCGTCAGGGACATTCGGCCTGGGTCCACAAAGCCTTAGCCTGGCCCGTAGTACCTTACACACTCCTTACTAATGCGCAGGCCCACACAGTCCATGCAGATCTCTATCGAACTAAACTCAATGGCGACCACTCCGTACCATACACGGTTAGTGTTGGTGCGTTTCAGGCATAACAGGAGATCATAGCTCGTGTTCGGCGATACAATTGATGTTCTAATAGCCGATGGAGGCCAACCCACCTGACTTGGATTGTATCTCAAGACGTTACATCAATTTGGTAGCTCATGCAATCGGAAGCTCCCGGCTAAATCCCATTATATCCTGTCACAGAGGTTGTGGCAGGGTGTATGAACTAGTGCGCGGCAAATAGCCTAAGTCAAGGTCCTTTACCTAAACTTAGCTTCTGCGAAGTAGACCCACCAGGAACAATGATTGAGCCACGACAATATGCCGTTTTGGTACAAGCCGATGCCGACTTATCCCTAGCATCCTCCGACTTAACCGTCAAATGATCTGATGGGTTAAGCTTACGTGTCTTGACAACGGTTTTCTTTTTACGGTGTCATGCTGCGACAGCCCCATGCCGTCCCGTTGCATATACAGTAACGGCAAAAGGAGAGCCGTGAATAGACTAGAGTTTCAAGTGATTTCTGCCGGCCGCCGAGATTCCCAGGTTTGTACATAGTGATGAAGAGGGGACCACTATACCTTCCTAAGAAGGTATAGTGCAGTGTTCTGGCTTGTATGTAGGCGGGAATCTCCATAGCCATAGGAAACAGTTGAGCTATGGAATCCTGCATCTGGACAGCCGCCCATGGATCCAAGGTGTTACTTTTAGAGTTGCTGATGGCTATTCAGGTTCCCCAGCTCACTATTAATTCGGCTCCTGACCACTCTGTCTTATCAGATTGCCCCCTCTGATACCATTCGATCAGTGACCATGTTTCAGTCTGTTTTCCTCCATATCCGCCTCGCCCTTAGTGCCATTAGTACTTACCTCAGCGGCTCGGCCTACAGCACCAATTCTCCGGGGTGCGGTAGGAAACGTACGATTGTCATTATAACTCATTGAATACATAGCTACCATTCTCTACAAAATTTCCCAACACGTATAAGTTCAACAATATACTATCTTGCCTTGGACTCTACTGAAGCAGCAGAGTATAAAAGTATCAACAGGAATAGTCTGTAGCCGTGCTATATTATCCGATAATAACCTTGTTCTTCCTTCTAATAAACGCGTGGCACCGGTGAATACGTGAATACATTAGACACAAACTACTACCAGCTAAGAAGTACCAACGAGCCTTAGTTCAAAAGTCATGGGTGTGTTTAGTCAAGCTTTGATGACTAGTTCAAACCGGCTTTGCGATTGCTTATGATGGCGCCGCTCAGCATAGAAGCTCGGTGGTTTCGGATACCACTTGGAGGTCTTCATGGTGGCTTTAGCTTGGGTTGGAACTCTTATCGTTGTGATGGTCCTATACCATACTTTGTATCTCTTGGTAGTAATACATAGTACATAAATACACTCTTTAGTCTCGTATACAAAACTGCCTACGTAGACAGCACGGCATTTAACGGTAGTCTCTCCATCTAGGTAGGTAATCAACAATGTAATTGTGCTTATCAGTTGTAGGTTGGATCTTTAGAGTATTGTCAGGAATAACCATCTGTAAAGCCCGGTAGAGTACCCAGTAAGGGAATTCGCTTAAGTATTGCTCATGGAGGGCGTTTCCTGGCATGTTATACAGTATTGCATAACGGGGACTGAAATACTCCGCAGTTGGCCACATTGTGAAGGGGCTTTGACTCGAATATGGTGGCTCTCTTGGCGATTGAAGCTGATTACAGCTGACCTCATAAGAGAAGAGCCTGGCTCTTTTAATGTCGAAACCCCTGATGGTGTAGTTGGATATCACGTTTGACTGTAATGGAAATTCCCTTGTAATCAAAAGGTCGCTGGCTCGATTCCGGCTCGGGGGAGACAACTTTTTTATTATTGTCGGGTGGCGTTAGTTAGTGGTCATGACTTATCTATAGAACGTGTATTCCGTGGTTCGAATCCTGTGAATATCGCTATCTATCTAATTTTATCGGTTTATCAGCCCAACTGGCCGAATTCACGTTTCACGAGATACAATACCAGTAATAACGCGGAAAGTCGGCCTTATATTCAACCTATCGCCTTTACGCCCTCTACGAAGGGCCATGGATGCGTCTGCTAAAGGTGATTGGCTGGAAGGATAGCTACCCTAGTTGATGTTCTATGTGCTGGCTCTGCTACCAGGAGATTGCTACGAGACGGAGGTATCAAGTTGAACTAATGACCAGATACCTACTTAAGGGTAGCATCATTATGATATGATGTTCCAACATCATGTGGAAGGGATTTCGACGGTCCAGACTAATTGCCAATGATAATTAACTAGTAAGTGTGAACATGAATAAGTCGCACCTGTTGGCCGATTGTGACACGTTCATGGATCATCATTGCATTAGCGTCGGTACAGATATGACCATTGATGATGGTACCAGAGGCCTATCCAGAGACCATACGAGAGAGCTCGAGCCATGACGGGTTAGAACAGGTCTTATCGCAGGGAGTCATCGAAGTAAGAGAGTAGCTGAAAGGTCCGAAGGTTAAAAATACGTGGAACACCATTCTGATTCTCTTGTGAGTTGCTGAGATATGGTCCAGGGGAGCAACGAAGTTTAATCAAATGGGTGAACATCATATTATGTAGAATGTTTTCATGTGAACAAACTACAGGAAAGATGTCAGTCCAGAGATCCGGGTTTATAAGAGGTGTGAAGGTGTAAACTGAATATCAATTTATTGCAAGCAACTTGAGTGGTGTTTAAAAGTCCAGCAATCTCATCAACACATCGATCTACCTTGAATCTACAAAATTATCAATAGTCGCAATGGCTCACCGAATGAGTACAGATGGTGCATCACGCATTCAAGCCTCACAGGTCCGTCCCATCTGCATATGATGGTTTGGAGAATCTCTCACAGTTCAGGCCCACGCCGGTGGGGTATGTCCTCCCAGGGTTTTGCCGCGAGAGCCCAAGCTGCGGGAGGTCGCAATGCGAACGTTGCAGGCCAGGCACAGTCCAAGCCATCGAGCGCGGGGTACACACAGCCGTCTCAATATGGTGCATCTAAATCCTCCCAGGATAGAAGATGAGCTGCCACGTATGGACGTGACAGTGGAACCTTTCTTGTCTGGTTCTTTTTGTTGGCAATCGGGAAATTTGATTGGTTTGGGTATTTCAGACGTACGCCTCATAGAAGGTTGAGGATCTATTAGTTACCAGCTTTTGAATACTTTATTTCGTCGCCGGGACTTCCGTACGGCTTGGACGCAATTGTAGGTTTTGCATACAATGCCAATGTGACTGATTCTCTTGTTCGTCTTCATATTTGGGGCCAGCCCTCGAATCACTAGTGGCAAACCTTTTGATCAAGATTACTTTATGGCGTTCATCATTGTTTCGAGGTTGAGCGAGGTGCTTGGCTTCTCATCATGTTAAGCTCTCTCACAAATCGGCCTACGGAGTTAGTTTGAAAGCATCCATCCCACGGGTTCACTGACCTGCAATTGCCCAACGCTTGCTAGCGCGTTCTAAAGACCCTATGACTGGTTCTAGAACGTTTGTATGACATTTATGCTCAAAATCAAGGTTTATTGCCACTGCACCCGCTTTTGAGAGCAACAGTACGGCCGCCAAAGGCATCCTTTCGACATTGAGGATGTCGTCCATACAAACAATGTCACGGGTAAAATTGAGAGCCGTTTCCATAGCAGCGATGGACGCATCGTGGAACATTGGAGGGATACTTTCGTGGCGGAGAGATGCAGACGCTGTTTCGTGTAGTTCAAGTAGGGCCCTGTAGGATTCAGCAGATAGTCATGAACATCTTGTAAGAAACGCACAGCAGAAGGAGAACAATAGCTCTGTAACGAGGCTCCCAGTCGGCCCCAGAAATGTTCAGGGTGTCCTGTAATGTCTTTTGTATCGCTGTATCAAGCTCCCAGACATCTTCGTCTAGCAATCTCCCAGCCCTATTCGGCCAATCTCGTGCCAGGGTTACGACTCTGTCCAAAAGAGACATGGCCTGAATTTGCTGCGCAAAACAACCAAGCATCTCAGTTGGTGTAACGGAAAGTCTAGGAACACCTGAGAGCCAGCTCGCAGCATCAGTATGCTCGCCCCATATATCATCGTTGATAGGGAGTACATCACCAACACGGGCGGAATGAGTGAGTGGTATACGGTCTGCCGTGTTGTCTGAGTAATACACAAGCCGATCAAGTAGATAAGTCGCCCACCACACACGCTTGCTCTCTTCCCCATGGCTTGTGTTGATATTCGGTAGTTTATACCGGCCAACGGCGTAGCCTAAGCTAGCGCAAGTCGCAAGCGTTAAATACGCGTTGGAAAGGTGGCCACTACCCTGTTCGTACACCGCCAACAACAGGCCCGACTGCAAGGTACAGAGTGAGTCGCGACGAAAGGTTTGAATAAGCGAGAATATAAATCTACAGCTTTCATATAGGTCTTGCACTACTGTGTAATCAAGCATGAAAGCAGTGATTGGCGGGTTGGAAAGCAAGATATTGAGCACAAGAGATGCCAGTTCGGCAGACGGACGCTGGCGTAGAGATGGAACCCGTTGTGTCAGAGATCTGGGATGAATAATAGGTAACCAGGGATGGATACACTTGAAATGGCAGCCCACAATATCTTCCAGTTCGCAACTGAACCTATCAAGTATGTGGAACAGATGCGAGGTACAATACCGATCAATGGCGGGTGTATCGGTCCCAGGCAGATGAGACCAGCAAAGTGGTTCCAAGGACAGTCGACTTGATTCTCCACCACCAAGCCTAGAATTGCTCCGATCATATCCCACATGCATTCCACCATCACAGGAGCTATACTGGCATGGAACGTTGTTTCTTGTTTTGCATCAGTATCGCTGTCTTGTGGCATGCGGGGTGAACACTACTTAGCACAACGCCCACACGCTGGAGTCAACCTGTCGCATTTGCGCTTTTGGGAGGCACATAAAATGCAGGCATTTGAAGCAAGAGTCACTGTCTGCATCCCCGGCGAATAGCTATTGATAGTAATGTAGTGAGGAGCTAAGAAGTGAACGATGCATGCATGCCCTGCCCTGCCCTGCCCAAGCCCAATCACTGAGGTCAAGCAGACTGACCGCCTGGCAGAATTAACATTCTGGCGCTAGTCCGCTAGCGTCGGAGTAGCGCCTTGGCATCTCTGTCCCGATCTGGAAATCGAAGAAATAATATAACTTATGCATCGTAGCAATCCACATTGCCCAAACAATTTGTCGGCATTCACACGAAACCTCTCCGAGGATGACCAGTTGCTCCATAGCCTGATCCACAGTGAGTTCTCTAGCGAGGGTAGTCTCGGACCTCTCAAGCGCGACCGCCGTCCTTGGCGAAGATATATAAACACGGCCTCCACGGTAGGCCGACTTGAGAAATATATGGAGTGCATTCTATTCCCATGATTTGGATCTGCTCCCTTGCCTACTGAGATGGGCTCACCAACCGTTTTTCGCGCTCCATCACTCTTCCTCTCCCACGGGACTGGTCCCTTCCCTCTCCTAGATCCGGAACAAGAGTCCTATCGCCAAGTGGTTCGCAAACATGCGAGCAAGCTCGACGGTGTGAAGGGCATCCTGCTGTTTTCCGCTCACTGGGAAACAGAGGAGCCTCAAATCACCGCCTCCAACAATCCCGGGATCTATTACGATTACGAGGATATGCGTGACATGCTCCCACCAGCTGCATTTGAGTTCCAATATGCAGCATCTGGCAACGCAAAGTTGGCCGCCGAGGTTGCGAACCGTCTCCGGGATTGCGGGTTCAAACCGATCTTGAATTACCAACGCGGGTTTGATCACTCTGTTTACGTGCCGATGACTCTGCTACGGCCTCAGGGTGATATTCCCATCGTCCAGATGTCGATCCTCAAAGGGCAAGATGAGGAAGACTCGACCCGGAAGAACATCAAGCTGGGACAGGCGGTCGAATGCTTCCGGGATGCGGGATATGCCGTGATCGGGAGTGGGGGCTCCTATCATGATTTCCGTGCAATAGCTAACGCATTTTTCTCCAATACGCCCATTCCCGAAGGGCCTGACAAATTCGAGGACTTCTTGCTCTCGGCAGCAACCATTGCCGATCCAGTGCAGAGGGAGAGGGAACTGCTTGGGTGGAGGAGACATTCCGCCAGTACCATTGCCCATCCAGTGGGCGAGGCGGAACATTTGATGCCATTCATGGTTGTAGCTGGGAGTGGTGGGGCTACAGCAGGAGTTCGATTCGACATGTTTGTATATCGGGGTGCGCCGATGAGCTTCTACAGTTGGTGAACAGTGCTATAAGTTGTGTCCTAGGTTAGGCTCTGAGTTGATTCCGTTGGCCTATAACAAGATAGCTTCAGAGTACGGAATGTCAGTAAAGTGCTATGAGTGAGAGACTAGTTATGGGGTGTTGCAAACAATGGTCTGTAGGACCGACAGAACAGCCTGGATAATTGTACAAGCATTGCCACGGCACACACTTGCTATCGATATGTGGTATACTCAGGAATTTGTTTAGATAGACTGTTCTAGCCTAATTATCTTTTCCGGTCTCCCCTAGCCCATCGTCGGTCAATAAGACACGATTGTGAATCGAATGAAACCCCTAAGAACTGCTAGTCTCGATAGTTCACAAAGGGGACGGTGCGAAACCCGGCAAAAACCAAATTCGTTACGTATTAGTGCTTAGGTATAGCCTAAAACGGCCACTCAGCATGGTGATAAAGGGATCTTGTTGGTATATAGAAGGCCACAATTATAGTGTGGCTTAGACGTTAAAGACTTGCCCCGCAGTGATAACAAAGCATATGATCGCACCTCTACTTTCGCCCCCAACTTCTGATGCTACCACTCTCATTCCAATGAATACAACCCTTTCTCCTAACTCTGCCTGCGACGCGAGGATCTTTATTATCAAAAGCTTGGTCACTGTGTCACTTTAGCCATGAAACCAACCGTGGTGCTCGTGCCAGGTGCCTGGCTTGTTCCCGAGTTCTACAAGCCCTTCCTAGAAGCAGTTCAGGCAGCGGGGTTCTCAACACGTACAGCCGAGCTGCCATCTTTGAATCCAGCTGATCCGACCGCGGTGGATTGTATGGCGGACGCTGCGAGTATCCGACGTCTGGTGTGCTCCCTTGTGGAAGACGAGGGTCGCGATGTGGTGCTAGTGATGCATTCATACGCAAGTATGCCGGGAGGTGCCGCTGCCACAGGGCTCTCAAAGTCCGAGAGAGTCAAACAGGGGCAGAAAGGAGGGGTGTTGGGATTGGTGTGTATGGGCGCATTTTTGGTTCCCGAGGGCGTCAGTTGTGCTGGGACGCAAGGTGGCAATCTACCATCGTGGATTCTATTGGATCAGGTTTGTTCGCAGTTCGACGATAGTGATTATCCAGGATCTAACCTGAGAAATATAGCCTTCTGTTGGCCTCAATGTGCCTGATCAGCCAGAGAAGACCTTCGCTGCAGATGTCAGTGAGGAGCTGGCGCTGGCGCTAAGCAGTGTGATCAAGCCGCATGCCAGCCTCGCCTTTTTCTCAGCCCAGCCCAGCCCTGCATGGGTGGACCCCACATTTACCGGGAGGCTGGCATATGTAGTGACCGCCGACGATTTGGCGGTCCCCAAGGTCGCCCAGTATGGCATGATATCGGGCACCGGTCAGCAATGGCATGTGCGGGAAATCGAGAGCAGCCATTGCGCGCCGTTCATCACCAAAGTGGCGGAAAGTGTGGAGATTTTGCAGGAATTCATTCATACATTTGAGAGCCTTTGAGCTAGGTCACCCAGCCTCCGACATAACCTGTCAACGCGAACATGTAACCTATGCTACGTCAATGTCGCATTGCATACAACCCAATCGTATAGTCACGGTTTTGGTTTATTCACATGTTTATGGCACTGTGCGATCCAATTAAATACTACTACTGAGTTTCTTAACTCTTATACTATACTCTTAGTATAAGATTCCAGCTGCAGTGTGATAACTTGACCTTGGACCAACGCAATTGAGTACCTAGATCTGAAGGCAATGTGATCGCCGTTTGCTTTCAAACATCGACAAGACATGATCAAGACATAACCAATTGCAATGGCGAACAGATCCATCTAGAACCGGATTTATGTGATTCCATGGCAGGTTGCGCCAACGCCAATTCTGGGCTCACTAGCAGAATGGGTATCCCGGCGCACGAAGCAAGACAAAGAAAGACACTCAACATGAACGGTAGCAGTGCAGGACTAATAACATAAAGGAAATGGGTAACAAAAACATGTGTTGGCCAGGGGATAAAGGAGAAGAGCGTCGCGCAACTGAGATATAAATACTGACCTTCTCCCTACTGAGCATAGTACTGATCAAATACCAGAACTCTCAACTCTAGCTTGTTCTATACCTCCTGAATATACTCCAAGATGCATTTCTCAATCGGCATGCATATCCTCTTGGCCTTTTTGTTATCCCTTGCGCAGCTGGCTTCTAGCCAAGGCACTGTCGGCTGTGACATCCCACCCGCTATTATCACCAACTTTATCTGGCACAATAGTACTCACAATTGCGGGTGCGATGATGGTGGTTGCCTGCCAACGGGTATTCATGGCGGTCCCGGCTGTGGTCCACCAGATACGGTAGAAGCAACATTCTCTCAGCAATCTCCAACATACAATGACACGTTGACCTGCGGCGCATCCGACCCTGGTAGTGTTCCTGCTCGACCGATCCCCGGGGGGCCCTTCAACTGTCGATCACTTGGACGACGCTTTTTCCTAACAGTGGATGGCACCGAAGGAACACTCACCTATGTGGAGCCTAATTTTATTTGGTGAGTACCTTACACTATACCTCAGCTGCATCTTTACCACGATAACTAATGCTCTACATATCATCAGCCCGAAAGGCAGGACACAAGTTACTTATGTCGGATCATTCCAGATGGACTGTGTATATGACAGGTTTCGGAATTCGACTTGTGTGCAGAGTGAACCCGGCTTTCAACTTCAACCGGACGAAGTCGTGGGTACCAATTGAGCTTTGTACACCGTTACGAGGTAATGAGCGTTTGTCATTGGTTTTCATACTATTGTAAATAGATTATGCGCATCCTACAATGACTATGAAGCGATAGGGGGAATAAAAATGGGTTTGTCTCAGATAAAACCTAGCTGCGATACTTCACCTTCCCAACTCCGTAAGTGAAGATAAAGTCCATACACGGTTCCATTAGACACTCTTTGGTTTGCTTAGTTCTTTCGCTTTTAAACCTTCAGGCCTTCTCGATGGTGGAGTCTAAGCAGCTTCTCAAGTTTCGCGGGATACTACAGATCCTCCCCTACGCAGGAGACTATCACCTTCAACTCCGATCAATACACTGCCGACACTATCCCGCATTTTCTATCCGAGTTATAGTAGATCGCAAGGTCCTTGGAAAAAATTAAATGGATTGAGTTTGGGATTCCTTTTTTGTTACGACCCTGTTGCATCCCAAATGATGTTTCCTCTCGCATGGTTGCTCTCAATATAAAAATCTCCAGACCATAGCTGGCCTGGCCAGGAAGCCAAGCAAGGATTATGCACTAGAAGCCAATTGTTATCCATTGTTAAGGTAGGTAGCTCGCTTACATTCATCAAGGTGGTTCAACCATAACGGGATATAGACTTGGGGATCAAGTCTGGTTCAGGTGTGATTGAAGGTCATCTTTGGTGCATAGTATCGTGAAAGCAGCTAAATATCTTCATTACAGCATCATGATGATATTACCGTTTAATTTAATCTGAGATGGCGTAGGTGTCTGTCACACCACTTGAGCCGGTGGGTGGAACCAAGGGGGGGATCGCTGAGAGCACTATGCACGAGATATCGCTCCGTGAAATTCTGATAAATTACAACCCTATAAGGTTACGGCCGACAGCATGAGTTGCAAATCAAATGTAAAGGTGCTAGTATTAAACTATTTTTGGTTTGGCGATATTCCAGCATCAGCCATGGTACCAAGGGTCTCATTGTGGGTAACCATAGAAACTCCGACATGTAGTCTCCTGACCTTCAGCGGCATGGCCAAGGAATGTCAAGCCTCACACTACATGGTATACGCAAGCATCCATTAGAGGTTATTTATTCCAATGTGCTCTAGCCTACTATGTCACAATGGATGTATCGGCTCTCAGGCCTGGTCGTCATATGACAGCTCCCCAGGGCTATATAGTCTTCGTGCCACGTAATGTTAATACAATAGCTGCACTGACTCAGCTCTTAATGCTACAATGAAGACAGCCGCTCAGGGAAGAAATCCACTCAAAATGCCCCACAAAGAGAGTTTCACTCGACGAGACCCTGGCAATGTACAGGCCTGGCTGATTGGCGGCGGCATCGCGTCGCTCGCAGCCGCTGCTCACTTGATCATAGATGCCAAGGTTCCAGCGAAGAATATCCATCTACTGGACGAGCATAAACACGCTGGCGGGGCGATGCAGAGCTCCGGTGATGCAGAAAATGGCTATCTGCTACGTACTGCCTGTCTTCCATACTTTCATGACATCTGTGTCCAGGACCTTCTATCGTACGTGCCCGATCCCGCGAGCCCTGATCGATCCATCATGGATGCAGTGCAAGCCTCTGAGAAGACGGAACAGTTTAAGCCCGCTGCGCCAACTCGGCTCCTAGAAAACCCCGCGACGGGCCCCGAAAGGGTTGATGACCGGCAGTTCCATTTGGGTATCAAACACCGATGGGATCTCATTAAGCTCATGGTTGAAGGTGAGAAAGCGGTCGCCGACAAGACTATCAAAGATCTTTTTGATGGGACCTTCTTTAATTCAAAGTTCTGGGCGCTGTGGTCTACAACGTGAGCCGGCCCTACCTTTCTCGTTTCACTGACTTAGCTATATTAACTCCTCATAGCTTCGCATTGAAACCCGAACATGGAGCCGTCGAGTTCCAGAGGCACATACGCAAATACCTTGAAAAGATCAAAGACTTCAATAACGTCAGCGCTTTGGACCGCTCCCAGTACACTCTCCATGAATCCGTCATTCTACCCTTGGCTTCGTATCTCGAGAAGGAGGGCGTCGACTTCCGCTTCAACGCTAAAGTAACTGATCTGGTCATGTACCCAGAGGGCGACCCCACGACCATTTCTGAAATCAAACTCGTACACGATGATAACAGCCCGTCGCTCGTGACGATTGACCCCATGGACATTGTCATCGTCACGCTTGGCTCAATCAGTTCGGGATCCGTGGTCGGATCCAACAATGCACCACCCACATGGGAGACATCTCCAGAGCTTACCGTCATGGAGGACTGGGCCTTATGGAACAAGGTTTCTAAGATGTCTACCAGAAAATTCGGTGATCCCGAGCCCTTCCGATCTTATATTAAAGATTCCAAGGTCGAAACATTCACTATCACTTTGAAAGATTCCCCATTCCTCGATGTCTATCAAGGTATAACTCATAACCCACCGGGCTCCGCTGCCTTGGTATCCTTCGTTGGCAGCAACTGGAACTTGAGTCTCAGCGTGCCTAGTCAGCCCGTCTTCGCTAACCAGCCGGACAACGTTCACGTTGTCTGGGGATACGGCACAGAGCCTGAGAGGCCGGGAAATTTTGTGCAGAAGGCGATGCAGGATTGCAGCGGGGCAGAGATACTGACAGAGCTGCTTGGCCACTTGGGTAACCCTTCGGAAAACATTCACTCCACCGCCACTACTATCCCCTGCATCTTCCCACTGGCCACGGCATCATTGCTTAAACGATCTCACTTTGACCGTCCGGAGGTAATTCCCCATAATACCACGAATATGGCGTTCGTGGGTCAGTTCGTGGAGATCCCGCACGATACGACTTTCAGCATGGAATATAGCGTGCGTGGTGCTCAGATGGCAGTTTATCATTTGATGGGGCTTTCGAAGAGGCCCCCGCCGGTGAAGACTAACGTGTTGTTGGAAGTGTTTGGATTGCTGGCTTAATAGTCATTCTTTCTAGTCTTTCTGGTCTTTCTGGGGCACTTCTTGGCTATGGCTGCCTATGTTTTCTGTCATATCGCATAATCATTAATATCCTTGGCGTACCCATAGTGTCAGGCGTGTCTTTCTTGTCTGTTCTCCCTCTTCTTTCCTCCTGTACTTTCCGTGATGCAGGTGCTTTTCATGTAAGCGTCAAGAATGGAACATTGTTTAAGTTGTTATGAGGGCAGATTCCGACGGGCCGATTAGAAAACCACGGCTGTCAGATGACCTCTCCGACTACATCCTCCTGTAAGAAACAGAGCATGGTTCCACTCCTCCCATACGAAGTAGCAATATAATAACCCAAACTGCTACCATGGGCATTACCTGACTCTATCTCTACGATGGTTTAGATCATAAGAATGCATGTTTGGCCGAGCTACCCATACTATGCCCCGCACTAGGAGTACTCTACCTCAGCCCACATACAATAAATAACCACAATCCACCCTTTATTTCTAAGATATCGGACAATATCTCCCCTTCTTCTTCTTCTTCTTCCTCTCAATCCCCATACAAATATCACCATGCTATCCACATTCTGGCCACACCCAGAATACGCCGAAGACCAACCCTTCCCCAAACTCATCCTCACCGGCCACGTCCTCGACCGCAGCTTCCAAGCCGGCGCATTGCTAGGAAGCACCACCGGGCTCGCCCGAGTATGGCTGCTAGCCTACCAACCAACCTTAAATAGCAAGTTCTACACCAGATTCATTGTGCCTCCAGGATCCACCCCGGCTACTCTTCTAATGCGGTCAACCGGTACCGGCGCCGTCATAGGTCTGGGAGCCATGGCCGTTATGCTACCGTACTACCTGGCCAAATGGGAGCCGATCGAATGGCAGGATCGCAGTTGGCGACTGCTTGAGAACCGGGGGCAGGTGGAAGTGGATACCTGGGGGTTTGCGGGGGCGGTGCTGGGGTTGACGGGGTTGGTGGTTATGGCGCGGCGGAACGGGAGGATGTTTCAATTGACGGGCCATGAGGAGGTTTCTTCTCTGGTTCTGCTTCGGGCTCTGGGGTGGAGGAATGCGTTTGCTAGTGCTGGCATGGGGAGTTTGTCGGGGGTGTTGGGGTATTTGGGCTGGAGGTATGGGATTATGGGTGGGAAGCGATGATTCTGCCTATGCTCTTGCTTCCTCTACTTTGTCTGTTGAGTTTTCTCGTTTGACTATGAAATGTAAATGTTTCTATATCGTGTATTCAGAGTATCATTGCGAGATTGAGATCGCTCTACTGTCTAAGGCTTCCGATATAGCAGTGACGTCACCGTCCTCTCGAAACGGGAAAACAGACTAGCCGAGTTCAGCTTAGTGCTATTGCACTTCCCGGGCCAATGGGCGCTGTTCATTATAGTATTTACCCCCGTCAACTTGGCAACCTCAGAATACCATCCCTCTACACTTTCACCGATCGACTATCTGCTAAGAGCAGCTCAAGAATGGGTCCCACAATCGCCTCGTCATACCCCAGCGCGGTCAAGCGTCCAATCGTCACATTGAGCGGCCGGTCCTGAAACCCCTCCACCACATCCCACAACATGTTCTTCATCCGGAACTCGATCTGATAGTCCCTAATCAATTCCCCGAGACGTGGAATGTGGTCTATGACGCCGACTTGGGGGCTTGGCCCCAGTTCGATAGTGATATAGTAAGTTTCATTAGGCGTGGACGGACACTTGACATGTAAGCCGGGTCTTTGCGGATAACACTCGAGCCATACAGTGGCATCATCGGTTCGGTCAAATCCATTAATCAATACCCTGAGGCTTTTTGGCACAGAGGTAAAGGCAAGGAAGTTGAATGTCCACAGTCTTCCGGTGACCTCGGCAGTAAGTCTACCGTCTGTCTGTATATACCGGACGGTGGAGACCTGCCTTTCGACCGCACCAGCACTCTCTTGCTGTCTATTGTCACGGCTATCTTCGAGCACCTCCGTATAACCATCTTTGCCAACCAGGATAAGAACTTCGAAGGCATCCGGGTTGAGGCAGCCGTTCTGTGAGGAAGCGTCCAGGGGGATAATTGATCCCTCGTGGGCCAGAACAGGGTAGTCCTCCAATTTGCGATATAAGGTTAATGCGCGATCCCCGTCGTAAACTGTACCAGTGAAGATATCAACGTGTAATCCACGGGGCGGCAGCCAGGCTTTCACCGATGCCAGATTAGTCCGCTTGTCCCGTGGCTGCACAATTGGAGCGACTACCAGCTCAGACCCGAAAAAGAATTGGTTTGTCACGGAGTAGGCTTCTTCACGCCCTGGGTACTCCCAGTACATGGGCTGTACAAGGGGCTCGTCCTCGTCTGCGCCGATCAGGTTCCGTGTATAGAGGAATGGCACCAGTCTGTGCCGGAAGTTCAAAAATTTCGACATAACAGACCCGCACTCGGTGCGATAGAGCCATGGCTCTTTAGACATCCACCGTGATGATGTTGAATGTAGCCGCATGATGGGTGAAAAGACTCCCAGCTGCACCCATCGGGTGACAAGCTCGTCGTCACGGCCACCGTGAATGTGGCCGCCAATATCGTGGCTCCACCACCCGTACCCAATATTCGATGCAGTCGCCGTAAACTCTGGTTGAAATTCGAGTGAGGCCCAGGTCACCACCGTGTCTCCGGAGAACCCAAGGGGATATCGGTGACTTCCGGGGCCAGCATATCGGGAGAGGATGAGCGGGATCTTGCCATCCCGTCCATGATCGAGATAAGCGAAATGATTCAGCATCCACAAGGGGTCAATTCCAGGGATTTTTGAGTACGGCCCCTGTTGCCAATCAATCCACCAAAAGTCGCATGCTACAGCTTCAAGGTTTCGGTGAAGAATATTGAGGTAAGCATCCATGAACTTCGGGTCGGTTGAATCAAACAGTATCGGGGTTTTGTGTTTCGTGTCATGACCCAGGAACTTTGCCATCTCCTCGTAAGAATCCTCGTGGGAGTGAATCCCATCGTGGGGATGGTCATTCAACGTTATCTTCAGGTTGCGCTTGTGGAGTTCACGGGCGAACAATGCCGGGTCGGGAAACAGCTCTTTATTCCATGTATAACCCGTCCAGCCAGCGTGTGGCACTCGCTCGTCTGACACTAAATGCCAATCCATGTCGAGAACGGCTACAGACATCGGGATCTCCAGGTCGTGGAACCTATCCATGAGCTGGAGATACTCCTCCTGTCGATACGGATAGTACCGACTCCACCAGTTGCCTAAAGCGTATCGAGGTACGACTGGCTGTTTGCCAGATACAGCATAAAATGCTTTTATCGCTGCCTTATAATCGCGACCGTAGGCGAAGAGGTATCCATCTACCCGGTCTCCGGCTGGCCGGCTCGCGACAAAGCCCTGTCCATCAAAGAGCATGGACTCGGAGTCATCGATCACAGCGAAGCCTGCTTTCGACAGGACTCCATCTCCCATATCACATCGGCCATCGCATAGATCTAATGTCCTTGCTGTTCCTCCTAAGTTGAGCGTAGACGGAGTTCCAAATCGCCATTCGGTTCCGTACTTGGTCGTTTTCGCGCTCAGATGAGCAACCATCCCATTGGGGCTGAATCTCTTCTTATCATAGCTCAAGTGAAAGTGCTCCGTGATGATTTCTAACCCGTCGTTGTCAATTATCCTAAACTCTGGTACTGGAAGGTCACGGTTGATGGCAAAAGTGGAAGCTCGATCTTCAAACTGGCCATCTTCGGCCCATTCAAAACGCAGCAAACGATCTGTAAGAACAGTAAATCGATATTTGGGACCAGAGATTATCGCTTTCAGGTTAGCCTTGGGCTTTGTGGGAAACACGTATTTTTCCATTACGAACTACTTCGAGAGTCTATGAGAAACCCTTGTTCTGTTGGTGAGTAGCTCTCTGATTCTGCATGGCTTTAACTGGGTTTATATCCTGCATAGCACGTGAGACTCCCCGCATTTTGTGCAGCCAGTTTGACGTGTCACGGCGAATTGACCCTCCAACGATTCCGCTACTTTTTCCTCCCTTTGGTTGCACTTCGAAATTGGTACTGAGCAATATTACACAAGGGCGTCTCTAGTTGGCGGGCAGTTCGTTATTTTCCCGTGTCTTGCACTCGGCATCAGACACTCTACCTGTACAGAACTATGTGCCTGTTGCTTGCTGATCACAAATATTCTTTTATAGCTTGACGGTCGTACCTATGTGCTACTCTCTTGCCACTGAAATATGGTACTTATGACTTCATGGCAGAAAGGTGGTTCTAGCTTGCAATCTATACAATGTGGAGGTATCGTCATAAGTACCCTGGTTGACTACGAACTGACCACCACGCCATGTAATGGGGGAGTGAATTCAACTTTGTTTTCTGCCATGTGGATATTCTCCATCTTAAGGTGCCACATATGGACAAAGAATCGACTATAGTGAAAGTCAGGGTACTGTTCATTGACTATTCTCATCAATGCATTCTTATGGGTATACTTTGGTATTTCATTTAGTTGTTCCTGTCGACTTGGCACCACAATAAATTAACAAACGATATGAAACACTTTGAGTCCTTTCAGACCAAGAGGTACAGGACAAAGGGCTAGTTGTAATTCAATGCAAATCAACAGACATGCAATGAACACATAGAGTGTTGTGAAACAGACCATGTGTTGTCTTTTTCAACGTACATGGCTTTCTCCAAAGATTCCAATACTCGAATATACCTCGCTCATCTTAAATCTGGGGAATGTTTCCCTATCAAAGGTCGGTATTCTCTAGTGTCAGCCCTAAGCATATACCGGTAATTTACCGTGTCCTAGAAACAATGCCTGGGGTATTGTCTGGCTGGCTCTTTGTATGTATCATCTTCACGGCGTATCTACACAATGCCAGGACGGCTCCACACCAGAGTTTCGAATTATAAGAAAGAGAGTTAGCGGTATAAAGGAGCCAAACAGAGAGACATAATGCAAAATAATGACATTTCCCAAGGATATTATGATTGCCAAAAGAAAGACTTAACATAATCGAGGTCAACTGCTGAAATAATCCTGGCAGTTTCAATCACACAAACAACGTCTGAGCAGCAGAGTAAACGGGTGTCGCGCTGGACTATATAACATCCCGTGGATCTGTCATCCTATACAAATCTCCTGTGCTTGATTTACAACGTTATCTTTTGATCCTTCCCCAGGTAGTTCCCCACTTCAATAGCTATCTTTTATACAGACACATGCGACATGGATCCAGGCTTCGTTAGAGAGGTGATCCAAAATCAAGCACCAATGCCAAAGGAACGTATCTATACTATCGAGGACATCCGGACGGCTAATGGTGAGTTGAGAGGTGGCGTATCAGCAGTCCTAATGAATAGCTATACACCGGAACAAGAAGTGGTCACGGTCCGAGTCGTCTCGCGTGGTGCAGGGGATAAAGTGTGCGGTCACGAAGATATCAACCTCGATACAGATGGTATTTATATTTCTTGGGTCCTTACTATCTATTCCTCTCGCTTTTCTGTCCCTAATCCCTTGATTATCAGTATTACCGGAGAATAACAAATGCGCAGAACAGGCAAATCTGAGAGCAGCTTCCCGGGAGACCAACCATCCGTATACAACATGCACATATGACTGGGAGGTCTTAAGATCCGGGGTTGATTGGTCCAGTGCACTAGACAAAATAACCCTGACTAAGAGCGGAAATATTGTGAGGGTAGAAGACTGCAAATCGCGGCTTGGTGGATCAAAAAGTACAGTTTATTTCATGAAACTCCTTGAGTACATTATAAAGACATCAGGTCACGACAGCCAGTATGTATATGGTGAGTTGCTTCAATGATTAGTAAAACTCCAATATTTCACTCACTACTCTCTTCAATAGTGCTTCCATATATATACATTCGCCCTTCATCATCCAATATCACCCTGACGGTCGACAGTGGTCCAATGGAAGAGTTACATCAAACAATGAAATGGATTTGCTTGACGTTCCGACCACCGACTGGCCTACCTTGCTTCTCATATGGAAGTCACGCATCAGATGGAAATATCTTCACATTGAAGCCTTTGTCGCCCTTGACAAATAGGACTATTATTGAGTTCTGCCAGGAGCTCTTTGGGAATGCCGTGATAGCTTGTGAGCAAAACACAGGTGTTCCGCAAGTGCGCTTCTTTTACCTGAACATGGCCTTTGGTGATCTGAAAGCGCGCACAGGATGCAACCGTCTCAGAGATTTCCACGGTGGCATTCTTTTTGAGGGCACCCATGGCACGCTGATCCCGCTACGGTATTCAGTGGGTACCAAAGACATCATCTGGCGCTTTCATAAAGGTCAAGTTGAGCAGTGCGAGAATACTAGAGTTCTCAATTGTATTGCAGAGCTACCGGATTGGCCGGGTCGAGACCTCAAAGATCCAAACCGACAAGCCACAGAACTTATAGACGAAAAACGCGTATTGGTGTGTAAATACCGCCCTCACACATCATAATCTCTACCGAGAACAAATCTTGTGCAGTTACCAATGCTCTTATGACTTTTTCCCTACTTTTAGAATTGGACCTACAGGCAATGTATCTTCCACGATTTGCACTATAGGCGCCGTTATGGGGGCTTCTCTAACTTCAGTTGTTTGTTCGTTTCATCTAGATCGCTTTTGTTTGAGTGGTTAAGTATTGGTCTTGCAAACCTTGTCGAGTCATTTATTATCAGTTAGTGATAGGAACCTTAGCACTAGTGATGGTAGTAGCCAAAGGGGTAGCAATTTCGATATTTGTCTCTTCGTATGAATCCGGTTATATTCTAACAATGCTGTGGCCACGTCAAATCGTATAGTGGCTGTAGTTGCCTCCTTTCGTAGATATATTATGGATCTTCAAGATAGGAGAAATACGGGGAAGAGCGCTTTCGCCGGTCAAATGCACAGTCCAGGATGTGCCGTGGGGTATGTCCGATCATACCACTAGCCAAGTTCCAGGCATCGCCACTTATCTATGATGACTGTGCCTATTTCCGGCGGTTTGAAACTAATCAATGTATGTACCGGCGGAACACAAAGGAAAGAGCCTTGCCAGGTAGTTCCCAAGGTATGTTCCGCGATCAACAGTGGTTCATGTCGGCTCATAACCATAAGAGGATACATATGTAAGAGCAATTGCCGGTCACATACAAAGGCAGGGTGCGCTGGCCCTGGATTTTTCAAGAAGCTTGTAGCTTCGTAGAGGTAATATCTCTCCTAGTGCAACAATATAAAGTGTGCAATGGTAGACATCTAGGACGTTAAGAGTCCAACCTTTTCGCATCATCCACACCAGATCCGAATCGCGGGCTCATTAATCAATACCTCAAAGCTTTGTCCCCGAACGCTACTAATACGTTCGGTTTCCCTTGTCATTATCGTTGTCATTGTCATTGTTCCTCTCTTTACTCATCCTCCCACCCCTTCTCTGACAAAGAGTAATCTGAAGGGCTCTCGAAATGAACGCCGGAAGCATGTCTCCATCAACATCAGGGTCTCCCGTGGAGGAGCACACTCCACCCACCGGTGAAACTACGCCCCCTCAACAGTATGACTTGGAATCTGAAGCGCCGACGAGCGTAGACGACCTTTTTCAATTACAAGATGCTCCGTTGAGTCCCCCACCTGGCTCTCAGCAGTTGGGATGGCAAGATCTGCCAAATGTTGGAACGTCATCTCTAAGCCCTCTGGATCATACTATGCCAGGAACACTAGAACCTGAAGAAGCTGCTGATACTTCAGAGCCTCCCCCACCATACGAGGATAACTACCTTGCCTATGAAAGGCAGCTTGAGCTCTGCAAATTTGGTATGTTTCCTTTCATTTTTACCCCTCTTCCCCCGACCGTGCGAATACCTCAAGTCTATATTTAGCAACGCACGGCCTTAAAGTAGAATGAGAACTAACTACGGAGCAGGGCTGGCTCTCGCGAGACTTAGCCCTCCACCCGGCTGGAAGGCCTATTCTTACCGGTTGGAGGGGCCTCATTTCGATATAGACCGTAGATACACCTTCACTGTAACCGGGTGTTATGTGGAGGTACATAGCTGTAAAGATTATGTTTCCCAAGCATTTGGACCGACTGCGCGAGAGCTTTTGGATGTAATCGACTCAGCTATACATAACCCCTGGACTACATACGGTATGGACTCCCTGATCTTCTAAGAACACCGTGACACCTGCAGAATCTAACGATCCCGTACAGCATCTGATATCATCAGATTCATCGCAACACCGGAAGAATCGGCCACGATTACGGTGGTACTCCCACAAGACATACCTGGATTCCATCCCATGATGATGTGGCTTTGCTCTGTCTTCCGCGAGCCAATCCCGGGGACGGTCTCGCTTTCATATTGCAAGGCAAGAGACGGCTATGCTTTTGAACCAGCGCCTTTGCGACCGGTACCCATCCGGTCTAGCCTATATCGCTGCTGCACTGCACTGTTCGGTTATCCCGTTGTCATTGCTGCGAGCCCAACTACTACCTATACTCAAGAGTTTGGGTTAGATGTTGATGTTCTGTTCCTTAAGTCCCGTCTCGCAAACCGCAATTTGCATATCTCCGTCCTGAATACTACGGACGATGAAGAGCTCTACTGGTCACTTGAGATGGTTTCTCTTTGGGCGCATATTTCTGCCCCGGCCGTGGAGCGAAACTGGGGAAGGTCCAAAAGGGCACGCATACACTACTGTCCGTGTTGTATGATCGAGGGATGTTGGTGTCCATTATGCAGGGATACATGGAATCTAGAACAGTTCACAGCATGACCGGGGTGCAGAGAAAGGGGTATCGAGAATGGTATTTTTTGGACGCTAAAGTGGAGGGAAGGAAGACGCAGAATGTCACAAAGCCAAATAAACCATGAGTTCTTTCATGTTCGCCGAAGAAGAAAAAAAAAACAAAAAGAGAAACCAATCAAGTCATCTAACGCCATTGGCGCTGCTGGGAATCGAACCCAGGTCGATTCGGGATTGCGGAAATTACCACAACGAAGCATGATGACCACTACACTACAGCACCTTGAATTGGTGATTGGCAGCTCCTTTTTTTGATTGAAGAATGCATGCTAGTTTAGGTCTACTTTGACTTCCGTCTCTCGCCAAGAATGAGTTATGGAAAACATATTGACGTTCAAGTCAACTGAACAAGTATCTTTGGGTCGTAGAATATGTGAAATAGAGTCTTGACTGTAAAGCAACTTGGTCAGAGAGCAATTATTACTGTTACTATTTGAATCGTAGTTATAAGATAATCGTTCGCTAAGTCTTCTGTATAGATATATATTTCTAACCCTATTCTTCTGCTTTCTACAAATGATTACCCCGATCTGGTTAGAATACTGTAGAAATCTGACGCAGATAGCTCTTCAGATAATTCAGGGTGTCTTCAGAGACAGGTATGTTTCTCTAACAGGCAGCAACTTTCCTATGTGTATACAGCAGAGGTGTAGCACGCTCACAGGATGATAGAACACTGTCGGGATATCCGATGTCTCGTCATGTATGTAAATGGCTACCCTATCGGTTACAGCCGATGACGGTATTGAATGAAAGGATCAAATATAGTTTCGCACCGGCTTGGCGTTACGGAAAGCCGGCACCCTCCCCGTTAGCCCTACCTAACTCAATCTTATCTAGTGGTATTAAATCTAGGATACTACGTCCTTGATGGTAATGACGGGCACTTAAAATACGATATGTCAAGGAAAGGAGGAAACCAACCTCACCATAGCTGCAACTAAGTCACCTCCTAAGTGAGCTGGGCATGCACCACTGACAAGTATCACTCCAAGATAATACTCCGAGTGAACTTCTGCAGAGTCTTTCGCGACGCCCAGTAGTGTATTTTGTAGCCCTCGTGGAATGATACCTGTCAGCTAAGTAGGGCAGTGACTAGACACGAGAACCGGTACGTGCCAGGGCGATAAAATAGTAACGCCCACCGGAACGTATTTCAATCTTGAAGAGTAATGTAAACTCGAACTAAATGTCCCATCAAATAGTATATATACACCAATATAATCATCGAAACCGACGCGAAGTTCTAACCACACTCAATCCCAGAGCCCCAACAAGTGCCAGTACTATTATCCACCGATTCCCCCAAACAAACTCCTGCAGACGATTCTGAACGAAGAATGTTCGATGTATTCTATGGCGGCGAATAGCAATCAGCTGGGAAAACGTCGACCAGAAAGAGCCGATGAAAGACTCCGTCCGGACCATAACAGCGGCCTCGACGATAGGCCAGTATGTGGCTATGCGCCATTGTGTCTCGTTAGAAGGATGGGAGTCTCGGATAGCGGTTGTACATGTCTCTGTCATCTCCATGAAATGTGCTCTAGGCCCAAGGCGGCGGACAAGATCAACTATTGCGGGATGGTCCCTGTTGTCGGTCGCGATTATGACGGGCTGCGTATCGCTTTTCTGGACGCGTAGAACGTTGTTGTACAAATATGATCCCGTCCAATCACATTTAGAAAAGATATGCTTGAGGACGGGGACCTGGCCGTGGTAGCAGGCGTCGTTTTGACCGAAAGACAGGTCGGACGGCCACATACGCAAATGCATCGCTATGGCGTGTGGAACGAGGTCAGGGAGGACGCTGTCCACGCACTGTTGCAGTGGGCGGGTAAGCTGAAAGCGACGGGCCGTAGAACGCCATTGATTCGGTGTCCAGGGAAGGACGAAGCCTTCGAGAACGAACCGAATGGCGCTCCACTGCCAGTAGGATTCAGTAGGCGCTCTGGCTTCGATGATTTGGCTTGGCCCTTCCGCGATATCGGCATAGTAATCCACGCGTTCAGTGGAAGCTGCTTTGGCGGCAGGATCTGGCCACCGTTGGAGATCTGTCTCGTAGCCCAAGGACTGGAGACCATGTTCGTCGAAAACGTCAGTGACGGGGATCACCTTTGCCTCTTGTACGCCGCGTATGGCGGGACAGGTGATGCCTGGGGAAAGGAGCTTGCGGGAGGGAAGGGGGTTATGGACGGCCGAGGCGAGGTGTAGTATGAACTGATTGTTGAAGTACGCGAAGTCTGGTGTTTCCCACTAGTTCAATGGAATGGCAGGTTAGATCAGAAAATTTGCTGAATTTCCAGGCATATGGCTCACATACTGTGAAGTACTTCAGGTTGTGAACCTTGCTTGCAGCTCGTGTAGATAGGATTGAGCGTAAATAGAAAGTCTGAAGAATAAAAAAGGCAGCGGCAAGAACTAGATAGATCTTCCTTCTTCTATTAACCAGATACATCGCGAATAGCACTTGAATTATGGAAGATGGTAACTTTAAACATAATGGTACCAGACAGCAATTAGTCGGCGAAACTGACCTCTGCATCGCCCCTATATCTGATGAAACTTCATAATAGACTACCCGGGGCACCATAGTGTTATGTGGGAAAGCCTTGTGCAATCATGCTTCGCTACTCAACCCCCAGAACCGTACTACTCACTGGGATCCCCACACCAGTCGTGGACGTAGTGTTACGCTGTCAGATATGTTTAACAAAAATGTCCATTTCAGATACTAGAACCCAACATAGTAGAATTGACGAATAACGTCTAGTATTTACTCCCACTATTTCAACTGCCAGGCACTTAGAATGTAAAGACACATTAGGTATTGCTATAGCGATGGGACAGAAGCCCATCAAGCGTCAATAATCGTTCAGTGGCCTTCGCCAAGCGTCCGTCTTGACCTGTCGGGCAAATCCTTTTAATGCTTCAATGTAACCTACCAGCATGCGCCTTCTCGTATTTAATTCGCGCGATATTCTGTGTGTGGGCTACTCTTGTTCTCTATGGCTCCCGACTTCATATGACTGAGACATATCCACATGGAACCTCTGTCGTAACTGGGATACTGTAATATTCCCTATCAAACAGATCAGCAGTTACTAAAGTACGAATATCTTGATACATCCAGGGTGTCTATGTTGATATCTCCTATACTGCGCGATATCCACTTTTAAAGGACCATCCCCTGTTGTGGCTATGTCTACTACCTTACCAGGGCACGGTGATTCCTCTTCATTTTTCTCTAGGGAGGGGATCTAGCTTTTATAGGCCCTTGACTGAATGGACCGCGAGGTGGATAGCGTGTTCCACTTGTAGCCTTGACTTTCGTGTTGCAGCACGTTGTCCCCCTAGTTTTATTATAAGGCTCTCGAACATAAGAGCTCCGCGAAGAGATATTGCGTACGTGGTGTATATGGGAGTGGCAACAGAACCCTACCTGTCTAGGAATCAAGAAACGTACTGCGAGCAGGAGTATTGTCCGATATGCACGTCGCATGGCCTTTCTCGCGTGCCATGCAAAGCACACCGTAAGGACTTCGTGACTGGTGGGGACTTTTCTAGAGTCCACTGCCCCGATAGAAACTTACCTGCCCCCCATCCCGTGTGTCCGGAAATAGGAGCAACGATTTCAAGGCACGGAAGAATACGTTTGTTGGGTGTTTCTTGCTCTTCGTTTCAGAATTCCCCTATTCCTAGCGCCCTCTACTCTTCTATTTCCCATAAATGTTAATTCTGGCGGCTTTTGCTCTCGAATCTATTCACCAGCCCACACTATGAGGCTATTTCAGCTTTTTGCGCGATTTCTCTCGCTGTGGTTGGTGCTGTTTGGCACACCGACCACGGCTCTCTCACTAGATATCCATGATAGCGGTGAGTGGCTTTGCACTCCGTATACCCCTACCGCACTATTATCCCACTCATGCAAAAGATATAGCATCCCTGAAAGAGGCAGCGAGTACCGCAGCCCGCGGAATGCTGAAGTATTATCATGGCAACGAACCCGGCCAGACCCCAGGAACACTGGATAACACGTGGTGGGAAGCGGGCGCGATGTTCATGACACTGGTGCAATACTGGCGTGTTAGCGGCGATTCCTCTCACAACGACATTACGACGCAAGGGCTTCAATGGCAGGCCGGAGATGATCATGATTACCTACCTGCCAACAGCACTGCATACCTGGTCCGTGGCCCTTCCGATACCCCCTCCCCTGGGACATACTGACCGAATGCTAATGATCTCATATCGATACCACAGGGCAACGATGACCAGATGTTCTGGGGCCTCGCGGCCATGACCTGTGCAGAGACTAAATACCCCGATGTCTCCGATGGCCCATCGTGGCTGTCCCTCGTGCAAGGTGTTTTCAACAACCAAATCCCGCGCTGGGAAATGGAAACCTGCCATGGTGGTCTGCGATGGCAGATCCACTCATGGCTGCCCGGGTATGACCTCAAGAACACGATTTCAAATGGCGGGTTGTTCCAGATAGCAGCCCGCTTGGCTCGGTACACAGGGGACCAGAAGTATGCCGACTGGGCAACCAAGATCTGGGACTGGATGGCTAGCAGCCCACTGCTGGACACAAAGACGTGGAATGTTGCCGATACGACGTCTGTGACTAACGAGTGTACGACGAATGGCAACGAGCAGTGGACATACAACTACGGGACGTTGCTTAGCGGGGCGGCATATATGTACAACTTTGTAAGTGGTTCCTGCTTCAAGACGATATGAGGTACGAGCCGCGCTAACACTATGTCGCAAAGACAAATGGAGACCCGAAATGGCTCGACGCCGTCGATGGATTACTCAACGCCTCCCTCCGAATTTTCTTCCCGCCGATGTATAACAATGGTACCGTCCTGTCCGAGGTATCCTGCGAGACAATCGAGACCTGTGACAGGAATCAGATGTGTTTCAAAGGGTTCCTGTCCATTTGGATGGCCTACACAGCCACGCTGGTTCCATCCACCGCGGAGCGGATTACCCCCCGATTGCAAGGGTCGGCGGAAGCCGCAGCGAGGCAGTGTTCCGGGGGCGAGGATGGGACCGAATGTGGGGTCCGATGGTACGAGGATAAGTGGGATGGGAAGAATAGTTTGGAGACCCAGATGAGCTCCCTGAGCATTTTTACTGCAAATCTCATGCTTCAGTCGGATGAGCAGCCTGTGACTTCTACAACTGGAGGCGAGAGCAAAAGTGACCCAAATGCAGGGACCGGAGGAAGATCGAGGAAGGATGAGCCGCCTCGCAAGATTACAAGCGGTGATCGAGCGGGCGCTTGGATTATAACATTGCTGGTGGGTGTTGCATGGATTGCTATCATTGTGTGGTTGGTTTGGTAGTGATCTCTCTCACTGCATATATGTACACATACATTTGTTTTTGATCCCAGGATATTCTACTTTTGGAACTCACATAGACCACAGACTAAACATAATATGTACCGAAAACATGTAATCAAGAAACCATAGAATGATTACTGATCCCAACGAACGTTGATGCGGGATGTGCATTGCAGGATTAATGATCAGGTTAATAACCAGGCCGTAGAATATGCCACGAAATAAGTCTAATGGCCTAATGAGTAAGTGAAAATCCCAATTGCTATCTAAGGCGACCGTTCTTTGACTAAATGGATCTATTAGCTAACCAAACCTTAGCCAATGTTCTATGGATCGCGTTGCCAAGAAGAGGCATGATAAAGTATCGTAAGATCATTGACTCGAAGTCTTGGCCAGTGCGCGCTCAAAGCAGAAGGAGGAAAATAATCTGCTAACGAAATTTCGCCTTATGGGCAGAATATGTCTGCCTGGCGAGGCTTATTTCCCTGAAGCTAAGGCATTATTGTGGATCTGTTATCTTCGGAGACGAGTATAGCCCGTGCTTGGCAGGGCTCCCCAAACCCCACAGAATGGCAGTGCATAAGAAAACAAACATCAGAGTTGGTTTGTTTCAGTAAGTTTGAGTTTTCCAGATACAGACGACGGTTGAGATCCCGAAGGCTTAGCACTGTATTTTATCACTGTTGTGAATGCTGGTGATATGGGCAGGCCAGCGATAGATTGTGATGCTACGATCAGGATTGGTGAGGGTGACAGATCCAGAAGGCCAGAAAAAGCTCATGAAATTAAACCACCTTGTGTTTCATATTCTGGTGCGCTGGGTTGCACCAGTTAGGGCTGTATTGTTATTGAGGCTTGGTAGGTCAAGACACTATTCTGGATTGTGTCACGGTTAGTTAGACCAGTATTGACGCGAAACTGCTACATTCTAATGGAGTAACTACAACAAGGTCTACTACTGTCATGTAATACTACCTTAGTATTATATCTGACCGGAGTCTTGCCGATGGAGACTTGCTCACAGTCGAATGAGATATGTGCTATCATTTGGAGGAACCATCAGAATGCTATTCATCGTGGGATGGATCATGATTGGTTGGCTAAAACTTGCTTGAAAATCTGCAATTACGGAATGGAGGTATTATATTCTAGAACCAGGAACACTTTAGTCAGAACTCAAAGGATAATAAGTGGGCTGCCATGTTGACACAGCCCTGTTTGATATGAGATAGAACCACGAAAATGAGCTAGTACTCATACGGAATTGGGCGTCAGAATTTAGCGCGCTCCACAGTGTTAAAATGGGGCCAGATACAACTGGAGGGAGGGAAAAGAGAACTACGGAGTGTATTCCATGTATAAAACGACTGAGTTACAATTGACTCTTATCATGCATGCCCTAGCCCCTTCGGGAAATCGAATACCGTATCTGGATCTGCGATGGCCTTGAGCGACTTCAAACGTTCTAGATTCGCACCATAGTACGCCTGCCCGAACTCATCCAGATTGGGATCAATATAATTCTGATAGGCGTGCCACTGGCCACTCGGCTTAGCTTGTTTGATAGTGTCTGCAATGTTGGTAATTCTCCGGAGTCCTTGATCACGGGCATCTGTAGCGTTGAAGCCAGGAAACTTAGATGAGAAAATTTGGATAAGGAACAAGCTCTCGCGATGAATGAACGATGTATCGCCGAATGTCGGTCCAAGGTTAGTTTTTGAGCCTGGTCCATTCAAATCAAAGGAAACATGGCTCTCTGTAGGTTTGGCGAGTTTTGCGTCTTCAATAGCGTCAATGATGAGCTCCGCTTGGTTGGACGTATAATTGGGGGCACCATCGTCCACTAGGGACTGAGCGTAATATGGTTCGGGAAGGCTGGGCTCATCCAAAGAGCCCATCAGGTCTGTGAGAGCCGCGATCCAGTCATTGAACTCTTTGATGGAGGACATAGAATTGACTGGCTCAATTCCGCGGTCTGCAAGTTTACCTAATAATCTATCGAGTACTGGCAGAAATGAGGCGCGTTCTCCCAAATACTGCCCAGTAAATGTGCAAGTATTTGCGTCAGGTATAATAACCTGCCCGCCCAGCTCGACCGGAAGGCCCTCGGCATCGTTGGCAGAGATAGAGCCTAACTCCTGGACTGCCAATAGCACGCCTGCACAGGAAGACTTGGACGAGAAGCTGATTCCATAGTTCACAACTGCAGTGGGGGCAGCCTCCAGAACATACGTAAATGAAGTCACAATGCCGAAATTGTTAGCTCCCGCTCCTCTCAATGCCCACCACAACTCTCCATCCATACCAACTGAGCTAGAGTTTAGCAGCTTGATATTGCCTTCAACATCAACGAATTCTAGCGACACGACTAAAAGCAAAGTTAACACACTTTTTCTGATTAAGGGCCCATTACGTGTCTGGCTCCTGCACATATTGTGGCACACTTACTACGATCAACAAGCCATCCCCATTTACGCGACGTGAACCCCCAGCCTCCACCTAAGGAATGGCCTGCAATTCCGACTCCAGGACACGTCCCATGTGGGAGGGCATATCCCTTCTGACCCATCGCAACCGCCAATGGACCCAATGTTTGACCAAATTGCACCGTGACTTCCCTCCTGTCATCGTCGAAACTGATCTCTCTCATCCGGCTGGAATCAATAACTACCTCACCCGAGAAGCTGTACGCAGCATAGCTATGACCTCCTCCGCGAGTGCTGAGCTTGACGTTCCCGTTCTCAGCAGCTACACAGCGTACGCTAGCTGCTACTTCTTCGGACGACGTGGGCATCACGATCACCCCTGGATGTGGCTGATAGTTGGCATTCTGCGGGCGTGATAGTACCTCGTAGTCTAAGTCGCTGGGGTATACCGCCGTCACTCCAGTATTATTTAGGCATTGTTTCAGCGAGACCGAGGGTGCCAGAATGTCCGTCCCTGCAGTCGCATGTGCGGAAAGCAGGCTGAGCGCGCATGTCAGTGTCAGCGCTAGCTGCTTGGCCGACATGTCTATTTAACCTTCCTGGGCAAAGGAGATACATGTGCTAATATGCAAACCAGTGATACGCATGTATGGGTTTGCCGCCAGCGCCACCCGGTATGCAACAATGACTAGTATTATCCAAATGTTATTCTTTCTTCTAGACAGAGACAGGGGAAAACAGGGAACTTAACAGATTCGAGAAACTTTGCGACTCAGGGGATGTGCAGAACGGGCCCGAACAACTCCGGCTCCCAGGAGCTGCATGCAAGGGGCGCATACCAAGGCAAACCTCGAAAATGCAATGTGGCCAGTCATTGTTCGCCAATGCTTACATACATAGAATGGAAAAGGAATATCAAGTAAAGATTTTTATGTTATTGGTAGTCCAAAACGAATGTTGAATGCTTTCAGACCTATATGATGTCCCAGCTAGATCGACTCATCTCAATGAATCTTCTTGACTGCTTGGAATTGGTTCTCCCTTCATGCCACCCTTTTCTTCTTTGTAAACGCTATTTTATATTATGGAGTCATACAGCTTGCTCTCCACCTAAAATCCCCTTTCCGTGGAACGACATTGGAAGTATTATTATCGTTGATGTGCCAGACTCTGGCTACTGACCTTGGGCTTAGAAAAACATCAGTGTACATGGTTATTTTAGTATATGTAACCTGTAATGAGTTGATGTGGGTCCGGAACAATCTTCGGGGAATATTCGACGTGCATAATCTATAAGCCAAGCTCGAAACGTCGAATTCGCCTGTCACGACTGTGATGTCGAATCGACCCATCAACCACCCGCCCTCATAAACAGCCCGGTTCCTCGTACATACTCCCCGGTCTCTCTTATATTGTTAAATCAGTCTGGAGGAAAGAAGCAAGAAACAGTTATATAGTTTTCTATCATACTATTTAACCCATAATAGACACAGTTTCTTTTCTCTCTGCCAACGCAGCCTTACCCAGTTCACAGACTGGAGGTACACTGCTAATGCTTATCACCTGGAAGTATAATCTCGTTGGGAACAACCTCAGTGATATGGGACGTAATCTCGAAGAATCAAACGTCCAATGAAATAAAAAAAAAGGATATCTGGGTTCATGAAGCTAGGAAAGCTACTCTCCCGTAGCATAGAGCTCATGGACGCGGTGCAATCGAGAGTTGAAGACTACTGCCTGAGCGAACTATAAATGTGGTTCTGGAAATAAGCGAATTAACATAAGAACAATTGATATTGCCCCTACTACTAGCAGAATGTAGGCCGGCTATGACTGCTCAACAGCATAGAAGTGCAATTTTTGCGACACAGAGAACATGATGGACAATCAGGTCACATCGAAGTATCGGATGACCTTTCGATGGCTTTAGAGCTTCCACGAAACATCCATATCAACCGCGGCAACATAACTCTAATCCAGAGTTCTGCCATTGACGATATTAAAAGCGTTTATTTCTTCCCACCAGGAGGGGTATAGATCGATCCGCCCTTGCCATCATTGTAATAGGTACTTCCGTTGGAGTTGGAATAGTAATACGATCCGTTGCTGATGTGTGTTAGCTGGGTAGTCGACGTTTTTCAAAGCATAGTGACCTGTTAGAGTAGTGGTATGCATCACCGCGACCAGAACCGTTTGAATCCGATCCAGTTCCGTAGTCGCGCGAGCAATAGTGGTTGCCCTGAGTTCAAAGGAGATTAGTCACCAGATACGAGCGCATACTTCCTGTAATAACTCGTAGTGAAGAAAAGGCTGGTGAAGGGGTCAGTACCTGGCTGTTAGTGCCAGAGCCAGTGTATGAGTAGCCTTTTCCAGAGCTGGACATTGTTACTTTTGACAATTTATAGACAAGAGATTGGAAAGGGTGCGAGATTGTGGAGTCGTGACCAGAGGAAGTCTGGGGAATTCCGCGGTTTAAATGCTGTCAAAACCCCCCGCTTCACGCGACTTTCCTAGATAGGCCTAGCGCTTGATGTCCTTGTTCTTCATGATATAAAGAGTGCGTTCTAGCCCTTTAGGCCGTGTAATGAGGTTATATTCACTTCATCATTACACTGTCGTTGTCCTATGGTGTCGGATACACGAGGAACCTGCTGTTTGCAAGGAGATCATCCCGAATTGTGACTATTGTCCTACCGAGTAGGGCTATTGCCCGCTGCTGTTAGTCCAACATTGAGATCTCCGGGCGAGATGCCTGCCATGTTACACATCAACGTGGCTCCCGGACCGAGAAGTAGTACTGTGGACGTCATTCAGGTAGGTAATTGTGTGTTATAAGGTGGAGAAGTGCCCGCACGAGCCCCTGTGTCCTTGCCGTGCTACTCTACTGACAATGAATGACAACTTGGGGGTGGATCTACTATCACCGCTACCTACTCCATGTGCTTTGGGAACTACCTCATGTCCTATGAACAGGTAGAACTGTCGTTGTCATGGAACAATATTCTAGAAGTCCGGATCCATCGATAACAGCCATTAGAGACCATCTTTTAGTGGTTATATCGATACCACAGTCAAAATGTTAATTGGGTTGATATGCTAAGAATAGCGAACAAAGTGACTCTACCGGCTTCCTCGACGTGGCTGTGACCTCGTATTGACAGGGACCACGCGAGGATCATAGCCGTTCGAGGTCTACAAGGTAGCATGCAGGTGAAGATCAACGGCTAGTACGATGTCTAGCGCGATGCCCACGTTAAATCCGCGAAGATGAACGGAGGACAGATGGTACGCCTGTCGATCAGCCAGTTAGACTGAACCTTTTTAAAGAGCCTGAAGTGTGGATGCAGTAGTCTCTGTGCTACTAAGCGGAAGACGATGTCGATCACGAACCTTATCGCCGAATCTGCGTGCCTCAAGGGGCGGGCGATCTCGTGTTCAAGAAATATCGATCTTCGCGCTACTTCGTATTTGGAGCTGCATTACGGAATATTCGCGCATACACATGACGCTTCCCCCACCAGAGCAGAAGCATAAGAAGGCTTGCATGACCGTAAGTGAGACAAAATATTCAGACACGAAAACCTCCCAAATACCACTCAACATGTCTTCGTTCAAGCTCCTGGCCGCTCTCCTCCCAGCCCTCGCTGTCGCCTGCACTGGTCCCCCCGTCAACCAGAACGGTCTCAACCTGATCAAGAGCTTTGAGTCATTCCAACCCAGTGTTTACGATGATGGATTTGGCAACCCGACCATCGGTTATGGTCACCTCTGTGGCGATGCCACCTGCTCCGAGGTGACCTACCCCAAGCCATTGTCCGAGGCAGATGCCAGCGCGCTACTGGCCGGTGATCTGGTCGTAAGTTACTACCATACCACAATTTTGCACCTTTCAAAGTACACACAGACATGCTAAATATCAAATAGTCTTATCAAGACGCCCTCACCAATGCCCTGGCGGACCCCGTCACCTTGAATGACAACCAATACGCCGCCCTTGTTTCGTGGACATACAACGTCGGCAATGGCAACATGCAGAAGTCCGTTCTTGTCGCCCGCATGAACAAGGGCGAGGACGTGGCGGCTGTCGCGCATGACGAACTGCCCCAGTGGAACAAGGCCAACGGACAAGTTGTCAACGGGCTTACTCGTCGCCGTAATGCCGAGTTGGGCCTTTTCGATGCCCCGGCTATCTATGGCGCTCTGCCTGTCCCTTGCTAAATGCATTACTGTTGCATTTGGCTATCCTGAATACCGCTGATCCAGCTGGCGAATGACAATGTATGTATAGAATAGGTCAGAATTTTGTATATACTAGACAGCGGTGGATTTGTATACAATAGTGGATGTACTACTCAATGGAAGTCTATGATAAGAATAAAACAATGCGGAGCGTATGTATAGAGCTACTATATGGCCTGCTAAATGGGATTTCATGGGGGCCACCGCTGTCAGTACTGACCGATTGCTCCCGCTGTCAAGACAACTAGCCACTCGCTCCTGGGACACAATTGACACCAATCGACTGGGCATTGGAACATTGGTATTCCTGGCCTCCACTAGCAGACTGGACTTTCATATCACTCAGCGAAAGCCCGCAGGTACCCTTGGCCGGACAATTGATGCTGGCGACCGGCTCATCTTTATCGGTCTTGCCGCTGAACCCCTTGACAACGATGTCGGTCAACTTCGCGGTGCTAGGCTGAGACGCGCATTCCTTCTCGTCAGACCCGTAGCAGCTCTGGACCTGGAAGGCGTACGAGGTACCATCCACCATGACGTTCTCCCAGGTGACGTTGCTGACCTCGGCTGTGCCGTATCCTCCCGAGTAGATCTTGATCCCAGCTGCCTTGGAGCATTTGGTCATCTTCGCGTTTTTGAAATGAATATTCTTGACAGTGTCGACTTCGCCAGCCGTTTTGCCAATACTTCCGATACTGAGGCCGTGGGACGCCGTGCATTGAATGTTTGTCACCGTGATATCTTCCGCGCCATTCTGGATGGCAATGCAGTCGTCGCCGTTCTCAACTTTGATATTTTCCATGCGAATGCCAGTGCCGCCAAGGTCAAACCCGTCGGTGTTCTTCGGCAACGCATCGCTGTTGGACACAGCGGTGAGAATCAAATCGGAATAGGTCACGTTCGTAACACTCTGCTTGACTGACGAGAAAACATTTGGGGGGTTCCTCATTGCGAGTCCCGAAATGGTGACGCCGGAAGTTTTGCCGGTCAGGTAGAGTAGACACTTGACACGGGAATAATTCTTGTCCTTGTTCAAGAGGTCCCAGGCGGCTTGTCCGTTGCCATCAATAACACCTGTTCCGGTTTTCGAAACAATACTGACGCCATGCACGTCTTCGAGGTTCAAGACCGCTTCTTTGCCGCTCCAGGCCTTCGTGTCATCTGATACCAACAGCGTTCCCTCGACTTGCAAGGTGCAGCCAGCGCATTTGGCGAAAGAAAGCTCGGAGTTGATATGGTAGGTAGCCTTCGGTGGAATCATGATTGTGCCCGAGGGACACGCAGCCATGGCTGACTCAATGGCTGGGACATCATCAACCGTGGGCGATCCACCAGCGGCTGGTGTACAGGCGGGAGCCTGTCGTTCGGTGATGCGAGTGTGTTTATGACCAATGCGCCGGGATACGGCCGGCATGGACTGGCAAAGAAGAAAGAGGAATAACTTCGCGTAGCCGAATTGCATGTTGAACACAGTGGGTCAGCAATGGGAGTATGATATCTGGTGAATGCAATGCAATGTTCCACCACCAGGGATGCAATACCCTGGCATGGCTACTGTTTAAATAGAGCACGTGGAGCGCAAGCTGTTTCTGGAAGAATAGGGGTCGTCTTGGCCAGAAGGATGATCTCGCTAGGTGACGGATATGTGTCGCGACTAAATTAGGCGGGATGGTGTCTCACATAACTGCGTGGGCTTGCCGATCCAACGCGGCCTATCGGTTGGATATGATTACGCGAACTCCTCCTGAACGGGGGCCGTATTAGCCCGACTTCTATTTATCTCAATTGCTCATCGTGTATAATCTGTGTAGGTCTGTGACACTTTGGTAGGCTTGGACTACCACACACCAATTCCTACTTGCAGCATAGATGGTGAAGTCTCAAAACCTTCCTGCCGCATCCAACGCAAACGAACTGCTATGAAAGCTTCGCTCGTTCGCGGCAAAGTCGGATCTCATACCCGGCAACCACATTTATGGAGACGCACAAAGCTTGGCGAAAGAACTCCCCGCGCCCATGTTGGACATGATCGGCTCCATGGCTGGACCCTAGCAGGGATGTGGGTACTAGCAACGGACTCTGTAACAACCGTTCAGGTGCAGCTTTCACCGAGTTCCTAGGAAGAAGCAGGGGTCTTAGCCCCGACTGCCTCAGAAATTAGTGTGACTGGACCAGGGTGGATCTGATGAAGTCGGAGCTTTAATGCTTCAAGTATATTTGTATTAAGACTTCAACTGTCACGGCGGGTGCCCAGGGACTAGCCTATATAGAGCCAAACGATTCGTTCTGGTCCCCCATTGAATCCTGGGCTTTTTCATGACAAGCTATTCAGTTGAAAATATCCAGTTACACCATGTAATACAAGTCAAAATTTGTGTAATTTATTAGGGCTAGCCACCTTGAAGAACAAGTGCGTACATGGACAAGAAAATGTAGTCTTATTGAATGTCTATAGTAATTTCCAGGACATGAGATTAAAACCTCAAAAACATCGTGAAGAAAATTAAATTTTCTTTAAAAAAAGTACTCGCCACAGGTCTGGTCGTTTTACTTCAATTACCAAATTCTGTATACATTGTGGAGGTAGAGAATATATACAGGGTTATAATTAGGGCCCCATTTGAAGATTTGCCCCGTGCTTGGTTGTTGATACCTTGGAGGGTTTCTTCGGCGGTGTGGTGAGTGGTCATACTGGGGATAGTTTTTGGTCTGGTATATAATTTGGTATAGGTATAGTTTCCTTGCTTTTAAGACTGCATAGAATTGGGGTAGTTGGACTGCTTTCAGAAATTGTCCTTTGGAGGCTTAGAGTCTCCGCTGAGGGTTGTCGGTAGCCATGATAATAGCATTAATTCAAGGGGGAATAGGCGACTACTCATGATTTAGGTCAATATACAGTTAATGTTATTTATAATATGGGTTATACCTACATTAGAAGGATTGATTGGTAATAATAATAATATTTTTATCATGCTGTTGGTCCAATGGAGATGAAGTCACACCATGCAAAACAACAACCTTTTATCAAGATTTAAAATGTCGGATACTCTTTGATAGCTTTCTTTTGCATTTACATGTAAGAGCCGCAAGGTGCGCAACAGTCTTGGTTGAGGTTTATAGCATTGCAACGCATTCTAGCTCCGCTAAAGATTTAATCGGCTGTTTCCTGTAATAGAAATACGCCAAATACTTTGACTTCCTGAAGAGTGGAGTTGGATTAATCTTTGATATCTGCAGCCCATAATGATAAGGACTAAAAGCTTGAACGAAGCACTCCATGGCTGTACAGTGCTTCCCGAAACACACTCCATGATATACACAAGTTCTGGAATATTATTTCGAACCTACATCCAAGGTTGGGCTAGTCCCTTTCTAGTTAGTCGAGTTTCAGAGGCCATATAACCCTAAGATGGTTTGTATTTGATGGATGCTCTTCTGTTGCCTTTCCATAGAACTTCATTTCTCTGTGCTACTTTAATTTCGCCCGCCGGAATTAGGAATGCCCGAATAAAATGATTAAAACCAAGACTGCTATCAAAGCCCTTATTGAGTATATCACGAAACACTACAAAATTCGTTCTAGTGTCAAGAACCAGCTTCACACTGAGCTTCTTCAGTCCCACATTGATAAACCATGTCAATCCCAATCACCCAAAACGCCACATAGTACTAAGAAAAGATATGCGCCAGTTACCAAACCCAAATTTCCCATTCCTGATAACCCAACAAGAACACCCAACACGTGAGAAAGAAATCATTATCAATAACATCAGGTCAGAACAGTATCACCGATTGGCTGGCCCATGTACCACTGGGCAAATACTTTGAACGCTGCATCGTTCCCGTGAGTGAAGTCATACATTTTGGTTGGACGCACGACTAGCTTCTGGTCTTTGAAAAAAGCCTCAATTACACGGACTTTCAGTCCCATAAGCGAGATAATCAAGACCTGCCATATGTCAGTATCAAATATGAAATGTTGGGCTACTAACCAGAATACCCAAGTACTTACCGGTGAGACCATCTGATGAACGAATTCCCACTTCATAAGCTGCGCAAGCATAATGCGGAGGATTGGAAGCAACTCGCCGCAGAGCACTGTGTCATCCGTTGCAACCAAATTATTATATATGACGGCCATAACATGGGGGTAGGAAGGGCCATCAAGATATGTGATCTCGTAGCACCCAAACTCAGGTTGCTCGTACTTAAATAAGCCGCGAAATGGGGTCTCTCCAACGCTAGGTAAACTAGGTGAACAAAGACCTTCAGATATATTGTAGGTTGCCTACCATTGTGAAATCCAAGGGGTCCTCTCGCCAGTGACAGAGCTATCACAGAAGGACATATAATACGCAAGGTGCATATTCCACATCACATATGCGCGATCGACAGGGCGAGTAAAACTGTACTCTGTTTCATGGTCTTGGCCTTTGTAAGGCTCTCCAGAAGTGTCGGCACTGGGATCTGGAATTGGACTTCGGCAGGGGGCAAAGTAAGATGGTTTAAGGGACGATGCCTCGTCCAAAACCATGAGGTCGACTTCAATATTGTAGTTTTTTTGCAGTTCCTGTTGGCTAAATTCCGTGAATCCAGAGTCTCTAACGCTTCGCGTTAACTGCTGCAATGCGGCCCGCATGTTGCGACGAGCCATAGTTTCCATTGGTTTTGACATGGTGACGGTATGCGAATGAAAAAAAAAAGATTAATGCGGGATGGGAATGTGGTGTGAAGCGAATTAAGTAGTTCAAGGGGAAGGAAGGGAGAGATATCGGAGGTTATTTATGGAGTCCTGAAAAGATGGGGATTTTGTTTTCCAATTTTGGAATCAACAGACTAAATGGGTTTAGCGTTTCGTGACTGACGCACTGCCAATAAGACGACAGTACGCTGGGTCCAAGATCACGGACCTTCTATCGGCCCATTACATGCCGCTGTGAATGGAAGTAAAGTAGTTGCCAATCAATGCGATGGGGAAAGAAATAACAAGCGCCAGCCAATTGCCCCAGTCATGCAAGTGGTCTAATTAATTCACTCATGTACTCCAACCCACTCACCATCCCAGCCAAGGCGCATTCACATACGCGCTGGCGAGGCTGAACTGACCCATTAGGAGGGATACGCTCATATCCTCAGTTCGAATGGTTGGGCTGGGCTTGCTGTTGAGACACAAATAGTAACCGCTACGGTTGAATTATGGCTCGAAGATGCCGCGTGTCGGGGATATAATAAGTGGTGGCACTGGCCGATGCCAATTCTTTGACTTTTATTTATTCTCAATTCCAACTGAACTTCTCAAATTCAGGTGAACGAACCCGTCAGGTGTCCTTGTTCGGCTATAGTATTGCTACTATCTGTGGAGAGACATCATGTCTGGTGTCAAGACATCGCTGCCCCGAAATGTCAAGCAATGGCAGGATGAAATAGCGAGGATGAATCTCACAGGCCAGACTGTACACGGTGCGAAGCTTGCCTCTGCCTCTAAAGCTGAGCAGGAGCAATTTCTGTTATTCCATGTCCTATGGGTATCTCGACGTATGGATGAGTTGCCGGGAATATTGTCCGGCATCAGCGAGTGGATCTCAGAGGCGAATACAATGCTAGGAGGCTATAAGTCATGGGAAACATATTGTCGGTCGTTTTTTAGTCCGAATATTGAAGAAGGGAATTTGCGGTTGCCCGGCAGTATCAACTTGAGGTTACCGATACCCAAGATGACACAGATCTGCAAACCTTTGTAACTCCTATCGCACATCGAACACGTGCCCGTGCTCGTGAACGTGATAACCCGACAGCCGATGACCATGTGGAGACACCCTCGAAGTCCACCAATATATCCGAAATACTCAACCTTGAAGATATCAGACTTGAAGATCCCTTTGTCAGTCCGAAGACCCCAGCCCAAGAGACCTCAGTTCAAGACACCCCGGTTCAAAGGATCTCAGCCCAAGAGACCCCGGCTCATGAGACCCCGAGTCCATTCCAGCCTATAACGCCTGGCCCAAAAGAACTGGAAAACGTGCTGTACCCTCCCACAAAGGATGAGCAGATAGTGAACTGTGCACTCATCCTCTTTCTGAATGCGCTGACCATGCATTTTAACCTAACCCATAAATGGACGCTACATAGAAAGGCCTTCAAAGCTAACTTTGAGGAGGCTAGTTTCGAAGCAAGGATTGACGGATATCTCGATGATCGCCGGGGAAAAGCAAAAGTTATTGTTGAGGTGAAACCTGTCAAACGATCAAAGAAGTCGATTCCTATCCAAATGCAGGAGGGCGCCCAAATGGTTGCTTGGATAAAAAAGTGATAACGAAAAGCCTGACGGAGTCGAAAAGATGTATAACCCTCAACTTTTACTTCTTGTGCCCCAAATGCTACTCCAACGCTAATTCAAATAGGCGCATAATTGTCTCCCAAGACTGGCACGAAATATTCTTGACGGTTGCGAAGTACGGTGACGAATATATCAGATATTTGAGCGACAAGCATTATCAAGGCGGATCCAACTCTTTCATGACAATGCATCAATTTGGTCCATGGAATACATTGGATGTTGCTAGCATGAAGCTCCTCGGACCTATACTTCTGGCCATATCTCTTCGTGCAGAAGCCACAGATGGGAAGAACATAAATTGATCATATCTAGCATTCGTCCTAGGCTGCCAAGGTGATCATTGGCTAGGAGTTCTTTCACCAAGAAGTGGTACTGTGCTATGTGGAAAGATTGGTTTTCCATCCGCATATTTTCCACTGGAGGTCACAGGGCAAAGTGTTGATCATTCTAGCCATTCTAGTTGGACTTTTCCGTATTATTATTTGGCTTAGCATAACGGTGACAGGCTGCGGTAATCAGCACAGGACTGCCGGGAATTTGAGGTACCACATTATCATACTTGTTCGCGCCCACGACACGCCGCGTCAGTCAGCGAATGAATGCCTTTAGGGAAAGCGTCGAAGAGATATTGGAAAGTTTTACGTCTTCCTCTTGCTACACAAGGCGCCCTCGGGCTGATCTGGATGTCGATTATCTTACGTGAATTGAACAATCTCCCTTGGTACACCACATCTACTAGTAGTTATGTGGGACTTGGTTGTGTTGCAGAGCCTGAGCTGTACATATAATTTCTCTGCCATATGCATGTCACGATGTGACCTTATGTCTTTTTTTTCTTTCTAATCAAAATCCCGGAGAAGTACTTTTCTAGATCCTCTACATCTTCTATATCCCCAGTCTAGCCAACATGCTGATCCGGCCGACAAACAATCAAACAGCCTCTTTGCTTGTTGACGCTATACTGTTCGTACGCCTGGCCTATATCTCCTTCATACAAGGGGTCATCAGCGAATACCTTCGCATGCTCCCATCCGAGCGCCTTCTCTAATTGATGAAAGGTCTCCGGAAGTTGCAACTGGTTAATGGATGCTCCTGGGCTGAAATAAATCAACATTATCTCCAGTGGTTGTCAGTTCTGTGTCGATTGTGAGGCACGGTGGTTGTTAAATCGGCCACTGAATTCCTTTGCAAATAACGATAGCCGAGTAAGCCAGTCTCCCGCGAAAACCAGTAACCTCCAGCATCCATTACTGTTCGGCTTCTAGGTGCCCGGGTCTACACTCCCAGTGATGGCGGCTACAATCTTCCATACTAGGTTGTATGAGTCCTGCATGGAGATATTCATGCCCTGTCCACCCTTCGGTGCATGAGTATGGGCAGTGTAACCGGCGAAGAATATGCTACAAACGATGCTTAAAATCTTGTCATCCGAGGACCAGCTCGTCACCGGTCACTGCGGTATTCCTTGATCAATCGTCGCCCTATCTGTCCAGCGCCAATGATTAGGAGGTCGTGTATGAATCACGCATGGTCATTGTTTCTACTTGTGGGGCTGGATCACGTTGAATAGCAGTCATGGATTACTTAAGGACCGTATATAAATTTTACGTAAATATTATGAAGGGTCGTCAGCCTGTCGTTTTGCATCTCGTCGACGTCAATCGCGAATAGCCACCAAAGCGATCTAGTTTTGTCGAGACGAAAAACAACCAAGAACTATATAGCATTTTTGTTTTCACACGCAAATGAACCTCTCATAGCCTTGGAACTTCTTTACTCAACAAATGATAGATCATAACCAGCCTCTGCTGGGAAAGAGCTGCCCATAACATAATTTGTTAAACACCGAGAGTTCACCAAGCAACAAGATCCTCTCTTCTTTACATATAGCCACCTAATTTGAAGAGCCCAAGCGAACTATAAGTCAGTTGATGTACAATACTCGGAGTACCCAGCGGGCTCCCTGAACTTTTCCGTGTTGAGTATCTGTCCTTTTTGTGAGGAATGCTGCCGAGATTGACCACAACCACCCTTATTTGATCTCCGACGGCGGTTGTTCAAACCGCATATTCCAGTTTGACATCTTCCTAGACACCTGCAAGCGGGCGACTAGTCTCCGATTCTATACAATGCTTTCGTAAGTCTCGACGGTTGTTACATGCTCTGAACAGCATCTGGATGTGGGTGGAGTGCCCAACATAACCTCTTGAACGTTCTGTTCCGAACATCATCCGCGATTTCAGCATCGTACTCCGCGGCAGCCTCATGCTCCAACTCGTTGGGGTACTCTTCGTCATCGATAAGGATAACGTCGGCATCTTCCCTATTGGGGGGAACTTCGGGGATATCGTAGAGTGTATATTCATGCCCTTCGTCGGTCTTCAAAGACAATTTCTCTGCATATTCGATGGGCTCTTGCTTGATTACTTTAACCCTCTCCGACTCGTTGGTGCCATTCCATACAGCTCCAATCGGAGAAGAGTGTTTGCCGGCTCTAATGCAACCGGGTTCTAAAATCTCGGGGTTTCACCGGCTGCTTTAGCACGCCTCATTAAACTGAGGATACTGCGCTGGTTAGATTGCACATTAATCGGCGACCCGTTGCGGTGCGTATTACCACCAGCTGGGGGCGTTTTAGGGCCTTGACAGAATGAAGATTGCCCCTCTATGTCTGGCTGAATGCCTCTGAAAGATACCCGCTGGCTAATCAGGCTGACGCATTGCTGGTGACGGCATTGCAGGGAGCGACATTGTAGCTCGAGCGCTGATTTGATAATTCTTGTGTTGGTCAGACGCCAACGCGCTCTATCCAGTACACAGTAAGGATTCAACTAGAAGATGAGGCTGCAGGTAACAACAGTGAGGCCCGTAGCTGCCCCAAACTTGTGTAGCGGGACCTTACTGGGAATCAGATCGAACAAGAAGTGTTGACGGTCCGAAAAGCCATGTCTTTGGATAGAACCCTGGTACACCGTTCACATGGATCCTGCCCTGTGTCTAGCCTCCATAGATTATCGACACTCCACTGCTCTGGCTTCAACAATGCCCAGTCAGTCATCAATTCTCACGGCCGAAAGGATGGCTTTGATGGTGGTGGGATTACACTCTTTCTCAATACCTGTGCTACTCTGGCTCGACAGCCTTGCTTCAATGAGACCCGTCATGCTATGGGATAGTGTCAAAAAGATGGTTCTTTCTGAAGCTCCGGCGGAGCAGGAAACTAATAGCTTCAGTAAAGCACATAACAGACAGGGCTAAGGCTAGGTGGACTGATGGATGATATGATACGCTCATGACAACAGGAGAGTATTTAAGATGGGAGGAGTCTGGAAACGGCGCACCAAGACAAAAAGCAGTTAAGGGAGACAAAGAAGGGAATGAAGCAGAAATGTATGCACGGAATGATGCCAGTGAACCCTTTGCCTGAGAAGGTGTGCTGCCTAAATTTGATGAATTAAAATATTGAATCATCTATTCCCACGATGGCCCTCGTGACAGAATAGTACACTAATATCAACTTACGCATTACCGAGGCTTGAACACATACACTGGGTGATAGAAAATGCACTAGATCTCTGTAAATATACACATTCAATTCCTGTTTGCCTACGAATACGCTCAATGAATAATGACAAGGAATACCCAGACAGGTGACAGACTTGACTATGGAGCCTGTGGAGTACTGTCTATAGGAGTAGATGGCCATATTCCCTCGTTATAGTAGTTATTAAATGCTCAAGTAGGCGTAGTAGCAACGGTTTCTATAAAGGTCTGCATAGCTATGGCACTAGAAGCCCTTGGCAGGTAGTCAACTTCAATATCATCTCATTCCACGACCCAATAGTGATTGACTACAGCTTCACGCGGACTTGAACTGTGGGATATTTGTGGTGAGCCTTTGTGGCTAAAGCATCAAGATGACTGGTCCAGAATAGGGGCCTAATGGAGCTACATAAACATTAATATTTTTACACTTACATTCAGAAAGGAATATGTAGGAAAGGAGGTTACTGCTCCATAAATCGACCCGACTAAGATGATTACATACTATATGCCGCTCAGCTAACCTGCAGGGCTCAAATTATAATCAAGCACTTCGACTCCTGTCTCACTATTGATGGTGAAATAATTTCTGGGTGGTACCTGTTGTGGCACTGCCGCCTTTAGCAACTCAACGATTGGGCGATCTTCTCGATTGAGCCATGATTATCGTATTCTATACCGTCTGTGGACAACCCTCGTTAGAGAATGTCTCTGCTTACCGTCTATGGAGTCCCGAGTGGATCCTGTAACAATCTCCGAGACAGAACTCGGCCCACTTCCATCTTGAAACAGTTATATAGACCTGGAGTGTCAACTCGGGACAGCACTAAGGTTCTTTTCTTGCAAGTATTTCTTTATTCTTCTGTACTCCTTGTTCGCATCGTCTGGTAACAATGCGCTCCGTCTATGCCGTCGTCCCCCTTGCCCTGGCGCTGCGCGCCGCCGCTCTCTACGAAGACTGGCACTTTGGAAACATGTTTGCTGTTGGGCCTACAACAAACAACGCTCAAATCACCAAGGCTACGTACTCGCTTGTTCCACCAGCGGTCCCTTGTGGTACTACCCAGGAGAAGCAAAACGACGCCCCCTGGCTGTCCATATGGGTCGGCATCTCCGCTTCGATGTCGGATCAGGCTGCGGACCTGTTCCAGCCTTTGTTGAACTGGTCGCCGGACCAGAAGTCCCAGTACGTTGGGCTTCAGGATACAATTCCAAATGTCAAGGCACAATGGGACAGCATCGCTAATTGATGTTAGGGCTTGTCCGGCTACGGCGGAGGAGTGGTGTGTCGCTACCAGCACCTATCATCTATGTAAGTCTCTGCGATTTTGTGAATCGGTGCCATGCACTAGTAAATGTCACTAGCTGGTCAGGTCCAGCAGCCGTATATCACTGTCCCTGGTGGCTCGCAGCTTGACTTTACCAGTAAGCTCCACACCCTAAATAGCCATATGAGATCAAAGGATTAACGATCGTAGTCGCCGTCGATGACAAGAAGATTACACAACAAGTCTCCGTCGGTGGAAAGCAGGTCTCTGAGCAATCCGACGGTAATTTCCCTACATCAGGCAATTCCCTTAGCCATAGTCAGCGACACTAACCGGCATCACTAAAGACAAATCCATCAACCCTACCTTCCTCTACTCCAGCAACGAATGCTACCTCGGCACTTGTGGTACGGTCGCTGGCTACAGCTGGGACAAGCTCACCATCCATCTCAGTGAGGCTGATCCCAACTTCGGTGAGACGCTGAACCTGTCGAACGCTACGTCGAGCGGCTTCACGACTTCCGATCAGGGTAAGACTTGGTATGCCGAGTCGATCAAGATCAATGAGGATTATTTCTATTCTGATGGATCTCAGAAGGAGTGCTCTGCTTAGATTCATACAGTGATGGGATGATGGAGAGGGTAGTATAGAATTGTCTCAGTAGTTACTGGTGGGTAACTTTTTGGAGGCAATATGTGTATGTCAGTACTCCGTACTGTGTATTATAGAGAACCTGTTTATATATAGATGGTGGAAGCACTCATGGGCTACATTTAGTCCCTTTAATGAGAACAAAGGGAATACTCTTGTCATGGAGTTGTAGCAGACCTAGATCTATTATTTGTATCCATATACTAGTTATAGTTCTCTATAGCATCAGGTATCTCTCACTATTCCCGCGCTAGTCACAGTATACCACCTCCATTGCAATTACCTGTTAGGCCACGTCGCCCCAGAGATCCACCTAGGAGCACTTACTGCCGCTTGCACAGCGATCAGCATACCTCAACCCATGTCCAAACTTAAACACCGGATTCCTCGTATCAAAAGGCACATCTTCCATCTGTGCTTCCACGGCCTCCATAGAGCTGGGTAAATCAAATGGTAGCTTTCCCTCAGGTGCGCTCACACCAAAGACCACATCCAAGAACGCATTGCTGTCACTTCCGTAACTAGCATAGACAGCTTTGGCCTGCTCAATAATCTCGGGAATAACTGCCGGGCGATCCATGACAATATCCACGATCGTCGGTACGGCTGAGTATATCTTCGCCTGGCGGGCTTTCTCAGTCTCGTTGAATGCGAGTGAGCCGGCATGCATGTTGGCCTCAAAGCCTCCAGGGCGAGGTTCGTAGGGCGCATTATACCGCAGAAGAGCATAGTCGGCTTCCTCGGGGCTGTCAACGACCGTAAAGTTCCATGATTCTATGAAGCTCGCGTTGAACCCTTCAATATAGAACTTTGTACTCTCTTCGAGTTTCTTCAAGGGGACAGTGTCTTCGCTGTTGCTGAGGAGAGTATACGACCTCCTCTGCGCCTCTCTACCCAGACGGACAAAGTAATCATTTCCAACAACTCGGCCAGCAGCCTCGGGGTCAACGAAAGGGTTGTCAAATAGGCCAAGAACAAACTTTTCTCTCAGTAACCGGCGAACAGAAACATCGATCCGATCCTCGGAGATGATACCTTCTTGGACAAGCTGAACAATCAGTTCTGGTCGCTCCTCGCCTCCAAACTGGTCACAGCCGGCGTCCAGGATTCTTGTCGCTCTCTCAAGCTCAGTCAGATTCTCAACACCCCAAGCCCGGGCCGGCATATTCTGCCCCAAGATATAAGTATCCGTAATGAGACCCCAGTCAGTTAACACGATGCCTTCAAAACCGAGTTCATTGCGCAACAACTCTGTCACAATTCCCTTGTTGAATGAGAAAGCGACGGGGTCATACTTCGTACCAATGGGCCGGGAATAGTACGGCATGATCTCCCTTGCCCCGGCCGCGATCGCCGCTTTAAAAGGTTTCAGGTGTTCCTCCAGATTGTTTCCCGGGTATGTTTGGTTTTTCCCGTATGTAAAGTGAGAGTCTTCGCCGTTCTCCACGGGGCCTCCTCCAGGAAAGTGCTTGGTAACCGTTATCACAGACTGGGGGCCGAGTTTATCACCTTGGAAGCCCTTGATATACTCCACGAGGAGCTCACTAGTAAGGGTGCTGTTTTCACCCCAGGTGTTACTGATACGGGCCCATCGTGGCTCCGTCGACAGATCGACCTGAGGATGCAAAGCCGCGCGAATCCCCACCGCAATGTACTCCTCCTTTGCAATCTCGGCAAACTTTCTCACGACATACGGGTCACGAAGTGCAGCAAGGCCAATTGATTCCGGCCATTGGGAGAACACTCCAGCCTGAAACCCGGTACCCAGATTTTCCGTAAAGGAATGACGGGGATCCGTCGATACAGTGATGGGAATGCCCAGTCTGGTCTGCAATGCAAGCTCTTGTATGCTATTGATAAACTCGGCTGTCTCTGTGGCGTTCGTGATATCGGTGGCGAGGTTGAAATGCGTCATATACTTTTCGCTGATCACGTTGCCGGTGCTGTTGTGGACATTGTCGCCGCTCCCTTCGTCATCAAGAGGACCAGCGAATAGTCTGTTATGGAAGAGCTGGCCTGCTTTTTCCTCGATGGTCATGCGAGATAGGAGATCTTCGACCCGCTCGTCGATACAATACGACGCGTCTTTGTAAATTGGGACACTATCATTGCGTCGCGACAAGGAATGGCTTCTAGGCACGTAGGCCCTGGTGGATAGGGCCACGCAACCTGAAGCCAGAGCTGCCAGGCTCGCTACTGCACTGTCAATCCGCATTGTGAATACAATATGAAAGACTTATATGGCTGACCTATGCTACAGAACCGCACACTTCCATCGGGGAGAAATACACACCTATTTAACATAGAGCGCCTTGGCAAACGAAGAAACCCCCGCACCTAGCTTCAAATATTTGGCTTTCCCCATCTCTACTCGAATGGCTCATGACCTACTCAGCCAAGACAACGGTAGATACCATCGGCATCGCCGGTTATGTACATGGTGAGAAAACTAGTTTCGGCTTTTCCGGAGATTAGGTCCCGTCTCAACTACCTCAGCAAGGGAGGTGAGTCCGGGGACCTGATAAACAGCATAAACCATGTATTCGGACGATTTCTGCAACTGACTGCTGTAATTGACAATGCTATTATACTATTGAAACACCAATAATCTCATTCAAAGATGTAAGGATCACGGGAAACCCTAGGATACTACATTCCAGTGAGAATTACGTCAATTATCGTGCGGAGGATTGTAGTGACCAATTTTGCGGAGACCCCGCCTAAGGGATCAGCCTCCCCCACATAAAATGTGTAGTGAAGCCGACTTGGCTTTGTGGGGATATTACGTGACAAGGATGGGAGTTTCTCGTAATAAGTCTATATCGCTCGGACTATAGAGCGGGGTTAAATGTTACCCTACGTGTGGCTGAGTAGTTGGTGTTTGTATGTTGTCGCTGATATGTAGCATGTTGGCATTGATGGTGTGACAGACTGAAGGATGTATGCGGAGACTACTATTCTAAACTACAGCCATTCCTTATGGAATCGAGTCTTGGAATAGGTATCATCATTCGATATTATCCATCATGATATCCCCCACTCCAACAGTACACATCGCAGGCCCGATAAACTAGCCATGACGCATGTTCATCAGGAATACGCAGCAATAGCCTCTTCCTATCTCTCCATGTTCTACCTCCCACTTAGTTCCTGGGGGCTAGCAATGGCTGGTCTTTCCTAGAAGGTAGACACCATATTCTAACACAATAAATTTAGCTCAAAGCACGATGCCTCCCTAAGTTGCACACTCTTGAACTGGTTCCAGGGCTTGAGTCCCAACATATCTTCCTGGATTCAAAGCATCCACCGAGAACGCTTCAATCACTGTAGCTCTGCCAGCGAGTTCTTTTTCATACTCTTTCGGCTTATTGTGGGAGTAGTGTTTATGCCTCAAGGAATCAGGAGTAGTTCCAGGCGTATTCAAAGGTGTCCCAGCGGGAATCGGAGTCATTGAAGAGATATGGGATTTCTATATGGTCTGAGAATGAGAGTTACTGCTAATGCTCGTGTCCTGTAACACGACAGGTTTTGAATAGATGCTTAATCTCGTTAATCCAGGATTGTCTATCACTTTTTCCCTCGCTGCCTCCGCAACTCTTCGCATGTCTGGTTCGTCTAGTTGATATTGCCATTGGACTTTTCCAGTGCTCCCATTGCGTCCTTACGGTCCACCCCACGCTTTCGCGTCAGGCTTCTCGCATCATACTTGTTTCTGGCCTCCTGGATGTCATAGTATGTGCAATCATACCTACCTATCAACCAAGGAAGCAACGCTCATTCTTCGACCAAGATTTCCTAGCTCAGTCGTCCAAGGGGTCTTTATCTCACCAATAAAGTGCACCTCCCCTGTGAGCGGATGTAGGACGTTATTAGCTAGAACCTTTTATTTAGTCGTAGTCACAGGGTATTGGCGCTTTGTAGCAAACTTTACCTGGGAATATAAAGCCGAATGGGTCTCCTATGCTTCAGATTAGCTGTGCTTCCATAGTCTATTTTTTAATATTCACTTTAGACGTCTTTTTTAAGTTCAGCCACAAACGGTGGATTCTGGGTTGGAAGATTGAGTACCAAACACTATTATTCCCCATTGCTTGCCTTGCATTATTTTCTATTGTAATTGAATGGATACACCACTTACTCGCTTCATTCTCGCAGTCCCCTAGACTCTTACATAGTGAATATTGCATTTACAGCGTCGAATATATTGGCATTTATTATGATCCAGGGACAAGAATTCAGACTCTTGAATGCCGTATCACTAAAGAGATGGGATAGGCTTACGATATAAGTGAAGTTCACAACGCCCGATGTGTATTTGATAGAAGGCCAGTACTCGTTAATCTGCGCTATCAGTAAGAAGTCTAGATTCCATGCTCTCGTTTCTCTACCTTCAAAAGACTGATAGAATCCTAACGTCTTACAATTACATCTTTCCATTCCGAAAGACGATTCCACAAACGTCCTCATCATCATAGACTGAACAAAGGACTTTCGCTCCAATGCCAGTCGCTACAAGTCGATCAAATTTGAGTGAATTGCACTGTCTCGTAGTTCATGTAAGTCAAATAGGTATTTATGGGTTTAGCAATGGGTCGCAAGCATAGAACTTGAGTGGTTCGGAGCAAAATGGCAACCCATCAGACCCACTACAGACCCACAGACCATCCGCCTCCGAGCCAATGGACACCTTGAACCTTCTTCCAGGTGGGCTTTGTGCCTCAGGCCATCATGCATTGGTAAGCGCACATGGCATATCAGCCCTATGCATCTGGGGCTACAGTAGCTGAAACACCATGATATGAAGGCAATGCTAATCAAATGGATACAGCTTGTATATAAGTACATGATATAGCCATGGTGAGTTAGCTTCATGTCTGGCAAAGCTCTGGTTTTGTCGAGCCCACCAGATTTAGCCCCATGATCTAATCGATAACGAACCCACAGGCCTATGAAGACTATTA